ACAAAGAAAAAGAATATAAAATACAATCTTAGTTAAGCTCGGCTTATTGTAAGAGACCCTAATCTCCAAGAGTAACGGTACCTCGATGCGCGGCGATTATCTACCGGCGACTACTACTACTACTACTACCACCACTACTACTGCTACTCGCCGTGACTGAACTACCTCGCCTAGACATAATCCTAGGGTAGTATTCATTATACGAGATCCTACAAGGGATGGGACTCTTTCAACTCTGTACGAGTCCATTCACTTGTCAGCCAGTCAGTCGGTCAGGTAAGGATGGATAGGATAGGAACTCCATAATGAGTCTATCAGTGTCTAGTACTAAAGGATAAGCTTGTCATAAGTAACAATCTTCACGATAGTTACAACAACGTAACTGGCTAGCGTTCCCGCAAGAAAAGAAAAGAAAATCAAAAAATAAATCTCCCCCGCATTCTTTCATGCATCCACCGGGTACCCACCACGATGCACACAATATATCATCTCATCTCATATCAGCGGAAGTATACGGACGGCACCAACAACCCACCTGGACATCTCAACCCCCATCAAACAGATCACGAAAACTAATCCAAGCAAATGACGTCCATCTCCTACTTCGCCCTTCCCGGCCCTCCCCCTCCTCAAGTAAAACAGGAAACAAAAAGAGAATGATATCGTGCCGCGGCTGTAGACCCATCTCAGCTCACGATCACATTGCTCAGCTGCCCATCATACATGCAGCCCGTTGTTCCACAGCGACGACAGAGAGAGAACCACGTAGCCGCGGATCGTCGCCCTGGGGGCGCCGTCTGCCCGGCATCGTCAGGCGTACTGCAGTTGTATTTTCCGGTAGATGATCTGCTAGTTAGTACGCAGATGGGAGGGAGGGGGGAAATGGCCCGCAAGGCGCATTCAAGTGTTTCTCTTTCTTCTCCCCCGTCAATCCGCGGAGGTTGTGATTCTTGATTCATTCTTACGTATGCCCCCCGTTGTTGGCCTGGTGGGAGGCGGAGGAGGAGGGGGAGGGGAGGGCGGCTTATGGACTACGGTCATTCCCGGTCTTGATTGATTGATGATTAACCCGGCCCCAGACTGATAGTAAGGCCTCCTCCCTCTCCCCCACTGATCGACACCCGTATTTGGACTTGAAGGTGAGTTGTGTTCTTAACATAGTAACTAACTACCTCCATTACACGATCTTGGACTGACAGTCTCCAGATGTGGGATGGATCTCAACCGGTTTGCGCAGCGCACACCTAATCTCATCATCTATCCCATGATACCTACCTACCCTTCCTTCCTATCCATCTATCTCGTGGTGAACAAGTCGGACGCCCGTACCGTCCAGAAACTCGTCGACCAGCTGTCAATCTTCAATTGGCCTTTCCTCCGACGGTGCAAGGGACGGGGCTCCTCATCTGAGGTAATTAATCCCGTGGACCGGATGTAAGGTTCCATGGTGTGCCAGTCCAATTCCTTGTAGATAGCAGGGCGCTGCGCGTCAGTTGCTTCAGTTACATCAATGTAGCATTCCATCTGGCGAGAGTGAACTAAAGGAAAGTCAAAAAAATAAAGCACTGAGAGAATGAATGAATGAAAAATCGCCGTTGCGATCGTGTGGCTGGGATTGCGCCTTTCTAAATGCGTTCCGTTCGTTTCATCTAATCTGGTAATCCCCACGACAGGATTAAATCTAGCCTTTCCCCTTTAGGAATCTCTCGTCCGTGGGCAGTAGCAGCAGCAGTAGCAGCAGCAGTAGCAGCGGCAGTAGCTGTATGAACAGTGGCGAAAGCGGTCACAAGAACAGGCGTCTTGCTTGTCACATGATGTGGGGTCGGTCGATCCCGCGGCTGTCGGCCATGTTGTATCAGCGAGTTATAGGCGGGTATTTGCGGAGTACTCCCTCCCGGTGTTTAGTATGCAGTGGTACTTTACTGAGACTTACTGCGATCTCTTGTCAACCTACCCAGTACCTATAGGTGTGTATCTTCCGTAAACGGAGTACCCCGATGATCAGGTGTTCATCTAGAATTTCCCCCCTGTCACTTTTATATTTTCTTTTTTCGTCCCTGTTCTTTATGGAGTTCTTGCGAGGATGGCATTGCAGGGGAGATATTTCGCTCATTGTCCCGTTTAGATTATCTGTGATCCGTTGCTTATGAGAAATCTTCCCCCCAAGCCACAACTGAAAGCCACCAACCTAGAGATACCAAGACGGATGACAACCCGGTAGCATTGATCTCACCGACCATCATAACGAGTATCGCGCTGTACACCCCGCCATCCCGTGTCCGGAAGTCGTCATGGTATACCCACAGAACAGTAGTCCATCAACTAGCCAAACGATCGAGAACTGATCGCCGGACAGCTCGGATTTGGCTGTAACGGGTGGGATCAGAGTATGTGGCTTGTGGAGTGGACAAAGAGATCATCTTCTATATATCCATCTATGGTGTCTCCGTACTCTGGCAACGATAGAATACTCAACCAGAGGGTGTCTTACGAAACCCTTACACCCTCCGTGCGCCCTGAGTTCATTATGCATAACCCTAAAAAGCTTGAAAGCTGGGACGGTGGTTGCGCACAGATCCCAGAACTGACTTTCCTCCTTGTCGGCCGTTCCATGTTAAGGGACCGGTTTGTGTCCAGGGAGGCTTTTCTTTCACTTCCCAGCCCTAGCTCAACGGTAGGTACTCAATATATCGTCTTCCGATTGAGGCGTGTTTCCCCCTGTTTCCAGAAAACAGGCTTTGGCTTTCTAGCGACATGAAAAGCTAATCGATCAGCCGCCGATGCTGACTTCTTTGTTCCATTTTGCTGTTTTTTATTTGTTCCTTTGACTTTGACCGTCCAAGCCAAACGCATCCATCAAACGATCGAGGGGTCCTTGCCCATGCCCACAGACACTTTGTTCTTTCTGAGCAGTCATACTCACATCATACACATAAATACATAGGTACAGAAATACAAACATTACAGTACATACTTTTACACCATCTATCTATTCATATCTCTGTTTTAAATAATGATCTCCAACCCTTCCGGCCCGCATCCCCGGAACAACCCTAGGAAGAGCAGATCGTAGGGAGGGGAGGATCTTCGTCACGCAGCTCCGTCAAGAATGTCTGTACCTGGATCGGGGGAGGGGAGGTAAGGGAAGGGGAACTCCATCTTTCTCAGCGCACAAGCATTTTCCTACATACCATACCTTAGTATTCGTAGTTCCTCTTCAGTAGGTAACAAGGTACACGATTAGCAAATAACCCGGTTTGCGATTGCGTGGCGCGCAGACCCTGGTTGGACGGGATGGATGGGCTTCGCTTTCTGCAATCTTGCTGTTCGGACGGGGGTCCCATGGCTTTGTGTCCCCTGGCGGTTAGAATGGAAAGAGAGGAGAGGAGAGGGGAGTGAGAATGAATGGGCGATGACTCTGGACGCAAGGGTTACGCGGGTTCAAGTTCCCCGTCTTCCATTCCACCTCCTCCTCCTTCCACACCCAACCAGCGCGGTCGGTCCGATGGATCTATAGCTAGTTGACTACCTAGTTGTATGTTGGGGAGCCTTCTTCCGAGGGGAGAGGCGAAAGTCAATTCATCGGATACGGGATACAATTACGACACAAAAAACTTCAATCAGGGACGAAGCGAACGCCTCTGTTGTTCAGACTGACACAATCAGTACTACATACACCTGCCTTTCTCTCTCTCCTTACTGCGGTATCCAATGCCAACGTCCTTTGACGCGGTCGTCATCATCGCCCGCCACGTTCGGTCCTCCACGGGGAATTACATTCCCGTCCCCAGATTGGTCTTCCCGTCGAGAAAAAAAAATAATAATAAATAAAAAAACAAGGCACACGGGCCCTCGAAGTAGCGGTGGATAGATGATGAATCACCCGCCTTGATGTTTACGGCACCATGCCACTGATACATATGTAGGGACAAAGACTGGACCTGGTAGGTGGTTAGGTTGTACAAATGGGTTGATTGCTTGGGTGATCGCTTAAGTTCTGCTATTCCAGTCAGTCCCAGCGTCAACGGATGTAAATGAATGAAGGATGGATGGATAAATTAGATGAGATATATTAATGACGCATGTTGGACACTTCCATCCCGGTTTGTACTGCTCCATGTAATGGATCTTGCACTCCCCTTGAGTTTTTATTTTGTTTATTCAGTCTTGATTTTATTGCACAAACCAGGAACAAAAAATGGACAGCTATATCAAAGCAAGCCCACCCGGACCCCATCACTCCATAAGTCCATCCGGTTCCGCGCACAGATCCCAAGGTACATACATACATACATACGTACTTCATACATACGTAGGTACTTACATACCTGAGGGGTGTTCTGCATAGCGCAGCGAGATGAGCATATGCATACATACATACATACATAACTGTGATACCGAAAGTAGCCATAGCCAGTTAATCCACGCTGTCTCAGGCGATCCTGGATCGACCAGCAGATAGCTAGTGACAAGACAGGGCAGGCTGTTGCAGCCAGCGTGTCCAGGTATCTGGGATCACAGGGTCTAGGCTGGGGTTTGTTGATTCAGTTTTTTGCTGGGGGGCCCACTTGGTGATCGGCGCTAGGGGTGGGAACTTACTGGGGTGGATTCTTTCTTTTGGTCTATTCTCTGCTCTGTCTCTCGAGGAAGGGGAGGGAACAAGTTTGGATGGATTATTAAGGTCCGGTTGATCGTAGTAAAGATTATATGGTACTTATGTTTGCTTGTTTATATTTTCATCCCATCCTATTACCAATTTCTTGGCTTCTAGTCAAAAGCAGGGTCTGAGTGTCAACAGGGTGCTTAAATATCATGTATCTGTATTGTCCCATGGTCTATATCTTTCTCGTTCTACAGAACACAGCACCGCATATTTGTAGAATGTGCACATAAGCGCGTGTGTACTCCGTACACAATCTAAGATATGTAACTGTATACAACACATGTAGCGCGAGAAGTCACTCACCCACCCCTTACCTCCCCTCCCCTCCCCTCATCAGCGGATATCATCGCCACAAGGTAGCTCCCAAGCTATCCATATTGCCGCCCAACGTCGTAGAACGTGCTGGCGTGGCAGTGACAGCGGTGGTCATTTGATGATGCGGAATTTTCACCCGATACCTCACCTCCCACTCCGTACTATTACTGTTCTTCCGGAGTAGGTATTGACATGCCTATCGAGGAACCGGAGCAAAGCGCGCGTTCCGGCGCAGGATCCCGGTTTTGGTGGGATGTCATGTGGATGGTTGTTGGTTTCTTTGCCCTTTCTGTCAGTCAGGGTTGGGGGATGAAATCGGACGTGTTCAAGGTTTATTTTTCTTTAGTGTTCTGGAAGGTGATGGTTTGGGGGATCCTTGTCTTTTTTTTTTTCGTCTCCTTTTTAGGCTTGGGGGTTCCTTTTTTTCTTTATTGATTTTATTTATCATGTCCATATTTGTTCTTTACTTATTTACTTATTATGCGTTCATATATTATTTTTTACTTATATATTAACTTCCTTTTATCGACTACTGATACCCAGCTTTGTTTCATTCTTAACTTTGGCCGTTATCCATCACGCCGTTGCGCTGGTTTGAGAGTGGTAGCCGCTGTAAGGCACCTGTCGATCTGCAGTTATCCGCGTTCATTGGCTTTGGAGTGCACCTGACCTGATTATAATAATATAATTGACATAATATTATACTATTAGGTATTGATAATATTATTTTCTTCTTTCTCACCAAAAGACAACCCCACCGGAATAACTTAGCTGAGTCTGACCCCAGCAGGAGAGACAAACAAGATGCCCGACGACATGTCAACCCGTCCTGGTGGTTTGTTGTCCCCATGTGACCCTGTGTTGCCAAGATGAGGCCTTATTTCTGTTCCTGAGATGACGGTGTTTCATATCTGGCTGGGGGGAGAGGATGGGGATTGGAGAGGTGATTGGATGTGTTGGTGCTGTGGGACGGGCCAATTGTGCTGGAGTATGCGGCTTTCTATACATAGATACTTTTGTAGGCATCTGTCTATGTCTATCACTTCGTAGGTGTTCAGGTACAGCTTATGACTGGTGATCGTGATTACGGGGTAGGTTATGTCGGCGGAGTATTCGAAAGGGTCATGAATCGTACGTCTAATGCTGCAAAATTATGTACTGCTGGTTGGTCGTGCCGCATAGAGTGATCTCTTGGGGGCCTCTTGGTTGGATTACTCGCAGTCTATAATTTTGCAGTCCATCATTTTGCGGGTGATGAATTCCAATGATCAACTCAAGATGTAAGGATGATCATCAAGGCTATCCTATGTATAGATCCACAGCCTGTCAAGACAAGATAAGTATACCAGCGTCATGGTGAAAACACTAGGAATTACCATCACCAATACCATACGAAACACAGCCCCATCCCAGTCCATGAAAAGGAAAAAAAGAATCAAAACCCCGTCCGCATATGCCTCCCATCAGATGTTCTTTCCTTCCCCGGCATCCTCCATCCTCACCGCAGTCAGTCAGTCGTGTGATGGGATCCATCAAAGTAGCGGTATAGCTCTTGGTAGAGTCATGGCACCTCGGAAAGGAGACAAGACACCCATCTGATAACTATGACTACCCAAGCCGCTTCCCCCGCCCAACAAACAGAAACAACAGAGCTGTCACGAGCGACGGGGTTAATAAAGAGGGCCTCCAGAATTGTCATCACCCGCGGGGATGGGGGGAGTGCATCGCGAACAGACTCGGGCCACGTCAATGATGGGGCCGGGCCATGTGATGAAGGCGCTTATTCATGACCTTCATCCTGCGGGTGAATGGATCGTGAGGGCGAAGGCCCAGGCTGACGTGCAGTTGGATACTATCACCTGTACTTTTTTATGGTCGAGTTAGTGATATCAAGCGCCTTCAAAAGGGTAACTATTATGACGCAGATAAGAAGGATAGTGGTCTAGATTCTATTGATGGGTCGTTTCTATTTCGGTCGCTTTCTCCAGTATAACCAACTAGTTGACAGTCATAGTTCTCTTTACTATTACTTTTTTTTTTCACGTCATCTGAACATCGGATTCGATCCCCTCTCAGGCCCAAGTCTCCTGCTTCTAGACCCGAGGATCGGAGGCTGTCCACCTGGAAATCAAATCCGTTGAACCTCTCTAGCATGCCTTGTGATAAATCACCTTCATCACACACTGACAGCATGTACTTTGTGCATTCATACAAAATAATCAAGTATCTACCATCCACACGTCGCAAACCCGATCATCAGATCCCCGACATACACGGCTGAGCTGTCAACTTCATCCACCCCCTGAATCCTTCCCTCCATCCGCGGCCGATGACCCCTCTCCTCTCCTCTGTCCCCACCGGCGTTCGTCGCAACATAGTGGATCCCTCCATCATTCTACAATACAGATGCAACTAACTAGTTAGTCGCGATCAACCCACGATTCACATGTCACTCACCCTAGTCCCACTCCTACATCTGCCGTGGATTGAATCTCCTCTCCCCTCTCAGCCACGAGCCCGCGGAACTGGGATGTCGTTTCCACGCGTCGCGACATCCATCGGCGGGTTGATCCGTCTGGTTTAGTAAAATGGATGGATGGTCGGGAAGAGGTGTTTCTCTCCATGTGAACTACCTATCTACCCCTGATCCAGAAGGATTTGGCCCAACTTCGTACGTTTTCACGTCCTCAAAAATAATTAAATGAGAATAAAAATAAGCAACATACAATAAACATCACTCCAACAGAGCCTACTCCGTGGAAGAAGCCATATTAAACTATTATCCAACCATCACGGGATCTCGACCCGACCCGGACCTTCCCCGGCCTGAAACCATCCGACTATATATACCTAAGTACTCCATATAGACACTATTATCTCATGAAGCGATCGACAGAACAAATGCCAGCTGGATCAAGACATGGACCTCGGGACCACGGATGTGAATAGTACCTAAGTAAGTAACTAACTGACCGACCGATTCCATGTCTCGAAATGGATCGAATGGATCCAACACATTGGTTCCTGCACACCACCACCTTGCTCGCCCCATCGTCATCTGACAGTTAGTTATTGTACCTAGTCCCTGCCTGGCGCCCCGCCGGAGGATTTCACCCTCCTTGATGAGTGGGTATTCTTCGGTTTATCCACCAACACTGTTTATTTATTCTGCTGTACGGAGTACTGCCTGAGGTTCTGAGTAGGTACTTCTTACGATGGAGGACGTATTTACAGACATAGTCAGGGTCATAGATAGGATTGTTCTACCGTAGTATCTATTATTGAATTAGGATGTCTTACTCTACAGTCTACACAGCGCCTACAGCAAATACCCACCAGTCTAAAACCCCTATGTAATAACTTCGTCTCATGGGATGACACGACACGGCACAGTACAATGTCGTCCACATAAGGAAAATAAGTGAAGCACATACTGTACATACTGCATTAAATCAGGCGACTCCCCCAATACTCCGCCATCGTTCATTGCGGGAATGATCGACAGTCTGCGTCTTTCGGGTGTTTTATATCCTGTTAGGGTGGTTACTGGTTAGTGGGTGAGGTATATACTATATATCTATATATAGGCTATCTTATCTTATTGTGGGGGTGAAAATGGATGAGTGGGGGCTATTTACATATAATGGACTTGAGTTGGTAAGGTAGTCGAGGGCGAAATCTGCCTGGTGATATATGTGTATATGGGCTGGGATCGGGAATTGACCGGATGAGATACATGGGTAAGGTGTGATGTGGCCGTGTTTGGATTTACGTTTACCTATTATTGGAATCTTATGGGTATAGTATGTTTCTGTGAATGGGGTTGTTTCCAAATTATAGATATTTCTATGATGACCATCACTGGCTGCTATTACGTTCTCATGAGATAGATATTAAGACGATTGTTGTCATTTCTTTCATTGCACCGGACTTTTCTATGTATCCCGCCATGATTTTGTAGACACCGACCAAATGATTACCCATGGCAAAAGTTTATATGTACCATACAACAGGGCCGCGCCACCGTCGCCGTCGAAAGAATGAGACTGGAATCAAGAAATCTAGAACTCTTGATCATCGTCACCCGAGATGATGATGTTGTTGATCTGTCTTTTGTTAGCTATGGAGCTTCTCTTGGATTAGGAGGAAACTTGCCTTCAGGACCATGCGGCACAGCTGGGTTGCGAGCAGGAGCTGCTGGCGCTTGCCGATCAGGGGATCAATGGCGAAGTGCTCTCTCATGTCTGTAGATGGAACATCAGTTAGCGATAGGAGAATAAAAACTACACGATATGTAACATACCATTGGAGCCGGTGAGCATGCAGTCAACACCCAGGCGGGAGTTGTTCTCCTTGACCTGGCGCGACTTGATCGAGGCAAGCGTCTCGATCGGGCTCAGGCCGGAGTTCTCGGCCAGAGCCAAGGGCACGGAATCCAGGGCATCCGCAAACGCGCGCATGGCATACTGCTCAATGCCGGGGCTCTGTAGTTACGTTAGCCTAGAACTGGAATTGGAGATGGCATCCCACGCACCTTGACGGCGGCATCTTCCACCGCAATGGAGCAAGCAATCTCCGCAGCGCCACCACCGTACACAACCCGGTTGTCCGTGACCAGGTTACGGACGACGCAGAGCGCGTCGTGCAGCGACCGTTTCGCTTCGTCAATGATCTAAAACAAGGTTAGTTATCCCGTATATACCAGTGTGGAGAATAGACGGACCATCTTGTTGCTGCCTCGTACGAATACCGTCACGGCACGGCTGTTGGCACATTCTTCGATAACGAGCATCTTCTCCCGGGTGGTGCCGAAGGTCATCTCGCGCACTTTACCAGCGGCACCCAGCTTGTCCGCGCTCAAGTCCTCGAACCGAGGAACAATGCGACCGTTTGTCGCAATGGCAATCAGCTCGATCTCAGGACCGCCGACCCAACGGACAGCGGGAAGCTTGTTCTGGAGCAGCAGATGGTTGGCTTCGTCGTCAAAGCCCCACTGGCAGATCGCCAGGTTGGCACCGGAGTTCTTCAAGTGCTGGATCATCTCGGTGAACTTTTCGCGCTCGTAGTCCTGCAGTCGCTTGTATTCTTCGACCGACGTGATGTCGAGCTTGTGCTTGGTCTTCGGCTTCGGGGGCTCAAACGGACAGGTGAGGATGGCCAGCTTGGCGTCCGAAATCTCACTGGGCATCTGAGGGTGCGAGAAATCCTTATCCACGATCACACCCTTGACGAGAAGCGAGTCCTCCAGGGCACCGCCGACCTTCCCATCAACCTTGATCAGCTCGAAATCGACATCCTTGCGCTCGAGGTCTGCGACGGAGAGAACGGCGTCGACGGCGATCTTGGCGAACTGGTCATGCGACTTGGAAACACTGTACCCATGTTAGTCGCACGGAATGGATAACCCGGCAAATAGATACCAACGCACATCTTGCTACCCAGACTGGTCTTGGCGACCTTCATCAGGTTCGAGGTGTCATCCCTGCTGAAAGGGATGGTGTCGCTGATCTTATCAAGCTGCTCAACGGCAATCTCACAAGCCTGGTCGAAGCCATCGGCAATTCGGATGGGATGGATTCCCTTATCGATAAGATCGGAGGCTTGCTCCAACATGGACGCAGCGAGGACGACGACACCGGTTGTTCCATCACCGATCTCTTCATCTTGGGATTTCGAAAGCTCAACCAGGAGCCTCGCAACGTTGTTCGTGATGTCCATCTGAAACCCGACATATTAGCGGTTGTCCCGGAGGGCGTTGCGGTGTTCTTTGGTGGGGTCGAACCTGGCCCAGGATAGTTGCACCATCGTTGGTGACCGTGATATCTCCATCGGGGGAGATCAGGATCTTGTCGAGACCACGGGGCCCCTATAATATTCCTTAGCATGCTGCCATTGTGCCACCATTCGCATGATTCGCCGTCACATGATCGTACCAGAGAACTCTTCACGATGTTCGCAACAGTCTTAGCGGCGACAATGTGTGATTTGATGGCGTCGTTGCCATGTTGTCTCTTCTTCTTTCCTTGGCTGTAGTGAGGGAAGAAAAAAATCCGTCAGTGACATGTTGTGCCAAAAGCCATCCCCCACCGTCCGTGACCCCTAGTAGGATAGCGCAACGTACTCTCGAACGACAATGAACGGCCGGCCCTGCTCATCTTTCATAACAGAAGCTGTTTTATGGATTAGAATCAAGATTCGAAGGAGGTCATCAGTATAAAATGTGTCTAACCTTGCGATAGATCAAGCTCTGCGAGAGGTCAAGAATGTTAGCACGAGGGGGTCACGGATGAGGGGCATTGAAAACGTACGCATCGCCATCTTGACGGGCTGCCACGAGGCAGAGGTTCTGACTTTATATCTGAAAGAGTTGTCAGAAATAAAATAAAATAATCCGAGGAATCAACCCCTGAAAACGCAGTAATAGGGTGACGTGGTGGTATGAAAAGACGGTAGATGGAGCCGGGCTTGCGGTGGTGAGTTCAACACTTAGAAATTCTGGAGATTTCCCAGTTGGGGCTAGTGAGCTGGTTGCCCAAGGCGGTATGGCGCCCTTTCCCAACTACGCGCCATGCGCGAGGTCGGCATCCAGGAACCTTTGGTTTCGTCACTTCGAGCGCATCACTTACTCCCCAATGCTCGTCCTAGTACTTCCATCTTAATTGTGCTTATAGTGTGCTTTGTGCTTTAATCCGCCAAGTTGTTTTCAAAGCTGTTGAGCCTCGTCTCTCCTTCCCGGACAATGCCTCGTAAGTGATCGCTTGTTTGGTGCGGATGTGCTATGAGTCCATATCGGTTAACCAAGAACACAGCACCGTTGGAAGACGTTTCGGACAGCGAGTCCACCGGCGACTCGATCCCTTTCAACAGCGCCGCGGAGAGCAAGGATCGCGACGTGGCAATGGAGGAGAATGATGAGGACGGCGACGGAGAGGAGGAGGAGGACATGTAAGCTGAGCCGCGAGTCGCTTTGCGATCGAGGGCCGCGCTGACGCGACTAGGTTCGTCGTGGACAAGATTGAGGGACATGAGTTTGCGAAAAACGTGCGCTTTCCGGCTTGTTTCCTGCGGATGAAGTTCCCGGCTTTGGCTAATCGGAATTATTGCATTAGGGCGCTCTCCTACTTCTAGTCAAGTGGAAAGACTACGAAGACCCCGCCGACCGAACATACGAACCGGAGGAAAACCTGTTAGTTTGACGTTCCCCGGAATCGACCTCTAATAACACCCTGGGTCTTAGGGAGGGCGCGAAAGATGCCGTTGACGAGTACTATCGCAAACTGGGGGGCCGACCCCAGAAACCCGAGCCGAAGAAGCGAAAATCCATGGGAGGACGGCCGCCGAAGTCTGCGGCAGTGAAGCAAGAGAAGCAAGAGAAGCAAGAGAAGCCAGAGCCTAAGCGACAAAGAAAGTCACGGGGCGCCGTCGAGGACGAACCCGCCGAAAACAACGACACACCCAACTGGATGCCCAAGTCCAAAAACTGGGAGAAAGAGGTCAAGAGCGTCGAAACGATTCTTCGCGACGCTGAAACAGACGGCCTAGTCGCGTTCTTACTTTGGGAGAACGGGAAGAAGTCCAAGGTGTCCATCGAGATGTGTTATGATCGGTGCCCGAGGAAGGCAAGTTGCGACCCCCGCGGTATCCCACGTCCCATGCTAACCTACAACCAGATGCTCCAATTCTATGAATCACACCTGTAAGTCGATTCCTTTTCGCGACCTGGAATTGCGAATAGTTCTAACATAGTGGCAGTGTTTTTAAAGATGAGTCTTAGTGCGCCTGCGGAGTCTACGCTGAGTTGGTTATTATAGCGACCTAGGACCAGTTCCATATCCATTCTAATTGACAAGGCAGTCATTGCATTTACAACATCATGCCCGAAGGTCTTAGCGCATGAAGGGTGTTATCGACGGAGTTTAGGTTAATGGGTCGTGTTATATGATCTGTAAGATTATATACCCCAATGATGGGGTTTCAGCCATGATGGCTGCGTGGCATTGCTCGACAGGGAAGTACAGAAAAACCACAGAAAACAGAGCCCAGTCATTCGAGGATCGAGGCTTACATCCTGAATGATCGTGGGGCCATATTCTTATCTTTCATCATCATCAGGTCATCTTATTTCTTTATTTCGTTTCTGACTGCTGGCAATGTCGGTCTTTCCGGGTGTCTACGCTATTTTTATGTATTTTGATTTTGATACTCCTATTGCTGTACATCCTCGTCGTCGTATTTGATATTATCATTATGGTTGACTATGTGCATCCTTACCTCGTTTAGTTCCCTTCTAGGCCAGTGGCCCTAGCCATATTAAGGTATTCCCACCGATTGTCAAATGCCTCATTGCCATGCTTTTGTATGACGCGATTGACTCTTCGGCCATCCGCTGATTCCATGTCTCTGTCGTCGTCAGGTGTCCACACACCGGGCATGTTATCAGGGATGCCTCGCCCGGCAGCCAAGCTCTCCAAGACTCGATCTGCCAGGACAGGGTCCATACTAGCCCGGCGGAGCGCCTCAACTATCTGATCTTCGTCTTTCGCTTTCCCTGTCCGCAGGCGCTCATCGATCCAGGTGTCGATATCCTGCGGGGGAGATTCTTCGGGCTCTGGGCTCCCTGGGAAAAAGGGTAATTGTATTAGGGTGGGATCGAAATCGTTATCGACGACGGGTGGGGGTGGGATTTGCGCATTCTGGGCTTGCGCGGCGGCGTTTGCATTGCTTTTGTTTGGAATCGGCGTTGAAGGTAGTTCGTTTGTCTGTGGTTTCGTTTCTTGTGGTCGTGTTATACGCTCTTCTGGGGCTTTCGCTGTAGGCTTTGGTCTTCGTTTGTGGCTTGGGCTGCCCGACGTTGCTGCATTGCGATGCTCGGAATCAGCCTGAGGCGATCGTTTCCGCTTCTTATCTTCTGGATTGGCGGGTGTCTCCTGTTGCGAATTGTCTCGAACAGGCGGCCTCCGATCTTCGGTGTTAGTTGAGGCGAGGGCGCCTGGCGTCAGATAGGTTTTACCACCTGGCCGGTCTTTCCCTCGAAGTCGCTTTAAATACCGATCCCGCCATGACTGGAATGTGTGCTGGGGGTACTGTGACAAAAGAACTTAATGTACGGCTTCTTGAAGTTAAGAGCGGACGTGCTTACCCTTGCGGCCAGGTCTTGGTAGATCATGTTGCCTGATACAGGCGCAGTCTTTTGTTCTTCATACGGCTGCAACCAGTCCCAGAGAATCTGATCGTCCTCGATGGTATAAGCTCGTTTGTGACTCCTGCTTGGGATGTTGGTCGCCCCGACGGGTCGCGGTGCAGAAGGGCCAGCTTCATATTTCCGCAAGTCTTGCATTTTCCCCTGCTTGACGGAGTCCTCGACGAACTTATAAGAGTGCCTAATGGTTGGTGAGCACTTATGCGCGCGAAGATGTAGAATAGAATCAGGGTGTGACTCTACGTGTCTGGAGGAAGGTTCTTCCTTAAATGGTCAACCAGCCTGATATCTGCGTCCTTTTCGTAGAGTCTGAGAATGCCACCGTTGTTCTGCACGTTGGTCAGCGCGATGCTGCAATGTCGGGGCATGAGGGATTGTACCGTGATCAACTCTTTGAACCGAGCTCTTTGAGGGACGTTGTGAGATAACCAGAATTGCGTCCCCTTGAATAGGCCATCATGCCCTTCCTCTCCTCCTTCTACCATATCCGTTCCGAAACCGACAGAAAATGGAAACTTATTGACAATTTCAGAGCTTCGTGTCCAAACGCTGCTGACGCGCGATCACGTGCTGAATGCCGAATCTAAATTGCGGGTGGTCCTGGAGAAGATGGTTCGCAATAGAATTGTCACTAGAAGAATATATCGCTGTTCTACCGCTTCCTTCCTTCGAGAATATGGTGAGATAAATCTAGGTGTTGAGTAGTGTCGATAAAGGATTGCGATTATGCTGTCTGTTGGTTCAATTGGTCGCGTTCCGCTGTATCGGAAGGCCGGTCACGTGGTGAGATCGTCGCCCGCAAATCCGGGGAGAATGATAGGTGGACAATGTGTTGATGCAAAGGCGAGCAAGTGAAGAAGCTGGAATCCTCCGACCTGTCCTTGATAAAGCCAAACGATATAATGATTTTATAGAAGCTGGATATCACACAACAACGCTCACCCACTTCAACTTTATTCATTACTGAAGCGGGGTTGAGCTGGCCACGCGTCAGAGCACGAGCAGCATGGGTGTGGTGAGAACCATAGCCCTCGTCATTTTGGGGATCTCTGGATTTGTCTTTGTTGCGCTTTTTGGGAGACTTCCTGCATTTCGGTATGGCGAGGTTCCTGATCTCATATAGTTACTCAGGATCGGCCATGACTGACGGTGTTGATTTATAGAAAGACTCCCATTGGCTTCTTGCATAGAGTTTTATGCATATCCATTCCCCGGCGACTAGCTTCTATTGACAGAGTTCTCTTTGGTGGTCGACTTGAATATTGCTGCAGTCGATCTGGCAGATACATACTGCATGAGAACCACCCTCTTGTCCTTGTTAGTCCTACAATTGAAAGTAACGGGGCATTCGAGTTGCTGACATCCTGTCTAGATCTTCTTTCTTGTCATTCTCATAATAGGCCAATGCATATTCATCCCGGCCGCATGGTCAAGGGTGTCTCCCGTGCATCGGTTCTGCATACTCTTTCTAGTATGCTTGCCCTATGGGTTTCTGTACGCCAGCATTGCCACCAAATCCTACATCACCACCAGGAACCACGGAGAGGAACTGGAACGGTATCCCTATGACAGAGTTCTGTTCCATCCCGGGCGTTACTGTAAGACATGCCAGATTCTGAAACCGGCACGAAGTAAGCACTGCAGTATATGCAATGCCTGCGTTTCCCGACATGACCACCACTGCGTTTGGCTGATGAACTGCGTTGGGCTGAACAACTACGGCTACTTCCTGTCAATGATCTTGTCACTCAGCGTCATGTTGCTGTATGGGTCCTGGCTGGGCCACTCACTCCTCACGCAAACGCTGGACAAGCATCTACCACCAAGTTCCCACATTCGGATGACCCGGCAGAGTTGGGTCACCTTTTTCAATATTTGGGCTGGCGTCGTGGCCATCGATATCCGCGTCGGGTCGGTGACCATGTTGATGCTCATGACGGCTCCGCTCGCGATGGCTTTTCTCGTGTATCATACGTATCTCATTTGGGCGGGCATGACTACCAACGAAAGCTCGAAATGGTCGGAATGGAAGGAAGATGTAACCGATGGGTTTGTTTATAAAGCTTCCAAGGCCGAGGTCTATGGTTCCTCCCCTTTACTGGGAGATTACCAGAGGCCCGAAAATTCCTGGCCCGTGAGCAGTGATAAAGTCCTTGTGGTTACTGATGAGCCACCGAAACAAGGGTGCCTTCTGTCGCCAGATACAAATGAGATCACCCAACCAAGCGATCGGAATGCGCCCATTGATCAGAGGTGGATCTCAGTACGCGGTATGGGCGAGATTGATAACATCTACGATCTTGGTTTTTGGAAAAACCTGCGCCATGCATTCAGAACCCCGGCCAGAGCGAAGACATCTTGATAGATAGCATTTTAATCATACCGAAATCCACTCCTCAGTAGGAATGATGATTCTACTTGGTGAATGAGATATCAACCATGAATGTCATTCATTCATCGTTTCTAGTTGTATTACCTAAAGAGGAAATTGGCGGGACAGTCTCGGAACCGGAAAAATTCCCATGATTGTCTGCCTTTCTTTCTTCCCCGCCGAACCCTGCGGACCATGATTAGAGCAACCATCTTGTCAACAGCAGTGTTTGACTCGAAAACCCCGCCAGATTGATCACAATGGCGGACCGGGCTGCAGCAGAGATGAAGCCAAAATGTACACCTGCCGAGCTCATGCTAAAGGTCATCCTGACGGGAACCTTGAGCCACTACGAGACGCGCGGGATGATTGACGACAAGCGTTTGGAGCACATGCTGTCGGCAGGGAAACAGATCCTGTATAAGACTCATCAGGAAAGCGATGTGCGGTATGGATTGATCTAATCTTCGTTCCTTTGTTTTGCGCGCTCGGAATCCTCGAAAGCTGACACTGTTTTCCGACCACAGACACAATTTGGGACTCTCTCCAGACATCTGGCAAGGTTTCACGGACGTATTGACGAAAGCGATCCCCGTGCTAGAATCGCAGTCCTTTGCTTGGAAGTGTCCCCCGACCGCGAACTACGATCACTCGTCCTCGAACCTTATCGCCTACAACTACTTTTCGCTTGTCAAGGACATCGAGCGCTTAAATGACCTCTGTACGATCGCACGCAATCTACTCGCGACCACGAAAAAAGCGCAAAACATGGCCGCGGAAAAAGGGTTTGACCAGAGGATTTTGGCGCTGGTGGATACATGTGTGAGAGTGACGGCGCGCGGCTTCGACGGAGAGACGAATGCACGGAACGAGGAACGCTGGCAGAAGGTGGTCAACCTTTACAAGCGCCTTTTGATCACCTGTCTCCAGTTCCTGCATAACTTCATAATGCACAATGAACAACGGAAGATGGTCCTCTGGCTGGATCTGTTCGGGTATCATTCGACCGGGGATTCGAATATCATCCAGCCCAGGGAGCCCCTCGATCAAGTCAGCAGTCAACCCGAAGGCGTGGCACCTATTGTGAAAACTGGAGAAAGGATTGTCAACCCCCCGATTCGCGCGCTTTACGATCAGACTGCGGAGGATCTGCTACTGGAGACGATCTCCAACTTCCCCAGGGAACCCGCGACGATCAAGGAAGAAGCGGCAATGCTATTACTCGCGAACATCAAAGATCACATGGAGAAGCTTCTTGGACGCGATCTGACTGCCATACAGGAGATGGGGAAGGATCCTGAGCAGGTCAAGGAGATCCGGGCGGCTCTGACCGCGATTCTGGGCGCTAAGGTGGACGGATGGTCCGATCTTCAAGACCGGGCCAAGGACCTTCCACCTGCACTGCCCGAGGATGAACCGCCGCGCAAGAAGTCCATTCTTACAATCGATCGCAGCTCCACGGCGGGGTTCCCGCGCATCTGCTGGGCCGATCTTCCCGACCTCAGCGAATACGGTGCCCTCGCATCGGGCGACGCTCCTATCATAGAGGAAGATACTAGCATGCCCCGGTCCGCGCAATCAGCCGCGGAGACGCTTCAAGAGGCCAAGGATGAGCTCATGGCAAGATTGCAGGAGACTTCGCAGATTGGCGGTGATGGCGATCATGATTACGATACAGGAGATGCCGGGACGGTGGGCGACGAGGATTCTCGCAGCCTGGAGGCCGTTGCAGATGGCAGCATAGAGGAGGAAGAGGAAGAGGACGATGAAGACGATGACGACTACAGAGGCCGCCCGGGCGATCAACAGCGAGGTCTACTAACCGACATTCCTCTCGTGCTGGGACCGGCCGAGATCGAAGCTCTCCCGATGATCATCCAAGCGGGCATAGTCGACAGCTTTGGGCTCAAGGGTGGCGAGCGGACTGGATCACGGAACATGCAGTCCCTCAGATGTCATGTTCTCCTGACCCAGGAGACAGGACGGAATCTCCTCCGGGAGCTTCTGATCTTCATCGCCGCGTGGGATCTCCCCGACGACGAGCTCTACTTCAAGATGATGGTTCAGATCATGGACGCAGTGCTTAAGAACGGCCTCATGTCCCACGCGTATTCCGACTTCGGCCAACCAAAGGACATCATTTCACCGGCGCAGGCCGTCGTGGTCAAAATCCTCACCCACATCTTCCGCACCAAGTACTCGCCCGCCTCAGTCACCGGTTCCACGCCAGCCAGCGCATCGAAAACCCCCGCGCCGCTTCTACGCGTCGACGTCCTCACCGTGCGATACATATTCACCATCTTCCGCGGAAACATCATCCCCGAGACGTGCGCGTTAATCTACCTACAAGGCCAGATCCGCGCGGGACGCGCCCTACCCGAAGACTTCCCGCTAAACCTGTGGGACATGGAGCGCGTCTACGAAGGCGTCTACCAGTTCCTCGAATTCTTCGCCGTCCTGACCGAAAACAACGACTGGAAGAACCTGCTCTTCAAGTGGGAAATCGTCTACGACCTCGTAACCCTCATCAAGGAACTCGAGGCCAGCATCCCCAAGGGCCAGCTCAGCGCGCTATCCTTCGGCCGCCACAGTCCGCCTAGAGAGCCTCCGCAGCAGCAACAACAACAACAACAGCAGCAACAACAACAACAACAATCAGGCTCCACGCCCGGACCTGTCGCCGTGGAACGGCCCTACGACCCCAGCGATCCGGACCCCATCGACGCAGGCGCTGGGTCCCGAGCCGAGTCCCCGCCCATCACAGAAGACCCATCCGAGTTCGAGTGGCGCAACCTCAAGAAACTGGTCGTGCTAGTCCTGTCCTCGCTGGTGTGGAAATGCCCTGAAGTGCAAGATCAGATCCGGCGGTACGGCGGCGTCGAGACCATCCTGTCGTGCACGAACTTCGACGCGCATAACCCGTACATCAAGGAACACGCCGTCATGTGTCTCAAGTTCCTGCTGGAGGGGAACCGCGAGAATCAGAAGCTGGTTGAGGATTTGGAGGCGAGGGAGGTGGTTAAGGATGATGGAGGATTGCTGGAGAGGAGCGGGTTCAAGGCTGTGATCGAGGATGGGAAATTGGCTATTCGACCAAAGGATGAGGGGAGGTTCAGCTTTTAGAGCATATGCTTGCATGAATGCATGGATGGATGGATGGACGGATAGACGGACAGAAGCGTCACATTGTGTAAAACAGAACAAAACATTTCACGAGAGGATATGTCGGAATGAATAAAGAAGAATAATAAGAGAAAAAAGATATCATCATCATCCAGTCATCACTGTAAACCAACCAACAAACCACATCCTGCAAAGGCGCTCGTGTTTTCAGTCCCCGCATCGCTCATCAAAACAGTCCAATATAGCAAGTAGCGTGAAAGATAGGAATCAACCGACCCGGTATCATCATACTTCAACCATACATTCCATCCCACTCTTCCTCGTCATCCTCAACGGGTTTCTTCTTGCGCGCTTCGGCCTTTTCCCTCTCCTCCTTTGCAAAGTCCCTGCGGTCAAGCGGACACGTTCCGCGGAGGCGGAGCCACGGCCGCACGCACTCTAGATCGAATAGATGGGTCGGGTGGCAGGGTAGCCGCACGACGAGGGGGTACTGATCTTCCAGGAAGGGGTTATTGCAGATGGGACACGATTGGGAGGGCTTGAGGCTGGTTTTGGGGACACGGTCGAGGACTGTACGGATTGATCAGTCAGTATGCAGCCGCATGTAACAGGCCACCACCCCGCATGTAGCAAGCCACCATGTACTTTCCGCAGAGAACAAGAAAGAAAGCAAACATACCATCACAAAACTCCTCACTGACCCCCTCAATCTCCTTCGGCGGCGTCTCCGCCTCACTAAGCAGCGTCTGGATCATCTGCGCCAGCAGATCATCCCCATGGACGCTAGCGGCGGCACCACCGCTGTGAAATGCCGCCCCGAGGTCGGGCACGCCGTTACCAGTTGGGATTCCTCCGCCTTCGCCCTCCCTGCGCATGACGTTGAGCGCGTCGGCGAGGGAGTAGAAGGCGGCGCTTATGTCGCCGGGGACGGGGACGGCATGGGGGCGCGAGCGGGCTTCGTCGGAGCTGAGTTCGGAGAGCTTGGCGAAGAAGGTGGAGAGGTCGGGGCGGCGGCGGCGTTGGCTGGATTGGGAGGGAGCGGAGAGGTCGGGGGTGCTGTGTTCGACTTTTTTTATAGGAGTGGTGGGTTAGCGGGTTGGGTTTGGGGTGGGGGAGGGGGATGTAGAGACTGAGTTGGAGAGGGTGTTCATACCTTCGTAGGTGGACATTGTGATGATGGGGTTGAGAATATGGGTTGGGTCGGATTGGGTCGAGTCGCGAGTGGAGCTTGAGCTCTCCGCGCTTGGCTGAGCCTGGTTGGGGATGCTCTTTTGGTTGATTGAATAGTTGGTGGAAGTCTGGTGGAATGGAGGGAAGACGAGGAGGATATAAGCTTGAAGCTGGAGTGGAAGAGGTGGGGAGGCGACCAGCCAGCAGCGGGACGCGTTTTCCTTCCTTCTCCGCCTTAGTCAGGCTGCCATGCTTTGTCGGACAAGTGCTAGATCCAGGCACGTTTATTCTATTTCAATCTATTTTGGCGATTATCAACAGCCGTCTCATTATTGAACTGCAGCTATCAAGGCAATAAACCACTGAGCTGGTCGCAGCTCTTCTGAGTCCTGAAAGTACAACGTCGTTCCTTACTGTCCACAACTCCACTGTCTAGTGTTCAGTATACACAAGGGACAGATTCAGAGCTGAGTTCTCTCTAACACATAACAATGTCTTATTCCAAAACCTTCTCAACTTCAAAAAGCTAATACCACTGTTCGCATCTTCTCATCTCGACATCTTCTATGCCACAAAGCGTAACTATACGGTCACATGACACGGATTTTGTACCTGCTTATGTAATATATCGTCTTTCGGCCGCGGAAAAAATAAATAAAGATAAAAGGCACCACGATCAATCCAGCATCAGCCGATTGTACTTTGCGCGCCTATTCGCGGTCCCCTTTATATGTGGAAGAGATGTTGCGCGAGTTGAGAAGGCGATAACTAGGTATGTATATGTGTGTATTGGGCATTGTGATCTGATGGGTTGATGTTGCGATCTTCTCGTTGATGAGATTTGTATTGAGATATATAGCAGATTGATTGATGAAGAGTAAACTGATTCTTGTATAGCTAATGCATATCTCTATTCCTAGCCTATGCATGTAATAGCAGCAGCATTTGACTGATACTAGCAATCCAGTCGCATCCAACCTCATACTGGATTTTGAGGGTGAAGATTAAAGGAATGTTTACCAGCCTAAGGCCCAGACCAACAGCGGCCCGAGTGGTGTTAAACTCCGGCGGGCGCTCCAACCGGCCCCGCTGTTTTCGGCCAACAATCTTTGTCTCGTCTTGGTTTTGCACCGCCAAACAACACCCCGCATCTGTGTCTGCGTCTGCATATACTGTACGTTTACCATTAAACTTGAAGAAACGACTACCGTCTTGATCGCGTGAAGGAAAGGATTATATTAATCATCAGTGTGATAGCCCCCATCCATCATGACTCCCCCCACCGACCGCCGCCCCATCATCATCTCCGGCCCCAGCGGGGTCGGCAAGGGCACGCTGTTCAACATGCTCTTCGAGAAACACCCCGATACGTATACGCTGTCGATCTCGCACACGACGCGCAGTCCTCGCCCGGGCGAGAAGCACGGCGTGAACTATTACTATGTGACGAAGGACGAGTTCCAGGATTTGATTGCGCAGGATAAGTTTGTGGAGAAGTTAGTTCCTTTACCTTGTTCTTCGTTTGGTGATTGGTTTTTGTGAGAGTCATCCTGACAAGGATTTATCTGAAATAGTGCCCAATTCGGAGACAACTTCTACGGAACGAGCAAGATGACCATCGAAGAGCAGACCGCCAAGGGCAAGGTCGTTGTGCTGGACATTGAGATGGAGGGTGTGAAGCAGGTGCGGAATTCGTCGATCGGGGCGCGCTACGTCTTTATTGCGCCGCCGAGTGAGGAGGAGCTGGAGAGGAGACTGCGCGGGCGGGGCACCGAGACGGAAGATAGTGTGTTGAAGCGGTTGGCACAGGCGAAGAAGGAGTTGGAGTTTGGGCGGCAGGGGGGGTTTGATAAGGTGATTGTGAATGAGGATTTGGAGAAGGCGTATAAGGAGTTGGAGGAGTGGGTTTATGCTTAGGGGATGTCTATTTGACGGGTTGAGGGTTGTGTGTGTGTGTGTGTGTTTTGGATTTCGTGCACTATATACATCGTTGTCGTAATTTTGTTAAAATATAGGGGTTATGAATAGACCGCGTTTGGTTGTACATTGTTGGTCTGGATGGAATACCAGTAGACCCTACACTATACATCACTTAGCGTGTTGGGAAAGTAATGCCAAGCAGATAGCGACTGGGTAATACTCAAGCTTTTTGATTATCCCCTAAGCTCAACCGCACGGTTCGACTCGGAAAGATTGTCCGCTCAGATGCTGTCATACTATGGTCATCCTCGAACCTTGTCAGCCTCGGCTGAACACACCGTACAAGCAAGCCACCAATCTCCGGAATATACTCCCAAGCCATTATGACTTGCTTGTCCAAGGCCTAGCCAGCCTGTGGACATCGACGCTAGAGCGTGTCGTCCTCGAAGCAGTCTAATTGTAAGACAAGTTTAATTACCAGGCATCAGGCAACAGTAGTCCTTCATTTTGTGATCAATGGGACAGACACCACCTTTCCTTTCTCTCAAGGTTGCGGTGGCTTGGAACTCATTCATGTCTTTGGTTTGGGGAGCATCCATCCGTAGGACAACCCATTCTGGACCAAGAACTAGACCGTTCTACTCCGTGCCTGTGCCTGGTTCCTGAGTTGACGGGCCCGCTAGATCCGGCTAGGGATCCTCCCGGGTGCGGGGACGTAGACCTCGATGACAATATTCAACCTAGCCGTTTTGGTCCCTCGTGTTCTGCAGGAATGGCATGCTACTTGATCTAGTCCTCATATCGAGTAGATCTTACCGAGGAAGAGTCGAGTGCAAGGTACTGTCGCGTGGAACCACGCTCATCACCAGATCCGCCGGTGCAACATTACCGCTTAGCGACTTGGCAGTTTTGGTTTAATTTCAAGGAGACGGAACCGCTATTAAGGAGCTGATACCAGAGCTGGGTATTGATTGGAGCATAAATAGAGGGGTTCCCTGACGAAAACTGTGATTCTGACGATCAAGTACAGTTTTCTTCGTGCAGACCTTCTAATCAGCGTTATTGTTATATGATCATGGCGATGAAGTTTACTAGAAACCTGGCCCTTTCGATGGCCTTCGGCGCATCTGTGCTGGGCCAGCAGGTCAATGGCCCCGATTACGATAGCCCTACCGGCGGCCCTCCGGCCAAATTCTTTGAAGCTGCTGCCTCGATCCCAGTCGCTGGCCTTCAAACTGCCGCTGCGAAGGCGAGCAAGGTCCCGAGTGTGGCAACGTATCCTGTGAGCCTTGAAAAGAACGCAGCCAAGTCCACGATCCACAGTGACTGGCTGTCATTTAGTGAGGTAGGTTCATCCCTCTGTTTCTCGAGCGAAATCTAACGAGATCATCAGGGAGCGGCCTTGTCATGGGTGGCGGACATGGATGTTGACTGCGACGGCATTAACTATAAATGCGTGGTAAGGCTGAGAATGAGCACAGTGAAAGGATCTCTCTCCTGATGTGGAATCAATAGGGAAACCCTGATGGGCAAGACCAGACCAACTGGGGTGCTCTGGCGGCGTACGAGGTGCCGTTTATCGTCATTCCGCAGAAGTTCCTGTCAGCAAATGGAAATCTCCTCTCGGGAAACAACATTGCTGCTGTGATCTGGTAGGATCTTGAGCCTTCGGCGTCGACTGAATCCCTAAATGACCGCTACTGACCGCATTGCACATAGCAACGGCAAGATGTACTACGGTATCCTCGGGGATTCCAACGGCGACAGCCCGCAGGTTACCGGCGAGGCTTCATGGTTGATGGCCCGTACCTGTTTCCCCAAGGATAATCTGAGCGGAAACAAGGGACACACCGCTGTCGATGTCACCTGTAAGTACCGGGCCCGGATGGGAGGCCGATGGCTTTGCACCATTTCTGACCATCCGCGACGCAGATATTCTGTTCACCGGCAAGAACTCGGTCCTGCCAAGTAGCGCTTTGAACAAGAACTATATCACCAACTTCAGCACCTTGCGGTCGATGGGTGACAAGCTGGTCAACGCCCTGGCCTCGAACCTGGGGCTCGGCAGTTCCACACCCCCCACGACTACCTCTGCTACGATGACCACGACAGCCAAGCCGGGCCCGACCGGTTGTTCCTGGCCTGGCCATTGCCAAGGTGGGTCATATCCGAGATATTGCTTTATTTGATAAGCTGACGGGAGCTACTGCAGGCGCTGCATGCTCGAGCGGCAATGATTGCGCGGACGACCTTGTCTGCACTGGCGGCATCTGTTCGGCCGAGGGAGCGCAGACATGCTCGTGGGAGGGTCACTGCGAGGGTACGTTGCATATGCATGGGGATGTGAGATGAACACTAACCCCGGACTAGGTGACTCTTGCTCTTCCCACGATGACTGTTCAGATGAGCTGGCCTGTGTTAGTGGCGTCTGCTCTGCTGATGAGGATACGGAGGAGACGTGTTCCTGGGAGGATCACTGCGAGGGTAGGTCGACAGTGGTCCCTGATACTATTTCTGAGGTGGATGCTGAATTGACGTTTTCATCTAGGATCCTCTTGTACGAGCCATGACGACTGTGCGGATGAGCTGTTCTGCAGTGATGGGGAGTGTACCTCCTCGTGAGAGCTATGCAAGCCAAAAGAGTGAGTTGTATGGGTTGACTATGGACGGATGACATGTTAGTTGAGCGGGAACATCTAAAAAATGAGCGAAATGAGCAATGTGTAACTATCTCCATCGGAGGGAACTACTAGAACTATCCTCGTGATGAGAATGCAATGGAAGAACGATGAGTCAGCAGACAGAGTGCAATGCACTGGTTAGTAATAAACATAGCACAACGCATGCAATTAATCAATCCAAGAAAATCAACAGTTGGAACGAGAAGGTCTAGAACGGATTTCAGATAAATGACTTGATCCTTCTTATTTCTGGAGGTATTGAACCTCTTCTGCTCATCTTATTTCAATAGGAATTTGTCTGCTGAATTCACTCATTCCTCACGTTATCCAGTTTAAGACACCGTTACCAGGCAACTGCAATCCATCTCGTCTGGATCGACAGATAAACACTCCAACAGACCAACACGAGCCCGCGCTAGGCTGGGTTCTTTCTTTAGCAACACCCGTGGTGGAGCCAAGATCAGCCGAAGGAGGCGCGGCATTGCGACAGCATCAGACGTGTTTCCTCTCTCTGTCTTTCTGTCTCTCTTTTTATTTTTCTTTCCTTCCTCCCTACTCATAGCAAATCATCTGACTCTCGCTCTTGCTGGCTCAAGGCGAATAAACACAAACCAGCCCCCACGAAAACGTTCCCATCTCTACTCAGTACTCACTCATCCATCTGGGTTTAGTATCACATCTCCACATTGATAGCCCCAGGCTGTCTACCCATCTGTCGTCATGCGATCGAAATCCGTCCAACCGTCTCTCTACCGCCCTCTCCCCTTCCATATCATCCGCACTGTCGGCTTCATCTCTTCCCTGATCGTAGCTATTATCTTGGCGGTATTCGTCTACCGCCTTCATTCCGACAATTTCAAGCTCCCTTGGGCGTTCCTGGTGGTACGTATAGTCCCTATCTACTTCAAAGACGCCACCAATTCAAATGCTAACCCACCCAGATCCTCATCACCTCCATCCTATCCCTCCTCAACTATGTCCTCACAACAATCGTCCACTGCGGCTACGGCCTCGCCCCCCGCGTTTCCCTAACCTTCAACTCCATCATGCTCTTCCTCTGGCTCCTCTCCTTCGGCCTCCTCTGCTACGGCATGTCGCACACAATCCTCACAACCTGCAACGCAACCTACTGGGGCAACTCCACCGGCATCAACGTCTGCCGCGCCTACAAAGCCCTCTTCGCATTCATCATCCTCTCCATCGTCGCCCACATCGCAGCCGCCATCCTCGACGTAATCACCCGCAATCGCCAGACCCGCCTCGGCGCCTACGACCCCATGGCCAGCAACCAGGCCCTCTCCACCGCGGACTACAAAATGCACAACCGCGGCAGCAGCGTCATGTCCACCACCGCCGCCGCCGGTCCCTACGAGGACCACTACCCGCTTTACTCCCACTCCCGTGATAACTCCACCCACGATGACCCCTTCCACGACGGCCCTGACCCCCACAACCACCTCCTTCCCGACGAACGCCACCCGCTGCCCCCCGTCTACGGCGCCCGCTCCGCAGAACAGTACCACCAGGGCGACGCCCACGACTACTACGACTCGGCTCCCGCCGCGCTCAGCCAGCGTAGGGCGCCCCGCACGCGATATAACGGGTACGAACCGGCTGATGTGCACGGCCATCAGGGGGAGTATACCGCCTATGACGCGGGCGCATATCGGTGAGAGCCAGTCACGTCTACAATAGACTGGTAGGCGCTGAAGGAGGGATGGGATGTGGAAGCTTGTGCATTTCTGCGGCGCGACATGTGTACAGCATTTTTTATATTTTGTTTATGAAATGACCACATCGCCCCGTGCTGTATTTGTGTGATGCGTTACGAATTGCGTTTTGTTTCTTGGAATAGGCGTGGCGTGTCTTTTTGGGATTGTTCTCCCTTTTTTCATTTCATTTTATTTTTGTTTTTTGTGCAATCTTGGCGATGTTGGAGGTTGTGTCTAGATTCGATTAAAAAGATGCGAGCGGATTCTTTTGTGTGGCTGATAACCCTTACATCATATGTGAACTACATAGAATAGTTATAAATACAAGCACTACAAAAAGAGAACTAGAGTCAAGCACAAGTAAGAAATGAAGACAATATGGTCTAGGACGCTGAATATAGATCGACAAGAAAGCTTAGATTGGCAGGATACATCCATCACAACAGTTGGAATTAGAAAGAACAGGTCATATGCACTCCTAGGGGAGAAATCCCACATCGACTGGGCTCTACATGATAACCTCGTTGGAGACGTCCTGTAGCATTGTTAGCTTTCTTTTTCTTTCTTTTCTTCTTCTCTGCAATTTGCTGTTGCTTGGAGGGAGGGGAGACATACACGCTTGAGTTCCTTGAATGGCAGACACACGCAGTTTTGTACCCGGACTTCGTCACCCACGCCGCACTCCTTGCCGAGAATGGTGATGCTCTGGACCTTGACGCCCTGCTTGACGATGCTGGTCGAGTGGCTGCCCATTGGGATCGGGGTGCCTTCTACACGCGCCCAGGCGCCGACGCGGCTGCTCCACCCGATGATGGAGTGCATCACGCAGGCGTCGTGCTTGATCTCGGCGTCTTCCAGGACGATGGAGTCCTTGACGCGGGCGCCAGCGCCCACGACCACGCGCGGGCCGATCGACACGTTGGGGCCGAGCTTCGCGGTGGGGTCGACCTCGGCGGAGGGGTGGATGTACACGGGGGGTACGATGGTGGCGGACGGGGCCATGAGCTCGTCCGATTGCGCCTGGAAGGCCTTTTGCAGGTACAGGGCGTTGGCGGGCACGGCGGACCCGGCGGTCTTGATCTGGCGCCAGAAGTCCTTGGTCTCGTGCACGAAGAAGCGGTTGCTGTCGGCTAGGTCGGAGAGGATGTCTTGTTCCAGGCGGAGGACTTCGCTCTGCTCGGACTCGTCGTCGGCGGCGATGAAGGAGGTATCGAGGTTTTCGGAGGAGGGGTAGGAGACGAGGCGGGGACGGGTGGTGCGGCGCTTGATGGCGCTGCGGATGGAGGGGAAGATGCACTCTGTGGCGAAGAGGTAGACGCCGCAGTTGATCAGGTTGGAGATGTGCGACTCGGGCTTCTCGACGTAGTGCAGCACCCGCTTCGTGTGCGAGTCGGACACGATGCACCCGAAGTTGGTGGCCGTGTCGTTGCTGACGCGGGTTCCTAAGATGACCGCCTCTGCGTCTTTCTCCTCGAACAGTTTCAGCATCTCCACGAGCGGGAACGAGCAGCAGACGTCTGCGTTCAAGACGAAGATGCGCTCCGGCTTGCCCTTGAGGATGGCATCGCGGAAGTGGTAGAGACCGCCGGCGGTCCCCAGAGCGGTGTATTCCCGTAGATACTGGATACGAAATTGGGGGAACTCCTTGGCAGAGTCCTTGATGAAGTCGCGGAAGACGGTCTCGTCGTAGTAGCCGACCAGGGCCACATCGCGGATATCGGGGATTTTCGCAAGAGCTTTCAGACAGTGCTGGATAATAGGGTGACCGGCAACCTCGAAGAGGGGCTAAACGGAAATACGTCAGTCAGCTGATAAGGTACGAAGCTATGATTGACAGATTGAGCCGTTCAAGGAGGGGCACAATGGGCGACCGAAGGAAAGGAGGGGACAACGGACCTTGGGCATGTCCAAGGACAGAGGGCGAAAACGAGTACCCCTGGATGGGCCTCCGACCTGGCAGAAACATTCGAAGTTAGAAATCAATTGATCTATGAGGTCCAGGGGGGCATACCAAGATGATGGCTTTGGTGGAGGCCGCATTGGCGTGATCCCGCATGGGAACTTGAAGCATTGCGGAGACTGTGGGGTGGAGACTTCGGAGGGGTAAGATGATGGTGACCTTGAGTATGAGGTCTGTCTTTGTTGAGGAGAGAGAACGGTCAAACACTGAAAGAGACCGAGTTCGACCAGGAGCAAGAGAGACTTGAAAGGGTCAGGAACAACAAAGAGATCCCAGAGTGGAGTTGGTTCCCAGCTGGGTCATTCATGGACGAGACTAGACTCAATCACGGTTTGGGTCCGACCAGAAAAGTGACTGGAACGGATCTCACCGCTTCCTGCTTGCGGCATCTTCTATACACTGAGTCTATACCCTCTATATCACTCCTACACACATCTTCATGGTGGATTATGATAAATAGATACTCTCCTATGTCTATAATATAAGATTGAATGAGGAAATATTGATTTATTATATTATGCAGTGTTTGAACAATCACACTCAACTATTGGCGAATCTAATCCTTGTCATTTCATGCCATCTGCACAGGCTATTCCTGGATCAAATCTTACGCAAAACAACCAGACAATGGCATTAAGCTCATTGTACTATTGGATATTTACTGATAATTTCTCTATCTAAAATGTGTGGTTTTATACAACCATTGATGATACCAGAATGGGGCTGTGGTGGAAACTAACCCAAGTCCAAGACTGCGTAGACTCTCCTGCCAAATTGTATGGCCCGAATACAATCATCCGTGAGAGTGATGGACCAGTCCACACGTCGCATTCACTGGTTCTTATATAACCCAGCCATGCCCTCACTTCTTCATCATCTATTTCTCATTCACTCTTTTTTTTGCTCTCTAACACTGACAATCTCCTCTTCGAAATATTTTCTACTTTGTCATACTCCTCCCACTCTCTCCCCCCCTTCTCTCATCCACAAACTGCATCTACCTTCCTACCTTGACTGCCCTTGCTATGAATCTTGACTGTAGACTCACTTGAGCTGTCTAATATCTCTACTTTGGACATGCTCTCAGTGATGCTAAATTCAAAGCTTAGCCCTTGCCCCAGTATCAAGCAGGATATCACCGAAGCCTCAAGCCAGACGACGAGTAAGTAAACAGTCTTACATCCTGCTCACCATCTTAGATTTATATTGCTAACGGAAATTAGATACCATGGAGCCCTCCCCTTCATCTGAGTTGGATGCCATAAACATCATTGGCCATGACATGAGGAGCCTGGTCAAGAAGATCCAAGAGCTGAGACACATCGGGATCGAGGATAACAAGATCGCCCTCCCGAAAATCTGTGTCATCGGCGATCAGAGTACCGGGAAGTCTTCCCTGATCGAGGGTATGTCGGAGATCAAGGTGCCAAGAAGCGCGGGTACCTGCACGAGATGTCCTATGGAAATCAACTTGTCTGAAAGTGAGCCGGGTCAGCCGTGGACTTGCCGCGTTTACCTGTCCAGGAAGTACATGTTCGATGGCTCCCAAAAAATTACCAAAATTCCGAGACGGTCAAACCCTCTGGGGCCATGGATAGAGCAAGATCAAGAAGACGAGCTTTTCACGACCATCACCGAGAAAAGTGATGTCCAGGAGGCCATCAAATGGGCGCAGCTGGCGATTTTGAATCCGAGTCACCCACCCAGCGACTATATTCCCGGGCAGAATGCAGCCACGGGACTCCATCAGCAAGTGAAGTTCTCGCCGAACGTCGTCCGCCTGGATATTTCTTCTTCAAACTTTCCGAACCTGTCGTTTTACGATCTTCCCGGGGTCATCAGCCAAGCGGAGTTTGAAGAAGAGCGCTATCTAGTTTCTTTGGTCGAAAACCTCGTCAAGGATTACATCTCGCAGAGTAATTGCATTGTTCTCTTGACCCTGCCCATGACAGATGACGCTACCAACTCCAGCGCTGCCCGCCTCATGCGGGATGTACGCGGGGCTAATTCCCGCACTCTCGGCGTCCTCACCAAACCTGACAGAATCCAGTGTGGAGAGTCTTACGAGCAGTGGACTGAGATCCTGGAGGGTGACAAATTTCGACTTGGCCACGGATACTACGTTGTTCGCAATAACCCGGACCCTAACATCGAACATTCAAAAGCTCGGGAAGAGGAGACCGCTTTCTTCGCCTCAGACCCATGGGCCACTGATCTCACTGCATACCAGGGAAGATTCGGCACTAGAAATCTGCAAACCGCTCTTTCCAGTCTGCTTCTCGAGCAAATCCAAGACTGCCTGCCCAGTATCATCGAAAAGATCGAGGAGAAGGCCAATCGTATTGATAACGAGCTGAGCACACTTCCAGTCCCACTTTCGGGAAACATCCCTTACATCTTGTGCGGCCATATGAACAGATTAAAGGAGGCCATCCGTGCTAATATTGATGGGGGCTCGTCACAGTATCCCCTCCAGAAACGATGGGGTCGCATTGCTGTAGATTTCAAAAGGGCCCTCACCAAGACCCGGCCAATCGTTCAAATCCTGACCGAGCGTGAGAAAAAGATGTATATTGACGAAGAAGACGACGACTCTGACTGCTACGAGCTCAACGCGCAACGACCAGTCAAGCGACCTCGAACCAGCGTAACAGCCCCTCTGCCCTCCACCGAAATCAAACCTTCGAAGTCGCCAGCTCCCAAACAGTCAGGTTACAACTTCACTTGTTTCGAAATGTTCGACAAACCCGCCAAGATGTTCACTTGGGACGAAATTCGAGAGTTCAACGAAGACTCGTGTCGCGCAGGTATCCCAGATCAGATTGACCCAAGGACTGTTGAGATCTTGAATCAAAAGAGTGTTGAACATTGGTCGAAGCCGATGGAAGTGTTCCTCCAGGCGACGCACTATCTCGTGAGAGAGATGTTGATGCAGCAGCTGGAGAACGTCTTTGCTCAATACCACCAGACGAGTTTGTACCGCGAACTAAGGAAGATCATGGAAAGCTATCTTCAGAAGCTGAAGACCGAGCACTTCCAGCATGCGGCAGAGACGTATGAAATCGAACACAACAAGCCATTTACAATGGCGACCTCGGCGTTGGAACAAGCCCGCAACGAATCTTACAAGCTTCTTGCCACGCGCCGTCGTGACGCGAGGGTTGATTGTTATCTGAGGAACAAACGCAAGATCGCACCCGCAGATCCCCGCTGGGAAGCGGAAGGGAAGAAGGTTACGGATGCCGAGCTCAAGGTCGATTCGTATCCCCAGGAGGTCCGCGCTATGGCAGTAAGTTTGATTAATCTCACATCGGGCATTCCCGGTAAGCTGACCGAAAAAAAATAGACGTCTCGGGGATACTACGAAGTGGCTAGCTCGCGGTTTATCGACGTGGTGTGCCAAAGCGTGCATACGAAGTTGTTCTCCAAGTGCCGCGAGGAGCTCATCCATGTGATTGAGTCCGAGCTGCGCATATTTGACGACAATGGTATGTCTCTATACAACGTGATGTTGAACGACACTGCCACTGACACAATCCCTAGCTCTCGATCGGTGCCTCGAGCTGATGGCCGAAGACCCGGAGCGACAACGGCGGCGGACTTACCTCGTCCGCGAGAAGAACAAAATCACCAAGGCTCAGCAGTGGCTTGCGACGGTGCGGAAAGAAGACCAGATGGATACCCCCATCAAGTCTCAACCCCCTGGTGACTGGGCTGACCTTGATGGAGCAGTCTGATGGTCCTGGGTAGTTTTGATCTTTCTTTGAAGCGCAATGGACGGAGTGGCACTGGAAGCAATGGATTGGTAGGAACGCCTTCACCATAGCGTACGATACCACAGATGGAATACCCGAAAATGAATGGGAGAAACATGTCTGGATGGCAGTTGAATAACTGATCGATACTGTACTTGAGCCCTGATAACGGGAGCCTGAGGCTGCGACCATGGATGGCGGGGTAGTCTGGAAACCCCACCAGGGTGCCCTAAGCCCTAAGTCCAGATTGAACCCTCCTCAAATTGTTGTCTGTAAAGGTCTAGTCAAGCAATTCCATTTTCATCTCAAATCATGCCTGAAGATACCGATAAATATAAACCATCCATGTAGAACCACCCTGTAAATACCATGGAGAATTGCAGCCTGAGTCATCCACCCGAAACGGACCGGACATCTTATCGGCCGTGGGGCCTGAGGCTCACGCCCAATCAGAGCGGCCGAGGAGTGACTCCGCGCCCAAAATTCTCTCTTTGCCCACCATCGTCACTTTGACCTGCTTCCTCACCCCCACCACGATTCAATTCAGACCATTTAATCTTTATTTTCACCATGGCCGATCCCAGCGGTGTTAAGGAAGCCGAGGCCTCCATGGCCAACCTTTTGCTCGACGAGGTCACCGGCGAGCGCGTGTCCAAGACCGAGTTGAAGAAGCGCCAGAAGCTGCGCGAGAAGGAGGCCAAGAAGAAGGAGAAGGAGGCTGCTGCCCCTCCCAAGGCCGAGAAGAAGACTTCCGCTGAGGATGAGGAGGCTAACCTGACTCCCAACGTGAGTTTATTTGGGTTCTGGATTGTCCCGGGGGCGTCAGAATGACACAGCTAACCAGCCGATCCCCATGTCTAGCAATACTTTGAGATCCGCAGCAAGCGCATCAACAAGCTGCGTGAGACCAAGAACCCGGATCCGTATCCCCACAAGTTCCAGGTCACCGATGACCTGCGCAAGTTCCTCAAGGACTACGAGAGCCTGGAGAAGGGTGAGCAGAAGCCTGATGTCCCCATCCGCCTGGCTGGACGTATCTACACCAAGCGTACGTCTGGAGCCAAGCTGTTGTTCTACGACCTTCGCGCGGAGGGCGTCAAGGTGCAAATTGTGTGCCAGGCGCAGAACGCCAAGGGCGAGGTTCCCTTCGAGGCCCAGCACGAGCACCTTCGCCGCGGTGACATTATCGGTGTGATCGGTTTCCCCGGCCGTAGCAACCCTAAGAACCGCCCCGACGGTGAACTGTCCATCTTCGCCACGGAGGTCGTTCTGCTGTCCCCCTGCCTGCACGCCATCCCCTCCGAGCACTACGGCTTCCAGGACAAGGAGCAGCGCTTCCGCCAGCGGTACCTGGATCTGATCATGAACGACCGCTCCCGTAACGTCTTCGTCACCCGCTCCAAGATCGTCTCCTTCATCCGTCGCTTCTTCGACAGCCGTGACTTCGTCGAGGTCGAGACTCCCATGATGAACGCCATCGCGGGCGGTGCCACCGCCAAGCCGTTCGTCACCCACCACAACGAGCTGGACATGAACCTGTTCATGCGCATTGCCCCCGAGCTGTACCTGAAGATGCTGATCGTCGGTGGTCTGGAGCGTGTGTACGAGATGGGCCGCCAGTTCCGCAACGAGGGCATCGACTTGACCCACAACCCGGAGTTCACCACCTGCGAGTTCTACTGGGCGTACGCCGATTACCAAGACGTCATGAACATGACCGAGGAGCTGGTCTCCAGCCTGGTGAAGCACGTCACCGGCGGCTACGAGACGACCTTCCACACGCAGACCGGTGAAGTCTACAACGTCAACTGGAAGGCGCCGTGGCGCCGCGTGGAGATGATCCCCGCGCTGGAGGAGGCGACGGGCGAGAAGTTCCCGCCGGGCGACCAGCTGCACACGGCCGAGACGGGCGAGTTCCTGAAGAAGATCCTGGCCAAGACGGGCGTGGAGTGCTCGCCGCCGCTGACCAACGCGCGCATGCTCGACAAGATGGTGGGCGAGTTCATCGAGGAGACCTGCGTCAACCCGACCTTCATCATGGGCCACCCGCAGATGATGTCGCCGCTGGCCAAGTACCACCGCAACAACGTCGGTCTGTGCGAGCGCTTCGAGGCTTTCGTCTGCAAGAAGGAGATCTGCAACGCCTACACGGAGTTGAACGACCCCTTCGACCAGCGCCTTCGCTTCGAGGAGCAGGCCCGCCAGAAGGACCAGGGTGACGACGAAGCCCAGCTCATCGACGAGAACTTCTGCACCAGTCTGGAGTACGGCCTGCCGCCCACCGGTGGCTGGGGTATGGGTATCGACCGTCTGGTCATGTTCCTGACGGACAACTACAGCATCAAGGAGGTGCTGGCCTTCCCCTTCATGAAGGAGGACAAGACGGCGCAGGACACCAAGACTGCCGCCGAGGTGGCTGGCATCGAGCCCAAGCCTGAAGAGGGTATTCGTAAGTGAACCCGCTGTCCGCTGATACGCGATGGAAAATGGAATGAAGCTAACGAGTGTCTGTGAACAGCCCACAAATAAACGACCATTGCATGGCTCTAGATACATAAGGATGCATGAAGACCAAGATTTAAGATATATGTCTATACCGTTCGCCTTCTGTCTGGGATAATCTCAATGATGAAAACGCAAGCACGGTGGGATTTTTATCTGGTTCGTAGATTTTGACCATGTTCTTGGGTAGTCCTTCAATGATAACGGTCTGATACTCGTAGTAGTCTGTAGTATGCTACTGTGACGTCCATACTTTTCTGGTCTCATAATCTGTCAGCCTAACTGACCAGTCTGAAGAAGCTCAAACAGTTATATCTGCACAGAGTATTGGCACCATCTTGCCTCCAACCCCAACAAGACAATGCCTTCTACATCTCCATTCATACACCCCACAAAGATATAAATAATGCCATATACCACCTCAATAATCCTATTGTCTCACCAAAGAACACCATCTCCCACCAAAGAGTCCCATTCACCTTCTGCACTAGATCTCCAACCACAATTACACCACTCAAAGAACCGAAAGAAAATCCAATAAATAATACCTCTTAACGAACAAGTGAAATATCCCACCAGACAAGTGAAAATGACCTCCCTCTCTCAAGTTGCAACCACGGGTGTGTCCCTCCAACCATAAAATCGTTTGTCGTCGTTGAACACCAGCCGTCAACGAGGGTCGTGGTGAATGAGACACTTGCTGGTTATTGACGTTCTTGTTGTCGTTGTCGTTCATGCTCGCGTCGTGCTGGCTTTTGCCATTTGTCCCTTGGAGGAAGAAGTATTTATAGGCTGGTTCTTTTCCTGCCTGTCGCTGACTTTTGGTCTTTTCTCTTCATCTCCTGATTTCTGGACCCTGTTGCATGTTGGTTCAGTTATCTTTTTTACCTCCCTTGTCTTGTCTTGTCTATCTACGTAGAGTTACGGATTTGAAGACATTTCAATTGCCCAAGACTTCCATCTCAGAATCTTATTCCAGATTATTCGTGATATCTTCATTGACAGAAACCAGGAAATAAGAAGATATACCATGGCTGGATACCCAGACAGTTGTGTATTCCCAAACTCTGGGCCCCGTGGCTGGGAGCACAGCTATACCAGCTATCCTCCTCTCAGCCATCCTCATCCCTCTTACTATTACCCCTCTGCTTCATTGACGTCGTCGGGTCTAAATTTCCACGAGAGCAGGCCTCCCGGTCATCATCAGCGTGTTAGACACGATCATCGACCTCCTCATTACATGGTATGTTATCATCGTCTCTTGTCTATGTCTAGTATCTATACTATCCTAGAGACTGAGCAGTTCCAGAGAGAGAGAGAGTAACAAGCTAACAAACTTCTTCTCACCCACAGACATCTTACGAAAGACCTCACCATCCCCAACTCCAACTCACCCCTTTCACTCATACCTCAGCAACGCATACCAGACCACCCAACCAGGTAAGTAGTGAATCGACCCCAATCACTTCAGCTCAAACTAACTAACAAACCCAGTGGAACAACCCATACAACCCCCGACCAGCCCATCCCCCGACATACAACACATACAACCCCACCTCTCATCCATACGTCCCCCAACGAGAACCGTACCGTCCTGCAATCTACCCCGGCGAAAGAACCTCATACGGTATATCTCCAAGCCAAAGACACTACTACTCCCCAGAAAGCCATGTCAGAGCGGAAGCCCCGGGGCCAGCCCCGGCGCCATCAACGGAACCGTGTCCCGCTCACCACGACAGCAGATGGCCGCCCTGGGGCTTCTCCACTGGATCGCCTCACGGCTTTGGCCCGGCTGCTGGACCGGCGCGGCAGAGCCATATGAAGTGGTCTAGTAGCCCGCCTGTGGTTGATAGGGCTGGGTATGCAGAGCGTGCTGGTAGTCTGGAGCCACAGGTGAATGGTCCTATACCCTACGGTCTTCCTTTTCTTAGGGGACTTGAGCAGGGGGTTTCTCCTGGGGAAGAACTAGGACCGGGTGGTATTCTTGGGCAACTTTTTCCACCGTCACCTCCAAGACCAACACAGGGCATTGGAGCGACACAGCAAGATGTTCAGTTATTCAAAGAACACGGCCCTCGCTATCACACTAGTGAGATATCAACACCACCACCACATATCAAAGCAATACCGAGCCTATCTCCAGCACATGCCCGCCCCCAAGACAACGCCCCATCCTCATCCTCAAAAATAGCAACAGGACCACCCCAACACCATTCCCGCACCAGAGGCCCCGTCGAAGTCCCCATCACCTTCGAAACCATCACCGCCCACACCGCCAAATGCGACCTCTGCAACGGCCGCAACCGCCAGGGTATGACCCGCTGCAGGGACTGCGGATGGCAGTGTCGTCACGCGTGTGCTGCGAAGATTGGGGCTAGTCGTACGCATGTTCTTGCGGGGGGATCGCGCGTGCATGTTGCTTCTTCTTCTTCTTCTACTAGTAGAGTTGAGGATAGAGGAGGGGATGATGAGAGTGATAGTGATAATGATAGCGAGGAGAGTGGCAGAGTGGGCGGCGTGAGACCCCGTCTCGTGGGTGAAGCGATGGCCAGCGTGACTCGTCGTCAAACGAGGAGTTGGACGAGACGAAATGCGGCGAGGGCGGAAGATGCTGCTGTTGCTGCTGCTGCAGTCGCTGCAGTTGGGTTTGGGGCTTCAGCTGCCTCAGCCTCTAGATCTGAAACCAGATCCGAGTCCGAATCCCCCGCGAGGGAATTTTCAATACTGGAAGGTCCCAGCGAGGGAGTGTCAATGACACTGACAGTTGGTGATGTTAGTAGTGGCTACGGCGGGGGAACAGTGCCGCGGGCTTCGAGCGATGTGATGGATGGTGCTCGGTCGTTGTATGATCTTAGCATAAGCGCGCTTTGTAGGCAGAATGGATAGCTGTGGGGGTGGGATAGGTGGAAGGGAGGGAGGGAGGTGGTTTATGTGGGTTTGCTTTGGGGGTTGCTTTATGAAGGTGGTGTTTTGCGAGTTGGGTGCCTACTTCAGCGGGGGTGTATCTGTTGATTTCCTTGATGTATTTCTTGTTCAATGACTGGCTTTAGCTTGAGCTTTAGATTCGTTATGGTTTAACTTGGTGAGATTTTATATGATTTGTCTCCATAAATCATGGGGAGAAGGCATAATGGAGGGAATAAAAAGGACGATGCATAGTATACATTTTAGAAGGAGAGATTTATAAATACATAGATGATACAAACATTCGTAAGCATGACACGCGACTGACAAGGCTGCCCCGCTCTAACGCGGACCATTTATCAAGTAAATATCCAATTACGCCTTGTGAGCATGCACGGCAGCCCTCGACACAGCCTGGCTACGGGCTTTCGCCGCCATCTGAAGCAGCTTAGCCGTGCGAGACGGATGCCAGATGCGGCTCCCCAGCACCAGCGTCCAGGTAAGCAGGAACAAGCTGCCGGCCTGGTGCGCGGACGCGAGAGGCGTGGGAACGAGGTAGAGCAGGGTGGAAATGCCCAGACCGACCTGCATGAACGCGAAGGCCACGACGCCGTGGACGCCCTTCTTGGCGGCCCGGGGCAAGAGGCGCTTCATGGTGGCTGACCCGCGGGTGTAGCCCCACAAGGCCATGATGCTGGAGAAGGTCGTCATGGCGAGGATGCGGTGGTCCAGCTGGACCAGGGACGGGTTCTCGAGCATGTTTCTCCACCAGAGGTCGGAGCGGTCTTCGTGGCGGGAGTATCGCTCGTCGAAGAGTTCGGATTTGGGAGGGGTGAGGCCGTTGCCCATGAAGGGGAATTCGTTGTAGATGAGGCCGGCGTCCAGGCCGGCGACGAGGGCACCGGAGATGACGGTCGTGAAGACCAGGGCAGCCAGTCCGGCGACCGAGCGGCGGAAGATCTTCAGCTGGGGGTTGCGCAGCGAGTCCAGGAGTTTGATGCCGGCTTCCGGATCAGCGAGGAGGCGATGGGTTCGCAGAATAGCCAGACCGTTCCAGAGCATAGTCACGTAGCAGACGAATGCCGCTCCGAGATGCGCCGTCAGTCGATACTGGCTCACGCGGGGGTGGCTACCAGGCGCAAAGAGATCGTCCTTGAGACCCGATTTGACCATCCACCAGCCCAGGAAGCCTTGAAATCCAATCAATCCGGCAATACCAGCGAGACGCAATGCCATCGGCTTGCTGACTTGTTTTCTCGCGACGAAATAGATAGCGGGGAGCACAAAGGACATTCCGACGAACCGGCCCCAGAGGCGGTGGATCCATTCCATGTAGTATATCGACTTGAATTCGGAGAGCGTCATATTCGGGTTAAGCAATTGGAATTCCGGCGAGTCGCGATATTTTGAAAACTCGGACTCCCAATCCTCGGCGTTCATGGGCGGTAGGGAACCAGTGACGGGGCGCCATTCTGTGATACTCAGACTTGACCAACGTTAGCAGTTGTCCGTCGTCTTCAACCTGGGAAAGTGCGCGAAAGAGGACATACCCAGATTCTGTTAACCGGGTAAGTCCACCAAAGACCACAATACCAAACACACTGACTGCACTGCCAAGCAACCAGTACGCGACCTTCTTGTCGGTCACCTGCGGGAAACTCGACTTTGCCTTTGAAGCACCTTCTTCCACCGCATTGGCGACTGCCGATCCGGACGTCCACCGTTTGACACTCGATGAGAAAGCCTGTCTCGCGGACGACTGAATGCTAGTCGCATTGACCCTGCGAGCATTAAAGGCCGATGGAACAGTCGAGAAGTTCTTACGAAATGCCGATTTGGTCGCGGAATTTAGAGGTTGGGTCGCGAGGCACTGTCGACACGTGAAGAAGTCGCGTGCCAACCGGGGTGCTAGACTCCGGAACATGGGCACGGCGGACCCCATGGACGCCATATTGACGATTATAGAGCGAAGCAGGTAGAGTGTGTAGTTTGAAGAAGAAGAGAGGTCACTTCAATTTCTTTGACATAAGAAAGACAGGGCGGGCATTGGAATGGCCGAGACGCCGACGGCGGAACCAATGAGCGTGGCCTGATTTGCTCGCGGGTCTTGGATTGTTATGGGCCCATTTGAATTACTTCAACGACAGCTACAAGTATGGGAATTAGGAAACACACTGGAGATTGAATAGTTTGCTTAAAATTGTCTTGTCGCGTGATCTATATGTTTTCATCTGCAAATAAGACCAACATAGAGAGAGAGGGAGAGAGAGAGAGAGAGAGAGAGAGAGTTGGATCAGATAATGATCTTCAATCAACTGATGTAGATTCCTGAGGCAGAAAGCACAGCTCTGACTAAGCCATCATCCACCCCAATCCAGCCCAACACGAAAGCTCCAGAGTCTGGACAACAGCTGTGAGCTCCCACTCACCTTTCAACTCAATCGAAGATGTCGTACGCCGTGGAAACGAAAAAGCGCAAATTCCAACGAGTCCTCGATTCATTGACCAAACCGTCCAGCGCCGAACCCTCCAAACCACCGACGACGGCGCGCGAACAGCTCCACGGGGAATCCTCAGCGGCAAAGAAGATCCGATTAAGTGACCGCGACGATAGCAGTCTAGCGTCCGCCAGGAGATCGATTCTAAAGGTCGGTCGTCCGAGTTCGCGCGACTCCTCCACATCCTCGACCCGCCCCAGTTTTGTCCCGTGGGATCGCGAGCGCTTCCTCGAACGGTTGGAGACCTTTCGCCGGGTGGATCGCTGGTCGCCGAAGCCGTCGGCGATTAGTGAGGTCGAGTGGGCGAAACGGGGCTGGATCTGTACGGACAAGTCGCGGGTAACGTGTGTGGGGGGATGTGGCGGTTCCGTTGTCGTGAAATTGCCGGATGAGCTGGATGAGTTGGACGGGTATGACTACGATAAGGTGGAGGAGCGGAGGCAAGTTCGTAAGTGCTTGTTGCGATGACTACGGCCCAACACAATTGAATACTAATTGCGCACTAGGTGACCAATTGGTGGATGAATATGCGAATCGTCTAGTTCAAGGGCATGGTGAAAGCTGTCCGTGGAGGAATAAGGGTTGCGATGGTTTGTTCAATCAACTCGGCAATGAGATCATGACTGACCGTGTTATAGCGACTATCCATCGTCTAGCATTATCCAATGCTGATGTCGCGATTTCAGCCCTTCAAACACGGTATTCGAACCTGGTCAAGATCGCCGATTCTCTACCGGCCGAGACTATCATCCAACCCCCAGAGTCATTCAATATTGAAGAAATCATATCGACCTTGCCCCCAAAGTTCGACGGGACCGAAGCACCGGTGGAGACGACCGAACCGCAAACGCCCCAGCCCACGGAAGAAGCACATGAAAACCCCCCAACACCACCAGTCGTCAATAAAACCGCATTCGTACTGGCGTTTTTCGGTTGGGATACCACCGCAGAGAAGGCCCCCGGGCTCGCCTCGTGCAGCGCTTGCTTCCGACGGCTAGGGCTATGGATGTACAAACCGAAGGAAAACGGGGACCCGGGTATCTACGACTCATTGGAGGTGGCCACCGAACACATGGAGTATTGCCCGTGGATCAATGGGAAAGCGCAGAGCGGCACTGGCCGGGCATCCGACAAGCAAGCCGTACTACCTAATGGATGGGAAGTCTTGGCCCAGGCACTCCGCGTCAAGCATCGTCGGCGGATGCGTGCGACAACCTCCGCGGGTAGTCGTGCGGTGTCGGAGTCACCTTCATTAGACGGCTCGCTCTTTGATGAGTCGAACGATGACACCAAAAAGGCGAGTGATCGCGAATGGTGGTCGAAGATTCTGCGGATGCGACAGATGCTCAACGTGAAGACCCCGAAGAAAAGAAGCGCAGCCAGTCCGTGATTCTCGTTGGCGGGAAGTAGCCCTTTACTACATCATAAAACTGATGGAAGCGTGTTTGGTCTTCAGAGCGTGGCGTTTTGGCACTGGTATATCTTGGATTATTTACTGTACCTTATTTGCGATACCTTGCATTTGCGCCTGGGTTTCATCTATACCGCGCAGCATCAAAACGAAATGACAACGATCCATAGAAAATGGAATGATTCCACCCTTACCCTGCATTATCCTTGAGTCTATATTACTAGATAACCCAAAGTCATGCAATAGTCGAGATCATCGGTATATGCAATGACAAACTCCGGATGCGGCCAGAAACACAGTTTGCGCTAGACTGGACTGGGGAATCAAGAACGTTGTAGAGTTCAGCAACCTTATTAGGTATCTTTCACCCTCGCTTTCCCTGCGACAGAAAATCCCAGACATGGCCATCGTTTTGCACTATCAACGACACCACCAGCTCCCCTGTCATGGCTGATCAGTGGCAACCCGGACGAAGTGGAGAAGGCCAAGGCGGAGGCGGAGGAGGAAACGGGATGCATTATGATCCTGCACGGGACCGCTGGGAAGCTGCTTGGCCGCAGACTCAGCGTCCATCTCCCCCGGCTCCTGCATCCCAGTCGCAGCCTGCCGTCGTTTCACAGTCTCCCTTGGTACGTTGGAAGCCTGCTCGTCTTGTGAAGCAATTTGATCTTTGTTTTTGCTCGTCTGGTGGATTTGTTGGTGGTTTTTGAGAGTTCGGAGAACTTGCCTGCTTCTGCAACGCGATCGCTAGATTGTTCTAGCTTGTTTTCCTTAGTTTTTCTTCGTCTTTTGTTTGTCTAGACCCTTTCACTTTAATTGTTCTTTGCTTTCCTTGACGCGTTTTACTTGAAGGATAACGCTGACGAATTTGGACGACCTCGCGACAGATTTCCCATGACTCCAATTTGACTCAACACATCGCATCCGACAGCCAACCTCACCTACACCCTCGCCATTCACCTTCCGTTCCTCGTATTGGATCACCCATTCAACCGACACGACTGGAACCATCGTCCGTGAATCCGTCTCAGTCAACAGCTACAAACACCTCTATTCCCGCCTCAAAAATGGATCACGCCGCCGCCGACGAGGTGGCTCCGAGACATGGCCCGGCGTCGTCGCCGACGGCCGGCTCTCCCGACAACAAAAAGCGCAAGGTACCCGGAGAAGCCCCGACGGAGCCAGCAGATCCTCCGACCGGCAACCCTATTTCCAAGCGGAAACGCATGGAGGAGCGGCATCAGAAGATGCGCAAGCGCGGCCCGACGGCCTACTCGCGACGCGACGGGGATGAACGCGCGCGGAGACCGGAGCGAGATGATCGTGACAACCGATCCCCGTCCCCTCTCGCGCCCCGTCGGTCTCCCACCCCCGAAGAGCAGCCACGCCAGCGGAAGCGCCCCGGCGGTGGATCGCGCATGGGGCTGGTGGATCGGGAGACGCTGCGTCGGCGACAGGAAGAGCGCGAGCGTGCCGAGGAGCAGGACGCCGTGCGTTATTCGCAGCACCGCGGCGTGACGGATATCGTCCGTCAACATTACAACGCGGTGCCCGAGCGAGGCCGCGAGTGGAGGAAGACAGAGAGTAAGATCAAGGGCCTGCGCACCTTCAACAACTGGATCAAGAGCACCCTGATCCAGAAGTTCTCGCCAGACGAGGAGTTCGTGTCGCGGTCCATCGGCACCAAGGACTGGGCAGACAGTTCGGCCCCGCCTCCCGTGGACGATAAACGGCTGCTCGTGCTCGACCTGGGCTGCGGTAAGGGAGGCGACCTGGGCAAATGGCAGCTGGCGCCGCAGACGGTAGACCTCTACGTCGGACTGGATCCGGCGGACATTTCCATCGTGCAAGCCCGAGAACGCTACAACAGCATGCGGTCCGGTCGCGGCCCGCGGGCGCCGCGCGGACGGCGTCCGCCGCTCTTCCACGGCGAGTTTCACGTCAAAGACTGCTTCGGCGACTGGTTGGGCGATATCGGCATCATCCAGCAGGTCGGGATCGACCCGAACGCGGGCCCCGGTGGATCTGTGATGAGCTCGCGGTGGGGTGGCGGTGGCTTCGACGTCGTGGCGTCCATGTTCGCCATCCACTACGCCTTTGAGAGCGAGGAAAAGACGCGCCAGATGCTGCGCAACGTCGCGGGGTGTCTGAAGAAGGGCGGACGGTTCCTGGGTGTCTGTCCCAACTCGGACGTCATCAGCGCCCACGTCGCGGAGATCCACGCCAAGCGCAAGGCTGGCGAGGCGGACGCAGACAAGGAGACGGCTGAGCCTGAAGACGGCGAGGTGAAGGAGGAGTTCAAGACCGAGTGGGGCAATTCGATCTACCGCGTTCGCTTCCCGGGCGAGACGCCCGAGGATGGCATCTTCCGCCCGCCGTTCGGGTGGAAGTACAGCTACTTTATGCAAGAGGCTGTGGAGGAGATTCCGGAATATGTGGTGCCTTGGGAGGCTTTCCGAGCGTACGTACCTATCGACGAGCTATTGATCTGATGGCCATTCATCTAGAGGGCATGACTAACATCAACTCACAGACTCACGGAGGACTACAACCTAGAACTCCAATACCGGAAACCATTCCTCGACGTTTGGAAAGACGAGAAAGACGATGCAGACCTAGGCCCATTGAGTGAGCGGATGGGTGTCCGCGATCGGAACACGGGCGAATTGCTGATGACGCAGGAGGAACAAGACGCCGCCAGTATGTTCGACCTGATCTTATTCTGAAGATGAGGAGCTAACGAGAACAGGTTTCTATCACGCGTTCTGCTTTTATAAGGTGTGAGCTATGGTTTCGGGTGGTTTTACAGCAGGATGGTCGCTTTGGCTATGATATTCGTAGGGTGGGGGTGTAAATTATGATAGGATGCATATTACTTATATTGGGCTTTTTTATTTGTTATTTCGTAAAATGTAGAATTCTGTCGAGGTACTATTATGGCGCAGTCTTCGAGACATCCTCGATTACTCCTGGGCTGACCCTGATCTGCTCTCCGAGTAGGGTTGGGGGCGGACGCCGCGGAACCCGCCAGGACGTTGATAAATACTACTACTACTACTACTACCATCTCATTGTCCTGATCTGCTCTGGCTGCCTTCCATCATCACCCCTTCAATGCAGAATACCGCCATTTGTCGTTTACTACCTGGTGTCAGATAGGAGTATAGTTTGACACGATATGGCTAGTAGGGAGAAAAAAACATTCTGGTGAGTAAGTACATCAACATACCCATACACACGTTCCCTATTTTTAGATAGGTCCAGACTTGATTCTAGCATCTAAGCTGATCATTGAACAGGAAATGGCCTGGGTTCAAACATAAATCAACCCTTCAAAGAGTCCTATGGAGTGAGAGATTTAGATCTATCCGTCGACTAGATATGCTCGTATTCGGACTCGTCTGTCCCTGTCGTATTCGGGTATAACCTACCCCATGCTAGCTATCACCTAGGTTCAGTCCTAGGCTGCATCTGTTATTCTGCATGCTAACAATGACCTAATGAGGTTTTACCCATACCATATGACCCGCTTCAAGCTGGGCGGAGATCGACGGGTGAGAGGCACTAATTTAATTTACTGGGTGTGGAGAACGATATGATGATGAAGCTATCAGAAATTCTATCCTTCTGTCCATCCACGCTCATCAAAGGAAGCCACCTGCTCGATTTGTCGCGCGCTATATTCTCATTGCTACTTCTTCTTGCTAGACCCATGGACCCTCCACTAGTGCCTAGACGGAGCCGCCCAACGAGGGCTACCGCTAGGAGAGCTACAACGGAAGCTGCAGACACAGTTGATCCCATCAATCCTACCGACAAGGAGAAGATTCGCCGGGCGAGGAAGCGAGCTACTGATCGTCAATCGCAGCGTGATCACCGCGAGCGACAACGAATCTACATCAGACAATTGGAGGAGACCGTTCAGTCCTACAAGGACGCCTTCTCCAGTGATGGCAGCAGTGATCTAGCTGCGTTGCTGAAGGAGAACGAGAAGTTGCAGGCTAGGTGTACATGTCTTGAAGCTGCCTTGGCTCGGATCAAGAACTTGGCAAGCGCTGTGCATGTTAGTGACGACGTCTGTTGTGGCGATCAAGATCCCCAGAATTTCTTTGCGAGAAACCCTCAACAAGTTAGTGTCTCGACCTCGCCCTCCGCTGAGCTTGATAGTCCGGGCCCGTCTGATGGTCTGCTTCATGTCGGTCAGCCTGTCTCAGATGCCGGCGTGATGGATGTCACGACTGAGCTACCTCCTCACGAGATGGATCACTTCGACATTTCCTGCGACGGCACGGCAGTATTTGATACCACAATGCCACTCGCCAACCGAGTCCAGGAGCTCGGAGCTGGTGATGACCTCGACCGCTGCATTGCCAGCATGGTGGATGGGACGGCTACAGATCTGAGTCTCGTACCGGACTCCGTTGCGATGAGAACACCCCTTCTGACAGAGCCTGCCATGCCAACCGGCTTCAACGAGGCTCTACCCACCCATCCGAGCTTTCCCAAACTAAGCCACAGCATGGGCAAGTGGGACGAGATTCTGTTGGGCATGGTAGATGAAGCTCGACTGCAGCACCGCCGTGGCCAATTCGGCACGAGCGAACCGTCTTTGCGAAGCCTTCTGTCCGACAAATCCACAGATATTCTCGCTTACCGACTTTTTCACCATATCAGTTACTATCAGTCTATACCACTACACATTCTGCTTTCAGTATTCTGGGTCCAGTATCTCTCATTGAGGGTGTGTGATATCCCCATTCCCTCCTTCTGAGGATGCAAATAACCTCTCGGCGTCTAGTGGTACGTGCTAGGAACCCAGGCCGCTTTCCTTCGGATTCCTGAATTCATGAGACCTACCGGCTTGGAGAAACGTATTCAGCACCGGCCTTGTATTGGGATGCTAGTATGGTAAGATCGCTCCCTCCTCGTCGTATATAATCATCGACATGAAAGGCATTGGCAGTGGCTGAAAGAAGTCGCATAGGCCTGACTTGCGACGCGCATTGATTCGCGACTCGCATACAGTCGACCCCGAGCGCATAGGCATTGAGCTGATAGAACACATGGACACTACGTGGTCACCGACTACCCGCGACAGGGGCGATCTGATTGGCAGTACGGACGTGTTTGCCATGATTGAGCATCAGGCGCAGAGAATGGAGACTTGGAAAGTCGACCGGAGGTTTCAGGAGAAATACGCCCAGTTCGCAGATTGCCAGCTAGGGTAGGAGCTAGCAGTGCAGTCTCCGCTGTGTTCTCTGAGTGCATTCTTTGTGCCGTTGAGCTCCGGCCTACACCATGTTAAGATTACGTATATCACAATGTGCACAAGAGGAAGTGCCGGTTAACGTGCGGGGCTATAGGTATCTCCTACGCAATACTATACCACGGTTTCGGACGCGGGCGAGTACGACGTATTCGTGTTCGCCCGCGTACAAATGACTCCTTCACTATTGGCACCGACGACAGGTTATACGAATACGATACTTGAGACGAGGATCGGCACCCCAGGTTATAGATCGGCCGAATCTTACCCGGTGAATCTGGTGAAAACGAGAATCGCTTGATTGGTAAAAATCGTGCATTGCAGTCTTGGGCGAGTCAGCTATACTGACAGAGCTCGAAATAATCTTGGGTTAATAAAGGCAATGATTTTTATTTTCCACGCACTGATGCCTCGGTCAGAAGACTGTTGGCTTGAGTGTACTTGTTTTGGGTTGTGCTCATATCCTTTTTGACCATGGCTTTCAATGCAGACGATGGAAGTAGCTTGATAGCAGCTGTCGTGCAGTTCTTGATGCCCGCGTCGTGGTCGCAGGTGCTGCTCCTTGCGTTTTTAGGTTATGTTTTCCTCAACCAAGTGAGACACTACCAAACAACGGTAAGGCAATGGCACTTCAACTACAAGAGGCTCGCTGTGCGAACGGAGACTGACATCTGTGAAGCCTGCGAACGTCACAACAATCAACTTCCCCGCAGTGTATCTTCCGCTCATCTCATCATGGATCGCAGCCATTCGCTTCATGAAGAATCCCGTCGAGTCGGTCCGCGAGGGAATGGCCAAGTCGAAGAACGGACTGGTGCGCATTGCAACCTTACAAGGCGAATTCATCCTCGCTACGGATCGGCACAGGGTCGCCGAGTATATAAAAGCCCCCGACACTATCCTAAACGCGCAGGATGGATCCAACGACGTAAGTCAGTCCTACAGAATGAAAAACCGCGACTGAGGTCAATTATGAATCTAGCAACAGCAAATCCCGTTCACCATGGGGTACGGAGTCGGCCACCGGACCTACCACACGGCTGTAGTTCGCGGGCCCATCACCCAGAACATCACTCCTAATACTCCAGTGATGCTTGACGAGGCTTTGAGATCTTTCGACGACTTGATTGGCTCCCCTGTTGGTATTGTCTTCCACTATCGGCTCTGGCCACTATGCAGGTGTCCATGACCTGACCTGATCGCGATAGAGGAGACCCCGATCGCGCTGTATAGTACCATTGCCATGACGGTCGCTCGGGTGGCGAACCGGATATATGTGGGAACGGAACTCTGTAGGCTACACCTTGCGAATATCAAATCCTGCCAAGTGCCGTGCTCGCACTGATATTTAACACCCCAGGCCGAAACGCGGAGTTTCTGCGAAACGCCACTGACTACGCGGAGGCTGTGGTTATATCGGCTGAGGTTCTGCGAAACTTTCCGGAATGGATGAAGGGGTCAGTGCTCTAGCTCTAACTTTGTGTACGCACGGAAATATTGAGCGGATGCTCATCCGTCACGAACCTTTAGTTTCCTGGTACGGCTCCTTCCAGTGACGTCCTATCGTCGACAGGGTCGTCGGTTTCTGGCGCCTCTCATCCAAGACCGTCTTGATGGCAAGCTGGATGCGAATGGAGAAAAACACAAGGACTTGATTCAGTGGTTGATCGATGCTGCGCCGCCTGTTGAAAAGACTATTCCTCAACTGGCAGAGCGAGTAATGGCACTTAATGTGGCCTCTATTCACACTACTACCATGGTATGCCCTTACCTTCTCCGATCAACTTCCAAATTCCATGCTCACTGTTGTATTTCTGGCTACTGGTAGACATTCACTGCCGCCTTATACCACCTAGCCGCTGAACCCACCAAGTACGCATTAACCCTCCGAGAAGAGGTGATGGCGAACCTTGAGCAGGGCGAAATCACAGCAGCAACCCTAAGCAAGCTCCCCAAGTTGGAGAGCTTCCTTCGCGAATCGGGCAGATTCGACTCATCAGGACTGAGTACGACAGTTCCTACTCACACATGAAGACAATAAATTTCCATTGAAGTCTCCACTAACACGCGCATAGTGTCCATGCAACGCAACGCCCGCAAGGAATTCAAATTTTCCGACGGAACCGTCCTCCCACCCGGCTCGAAGATCGGATCACCCAGTCTCTTCCTTCACCGGGATCCGGAAGTCTTCGAGGATCCGGAGGTGTTCGATGGGCTTAGATTCTACCAGCCACACGCAGAGCCTGGTACTAAGCCTAAGACGATGTTGAATACCGATGTTAACTTTCATCTGTTCGGCCATGGTAGACATCCGTGGTATGTCCGATCCAATCCCTCCCTTTTGTTTCTATTTTTAGGTGTATTCTTTTCGTGGTCTAACCATATCACAGCCCTGGACGGTTTCTGGCCGTGCATGAAATGAAGCTCATGTTTGCGATACTGCTACTGCGGTATGATATCCGGCTCAAACCCGGCACCAAGCCGCAGCCGTTCTATATTGGAACGATGTCCCTGCCAGATACGAAGTTGGAGGTCTTATTCAAGGGTAGGAAATGATGTGCAGCTTTGATGGGCATGTCAGTGGGGATTCGCACTGCGTGGTCTCTGTATCTAGATATCGAATATCAAATGAGCTGGGATAACGCAAATGTTGTCTATGAATCAGTAGTGTCAGCAGTGGTAGAGGTGTTAGCAGCAGTATGTGCATATTAAAACATAGGGATCATCACCGAGTTCATGAATTTCAATATTCACTACTTCCCCCACAGTATGCATGCACGAATGTATGTATAAAGGATCTACATGGCCAACCCCATGATCCACATCCTCCAAGACGAGAACCATACTATTGGCAGTCCCACTGAGGGGTCCAGGGTCCAGTGGACTAGCGAGTCAAGCTCGCTGACTCGCCTTTGAAATAATGCACATATCAAGTCATCCGAGGCAGGCCACATCCCTTCAAACCTCACAAACTACCACTACACCCAAGTTCATTATCTCAATTCCACTCCCTCAACTTGACCAGTCTAGTTCCACCCCAAAATGGCCACAGCCGAGCAAATGGCAGCCTACACGGCGCACCTCCGCACGCACACCTCAGCCCAAAACAAGCCCGTAACAGAAATTTGCATCTTCAAACTCCGCGCCCCCTACACACAAGACCACACCGCAGCGCTCTCTACCTTCGAATCCCAAATCGCGGCTAACACCGCCCCAGGGAACGGCAAGCCCAACGCGCCCGGCATCCGCAGAATCGCATACGGCTTCTCGGTCGACGACCCCGGCACCTTTGTGTGGATGCTCGACTGGGACAAGATCCAGGACCACTGGGAGTTTTGGCAGAAGGAGGCGTTTCCGCCGGTTATTGGCGCTATTACGGAGCTGTTTGTGGAGGGGAGGCCGCTTGTGAGACACTATGATTTTGGGGAGGAGGGGATGCTTGATGGGGGGTTTAGGGTTGCGAGGGTGGTTGTTTGGGATGATGGGAAGGGGAGGGCGAGAGAGTCGGGGAATAAGAGTCTTGCTAGGGTGAGGCAGGTTAGGGAGGCGTATGCTGTTGATATGGATGAGATGACTTGGTGGTGTTCGTTGCTTGGGTATGAGAGTGAGGAGGATTGTAGGGCGGATGGTGGGGATGTTATGGCTGGGGAGGGGGCGGAGAATCATATTGTGAGGTTGCAGTATAAGTGAGTATATAGGTACCTATACGTACTTGAGTTTCTAGGACGACCGTAGACTTCCTCTTCAGGGCACTGCTGCTTTAGTGAGGGTGCTCAGGGTCTGCTCAGTGAGTATTTTATATCACAGATCACTACTCCTGAGCACTTGGTACCTGCTCAGTAAACAGTCATATGTACCCAGTAAGACACTCATCCCTATCTATTTTTGCAGGTAGTTTGGCAATTATGTTTGATAGATTCTCTTGAAGTTGCCCCAGCCCGCATAAATACCTGCTTAATATGACATAACTAGGGGTCAATAAAATTCAGCTCACCTGCTGTTAGTAGAGTTAGATAAAGAGATTTCAAGAGCAATAATAATAAATCTTGAGAACAGGTTCAGCAAATAATATAAAGGCATGACTCTCCTTTGAGCAGTTATTTAGCATGCAATCATGATATCCTACTGCCAAATACAACTCACTGGTTTGATAGAATGGTATTATTCGAACCATGGGATATTAGTATCTGTAGGAGAAGCGGGCCGGCTCTAGTGTTAATGATGAGGTCATATATATGACCCTTATTTATTGTCGTCACTGTAGACCTGGGTTTTGACCTCGTTCTCAAACCCACCAAGAACCTAAAAAGAAAAGTAATATATACATTATCACAGGGGACTTGGTGATTATTTCTTTAAATTCCCACTGTTTTTCAGTAATTTATTTGCTTTTTTTGTTGGTTTGGGTTTGAAATCAGAAGTTCAAAACCCTTGATCTAATTAGCATATTGCATGGTCTGAGATTAATCATTATCCTAATAGTATAAATAACATGTCCTAATAAAACAGGTATTGCCTTAAAGTCCCCCCTTCATATTACTTTATGAATGCGAAATATCTTCTGATAACTAATGTCTTTATGAAAATAGTACAGCATGTCATATAGAAGAGATTCATCAGAACTACAGATTATTCAAGGTAGTTATAATAAATTGGTATTAGTCATAATTGCCAGCACATAGTTGTTGACGCCAACGGCTTGGCCGCATACGCGCGACGCGTGTTGAGTAGTTATCAACCAGGCTTCCGCGTCTTTCTTTCTCTTTTTCTCTTCCTATCTATCTTTGATTTTGAAGCACGAGGAGACCTTACTGAAGATATTTTGGTGAAGGTGGTAGAGAGAAAGGAAGTGGTGTGGTGAACAAAGATTGGGGGTAAGCAAGTTCTGCTCGCAAGCGTGGCTGTACAATCCCACTGATAATCTTATAGAGACGGTGACTTGTGGATGTTATATCGAGCAGTGGGGCATATCAGGTAAAACTATTAACAATTTATCCGTGCCATGGACGCTGGCTAACCATTTTTAAAGAGAGCGGCAGGTATGGAGTTCGTGAGTACTGCTTTGAGTTTTCAGGAGGGCAACGGTGAAGGTGATTGTTTAGATTCAGTTGGTAAGAATAAGGATATAAGCATGTCAGATGGAAAATATTGTGGGAACTAAAGAGGAACAGATTCACATATGCATGGAGAAGTGATTATCCGTGTTAAAGGATGCTGTTTGGATGGAGACAGAACAGGGAATAACAATATGTCGATTATTATCAATAATCCCAATGTTTCCACTACAAACCAAAGAATGCATTCTACTGTTCTTGACCTAAATATCTATCAGTATTCCGTGAATAGAACCAAAGAAAGAAACAGTGTCAGTACAGGTTATCATGTGGACGACCAAGTTGTTGGAGATTTACCTATGTTTGATGCGGGAAGGGAAGACGACCAAGTTGTTGGAGATTCCCCTATGTTTGATGCGGGAAGGGAAGACGACCAAGTTGTTGGAGATTCCCCTATGCTTGATGCGGGAAGGGAAGACGATGAAGATGATGAGGATTCTCCTATGCTTGACATGGAAGTTGATAGTGATCAAATGGAATGGGACGTATAGGGATATGGATAGGATTTGCAGAACACTAAAGATTGATGAAGCTGATCTTTTTTGATTTTTGTTGGCCTAGCTGGAGAACTTTTCTGTCATGTCATTTTTCTTTTATCTCCAGATTAGGGTTTTTATTTTTTATCTTTTTCTTTTTCACGCGTTGTCACGACCAGAATGAACATGTTACGATGATTTGTTACGTACTATTATTACTGTTATAGTATAGGCAGTATAATAGAAATTTCTCCTAAGATTGTCGATCTACGCTTCGATACTTATGTCTGATTTCATGAATCAATATGTGGAAGGAGTAAGAATGGTGGTATTGGGTTTAAGATGGAATAGAGAGTCCGAGTAAAATGATAAACAAGGGCACGAGTCGTATGCTACTGCAGTCGGTATGGTTGAGAGCTAGCCGTCCCCTATATGCCAATTTTCTAACGAGTTGTAAGATGAAGAATGAAAGATACTGCTTGATCTGCTAGGCAGCCACCAAACCTGTTTGGCTAGTTTAAATTGAATTCTCTAGAAATATTGTATTGTTCTGCGCGTCTCTTCACCTGTTAGATGCTTAAACTGCGAACCTATCATCAACGTACAGTGATGGAGAGAGGGGATGCTCAATTCACAGTTGTCTCTCTATTTACAACTTCACCTTTAGTGAGATTAGCAGGAGGACATGAACAACACTAGCTGTTACTGTCTTGAGCCTGGGCAATATACTGAATGCTTGCATTTTCATGACATGTAAAATTAGATCCTGCTGTTTGTATTCTCACACAACTCTGACCAGCTCTAGCAAATAGTTAAGCTCCACATGCACTGTATTAATAGTCATCTATTGATATTTTCACGGGGGTGAAAAGTAATATATATACCCTATTATCCCCCGGGCACTGTCCGACTTCTGTCTCTAGTCCCCTGTACAGATTGGCAAAAGTAGACTAACAAGTAGAGAAACAGGCAAGGGAGAGGCCACCACCAAGTAGTTAGGGTAATTTTTATATAGTATATCAAGGCTACTCACTCAGGGCACTCAGCCTTCCGCTCAGCCCATGCTCAGTAATTACCCCAGGCTGCTCCGGGAGTGCTCCGGGAGTACTCAGATATACTTAGCGAGAAAAAAGCAGCAAAGAGTAGGCGCTAAAATGGAAAGAGAAAGCTGTTAACCAGTCTAAAAAATCAAGTATATATGTATATGATCTGCATTGGATTTATGTTTGGACGTGGAACCTGTCCTGTAGAAAAGGTGTCACCCGCTTCCAGCAGTCCTCGACGTCCCCCTTCCGATACTGCTTGGAATCTTCCCTGTAGTGGCTGAAGCCATGGATCGCATCCTCATACTCGTGTTCGACCACCGCTACGCCCGCCTGTCTCAGCTTCGCCGCGTACTCTTTCGCCTCCAACTTCAGACAGTCCATCCCAGCAGTAATGACAAGAGCTGGTGGCAAAAAAGCCAAGCTCTTCAACAGCGGAACCGTCGCATCCACCGGTGAAGAGAAAATGCTACCTTTCTCGGCAGAAGGCGGCAAGTACGACGCCTCCATTAAACTAGCCGCCCAGACCGGCAGACTCGCAGCCTGTACCCGAGTCTCGCACGCATCAAACCGCTCCTGGTACGGTCTGTTGCAAGCCGTACTAGGATAAAGCAGGACCTGAGCGGCCAGGTGGAAACCCTCCGGTAGCTTCTCGCGGAACTGGGCGCAAGGCCCCGACGTGAAGGAGATCAGCAACGAAAGTGCGGTTGCGAGATTCCCGCCGGCGGAGTTGCCCATGGTTGCTACGCGAGATGGGTCGATCGCTACGCCCATTGCCTCTGACCCAGCTGGGGAAAGGGCCCATCTGAGCACGGCGTGGAGCTGTAGAAGAGCATGAGGGTAGGGATATCGGGGAGATTTGGCGTATTCGATTGAGATTATGACTGCACCCAGCTGTTTTTGTTATTGAGTATCCTCGGTATGGGAAGATGAAAACATACCGTGTCTGAGAGTGATCGGACGAGATGTTCACCATCGCTTGGCTGTCCAAGAACGAATCCCCCACCTTCCGTGACAAGAACCAGCGGCTTGGGTTCTTCTGGGGAGGAATCGTTTGGTATGCAGATGGATAGTTTGACGCGTCCCCCGCCTAAGTTGGGCGTGTCAACGTAGAGATTATTGTCGAATAGTTCCCCCTTGCCTGACATTAGAGCAACGAGGTTCCTCAGTAGCCATGCCGACGAGTGGAGATAGAGGGTGTAGGGTAGGCCGTAGCCCGCGGCGGTGGTGACCACGGGGGTTTTGATTTCGCTCTGGTCCATGATTTTACCGTAAACCTGTGTCTGTAAACCTGCTGAACAAAATGCCGTATCCTAATACAGATATTTGACTCAGTTGCGGAGGATATGCGGAGTCGAGTCAGTGTGGAGATGGTCGTGTCAGTCGAACTGACATCGCTTGACCCCAAATCCACCGGATCTACATCGCATCCCGTCTGGTCGTATACCACTTTGCGTGATCCATGAGCAAATACTTAACCCAGACAGTATCACATCGATCAAGAGTACCAATTCCACCATCACCTCATAATCCCCCAACAAGAACACTCCCACCATGACAATCAACCCACCCCCAACAGCCCCCTTCCACCTCCTCCAACAATGGCACTCGCAACCCCGAAAGCTACGCATAATCCACATCGGCGCCGGCGCCACCGGCCTCTGCGCTGCCTATAAAATGGAGCGCCAGCTCAGCGACTACGAGCTGGTATGCTATGAAAAGAACGACGAAATCGGCGGGACGTGGCTCCAAAACCGCTATCCAGGGTGTGCCTGCGACGTCCCCGCGCACATCTACACGTACACCTTCGAGCCCAACCCGAAGTGGAAGTCGTACTACGCTTACTCTCCTGATATCCACGAGTATTTTATGGACTTTTGCGAGAAGTATGACTTGCGGAAGTATATCCGGTTTAGACATCGGGTCACGGCTGCGGTGTGGTGTGAGGAGAGGGGGCAGTGGGAGGTGAAAGTTGAGCGTGATGGGGTGGTTTTTACGGATTGGTGTGATGTTTTGATCAATGGGTCGGGTTTGTTGAATAAGTGGAGGTGTAAGACAGATCTGTCTGCTGGGTCTTTTGAGTTGCTGACATGACGCTATTAGGGCCGGATATTGAAGGACTTCACTCGTTCGAGGGTCCGCTCTTGCATTCGGGGGAATGGGATCGTGAGTTTCACAGAATACCCGTCAAAATGTCATACTGATAGGTTCTAGCCACGGTCGACTACACCAACAAGCGAGTCGCCGTGCTAGGAACAGGATCTTCAGCAATCCAAATAATCCCCCAAGTGCAAAAAGGTCCGCAAAACACCACTACTCATGCAACCAAGTCTATCTGCTAATTACAAAATAAACCAAAACAGCTGCCTCCCAAGTAAAATGTTTCATGAGAGGCAGCACTTGGATCAGTCCCCCAATGCCACGCGTCCCAGTCGAAATCCCCCAAACTGATGGCAGCTCAGGCACCACCCATCACGACCAGGACGCCGCGCATCCAGAAGTCGGCCAGTACTACTACACAGCAAAGGAGACACAGAAACTGACCGACGACCCCGAGTATCTTCTCAACTACCGCAAGCGGATCGAATACGGGATCAATATGGGATTTGCTATCTTCTACAAGGGGATGGAGCCGTCGCGTATGGCTGAGGAGTATATGCGCGCGGAGATGACGAGGAGGTTGCAGGGTGATTCGGTTTTGACTAAGGAGTTGATCCCGAGTTGGCCTGTGGGGTGTCGGTAAGATCCTTCTCCGTCTTTCTCCAGTCTATAGGCTTTGGATTACCCATCCCTGACGATTGGTGCTAATATGGGATAGACGACTCACCCCCGGCGACGGCTACCTCGAAGCCCTAATCAAACCCAACGTCGACTGCATCTTCACCCCAGTAACAAGCATAACCCCCAAAGGGCTCATAACCCGGGACGGCACCCACCACGAAGTTGACATAATAATCTGCGCAACTGGCTACGACATGGCATGGACACCACACTTCACTCTCCTCGGCCGCAACGGGCTCGACATCAAAGACGCCTGGTCGCCCACCCCCAAATGCTACCTGGGCATGGCCGCGCCAGGTTTTCCCAACTACTTCGTGATGAACGGCCCGCGCGGGAATCTCGCGAACGGGACCGTGCTGCCTTGCTTTGAGACGGAGATCGAGTATGTGATTCAGGCGGCGAAGAAGATGCAGAGTGATCGAGTTAGGACGCTGGATGTGCGGGAGAGTGTGGTTGATAAGTTGAATGAGTATATCGATGCGTGGCAGGAGACGAGCGTTTTTAGCGGAGGGTGTCGCAGTTGGTACAAAGATAATACTGTTGATGGGAAGGTTTTGTGTTGGGGGGGATCGGTGAGTTTTCTTTTCCTTTACACGGAAGTATTTGTATACTCCCATGATGGGTGAGCCTTATTAACTTCTGACAGTCGGTCCACTTTTTGAAAACCCTCAAGACGCCTCGTTGGGAGCATTTCGATATGCAGTATATGGACGACAACCCGTGGGCGTTCTTGGGTAATGGCCGGATCAAGGCAGAGTGCGAGGGTGATTTTGAGGGGTTGACGCCTTATTTGAGGAATTCGGATACGCCGTGGGAGATTGTATGATCTTATCATATCTATACGTATACTTATATACAGACAAGTTAAACCGGTAAAAGAGGAAGGACTTTTAGTGACTTATCTAGAGATAAATAAAAGAGTATAATAACTTTATAAAGTCTATATACTATGATTAAGTAAATCAATATAATCAAAGCTAACCCAGCAGCCACGCAGCAATACAAACCCATAGTGAGGACAATATCAATCCTCCAAATATGAGTCCATGAGCCCTACAAATCAATACAATCTATACAGTTGTGCGCTCATGCATAAATACATGACTAATCAATGATGAACGCCGATCCTCAGTGCCGCATAAAGTAGTATAACCCAAACAAGCCTAGCGCCGTCGCGTCGCGGTGCATCTCTTTGAACTTCAACGACAAAGAACCACCACTCAATCAAAGACACTCAAAGACCCTCAAACCACCTCTGCAACTCATGTCAAACACCCTCTCAAGAACCACACCATCGACATATCCCTCAAAACCCACCACCCAAAACCCAACAACACCAAACTAATAACCCACCCAAAATGGCCCCCCGCCCACGCCGCCAACAACAAGAAGAAACAGAAACAGAAGCAGAAACAGAACAATTCACCTACGAACCCCCCCTAACAACCCTCACCAGCACCGGCCACCGCGCGCTCCTCCAACTCCTCAAATCGCAACCCCTCCGACACCTAAAAACACACCTCCAGCACGCCGAGGAAAAACTCACCGACGCAGCCGGCGAAGTCAATGAGCGGTTGACGGACGCGCACGTGCGGTATCAGCGGTTGAAGGATAGGAGGGGGAGTAGTACGCGTGATGAGGTGGGTGATGGGGAGGATGCTGCTGCTGCTGCTGCTGCTACCGCGGCGGCGGTAGAAGGCGGGGGGAATGAGGATGAGGATAGGGAGAAAGCGCGGATTACAAAGTTGGAGGATGATGTTAGGGATGTTACGGGGCGATTGGAGGCGCAGATGAGGGAGACGATTGATGCGGAGGCGTTGGTTGATGGGTTGGGGGTTGTGTTGGGGAGGTTTGAGGATGAGGCGGAGAGGGAGAGTGTTGCTGCGCCTGTTTCTGCTTCTACGAGGGGGAGTCGGAGGACGAGGAGGGCTGTCGCTGAGGGGCAGGAAGAAGAAGAAGAAGAAGACGAGGAAGAGGAGGAGGAGGAGCAAGAAGAGCAGCGGGACTTCGTCCCCACGAGTCAGAAGCTGGCGGATGAGTTAGAGGGGGATCATACCAAGTGGGATGAGCTATCTCTAACAGAGCGGTATCCCTCCCCATCTCTATTCCCCTCCCTCTCCATATCTTCTTCAAAGAAGCCAATACTAACTAGTATCAATCCAGATACTCAACAAACAACGCCTACGTAGGCTTCTACCGCATCATCCACGAAGCCAAACACCCCGGCAACGACATCCCACCCCTCCCATCATCCTCAACCTGGTTCACGCACCTCGAATCACCCTCCCAATCCCACCCCCAGTCCCACCAACAAACCTCCTCCCAATCCCAACCCATTCGCCCCCGCCCCCGCTCCCCCTCCCCCGCCTCCCCCACCACCTCAGACGACATAGCAATCTCCAGCGAAATCATCTCCCTGAAATGCCCACTCACACTCCTCCCCTTCCAAAACCCGGTATCCAGCACAAAATGCCCGCACAGTTTCGAGCGCGAAGCGATCGAGTCCATGCTCTCCCAGAGCCAGACGACCGTTGCCGTCTCCACGCCAGCTCAATCCGCATCTAGTGCGGCGTCGAAGGGAAGTCGGAGGGGCAGGCGTGCTCGCGCGGTCAAGTGTCCTGTTTGCGAGGAGTTGTTGACGTGGGATGATTTTCGGGCTGATGCTGTGCTTGTTAGACGGGTTAGGAGGGCGGAGGCTGCGAGGAGGAGGGAGGAGGAGGGGGATAGTGAGGAGGAGTTTGTTGTTGGTGGTGGGGGTTCGAGAAAGAGGTCGAGGAGGAGTGAGATTACTGTTGGGAGTGATGATGAGGATGAGGAGGAGGAACAGAAACAGGAGGAGGAACAGCAGGTGGTAAGGATTAAGCAGGAGAAGTTCATGTCGCAGGGGTAGTTTATCATCTGGTTTAGTTGGTTCTACTATCTGTATATGTATATACAATCGATTACATGGATGATCAGTCTACGTAACTATCAAGTAAATGTAAATATTTCATTAGTCCAGCAAGACTGGTCGCGCAACAACGGGTATAGTATAAAGAGGACAATCAATCAATCAATCAAACAAGCCAGTCCTGGCACTGACATTCCACCAGCGCTCAGTCAGGACGAGCCAGTCAACCCTTCACGTGCTTTTCCGGACCGACCGGCAAACGGTGACATTCTCCCTCACACAGCGACAAGCAAACGAAACAGTATATCTGCCGAAAGAATCAAAACCGATCATTTTCACCTGGTACCCTCGGGCGCCACGTTTCCCATCAATCAATCGAACAATCATCGTAGCGGTAGCGAACATAATAAATAGAAGATGGAACCATCGGAGCGATCGAGAGACAAGGCGACGTCTATTTAGTCAGAATGTTGAGGTAGTCGGCGACGATAAGCGTGACCATCCTAAAGTGGAGCCGTGGGGTTAGCGATAAGCGTCATAGCGCCCGGGACGGGTGGGGAACAGGAGGAAAAAGAAAAGAGGCAAGGGAAAGGGCACTAACGCATGAGGTGCGATCCGCACGTAGTACGTGCCGAACCCGCGGTAAAACCGCAACCAACCCTCCTCCTTGGCGACCTTACGGGCGCAGTCCAGCAAACCCTTGTAAGGCAGCTGGCCCGTCTTGGGGTCCTTCTGCTGCTTCTGCAGACGGGTCTTGATGAAATCGAAGGGCAGCGACAGGAAACTGGCGAAGAAGCCGGCGATGCCGGAGGCGGCAAAGGTCTGGTTCTGCTGGGACAGGCTGGTGTGCTGCTTCAGCTGGCTCTTGGACTCGGCGAAGAAGGCCAGCTGGCCGAGGTTGAGGGCCATGGCGCGCACGACGGTGGGGAAGGCGCCGGCCCAGAGGGCGCCGACGCCCTCGCCCTTGGAGATGCGGAATAAGGCGTCGATGACGGAGCGGTAGTGGGCGCGCTTTTCGGGGGACTTGAGGCCGTCGGATTGCATGCGGATGAGGGCCAGGTCGGCGGGGTTACCGATCATGGCTGCGACACCGCCCGCCAGCAGACCGGCGCCGGCGCGCTCGCCGAAGGTCACTTTGCGGTTGGCGTCCTCGGCACGCTTGGTCAGGGCTTTGCTGAAGGTGTCGAAGAAACCCAGACGCGCGGTGGTGTAGACGGCCTGGCGCAGGAGGCCCGCGGACAGGCCGGTGTAGAGATCGCGGACCTTCCCGGAGGCGACGATATCGCGAGTGACGCCGAATGCGCTCGGTTTGGGGCCCGTCCGGGCGCCCTCACCGGCCAGCTGCAGTCGGACCTTGATCATGTCGACGGGCTGGATGACGGCGGTAGCCGTCATGCCAGCCAGGCCCCCGTTCGCAAAGGGGAGAGCGGCACGGGTCCATGGGTGATGGAGGAAATCCACCGGCGGAGGAGATTCTTTTGTGATGGGAGTTGAGGAGGCCATGTCGAAGAGAGTCACAATCCTAATGAGGATCTATTGATGGGGAGGTTAGAATGAGAGATGAAATTTTCCAGAGTCTACAGTAACTGAGGGCAAGAAAAAATGGAAAGAAGACGGGAGAGAATTGGGGTTCCAGGGAAAAGCAGGAGGACCGAGGATCAATCAGGCTGACACGGTCACGCCGGCGGGGATGACGTCGGACAGAATGAGGGGAAAGACGAACCAGAAGGAGGAAGACGGGAGGAAGGAGGGAGAGGAGGAGGAAGGAGACCAGGGGGACGAGAAAAAGCAGGAAGCAGAGGGAAAAAGAGGGGAAGTTAATATTCAATCCGACACATGCGAGAGAGAAACCAATCGTTTAGAATGTAGAGAAAGGAAGAAGAGAGAGAGAGAGAGGCCAGTGCGGGGAGATGTTGCATCGAACGAGGAGAGGAAGAGGAGGATTATATACGGATCCGTATGTGATGACCTCAACCAGTCCAGGAACCGAGACTGGACCGACAGGAGAAGAAGATAGCCGTGACTCCACTATATACTGGATTGAATGTCGGATAGGACGAGTAGTTGAGTATGAAGGGTTGAGATGCACTGCGGGGGACGTCATCTACGTCTCTTTCTCTCTATGGATGTCTCTCCCTCTCCTCTCGCGATCTATACCTACATCTCCTATCATCGATCTTTATACAAGAAATATCCTTGATAATTCCATCTCTGAATGATTGAGCACCATCATTCTATTCCTGACTTCTACTTCAGTCCTACTCTCTGACAACTGTATATCCGGATACGTCACCAAGTGCCCCACACGGGAAACACCCCGGCTGGTCGATCCGCCATCTATACAGCAACTCAACCCCAATTGAACCTATGATATAGTACCTATTACTTTGAACACATAATATACAATAAATCTACCTACAACATAATTACAAACATACCCATATCCATATCCATATAAAAATGAAAATATTATATATAAACAAAAGGCCCAACGGAATACCCTCGGATAAGCTCGATCTCCTGCTGAATCTTCTTCCCTCTTGCCGATTCGGTCGCCATCCCGGGAATCCACTCTCTGACCTCTTAATTCTCCCACTACTCCAGGGTCTCCATTATCTTATCCACTATCCATTCCTCCGATCCGAAGACCGGCACTTTTATCCTCACTTGCCTAGTTTGACAGGCGTATACATACCGTGGGCGGAGAGGTGTAGTCCGTTTCATATATTGGGGTGATTCCATGGTTGACTTATTGGGTGGTTCTGTTGCTATTGTGTTATGTTTGTTTTATTGTTGTTAGTAGTTGTATAGATAGATAGATTGTAGTATCTACGACTTACTACATACTACATACTACCAATCCCATACTACATACTGGGTACTATCGCAAAGACCAAGACAAAGACACCCTCGGATCCATCCCGGATGTACAGCGGAAGAGTGGAAGAGTGGAAGCATCCGCTCCCACTCCTCCCCCTCCATCCACCTCATGACAGTACATCCCAACATAATCTTCCTCATAATTGGTACGCGCAATAACCTACCTACTACCTATCTGAGCTACTCTAGGTGGGTACCCAAGGTAATAACTGGGGCAGACCGCTCCAAACCTATCACAGTGCCCCAATACTAATCCCGTCTCTCGCCCGGTATAGTTATTGCCGATTTCGCTGTTGGGATATACCTCGACTAATATTGTTGGGATATCCTAGTCTCCATAGGGATGGATGATTGTCTAGATGTCTCTGCGGGAATTGAGGCTTTTATTGGGATTCTGCTTGGGGAGGGGGGCTTGTACAGGGTTCAATTCGATGGTTTGCTCGGTTATGACCTCGTTGATTACTGGGTAGATACGGTTGATGTATACTGTGACGATGGTTAGGTCCGTTGGCTATAGTGAAGCTCAAGTCTAGTCAAGTTCAAATCTACTGCAACTTATAGGAAAAGATGAGGTTATTCAAGTATGCAAAATAGTGACTACAAGACACTTCATCTACTGGAACCAAACATTCAAGAATCAAGTAATATTACTTTTGTACTATCCAAGCGATCCTTGACCAGGCGGGCCCGGCTCGCCCACCAGGCTCCTCACCCGTACTGACACTGGAAAGGAAATGACCCAATTATAAAACACACGCCATGCAATACACATATGAAGGATAACACATGTGAAGGGAATCAATAGAAAATCAGACAGAGAAGAAAAAGGGAAAAGAGAAAACAGTAGAAAAGAATCTACTGAGGCTTCGGGCCAGCCGCAATCACGTCCGACGTCGCCTGGTCAGCGTACTTGGTGAAGTTCTCGTTGAACAGGTTCGCCAGCTTGTTGACCTCGTCGTTGAAGGGCGTCGTCGCGGTCCAGCTGTTCTTGGGGTTGAGCAGCTCGTCCGGCACGTTGCTGCAGTTCTTGGGCACGTGCAGGTTGAAGATCGGGTACACCTCGTACTCGGCGTTGGCGAGCTCGCCGTTGTGGATGGCGTCCAGGATGGCACGGGTGTACTTGAGCGGGCAGCGCTTGCCGCCGGTGGTGGCGCCAGCGCCGACCCAGCCGGTGTTGAGCAGCCACGCGTTGGCCTTGTGCTGCGAGATCTTCTCGGCCAGCATCTTCGCGTAGCGCATGGGGTGCAGGGCCAGGAAGGGCTGGGCGAAGCAGGACGAGAAGGTCGCCTGGGGCTCCGTCACACCGTCCTCCGTGCCGGCCATCTTGGAGGTGTAACCCGAGATGAAGTGGAACATGGTCTGCTCGGTGGTGAGCTTGGAGATGGGCGGGAGCACACCGCGGGCGTCGCAGGTGAGCAGGATGATGTTCTTGGGGTGGCCGTCCGACACGCAGGGGATCTTGGCGTTCTCGATGTACTCGATGGGGTAGGCGCAGCGGGTGTTCTCGGTCAGGGTCGAGTCGTCATAGTCGACCAGACGGCTGATGGGGTCGAAGACCACGTTCTCCAGGACGGAGCCGAAGCGGATGGCGTTGAAAATATCGGGCTCCTTCTCGGCGGAGAGACCAATGCACTTGGCGTAGCAGCCGCCCTCAATGTTGAAGACACCGGTGTCGGTCCAGCAGTGCTCGTCGTCACCGATCAGGGCACGGTTGGGGTCCGCGGACAGTGTGGTCTTGCCCGTGCCGGACAGACCGAAGAAAACGGTGACGTCACCATCCTTGCCCTCGTTGGCGGACGAGTGCAGAGTCAGGACGTTGTGCTTGACGGGCATTTCGTAGAAGAGGACGGTGAAGACACCCTTCTTCATCTCACCGGCGTACTCGGTACCGAGGATGACCATCTCCTTCTCGGCGAAGTTGATGGCGACCGAGGTGGCCGAGGTCATACCCTCGGTGAAGCGGTTGGCGGGGAAAGAGCCGGCGTTGTAGATGACATAGTCGGGGTGGAAGCGCTGGAGCTCCTCGGGCGAGGGGCGGATAAGCATGTTGCGCATGAACAGAGCGTGGTAGGCGCGCGCGCAGACAACACGGACGCTGATACGGTAGCGCTCATCCCAGCCGGCGAAACCATCGACGACATAGATGCGGTTGCGGGTGTTGAGGTAGTCGACAGCACGCTCACGGTTGATACGCCAGACCTATTAGGTGAGGTTAGCTAATCAGCCCTACTGAAATGACGTCATGTGGAACGGGTCGGAAGCGTGCTATGCAAACAGCAAGGGTTCACGACATGAGCAAATGCCTCATCGATCCGATCCAAGATTTCGCATGGATACGGGGATGAGGCATTTCCTGCCCCTAGGGGGTAAAGTGGGATGGTTGAATGCAAGAAATGAGTGATCACTTACGTCAGGAGTCATGGGCTTGTTGACAGGTCCCCACCAGACATCGTTCTCGGAGGACTCCTCCTTGACGACACGCTTATCGGAGGGGGAACGGCCAGTCTTAGCGCCGGAGTAGGCAGTCAGAGCACCGCTGGAGGTGATGGCGGTACCAGTCTCGTAGACGAGAGCATCTTCATAGAGAGCAGCAGCAGAGGGGTTGGCAATCTGTGCGGTCAGCATATAGTCGATGAGATGGATGGAGGGTCAGCTTACGATAGCGACTCGGTCGTAGTCAATGTGGGCGTGCTCATGGAGCTCCTCCTCAAGCTCAGTGTGTCCCTTGCCAGGCCTGAGATAATGTTAGCTAGGTTCATGAGGGATACTCTGGACGATGAGGGGGAGGGGGGGGAGGATGAGGATGAAGGTGAGGATGGTAGAGGAAGGGAAAGGGAAACATACTGAACACCACCGGGGTGCAGCGAAGTACGATTCACAGAAGTGGCAACCATTGTGTTCAGCGATGTCGAGTGATAATTATTGTTTCTTTGTTTCGCGACTTGCTGTTGGAAGAAATCTGAATACAAAGGACCTGGTTCACCGGAGGGGGCGATGGGGGGTATATTAATGTTTTGAGCATGGGCCATGACGGCGACGATAACTTGGCTCTCTCTTCTCAGACGGAAGTAATACTCTGCAAAGTTCGAGTTTCCCGGGATGCTTTCTCCACAGTTTCACGGGAGATGTCGGGGCAGGGGATGAGCTGAAGCGGACTGGGGGGCGAGGATAGTTGGTTGGAGAGGGTTAGTTCGTTGATCCCGTTAGACTAGGCGAAAGAAATGCCTCTTGGCTGGAGGGTCCGAAAACTCCCGAAAAACCCCAGATGTGGGCACGAAATGAACCCGGGATGGACGGGCGGGTTGCGAACCAACGAGAGGCTCGCAAATGATTGATCGATCGGGAAAAGGGGAGATTGACGCGCCCCTTGAGTAAGTAAATGAATTGATTGGACTCGATATTAGGCAGGGAATAGCGTGAGGCGTGGAGAGGCAAAAGAAATGGCTCATGCAGGTTGCTGCAAGTCAAGCGCAAGAGATTTCAGTCCACTTAGTGGGGTTTATAGGGATTTTTTTATAAAAATCGAAATAAAATAAAATAAAATAATAGAAGACGCAGAATATTCAGTCACTGGTCTGTACTGTTCGCTATTGTCTTTACCAGTTCCGGATGTCAATCCCGCAGTTCAGTATCCTCTCTTACTGCACGCAGCTGATTCTCGGTATTTATCTTGAGCAGTACAATGTATCTACTACAATGCATGACACCATGCCTCAGTAATTCTCTCTCCCTCTTCCAAGATCAAGTCTTTTCTTCATTGGTCACACATCTGCTCTACGGGCAAATGGAACCGGCTAACCAGGAATGATGACGTTGAATGATCTCAATTAGCTAAACGGGGGATGGCAAAAGTTCTGGGCGCGGTCGACGAGGCTAAGGATGAAATTGCGGGGAGAAGTTTACGGTTGACCACTGACAAGGATAGACGATCAATTAACTTCGTTTTTTTTTGACTATTTCTTCCACATTCGTCGTATGGCCGTTTGAATTGAATTATCGCTTAGAGAGAACTCACTATCATACCATAGTTCACCTTTTTTTGAACCATCCAAATCAACCACAGAATGACGAAATGCCGGTTGCAACCAGAAAATACAGGCGACGGCGCTAGTAAAAAGTAGGCTCGGCCGGGAAATCCTCCTTAGTCATCCAGGCTCTCCCGAGGCTGCCCGTCGTCCAATCAGAATATCCAAAATTCAACAGTTTACAATCCGACGTCATGGATCGAGGATAAAAGTGGAGAACAGTTATTGCCGGGTTTTCGTCTGAAACGCCCATTATTCCCATCCCTTTTTGACATCACCTTCGCACGCGACCTTTCCGACAGTGCCTGCAGATCCCTCCGTGCTTTTTTTAGTAGGCTGGTAGTTCAGAATGTCGAGAAAACTATACGGGAATACCCGCCCACTATCAGTGATAGATAGCATCGTGGCAGTCATTCGTAGAATTGCTTGCCGTTGATAGCCTTCCCGGCTGCCGATAGAGAATGCAAAGGGCAAAACCGCGCTTCCCGAGAGGTTACCGGGTAGACCTGGTTGAAAATGCACATGATATGTAGGCAACAGTCAGCGAGACCATCAACTCTGTTTCCAAGACTTTCCGAGATCTATTACTATATTATTACTACTTCTCTATTACTACTCCTATGACTACTACTAGACTACTACAGGTATATGACTACACGATACTGAAATAGATGCTACAGTTGGTCAATGCGAGGTCACGCTGTACCCAAACGAGACGTAGTCAACTGACATGCAGTCTCAGCCAAGCATGCCGGTGCCCTCGTGGCGTAGGATTGTTACCAATTTTCTTGGGAGAGGACGTGCGCCATGACTTGAGAGTCAGTCCTCTTCCCTTCTCGTACTGATGATTGATCCAGCACCTTGTACCCCGCATCCGACGAGGCCGGGGGGCCACGCGGGACTTCCCCAGAGTCGGTTCTCGGTCTGGCGTGGGATGGCACGGGATGATTATTCTTTTCTTCTAATTCGGTTGCTTTATACTCAACAATTAGAGAGGGTAGTGAGATTAAACATTTGAGTATACCCTTAATTGTGTACTATGAGTATTGACTTTCACGTAGTCAGATGCAACAGGTCTCACATGCAAAGACCCAACTGATCCTCGAAAAGTAAAACAGAAAAAAAAAAAAAGAAAAAATAGATCCACAACTCGGGGAGGATAGGGAGATCCCATTAACAGACCCAAGTCTCGTCCTGGCAGTGCAGGATGGGAATGATGGATGATGATGAATAGTGGAACTGCCCAATCCGGAAGATTTAGGAAGAAGCCGAAAATTTTCAAGGGGATTTTTTAGCTCCCTCTGGGAAGAACTTCCTTCCCTGACAGCCTCGATCGTGACCGATCAGAAAAATAAAAAAGTCATGGATAAAAAATGCCTCAAACTCCATCCGAACTAGTTTCCCTAGTTTCAACCCATTTTTCCCTTTTTATTTTGTTTACTTTTCCAATAATTGTCAATTATTGAGATGTTTCTTTCTTGCTTCCCCTGAACTGGATTCGATCGGTCCCGAGTCTTCTGTAGTCTGTCAAAGCCGACTCCGTAAATTTCCTGCCCGACCCGGTTGCTCCGTCGGGCTCCGTGTGGGTAATGACTAATGCGGCCTCCGTCTTTCGTCGATCTATATTCTTCTCCGGGTTTGTCCTTGACGTACCGATTGTTTTATCTGTTGTTGAATACCGGTTTATTTGAGTGACGTTATGAGAAGTAATCCGAATCAGTCGCAAGATGAATCCCATCGTCCTGCTCCACCTGCGTATAGACAAAGGTGAACTCCGTAATCAAGTCAAGAAGTCGAGTTGAAGCGATCAAACAACAAAGAAAATCATTCAGTAGAATTTATTCCAATGGTCACCGGCTCTTCAAGCTTCTATTACCATACAGTTTACAATGCGCATCCTAAATTATCAGCAGAACGTGGTGCACTGGTGATATGAATCAATCCCGTTCCCCATACCTCCCACACCGAACCAACCCGGACATATAATCCGGGGTCAAATCACAACGGTGGAGTCTTCTCTACCCCATGGACTCTCCGCGGTTCCAACCCCAACAAATACCTCATCTCAAGGATCATACCCATACAACTGACAGCATCCACGACTGAGACGGAAAGAATCGGTCATGATATTCGGGTGAACCCCGAATCGGATATCCAGACAGTCTCTCTCCGGGCCGATTAACTGACCACAGAGTATCCTCAGGCATTCAAAGAACGGGCCGATTCAGTCTGACTTACCGTATACGATAGCTATTCGAGACTAGATACTAGATACTATACGGAATCTCTAATTCGCCGCCATCCGCTCTGGGGAAACGGTCGCTCAATGACGTCGGTACGCCCATCACACACTGACTAGGCGTAGCCCGTACTCCGTATTCTCCCTAGTAGGACTAGGACTAGGACTAGACAGTCCATATGGAGTGAGTGGTCTAGAATCAGCAACGGATCGAACTCCGCCACTTATTTTAGTATTGTGACATATCGTGGCTGTTCCCTAGCCTAAGAGCCTAAGTCCTAACCATACCGGAACTTGGCGAGTAGCGATATGTCATCGGGGGTTACCGGGTGCCGAGGTAGTCTTGGCGAATCCTCGCCGCACCCGAGACGCTTGTCCCCGGAATTAACTCACGATCTAGAGTGTATCCACACCGAGTCGGGTTGATTCCCCGGGTTAAGCCGTAGGGCAGAAATGTCTTCATGTTTGGCGGATGGGATGGGATGGGATGGTGGGAGATGCCGATGTTGTTCCGATGATGGGGTTTGTATGTGTTGTTGTTGCTACGTACCGGTAGTATTTGTAGAGAGCCGGGTATACTTGGGCGGGTAGCGCGGTAGGGTCTGGAGTAGGTACAAGTAAATCATTAGTGGATGAATTATGATGGATTTTGGATTGGTGTGTTTGTTTTAGTTATTGCTAGTATGGTGGCATTGAGAATAAGTCGATCTTACAAACAGTGGTGTGTTACCTATGTGTTGCTCAATCCCTGTTGATAGATAGAACCGTGTTTCAACAGCCTTTCAAAAGAAAGCAATACATTCCATAATCCTTCCGATCGAACACGGCGTAATTCTATCAATGACTCCATATTTACTTCACTTGTCAGCTTGTAGGTTTCCTTTCGCAACAGCCAATCCGGAGTGGGGATTTCAAGTTCTTGATAGTAGTAAGTAGTAGTACTACATTTATATATATATCCATCGTGTACTATAAGGGAGAGAGTGCCTATTCTATTCCCGCGTTAGCAGCCTAATAACCACATTTTTCAAAACTTCAATCAAGAAAAATAGAAATCAGTGGGTTGAAGACATTGGATGTATAAGCATTAGACCAGGGTCTTCATCCATCATAGTAATCTCATCATGTCATGAAAGAAAGCAAAAAGAAAGACGATGAAAAAACCAGCCTACCTGGCAGGGTCTTAACATGCGACTGTACTGTCCGTCCAAGAATCTGGCATCAGTATTGGTGGTCTGTAAGTATTTTCCATCTAGTAAGATGCTAGGTTTGGTATTGTTGATGCCATTATATAGTATGGATTTGAATGTGGGTATTGTGGGTAGCCCCTGAGTGTTGATGCGCTCAACGGTATGATAAAAAGACTAAAATAAGGCAATCCCCAAAAAACGTTGAGACTGCATTCAATTAGTCTTGATAAGAACTGGATTGAATGATAATCGATCTAGAAAGGTGGTAACATCAACATCATTCTGGACACAATACTGTTTGGGTGGTTTGTGCGAGGTGGAGAACAGATCGTGCGATCTTCCCCAGACAAAAATCGAGCATCCGGTTATTCTCCCGGTCGAGCTAGTCCCAGCCGGGCTCACCCTCACGTGCGCTCCTCATCTTCAGACTTGGCTTCACTGTACCTTTACTTTTGAATATCTCTTGATGTTCCAGGCTAGGACGAGATGGAAGAGTCCTCCCTGCAGGCTTGGCCAATCAACCCATTTTCTGATATATAATATTGTCTATTCCTTGAAGATGATCCAATTCTTCACGTGCGATGCCACATCTCAGCGCTGTCAAAGCTGATCGTGCAGACAGATGCCCAATACATCTTATAATGCTTACCACACCCATACAGGAGTACTCAGATGGTATACACGCTGATGAGAACCACCTACGGCATAAGCCTGCTCAAACCTGACAGGATCCTGTGGACGTGCACTGTTGCGCCGATCTCTCTCAAGATTGCTCTCGAACTGACCAATCCGCGAGCGTCCTGACAATTGTACTGTTACTCTACTATGACCAGACTTCATATAAATTCAACCTCCGTCCAAGCCAAACCTACTGACTTCGCCTATCTCTGAACTTCACATATCTCTTAACTTCACTTACCATAATTGAAGCCCACAGCAAACCCCACAGCTAAAGCCACAGCCAAGCACATACCAACATGTCCTCCACCGAGATCACCCTCCCCCAAATCTTCACCCACACCAGCGACACCCACACTACCACCATCCACTGGACAAGCATCGGCCCTGCCAACGCCCCCCCAGTAATCTTCATCCACGGCACGCCCTGGTCCTCTTACACCTGGGCCGCGCACGCCCTCGCCCTCTCCACCCGCTACAAAGTCTACCTCTTCGACAGACCCGGCTTCGGCGCCTCCCCAGACCGCCAGCCCCTCCACCCAAACAGCCCACCCGAGCTCGATGGCTCCCTCTCCGGCCAAGCAGCCTCCTTCGCCGCCCTCTACACCTCCTGGGCCTTCCACCCGGCGCAGCCCCCGCACGTTATCGCGCACGATAACGCCGGGCTGGTCGCCCTCCGCGCACACCTCACCCACGGCACCGCCTACGCCAGCCTCTGCCTCGTCGACGTCGTAGCCGTCTCCCCCTTCGGCTCGCCCCTCTTCCGCCTCATCGGCCAGAACAGACCCGTCTTCGACGCCATCCCGGACTCGGTCCACGAGGGAATCCTACGCTCTTACATCCGCGATGCGTCCGCCCGCCCGCTGTCCAAGGACGTAGAGGATAGGCTCGTGCAGCCTTGGACGCCGGCGGGAACGCAGGGCCCTCACGCGTTCATCAGACAGCTGGTGCAGGCTGATCAGCGGTTCGCGGCGGATGTGGAGCCGCGGTATGCGGAGGTGGGCGCGGCCATGCCGGTGAAGGTTGTGTGGGGGGCAGAGGATCGGTGGATTCCTGCTGAGAGGGCGAAGACGCTGGCGGAGGGGGTTGCGGCCAGGGAGCTGGTGCTTGTTGATGGGGCGGGGCACTTGATTATGTTTGATCAGCCGGAGCGGTTGGCCGTTGAGATTGCGGTTTGGTTGGGGTTGGTTGCAGTGCCTACATCAGGTGACGGTGCTTGTTGATGTGTGCCTGGAATAGAAAACATGATGTTAGTACTCTCGAAAAAGCACCTAGAGTAATATATCTATAAGAAAGAAATCAAGATGGAATAGACAAAACAAACAACCAATCATTACGATAGTATTTCAACGAAGCGGGGTCAACAAGGCGACTAACAGCGGGGTAGTACAACACCATCATTTTCTCTCTCAGCAATTCTTCACCTTTCTTCAATCTCAACCATACATATCTCTGTCTATTTAACCATATCTCTACCAAAACCTCTACAAACGTGAGCTATACACATTCAGCCCTATAAGTACACAACCAAGCAACTGACAAAATGTTACAGAATCTGTCAAAATGGCCGGTCACAACGAATGTCCTTCTTGCAAAGCTACGATCTCCGGAGATGGCAAGACGTGTAATGCGTGTGGGAAGGTAAGTTCTTCTTCTTTCTTTCATCCATATTTTCCGTCCTTTTTGTGGGATGTTTTGTCTGACCACTGTGGATTAGACTTGCCCTGTTTGAGTGATTGAGTTGATTGATTGATGTTACGCACCTGAAATGATATGACACCTGATGGGGAGGGAATGGAAGGGCAGGGAAGATAAGACGAGAGAACTATGGTGTGGGCTTAGATAGGCTAGAGGGTTACTGAGTAATTCCAGTCTTGCTTTTGTTGATACTGTAGATCTCGCCATATTCAAGTTGAAGATAGTAGATAAGCAAGGTGTATACATATTGGAACCTGAGGTGTCTACAACAACACCACATTCTACCCTATATTGATACCCATACTACCTACCATACTACTGTCAAATCTTTATCCATAATGAAGAATGTCTGATTGTATAATCAAGTGCTCAATCAACAAAGGAGATGATTCTAAGATACATACATACAAGAAATAAAACACAGATACCAACACCAGCGCGAGAATAAGCATATGCGTATTGACTTTCTTTCCTTCTTGCGTCCTCGGGTCTTTTTTCCATCGCCTGCTCTAGGTCTAGAATCAACCCTCTCCTCTCTCCACCTTCCTGTGACTCTTCATTGTTTCGGGATGGAATCAGGAGGCTTTGACCATTATCAAATTGAAAAACAGATACCCGAAGTGGGTCGGATATTCACTTGACTGCTATTTCAATCGTGCGGTCCAATCTATTTCAAGTGACCGCTTAGGCAGTCTTGCGCCACTGGTTCCAGGCACCGATCAAACTGCTAGTGGTACCGGCAATACCGACGACGCCGTCGTCGAAGGAGGTGATGCCCAGGGTGGAGGTGGGGGCGCACAGGTCGCACAGGTCGGAGAAGAGCTGGATGCGAGCAGCAGAGCGCTCCCTATACGTAAATTAGGTTAGTCAAGTCGTCACAAACAAGTCAAAGTGGAAGGGGAGGAACTGACTTCTCGATCTTCTTGGCCTCCACGGCGCTCTCGCCCTCCTTGCGGTCGAGGGTCTTCTCCTTCTCCTGCAGACGGAACAGGGTGTAGGCGCCGGCAATGGCGCTGAAGATCAAGCCAACCATCCAAGAGCGGGCGGCGTTGTCGGACAGACGCTTGACCGAGGCGATCTTGCGGTAGCCGACGATGTCGACGACGGTGATGGCGTCGAGGATCAGGTAGCCGGCGTAGCCGAGCTGGCGACCGATGGCCAGGTAGCGGAGCACGGGGTCGACGGGGCTCTTGTTGTCAAAGGCCAGGGAGGCGGCCTTGAAGTGCTCGAGGAACTTGCCGACCCGCATGATCTTACGGGTGGTGCCGAACTGCTTCTTGACGGCATTGTAGGGGTCGATGGAGGACTGGGGTTGGTTGGTCCGGTACAGGTACCACGCGTAGAAGCGGGAGAAGTACTGCAGGGTACGAAGGATCTTATCGCGACCGACTGTTGGAGTTAGTATTGATGGTGGTTTTGGGACTGTGCTCGACGCGAGGTTCTTGGGACGGCCCGTGACGCACGGGAAGCGCGACACATGCCCTTCCAGTACTATAACCCGCAAACCACGTAAAAGGGGCAAATCAAGACCAAAAAGTCGATCACATACCGGTCGTGGCGACAAAGCGCAACCAGTGCGCCAAGGCAGGGTGGTAGACCAAAGCGTCGGCAACCATTTTGAATTGTGTATAGGAAGTAGGAGGTAGATGAAGGAAGGATGGAGTTCTTTAGGGAATGTCGGGAGATAGAATGACTCGGTTCCGGGAGGTTTTCTTGGACCGAAAAAAGCGGGGAAGGACAGACCAGCTGGAGCAGACCTTGAACGGGAGACAGTACTCCACGAAGAGAATGGATGGTATTACTGGTAAAAAAGTAGGAAACTAAGAGGAAGGGGAGAAAAGGAAGAGAAAAAAGAGGGAGCAGGGAGGGAGAAGGAACGGTTAAATTAAATTATGTAGTAGGCGGTCCTTGATATGGGGGGAAAGAATGAATGAATATGATGAAATACGGTCGGTAATTGAGCGGGCGATCTTTACAGCAGTAATATTAGTGAGAGCGTGGTTTGTACCTCGGCTGAATTGGCTCCCCGGACAGCGGGAGTTCCAACGCTGTCACGGTCACTTCCGCCGGGTATTCATTATTTACACCAATTCCATCATACACTTGGACTCTGAGTAGGGTAGGGTTTTCATGTGAAAACTACACCTTCCATAGTCAGATTTGTCCGTTCTCTGTGGGTTCATGCGACCATTCATAACCCCCTCTACCGCGCCAAATCGCAGTATCGCAATCTCTCGGTCCACATAGTGAATTTCTCGATCGAATGATGGTGCTCCCGTCTGGCCCTAAATCTTCCCTGTCTCTATACTAACCGCGGGCGACCGTTGTACCTCGCACATGAAAGTATTGCATAGGAGGGACTGTGATCAAGTCGTGATGATTATGATTGCTCGATTAATCTGCGTCCATATGAGAATATTCAAAAAGTCTTCAGTCATCGCATCCAAATTATGACTCTCAATTTAGTCCGACGCAGTTCATGAATGCTCTACGATCTATCGCACACTATTGTTGCGTCGTGCCCAACGTCGCCGTGTCATATCCATTGCGCTCCAAAAATTCACGGAATTTGGCATCCTCGTCGGTGATCGTGTCCTAATCATCCTCGTCAGCCGGACCTTCCGGTCACTCAGGGATCAAATGGGCGCATACCTGTCCAATCTGAGGCAAAAGAAAAAACGCCAGCACCGCGCTGAAGATACACAGCGAGCTGGAGATAAAGAACGGGTCCTGACCGGCGCGGATCGCATTGGGCGCATTCTTCTGCGCAATGGGGATCACATACGTGCCCACAAAGGCCCCAATTTTGCCCGCGGCCGCCGCAATCGCGTAGTACTGCCCGCGGATCGCAGTCGCGCTGCTCTTTGCCGCGCAGAGGCCGATGTTGTCGCCGGGGCCGAATTCACCTAGGCCGGAGAAGATACTTTCGCTCAGAGGTTAGTGACATTCGGAGTTGGTGTTGAGGAACCGACGCACCCAAACACCACCACAAAGGCGGCCACGTTTTTTGCCGTCGCAAGCCACTCATAGCATCCGGACATGATGAACCCCACCACGCCTTGGAGACCGACCCCGAGGGCTAGGGTGTTGCGCGGGCCGATCCAGTCACTCGCAAAGGCCCCCAGAATGGAACCGGGGATGTAGAACGCGTTGGTCACGGTGGTCCATCCGAAGCTCTTCCACAGGGGATAGTCATCGCCCAGGATGATTGCGATCCACTTGGACGAGTAGATGTTGAACGAATAGGTGGAGAAGTCGTAGATGAACCAGATGAGCGATACGACGGTCTGCTGTGGTCAGTCACGTATCGAAGGGGCATTTCACGGGGAGACTAACCAGGCGCTTCCAATAAAATCTTCGGGGCGAGGTCAGCAGCGCTCATTTCACTGAAATAGAGGGGGTGGTAACTCACTTGACAATCAACCAGACAGGAAACTTGTGCATGCGTTCTCTCTTGAATTCTTCCGGCTCACTCAGCTTCAATCGCAGATAGAGCAAGCTGAGAGGAGGGATGACGCCCAGCCCCAGCGCAACACGCCAAACCGCGCGCAGATGGTCCTCAGTAAAGATCAAGACTAAAATCATAGGCACCAGAGCGGACACCACGTAGGCGAGGTCGATCTGAAAATTGGTGAACATGATAAACCAGCGGTTGCGATGTCCCTTCTTGAGCTCGCCAGTGTTCTCCGCCGCCGCAACCGATCCCGCGGGATACTCGCCTCCGATGCCAATCCCCAGGCAAAAGCGATATGCGGTCAGGGCAGCAAACATGCCATACTGACTCCCGTGGTAGCCGTAGGAACCTGCTGACAAGGCAGCGAAGATGAACAGAATGATGGTGGAGATCATCAAGGACCATTTCCGCGACCAGTGATCACTCAAGTATCCGAAGACCAGCTGTCCGAGGACCGTACCCGCGAACGTGATGGCCGAGACGTTCTGGCTGGCTGGGGATTCATTGTAAGCATCTTTGTACAGCGTGCCGAGGATGGTATTGACGGGTCCGATTACCTAGTCGGGACGAGGTCAGTATGTATCTATGTATTTGCTTTGTTCGTCGCATTCCAGCGGGTATCAATCACAATTACATACACCGTTCAAATACCCATCGGAGAATAGACCAGCACCACAGGCGATCGTGGGCCAGCTGCGCTCCCAGCGGCCTTTCTCAATATTCTCCAACGGCGCAACCTCCACGCGCGCCGAGTCTGTGATACCCCTAGCTTTATCGGACGACGCATCCAACTGCTCTTCCTTGGAGTTCATCCTGTGAGGTCACTGGTAGCATTCAGCTCCACACGTATTTGAACTAGAGGATGGTGACAGCCACCAGATTTCACTAGAAGATAATCAAATTCACGCGAAGTAATAGATACTGGTAAACAGTGAGAATAGAATGGGGAAAGAAAGAACTTGAAACAAAATCAATTGATGATAAAGGAGAAATAGAAAGAAAGAGAGAAAAAAAAAAGATCAGTGATAACCCTTGCAAATAAAACCAGCGTCATCCTGGGCTCTGTTCCGTCTTTCCAGGATAAGTAAAGCGGGAAACACAAACTATGCCTCTACTAATCTACGGTGATACCAATGTTCATGTTATCACCAGGAAGCGCGCTAAGCTTTCACCAACGCATCTAGTGAGACGGTCATTGGACGGCGTGCTTTGGTTGCTTCAGGGATCCAAACAGCGTGACCACTTGACTCTGCTGATACTTCCGGGCCTTGTTAGATAGGTAGCTCCACTGAGTGATATTGACCCCTCTCTGTTGGGCTCTAGGGCACGTGCTCTAGCCATGATTCTGTTGTGATACTTGATGGTTTGACCCCACTCGTCACTCTAGCTTCATCTTCCTGGCACACGACTCAAGACTATCTTTGTTCTCGGGAATTCCCGACCGATTGGACAAGTGTTGAATCAGATCGATCCATAATATACCAGTCAAGACCATCCAAATACTGCAAACGATTAGTCCATCACTTTCCAAATCTATCCCGGAAAAGTCACTGAAAAATATGCACAGATACTTAAAATAACAGAGTCAGACATCCTACGAATATCTTTCCTTGAACTCCTTTTCGTTCAACCACTATCGGGATAGTTTGCAGTTCGATTTAGGGTTGAAAGTGGAGGTATACTCGAGTGGGGGGAGAAGATCGAGGAAACAGTGACCGGACTTGGTTTTCCGTGTCAGCCGCCACGTAGAGTTTCCTCATGTATATTATTTAGGTCCTTTTTAATTCCTCATATACGTAGTATATTGTACTTACTCATAACATTAAAGTCATCAACTGTATTAGCTAATAAGCCTGTGACTGTTTGTTAGGTTATCTGCAAATAACATAGTGTATATATATTGTACGGCATAGCCAACATATAGTTGTGTACAGTAGACATAGTAATTCAACAAACATCCAAGAACTGTCTGTTGTCAAGGGCGTCTTTTTGATCAACAGAATCCAATCAATTGCATAAGTCATCAAAAACAGAGCAGTCTCTCACTGTATCTTGAATCTAGAGGAGTATGCTATAGAAGTAAGATGGGTATTGTTGCTGTGCTGACGTAACCAGACTGGCGTCGGAACGGGAGAATAATCCGCCAGCTGAGCTCGGGTCAGCTACGTCGGTGATGTGATGGATCTGCCTGGTTCACAACTCATCCTACGTCCACTCCCAACTCGAATCCCATCTCTCCTCTACCGATTATACCCAATTCCCGTCGTACTCGAATTGTTCAGCTCATTTATTGCCCCGTGCATCTTCCATCGTCAGCATGGGGTCCGATCCGCAGTACCTCAAGTACCCCAACCTTGGCCTCGCCCAGCATGTCTTCAACATCTCCAACCCATCCTGCCCCAAGGCCCAACAGCAGACGTCATTACAGAAGGTCCAAGATGCCATCTCCGAGAATAAGATGGCTCCGTTCTATCGGCATCTCGCCCACCCCGTCGAGGGCATCCTAAATTACACCGGAGAAGGGGTCCCCCAACAGCAAGGGAAGGTCCTGATCGCGTCGAACATGTTGGCCTCCCGGAAGACTCCCCGCCAGGTTGATATGCCTTGGGATGAGTCTCTATATCAGTCGTTTGTGGAGGAGAACCGGAAAGAGCTGGATGCGTTCCAGAAGGAGGAGGATGAGGCGGAGGAGGCCGCGGGGGAGACGGAGGTGTTGGCCGCCCAGGGGAAGCGGGCTGAGTTCTGGGCCCGTGTAGGGGATAAGGTGAGATGACCCATGAGACGGAGGTTATGTGTTGTGGGGAGAGGCCGAATAAGACTGACACGGCTTGTGCAGGACAAAGCGATCGAATCCCACGAAACCCTCCTCGAGAAGACGACATTCTTGGGCACCAAGATTGACCTGGTGATGGCGATGATCCGTATCGGGCTCTTCTTCGGGGACCCCCTCTCGGTCAAGAAGAACATCGAGCGGGCCAATACCCTCATCGAGAGCGGTGGTGATTGGGACCGCCGGAACCGCCTCAAGGCCTACAAGGGACTCCACATGCTCACAATCCGCTCCTACAGTCTCGCCGCCCCTCTCCTCCTCGACAGTCTGTCTACGTTCACCAGTTACGAACTGTGCAGCTACTCTTCCCTCGTCATCTACGCCGTCCTCGCGGGCTCCCTGTCCCTGAAGCGCGTCGACTTCAAGGCCAAGGTGGTGGATGCGGCTGAGATCCGCGCGATCCTTGGATCGGCCGAGGACCGGGCGGCTGCCTTGACCGGGGAAGTCTCCTCTGGACAGGGTGCTCAGGATGAAGATATGAACGATGCGACGGGCTCCCGCCGCACGGCCGTCAATCTGACCGCGTTCTCGGGACACTCGGGTGTCCAGGCCGAGGAGGAGGTCCCCACGGACTTCTCCCCCCTCGCCAACCTGGTCAACAGCCTGTACACCGGCAACTACCGGAACTTCTTCCGAGCCCTCGCCGGCGTGGAGGACCAATTCTTGACGCAGGACCGATATCTGTACGAGCACCGTGCCTGGTTTGTGCGTGAGATGAGGCTTCGTGCCTACCAGCAGCTGCTCCAGAGTTATCGGGTGGTGGGGCTGAACAGCATGGCCAGCGACTTTGGTGTCACCGTCGACTTCTTAGATCGGTAGGTTTTACGTTTACCGACCCACTGGGTAGGATGGGGCATGATGACTGATTTACGCGTATAGGGATCTGGCCAAGTTCATCGCCAGCGACCGCATTGCCTGCACCATCGACCGGGTCAACGGCATTATCGAGACAAACCGACCGGACGATAAGAACAAGCAGTACGCCGGTGTCGTGAAGCATGGCGATGCGCTGATCACGAAGCTGCAGAAGTACGGCCAGGCCGTGCGGCTGCGGGGGAGTGAGCGGGGCTAAGGCCTCCATGGATGATGGCACGGAACAGAGGGAGGGGCAGAGCTTGGACTGTTGATTTGTTCATTTGATCTGGATCTTGATTAGAGCAAAAGCGAGCGAGGCTGCTGTATCATACATTAATGACAAAGAGCACATGACCTCGATCTACGCACCCGTGAGCATGTATCGTAGACTCTGGATCAACGCCTAGTAGGGTTCTCCGATCGTCGATGGCACTAGTAGATACAGATCATGTCTTTATCTTGAATCTCCATCTATCGACAATCTCCATGAGATGCACCCCTCAAGGAGGCAGGACCCTCATGGGTTTCTTGGCAGGGTCCTATAGGGAAATGAGGCAAGAAGAAAAGTGGAGGATCCAGACATTAAGGAGGCGACCAGCGTCGGAGAACCACATTCGGTAGGATTCCAACCAGACATTGAACCAGAACTTGTCTCCTTCCGTCCTCCTTCCGTCCAGTGTCCATGCTATCCAAGTAATTACTGACTTTAGGCATGGATATTGACCGGGAGTAACCGACCACGCCACATCCACGTGGCTGAGAATGAGTTCAGGCACATTGACCTCCGTCGTATATGTCCCTATTGTCTGACATGGCTGGGCATGGCATGACACGACCTGACACTTCTCGATCTGATCGAATCTTATCAAATCCCTTCGGTCCCTACCTAATCTCCTTCATCGACCGCAGCTCCGCACGATCATCGCAGCCTTCCCAATCAGGCACCTCGGAGGGTCGCCCTGAGTGGGCACGTGCTGAATCAGCCCACCGCCTTCCCCTTCGGGCGACTCGTAGATTTTTTCCTGTTTTGCTGCCTGAGTTTTCTCGCCATTCTTTTGGTCAACATCGAATCATCTTTCGCAACCGCTTTTAAGTCTCTTGTCAATCTCACCCCCGCTCCCCTCAGTGGAGAAAATTTAAATCGCGCAATTGGCGCGTCTAAGCGGTTTGGGGATTTCATTAGGAAAAAGAAATAGAAGAAGAAGAAAAAGTAAAATTATGTCGAGGCTGTTTAGGGTTGCCCCTCGTCTGCGGGCATCTCCGCGATCTTCTTCATTCTCCCGGCCGAATTACGCCTGTCAGACTTCGATCCTCTCCGCTGGCGCATCGAGATTTCGTTCAGGTATGGTTTGTTCCCCATTGCGCTTCGTTGTCTGTGTGTTCTGGATGTCCTACCATTGGATATGATGACGGTGGCGCGTTGGTTTTCATTCGGTGCCGCGTATCCGTGATATGCCCACATCTCCCCATCCCGTCGCGATTTTTGTGACATTGCCTTTCCCACTGGGTTACCCACTCTTGGCGCGCGGACCCAAATATTTCTGGAATACAAATGGGCCCGTCCTGCCGGCCAGAGAGAAGAAAGATTGATCTGTTTTTGCTCAAGTGCACGTCAAAGGATCAACTAACCGTCCCGGATCAACACAGAACCCCCCACCATGACCGTCACGAAGAGCACCCTGGCCACCGTGCCGCCGCCCCGCTGCCTGAACATCAACAACATCAACCCCCATATCAAGGAGGCCAAGTATGCCGTGCGCGGTGAGCTGGCCGTGAAGGCGGAGGAGTACCGGGTGCGACTGTCCCACGGCGACAAGGGCCTGCCGTTCGACAGCGTCATCTTCGCCAACATCGGCAACCCGCAGCAATTGGATCAGAAACCCATCACCTTCTTCCGTCAGGTGCTCAGCCTTCTCGAGAACCCGGTGTTGCTGGACAGCCCCGAGGTCCTCTGCTCCGCGCTGGGTTACCAGCAGGATGTCATTGACCGGGCCCGCACGCTGCTCGCCGAGGTCCAGAGCGTCGGAGCCTACAGCCACAGCCAGGGCGCCCCCATCATCCGCAAGAGCGTGGCCAACTTCATCGAGGAGCGCGACGGCTTCCCCGCCAACCCCCACGACCTCTACCTCACCGCGGGTGCCTCCTCCGGCGTGAGCACCCTGCTCAACGTCATCTGCAACGGCCCCGACGCCGGCGTCCTCGTCCCCATCCCCCAGTACCCGCTGTACACCGCCACCCTGTCACTCCTGAACGCCAACTGCGTTCCCTACCACCTGGAGGAGGACAAGGCGTGGGGCACCGACGCCAACGCGATCCGGAACTCCCTGGCCGCCGCCCGCTCCGCCGGAGTCGACGTCCGCGCCATCGTGGTCATCAACCCGGGCAACCCGACGGGCGCCTCGCTCAGCCCCGAGGACATCAAGAACGTGCTGGACATCGCGGCGGAGGAGAAGCTGGTGGTGATGGCCGACGAGGTCTACCAGACCAACGTCTTCGTGGGCGAGTTCACCTCGTTCAAGAAGCGCCTGCGCCAACTCCAGCTGGAGAACACCACCAAGTACGACGACGTCGAGCTGGTCTCCTTCCACAGCACCTCCAAGGGCATGGTCGGCGAGTGCGGCCAGCGCGGCGGTTTCTTCGAGCTCGTCGGCTTCGACCCCGAGGTCGTCGCCCAGATCTACAAGTACGTCAGCATCGGCCTGTGCCCGCCCGTCATCGGCCAGTGCCTGATGGAGCTCATGGTCAACCCGCCCAAGGCCGGCGAGCCCAGCTACGAGCTTTACCAGAAGGAGTACCAGGGGATCCGCTCGGGTCTGCAACAGCGCGCTCTGGCTCTGTATGAGGCGTTCCAGCAGATGGAGGGCGTTGAGTGCCAACAACCTGAGGTATTTCCCTTTCCCCTCTTCCTTCCTCCTTTCTCTGTGGAATAATCAACTAACAAACATATTCAGGGCGCCATGTACCTCTTCCCCGCCATCACCCTCCCCGCAAAGGCCATCGAAGCCGCGCAAGCCGAGAAGCGCGCCGCCGACGAGTTCTACTGCCTGCGCATGCTGGAAGCAACCGGCGTGTGCGTGGTCCCCGGCTCCGGGTTCGGCCAGAAGGAGAACACGCTGCACTTCCGCACGACGTTCCTGGCGCCGGGCACGGACTGGGTGCAGCGCATTGTGAAGTTCCACGGCGAGTTTATGGCGAAGTACAAATAGGGGGATTGATATATACGTGTAATGGTTGGTTCGGGAGGTTTGGGATTGGATTTGGATTTGGATGAAGATTATGATGATATAGACTTAGTTATACCTCTTGAGGGGAATTATACATATTGGGCTGGTACGCTGTATATGGAATGATGATTTGCATATGCTGTTTTCTTGGTAGTAAAGTTACTATTGAGTTATCTTGAGTAATATCTAGACAGCAACGTAGTTGAACGTATACCACCAACACAAAGCCCACAATCCCAGCAAATGTACAGCAGCAGCAGGAGCAGCAGTGGTACACGTACCACCCACCCATCCCAGCAGCAGCAATAGTACCCCGTAATAACAATCATAACAGCAAAGTGAATATAACAAAACAATTCCAAAACAATAACATCACATATTTTACTTGACTATACGACATTACAACAAACCAAGTAATACAAAGCTCCACCCACACCAACCCAAATTAATACCTCAAAACGCACGCAGATACCGAAGGTACCATACGTACCAAATAAAAAAAGCCAAGTCGACACAAGCCTCTGCCCACGAAGCTTGTCCTCTGCCGCTATCCGTCCCTTCCCTTTCCCTCGCTTGCTTGCTTGCTTGCTTCCGCTTGCCTTGCTTGCATTGTTGGGATGGATTTGAGACCTGGGTAAATGCCTCATAGTTCTTTCTTTCTTTCTTTCTTTTCATTATATACCTGGTTGATATGGTATATGTGTGTCTTGTATGGTATGTATGTTGGGTTTTTCTTATGTATTGTATAAATATGTATGACCGAGGACGATTCAAGTGATCCCTACTATGTAGTCGATGTCTACACTATAGGTCTAACGTCACTGATTCTGTACACACCTGGTAGTCCGAAGGCATCCTTGAAAACAGCCAAGTCAATTCCGTCCGAAGAGAGAGTGTGTGTGTGTCTATCTATCAATCTATCTGCCTGTTCCAGGGTTGACAGACACGCAGACAGACGTTGGGGCTAATTCCCCGAACTCCTTGACGAACTGACTGACTGACTGACTGATGACGCACGCCATCACTTTATCATCAGCTGTAGATTTGTTTTCTTCCCAGGGGTTACGGAGTACTCCGGAAGGATACTTGAATCACTGATTGATTGCGACGCACATTCCTCCCTCCCGTGTCTACCACCCACCACATACATACATACCCCTAGCCTGAAGATGAGCATAAGTAACTAAAGACAGGGAACGGGAAATAAATCGCAATCCATGAACTCACATAAACCTGCTACTTACCTAGTAGGTCAGTGGGACACATGTATTTACATGCATTACGATGACTAGGGTTCGAACTCATGTTTCGCGGTGTGATACATACATACATACATACATACAATACTGTACAAAGGGATGGACATATTCCGGAGAATTATAGTAAGTTAGTCACAGGGTACTTGCTTACTAGTGACTCAACACACCGCTACTGTACATGTGGAGTTGAGGTTGGGGTGGAGGTTGTGCTGTCTACACCGCTTCACTTTCACTCCACCGGTTACTATGCAGGTATTGTGTGTGTATGTGGAATAGAAATATATGATGGTATCAGTTTATGATTTCAATTTATGCAAGAAAACGCAGCCAGTGTTGTAGTGTATATTGGAAATCAGGGATATCTATTGGGTAAACAAAGAAGATGGAAAAAAGGGTGAGGTCAAGAAGAATGAATGGGTCAAGGATGGGTCTATGTGCAAACAGCAAGAAAAGGTGTAGAAAGGAAGGTCAAGGTTGAAAAATGGCACAAATATAGCACGTACAGCACGGTACAACAGTCCAGCAGTACAGAAAAGCAGTACAGCAAATACAGCAATACAGCAATACAGCGAGCAAGAAAATAAACGAATTCTTGATAATTCAATGCTATGGTATACCTGGGGCTAATGGAAACAAAATTCTGGCATTTATCATCATCGCTCATCAAGGTCATGACGACGGAGCGTCACGCAGACGGTGTGAGGGTGGTGGTAAGGTGCCGCGCACTGTAAAAGGTTTCCCCCGAAGGGGTCGGTGCTATTGGCCCCAGGTCGGGAAGTATCCGCGGTCGTCGCTGGCATTGTTCTCGTCCAGGGGTGGGGGTCCCGGTTCGAACAGCCCCGCGGCCCAGACGGGGTCCGTGGGCGACGTGGTGATCGGCAGACCCGCTGGTGTCTCCATCGGTTTGAACCCAGGCGCCTCGGTCAGCTCGTAGGGCTCCTGCGATAGGGCCTTCCCGTCCATGCCCAGATTGGCTTGGAGCTGGTGTTCCAGCGCCGCGGTGGACTCGTTGGCCGACTTGAGGAAATCGTCGATGTTGATGGACTCCAGCTGATTCGACGACAGCAACTGCACCTGGGGCAGACCGTTGTACGACGACGCCGAGCTGATGCGGTACTGGTCGATATCCGACGACTCGCTCGCGCTGTGGAGTTCGCTGCCGGCGGTCCCGAGGCCGGGGAGAGGCGCAAAATCCTCCACCTCCGAGATGTCGCCGGACGACGACGGCGCCGCGAAATTGGGACCCATCGAGTTGTAGTCGAAGCTGGCGTACGAGGGCGCCTGGGTGCTGGGCGCCGGAACGTCCGACGAGTACAGCGGGAAGCTGGACCAGTCGACCGGCGGGGCGCTGAATGCGGTCGAGTGCTGCGGCACCTCGGTGTCGGGAGACGTGAAGTACGGGTCCTTGTACGGGTCTTGGAACGGCAGGCAATTCACCGGCGACGGGTTCGAGTTCGGGAACGTGGAGTACGACGACACGTCGAGTGGGGGGACGCTGGTCACGATCGGGTCCACCGAGGACTTCCCCATGGCGACGCGTGAGGGCTCGGACGGGTGACCATCGGAGGGGGTGTGGTCCATGGACGGGGCGGCGGGAGGGAAGAAGGACGAGAGATCGAGCGGGGGGACGACGGTGGGATCGTCCGCGGGCATGACGGGTGCGCTCTCGGGGGATGCGTGCTCGGATTTGACGCGGCGCGGGAGGCCATCGGGGACGTGGTCGAAGATGGGGTGACTGGAGAAGGTGTCACCCATCAGGGCGGCTTGCGACAGCGGCAACTGGTCGACGGAACGGCGGGCCACGTCGGACGTCGCGTGGATGGTATGCGACCGGGGTATCGTGTAGGGGAGCCCGCACTTGTGCGCCATGTCATTGTGTTTGTGGGCGGGCTTGTGATGGCCGTCGCGGAAGATGGTGAGGGTGCTCTCCGACTTGGTCGACGTCAACTGGGGCTTTTTGGGCGGCTCCGAGAGGACGGAATGCGGAGGCGGGGGGAGGCCAGTTTCCGGGACAGGATCCAGGTGGGGTTCCTTCTTCAGCGCACAGGTGCAGCGCTGTCCATGACTGCAGCCACATTTTGCATGGAAATCCTCTGTAAACTCCACATCAGAAACAAGGAACCAGGGTCACCATCACCAACATGCTCACGCTTGAGATCCCGTCTATCAAAGAAGTGGGGATCTGAATCATGCTTGTGGCTCTTTTTCTTGTCACCACACTCGCACTTGGTGTGGGTTGTCCGAGACTTGCGTAGGCCACGACAGTGAGCGCATTGAGAGACTGGGCGGCCCTTTTTATTGATATGGGTCAAGGGGCGGTCTACCTTGTTAGTATGGTTGGCGACTCGGGAGATGGGAAGATCAAGGAACATACCACTATGGTGACAGCTGCTGACACGGTGACCCCGGACGCAAGCCTCACAAGCCCACTTCTCACCATCGATCAACATCGTGGTTACCGGGTGGAGAACATGCGACGAGTCGCGACAACGATGAAATCAATAGTAAGATAGAGAGGTTCTCTCTAATATCTTTAGTCCTGTAGATCTGATTTTTTTTTTTCTTCTTTTCTTTGTATTTTCTTGAATCGCTTCAAGTCTTTTCAAATATCAACCGAACAGGAAGACCTGCCGGGGGATAGGAAAGGGGCCGTCAAGGCGAGAGACTGAGGATCAGGGAGTACAGTCCGTCAAGCAGATCGGACCGACTAGAAAGCAAGGAAAACTCCAATTAAAGCAGGGGTATCTTCAACTAATATCCCAATGCACCAAACTGAGTCATAGAAACGCCGTTTTCACCAGTAAAAAAGGCAGAGTCGCAACTGGAGGCCACACGGGTAGACTACCTGGATGGGGAGGCGCAAGAGCCTTTACCAAGGAATCAGGTACAGGATGGAGGAAGAGAAAAGTGATAATTGTAGGCAGTCGATCCGGGACTAGAGACAAGGCCAATCGAAGGACATCGAAAAGGCAGAGAGACGAATGACAAGGAAACAAGACGAAAGAAACGAACTGCGATCGGGGGGCCAAAGCCTACGCACCGTTTGGCGCCGGCCGTGAGACAGGACACCAAAAACCGGCTGTGGCGGCCAAGAAGGCGGGAAAAGGCGATCGATCGGAGGGCAGAGTTGGAGAAAACCCTGTGAAGAGAAAGGAAGAAGAGAAAGAGAGGAAAAAGAAGGGAAAGGAAAGGAAAGAAAAGGGAGGCGAGAGAGCGAAGGAAAAGGGACGAGAGGAAAAGGCGGGAGAGAGCGAGAGCGAGAGAGAGAGAGCGAGAGGGGGCAGAACGGGCAGTTGGTCTGTGTGCGTATGGTAAGGTTACCAGGACGATACGATGACTCGGACGTCACTTGAACAGGATACATGCTTTTATATATGTTTCTATACGTATATATTGATAATCATGATCTATTATCTATTACGATACAATTCTGATGTTTCAATACTTATTATCAATTCTCAATTATTATTAATCTTATTGCATACCATATCAATTCAACCACAAGTAGAACCAATTTCTAGACAGTTAAGACCGGCTGGCCACCGCGTATCTTACCGGTATATACCCCGTCATATGGATGGACCCTTTTTCACCTCATGCCTGGGTGGGTTTGGTCGCACGTTGGCATTATCAAACCGACACCACGATGGAGACCTCGAATCGTCAGAACATTTACATTGGGTAATTGAACCTTTCTGTTGACCAGACATGAATCTCAACTTCATTGCTATGACTAACGACAAGACCAAGTCGCATTCAAATTGGTAATATTCCCAGACCTGTCGAAACACGAAACACATCAAGAAGCATGTACAGATCATCCTAGGGAATCGTGCCAATGACGGGGTTTTGTCACTGCAAGGGGATTTGCGGCGGTGTCGTAGGGGGATAACCGCGATTCACGCCTGAATCGAGACTATACAAGAAAAGAAAAAAAGACAGGAAAACAGGAAAGCAAGATTCGAAAGAAACCGGTGGAGCCGAGAGCGAGGCTAAGCTGGAGATAGGTCTTAGGGTTGGTTTGTTAAGATTAGTAGGGGACTTGGGGGGCAGGATTTGGGGGGGAAGTGGTGGAAGGACTGGAGGAGTCTAGGTGGGGGAGGGGAACCGACTTGGCCTAAAACTCTGTCGACCGACTGGACTCCACGTATCTCTGGGGCAGAAACCGGACCGGTTGGCCTGGCCATTCCCCACTGGGTATTATTATACTGTCAGATGGTATCGTATCGTTTGGTATGGTATGAGGAGCCATCCCAGTATCAGGTAGACTCAGTAGTATAACAATGCCAATATAGACATCACCACAACACCTATTAACCATTCCGACTAGATATCTCCCTACCTATCTATGTAGTCAGATGTCCATAACACCATGCACCTGGGTATTTACCTAGTAGGTAAGAGGTAACCTCCGAGTGCAGGACATTATCCAATCCCGTCCCCAGCCGCCCTCGCCTCGCCTCACCCCCCCCTTCCAGGAGAAATCCTTCTAGAAAACTCATTCTTGGATCTTCCATGCAGCCCCAAATCTCCAACCATTGGTGGTCCGGGAATCTGGATGGGAACGTGCGGTGGACAGGGCAACTCACGCTGGACCATGGTCGAACCTGTTGTGGTGACCAGCCAACCAGCATCCCGGCCGCTGACTGCCCCCGTGGCGCCCGGTGCCTTTTTTGCGCCCCCCTCCAGCTTTTCCAGTTTTTGTTACACGTCTTTATGCAGAATATCAGTCAGAATAGGACGGGAGATGGAGAGGACTTATGTCGAACTACTGTGGGTGCAATGTGGTATGTACTCCTACCGTGGTATACTGCAGGTGCATTTTCAGCTCTTTGTCTGCTGTTGGGTGGTATGGTCAGGTACGGCAGTACTGCTGCTTACGGGGTTAACACCCTAGTGGTGATCCTGTACGGTAATATACAAGGCTAGCGCACGATCCAAGTCATCCCACTTCTCACTTCTCACTTCTTACTTCTACCTGATTATCGGTCTTTCCGATTGAAGCGGACAAGAAATAAGAGAGGAAAAGATGAACAGTCACAGCAAGAACAGACAAAGTCAAAACCTCAAAAACCAACTGAGCACCAATCACACCTCAATATAAAAACCCCGACTGGCATCAACTCCGAATAAAAGAGGCCCGAGTAACAAAAGACTAGTAAGCATCGTCCATACTAGCCCCGTTACTTCTCCCTTACAAGTCATGAGTTCCACTGCGGAATGGCGTCACAGCTGCTCGTTCGGGGCATCTGCAGTCGCCGTCGGTCAGTCAGGTGGGCGGGGCCTGATCTGCACCACGATGGTGGATGGTCTGTTGTTGTCCAATCGTGGCGGTGTCTATTGTTATTTCCGTCGCGGGTTGCTTCGGCCATCTTGTCCTTTCTTTTTCCTGGTTAGTTCGATGAGACCCTTGACTAGGTAGGTAACTAATCTCCTTGATGGAGTTTTAGTTGGAAGTTAACCTGCTAGCCCCCGGTGGGGATGACTTCTGCCTTCTTGTGTCGTCCACCTGCTACTTATTTGTTAATATTTTCCAAAATTGTCTTCGGTAGATATATCAACATTGAGATCCAGGATCCAAGCCGGAACATAATCATCCATAAGGCAGAAACAGAAACAGAAACAGAAACAGAATCAGAAACAGAAACAAAAACGGATCAGAGGTCGGAGCGTATCTAAGCGCCTCGATTTCAACCCTGCTTTCTCTACTAGTCAACCCCTGGGGACGGACAATTCAGTTTCCCTGTTTTAGTAACCGGCCCCGTCAAGCCTAGCCCTTCCCCCGACGCTATCCTACTTTGACTTGGTGACTTGACTTGACCAGACTTGACTTTACCTTGACCGGCCAAGCCTGACGAGACTAACCATGACTATTATTGTTTATTACCCGTTAGTAACACCCTTTCTGGGCGGCGGTGGACCGGGAGGGTCCGCCGGCACCGCCCAACTCCATTTCCCGAACAAGGTCGACTCCACGGGAGACACACAATCTCATTGATCGTGCGCAGCTCGGGCCCAATTTCTTGCCGAGAATGATGGTTAAGTTACCTGTCTTGAGTTTTGTTTTTCAGATTGAGGCGCCAGAGCCACCCTCGGATAGAATGAATATTGTCGAACCGTTGGGTAACCCGTCCCATCTCGATCCAGCTGACGAGTCAGTCTGTCTCGTCTATTGGCTGCTGGACGTTAGAGAATCGATCCGTAGATGGGGGATATGGAAAACGTAGTGGGCCTGTTTCAGATTCACTTTTTCTCAGCCCGCTGCTGCGCTGTGCGCGCGCCGCGCCGCGCTGCGGCTGGTGTACCCCAACCCCAACCCGACCCGACCCCAGCTAACGGACCGTGCCCTGTCAGCCAGCCCTGAGGGAGAATTCGGGTGATGGTCAGAAATTTTCGAGTATAAAAAAAATGATATAAATAAAAATGACACGTAAAAGTAAAATAACGAATTGAAAAGGAATCAAACCAAATCAAAGAGATCAAGAGGAAAATAGGGGGATCGTCTGTCATGCATACCCCAGAACAGATACAGTAGTCAGTCACTAGGTAGACATGAGGAGCACTATACTGGTTTTTCACCCTTTCATGATGACCGGCAGTGAGAATCAAAATTGATTCGAATCCTTCTGGTGGCTTTGCCTTGCCAAGACTGAATCCTGGAGAAGTAATTTTCAGGGCGCTGAATTTTTTCCCCATAAGCACTTTGAGGCGATCATATGTATATTGGGTTGGGATATAATAAGAATAGATATAGAACAGTAGAATAGAATAACGATATTCTGGTATTCTATCCAGAGAATTTTGTCAATTTGTTAAGGTAGACATTAGACATCATATACCGAAGTCCTCCGTAGATGCCTCGGTGACTACGGACGCTACGACCGCTCCGGCGAACTCTATGCGACTTCATTCATTCATTCGCACAGACCTGAACTAACTAAAGCAAATGCCCTGTCAAACTTGACGTAGTTGGAGAGCACTCGGTAAAACCCCGTAAGGCCAGTTGATCAGATCCGGAGAGAAACAACGTTGCATTGCCTGAGATGCGCGAGGATCAGACACCTAGGGTCAATCCGGGAGAACGCATACGGGCTGGCCTCTGATATGTGAATCCTGTCCGATAGGGGCTGAAGATGACGAGAGTAAGCCAGCCTCGACTTGAGATCAGATCCATCGAGAGGAGGAATGTATTGAGTACTTCATGTGAAAGTATTGATGACCATGTGTAAGACCGACCGACACTGGGCGCCGTGATGGAGGGTTATGCTGACGCTTGGCGGCCAGGATATATGACGTCTGTAGGTATGTTGTGAGTTAGGTACTTGACTATGCTGAAATTATATGCGTTATCATGTAGAATTATATATGGAATTGCTGCTGCGGCTGAAGATCCAGTATCTATACTGGTCATTAACATGGATATCTATTGAGGGAACAATGATGGGGAAGAAGTTCAACGTAGGCGGACAGCCTATACGCCTTAACGTGAGGATAGCCTGGAGCGCACCCAACACGTCTTTCGGTAGAAGACAATATTGATTGAATTCGTAAAGTAGGAAAATTGTGAAAGATAGTTAGACTGTATAAATGATCCAGATGAGCAGGTAGGTTGGATTATTTCACGGCCTACTCGAGGTATCGTGAATTTGGTGGCGTATGAGATCTCCCAACGGCTTCATCCAGATCGGTCACGATCGCTGAACAGAGGATGGAGAAGAGAATCTTCTAAATCCAAGCCAAATTTGACAGTATTCAAGTCCGATATCAATGGTGGATGTTATCCTGAGTCGATAATTTATCAGAAAGACTAGAGTCTGGGCCGGTGGGAAATAGTATTAATCCGTCGCTGGACGCAGAAACAAAAAGCCGGAGCTCCGCGTCGGCGCGATCATCCCAGAATGAAACTATATCCTCGATCCCCGAAGCTCGCATGGAAGTCGCAGAGTTCGAGTTTTCTACATTTCAATCGCGCGATCACCATCATGTTTGTTGTGTCTAGCCCACAGCGCCGAGGGCATTCGGCGCTAACCCCTTCAAAAATAAAAATTCTCTCCCCGCCCAATTTTAGCCTGTAAAACCTTGCCTGCTGGCAACCTCGCGTCTTCTTCTTCCCTTCCAACAACTCTCGTCCCCTGCACCTTCGTCCGGAGCATCCGCTCCACCCCCCACCACCACCCATCAACCTCCCACCGTTTTGACGCGTTTTTGCCTTCGCCGGTCACGATGAATCCCCGCGAACATTCCGATATGCCTTCCACGGCCTCCTACCCGTCCCCTAACTCGGCGCAGATCGGTCAAGGTGCCATGCAGTACTACGCGAATCGCCAATTGACCGCCGACGAGCTCCTGTCCGCCGAGCTCTCCCGCGAAACCTCCGGCCCCGGCCTCGCTGATGGATCGGGTAACGGTGTTCACCATGGGCAATCGATGGTTCTGGGTTCCTCCAACCCCGGTGGTGCCGACATGGGCCGCCCTTCCTCGCCCGACCAACATCAACAACAGCACATGCTGCAGTTCACTCCGAGCCAGCAAGTCGGCGTCGATCCGAACCACGATCTCAGTTATGGTGACCAGAGTGCGAGGAGGAAGCGATCGAAGATTTCGCGCGCTTGCGACGAATGCAGGCGGAAAAAGGTACCTACAATGTTGATGGACTGGTGGGCGCCGCATGGGGCGTTGTCTGGGGGCGTGCTAACGCGCTTGTCTCATAGGTCCGTTGCGATGCGAGCTCCGAGACTGGTGTCGAGACGTGCTCCAATTGTCGCCGGCTTGGAGTCGTGTGCCAGTTTAGTCGTGTTCCGATGAAGCGTGGGCCGAGTAAAGGGTAAGAAATGCGCTTGGAATTTCACCCCCGGTGACCCCGACTGACGGATGTGTATAGCTACATCAAGGAACTTGCTGAGCGTCTGCACACTCTCGAAAACCAGATGCAGCCCGCAATGGTCCATCCCGATATGTCGTATCAGGCGATGAACGAGGTGTCGTCACCGCGAGCCTACCAGGACTTTTCGCCGCCCATCGATACGGGTCCCATCGGTGGTCGCAAAAGGACATACTCTGTGTTTGAAGGATTGCCGAGCTCCTCCTTTACCCAGCCGCCGTTCAATACGCGGTCGCAAAACGCTTTCGGTTGGTATTTTTTTTTTCGTGTTGCTTGGGTCTGCGTACTGACAGCCCTAGATGCCGCAGAAACCTCGCCAGATCCAGTCCAACCCGCGGTCACAAACGACTCCGCGCCGAAGCCTGGGAATCTGTTTTGGTCCACGGGCAACGAGAATGGACTGCCGACGGGAATGGAGATGCCTGACGTGGCGAAGAACACGATGGATGATGACATGACCCCCATGGACGTCGATGAAGGGGCGCTCAATGCGTAAGTGTCGTGCCCGTCAGCTGTCCGAATCTAGGATTCTGACTGTCTGCAGCTATTACGCCAAGATTCATCCCGTACTCCCTGTTTTACCGCACACGAAGGAGCGTTTGATGGAACTTCTCCACCAATGCAGCCGTGAGGTTCAGGAAATATTCCTTTACAGTTTATACACTGCGACAGCGACGAACCTGGATCGGGTCGTGTCTACCTTCGAAAGGGTGACGTCCTTCGACAATGCACAGGACCTTCTTCTGTATTACACGCGACAGCCATCGATCCTCCGCTCCAACGGGGCCAATTTGATATGGCTCCAGTCTACGCTACTCATGATCATGGATTGCGATTCGAGAGGACCCGACAATTTTGTGCTCAAGGATGGCGTACCCAAACAATCCTTGATCCAGTCTGCTCTCAAGCTGGGTTCCGACATGGCAAAGGGCCTGGGACAATTGAAGAGCAAACGGTCATCGGAGCCGGACGTTGACTCGGATGCGAACCTGGTGCGCCGTAACTGGGTGTCTTTGGCTATCCTGACGCGCTGGTACGCCATTAGCGTGGCGGACCCTAGCGTCCTTGGATCGCAGGAGATCGGTGGCCGGGAAGATGAGCGGGTCGTCGGTTCGATCACGACGGGGATTGGCTGTATGTTTGACCGATCTAGTTCATCTCCATTTGACTCGCAGACCTTGCTAACTGGTGACTTGCAGCATACTCCACATTCCTTATCGAACTAGTCACACTAGCCTCGCTCGACCACAACGTTTGCCAGTCGAATACAGGAACCGGTCGCATGGTCGCGGCTAACCTGATGGCATCGCTTGAGCGTCTAAACGAAGTCGAAGATTTCCAGAAGCCCCATGAGATCCCGGAAGAGACCGCCCCCCCGAGCTTCATGGAGAGTCTCCAGAACCAACTTTACTGGACCGTGCGGCTACTCATCAAGCGGCACATCTTCGTCTACAGTCCCTACGAGATCGTCTACAGCGCCGAAGAAGTCATCAACGAACTGCACAGAGCAACAACACAGTACTCCCGGATCGCCACGCCCTTCGACCTCCACAGTCTAGCCCTCGCATCCATGACCCTCCTCGAAGCTACCGTCCTCCCCGAATACGCCAACGAGTGCTGGGACGCCCTGAAAAAAGTCGAAGAAATCCTCGACCACCGCTCCAAATGGACCGCCGCCGGCGCCGAATTCAGCAACATCTTCGCCACCCCTGGCTGGGACGCCAAGATCCGCCTCTTCCTCGAATGGCGGCGCGCAAAGGCCCAGGAAAGCCAACTCCAAGATCCTACCTCCGTCTCCTCCTCCACCACCTTTGGCAAGAGCGGCTCCGCCGCCCCGCCCGTCATGGGCCCCAACGAGCAGCGCTCCCTCCAGCATCTCGCTGATCTTGCCGTCGGCGCGGAAGGCTCCGTCGCGGCTAACAACAACTCGGGGACCCCACCGCCGGCCCTCCCCTCGACAGAGAATAACATGGGCGGTGGTCCCACGTCTCCGAATCTGACTGCCGTGGGGCAGCCGCACGGCCGTGTGGTTGTCGACTTTACCCTCTTGACTAAGGAGGGCTACCTTAATGTCTTTTCGGGGTTGATCTACAGGCGATCTCGTTGAGATTGGTGGATTGGATCTTTCTGATAGGGTTTATCTCAGTATTTTAATATTATCCATACTCTCTCCGAACCAGAAGAGAATGAACGAATCTTCTCTTCTGTGGAAAAGTTGTCTATTGAGATACTGCTTTGATATCTTTGATATGGTTCTTTCCCTTTCGAATCTTTTCTTCTTTTCTGGGTTCATTACTATTTATCTTCCTCCTTTTTTTGTCCGCCGCGTTCCCTGATATGTCGTGCGTGATTTGCGACTGACTAGCGGGATATTCTTTATTATTTTCATTTTTTTTTTATCTTTCTTAATTAGGCTTGTATTTGTAGGAAAGAAATAGCTGAACAAAAAACCCCCTTTCTCTATTTATCAACTTGGGTCTTGTTTCTTGAATCGGTGGCTTTGGGTATGGTCATTGTTATATGTAATGCAACGCAGCGTAAATGCCTAGCAAATAAGCCCCCTTCGGTAGATAGAGTATTGAAAAACAAGTAACAAGTACTCGATCGAATATGTGATATGCAGTATAAATACTCAACGACGAATGAATACCGCTAATGGTATATGATATACTCAATGGGAAGGAGAGACAAAAGTCCCTAGTATCTAGTATCTGAAGTTGTACTCACTTCCCGAGCGCAATTCGCACCCATGCACCCTCGACGTCCTGGCACAGTTGCAGGAATGAATCGTCGTCGATGTGCTCGCAGATCCAGTTCTGTAGTTTTGAGGTTCGTTGCTGGGTGGGCTCGGATAGGTATGATGATAGGTCTAGCATGGTGAGTTCGTTTGGGTGCTGCTGCTGTTGCTGCGGAGATTTGTGAGTGGTGCTGGGGGGAGGTTTTGGCTCGGTGCTGGGGCCATTGGTATTCTGCTCGGGTGAGGTGACACAGATAGAATTGTTTGTTGGTGGTGGTAGGTGGGTTGCTATGTCGATGGGGATGTTAGGGGCACCATGGTGATATCTCAAAGTGAGGAGTTTCGAGTTATGGGGCTCTGGTCTTGGTTGGACTTGTGTGTTCCACGGATCTAGACTTGATACAGGTCCTGCGAGGTCCGTTTGTCTAGAACCTACATTTGTCGAGTCTAGTCAGTCAGCATACAGGTAGTACCGCCGGTTGGGTTATGGATAGTAACACAAAGAAGGAAGTGAACGGTGTACTCTCTTTGACCCACCTGTGCAGCAAATCGGTCCTCGAGACGGCCCCGGTCCGTGTGCAACCGTAGCGGGTCTCGCTGTTGTCGTGCACGCTCGCTTTGCGGCTGGGTTCGCAAACGGGAGGTCTCGCTTCGGGGGTAGAAGTTCCTCCAGTGGTCGGATAGCACGGACGGTTGTTGCCGTGGAAGGTCTAGGGGGTACTTCCTCTTGGGGGCTTGCGTGGGCCAGAGACGTGCTCAGAAAATATGGAGACTCGGCCTGCCTGCTTGGCATTGGGTGTTGTTCGTGTCTCGCGCTGTTATGATGTGCTGTTGCGTGTTCTGTAGTGGCTGTCATGGTATAGCCAGTACCCGAAGACGAAGGCAGCGAGGGACCTGTCGTAGATGTCAGCAAAAGGAGGCTCTTTGTAAGATACTGTGCTACTTGGGATATTGCTTTACCGACTGTGACGCTAGACGTTCTTTCATGTGTCTCGCTTGTGGGCAGGTGAGTTTGAAAGACACCGTCAACGGTGGTTGAAAGGTTAGACAGGGATGGAGGAGGATGAAATGTACTCATTGATCTTGAGACAGCAGGGAGCAATTCTCGGCGCCATTGGGATGAAGATGGCCTTGTTGGTTGGACAAGAGTTCCAACGTTGGATTCCGAGAATGGACATTTTATATCACTAAGTATGGAGAGAGCTGTATAGTAGTCACGGTCCAAAGAGAATTTGATCTGGAAGCGTCGTATCTGCAGATTTATTAGACCTTGAATATTGTGCACTTTCTGTGGTACGCACATAGGTTTTCTCCGAATATCTTACTGCTAGACACGGCAGTTTGATGACAATAGCGGTGTTCGGTTTGGTATGTGTCTGCTGAGTCGGTGATGGATTGGAATTGGATGATTCTTGTGCGATCTTGGAAAGGTCAACTGTCTCCTGCCATATCGTACCAGAGATTTTCAGTATTTCTCGCTTTTCTCTCATGTTGCTTATATGCTCTTCAGATTTTGACATGGCGACACACCAGTATTTCCCTATCTCGAGAGATCTTCATGAGCACTTTCTCCCCGGTAGAAAGTGTTCTAGGGCATCTTTCAAATAAAACGATGATATCACCGTTACTGAAAAGATGAGACCAAGTGAGAGGGCCTTTATAGTTGATGGAGGTGGTTGTGTGAGAGAATTTGGTCAGAGGCAGACGAGAAAGTTGAGTAGGGCCCTGTGGGCGCTGAGAGAGTGAATGCATTGTCGTCTCAGAGCATCACTATGAGTGCAAGGAAGAAGTTCCTTAATAACTCAAGAATTGAACGATGTGGCTTCATAGCTGGAAAGATCAGCGAAGAAGAATCCTGAATTGTGAGGCTGGATTCTAGAACAGGTGACCATCCCTCCTAGATGTACCCAGCATAATTCTGGATAAGTTGTACATGCTTGGTCGATCTTGGTCATCTCTTTCCCCCACGATATACATCTTTCTAAATCTGTTCCTTCCATTCAAACCGAATATATAAGGATAGGATAAGGCAAGTGTCCATAAACTATGCCACAACTATTACTCATGCATCAGAAATCCATAGGATGTTTAGTTACTGATACATATTGTAGATGACAATTGACAACGCTGATAACGACAATATTTACGAACAGAGGATGGACCATCGATTACAAGCCATCAGGACGGACAAGCGTCTGATAATGAAAATATATTTGCCGTTGCTGATCACTGGAATGGGGAGGCGATGCCCATAAACACCCCGTCAACCTGCGCTGTCGATGTCAAAACGGACAATTGCCCACTCAAACATTTCATATGTCAGCAGCCAAGGTATGCCTACAACCGAGATAGAATAACTATCCCTCGAGATGACTGGACAGCTCCCAGCAGCATGGCCCATCTATGATCTAAGTGGCCAATTTTAACTTTGATACTCCAACAGGTTGAAATCTTTCGAAAATCAGGGCCAGCATTTGTTGTGAGTGTCGAATCTCACCATCGACCCACAGTCGCATCGCAATGATGATTCAAGAAAGCCCCAGATCAATCTCAGTATGCCAATACCTGTATCTCTCCCCAGACACCATGGGTGGGACCTTTCGATGGGTGGCTCGAGTGACTATCCGCGGACCCACCCGGAACCAAAGTCTCCTCCGGCCTGGACTGTTAGGGCTGCGGAGTACTTGGGCTGCACTGCCCAGGACACAGATTCAGGTTGAATACATGGACTGTGAGCATACTGTGATCAATATTGGCCATGGTTCGATCGACCTCTGATGATTGTGCTCTGACATCAGGGTCCTGACATTTTCAAAGTCGAATCATGACTTTAGTATGACGTCCTAGAATGCTCAAGTGTTATAATTTGACATAAACAGACGCACATTCATTCCTCGAATCTCAGTTTCTAATTAAGACAAAGAGCTTCTCCAGTTGCCTATTTATCAAGACATCATGGCATCCAACACCAATCCCGGAAATTTCGCCAACCGTCCTCACGAGGAGGTAGAGAACATCGCCAAACAAGGTGGTCGATCCAGCCACGAAGGCGGATTTCACCATATGGACCCGAACAAACAGGTAAGTATAGTTGCCCAAACATTGACCTCAATTCTAGCAGTACTAATGAGAGTGTTCTTTAGAGAGACATTGCCTCTATGGGCGGCCAAGCTTCAAGTGGCAGCTTTGAGCCTGGAGACCCCAGAGCCCGGGCAGCCGGCCAGAAGGGCGGTTCAGCTCGCCAGATGCCAGAGGAGTAAGGAGATTTCGATATTTAACTTGTGGCTGTTTTAGTTCTTTGAGAGGTTTGGTGTCTATAATTTTCACGCATATCAAATTAATGCTGTTCCGATGATAATGTATTACAAATTGTAGCCGTGGATAGCAACGGGGCAGCACATATCTAACTAGTTCTACATCAATGATTTTCGTGCAAGCGCCCCTATCAAAAAGAAATATACATAATTGACTGTCCTCTCTAGAACACTAATATATATCTTCGAAATTTGCAGTTATAAACGAGTTCTAGGATATATAAAAAAAGCATAATGTCAAAGCGGGGATATGCAGACTGACTGAGCCAGAGGGATCAGAAACCGACCGCGATAACCGTGAGAGCGGGAAGTTGATGACAGTTAGTGATCTCGTCACTGAGGACAAGTTGAACTGATAGTGAGCAATACTTTCCCTGCCAATCGATACGGCGTCGGTCCGCTCCCGATCCGCTTGCTATGCGAGGTTGTAACCTCGGTCTGCAGCATCAACATCTTCCGTACCGGACTGGCGGAGCTGGGAGAAGCACCGAGTAACTTGAGGATGTGTGCGGCTTCAACCTTCTCCGACGGTCATGTTGCGCATGGATAGGCCATTCGCAGTTCACACGGATTTTCTTGCAGAGGCTATGTTCATATTCACAGCAAGTATAAACTGCTATGCCTCTGGGGGTCTATTCTCACGACCGGCCTGCGCGTTGCTCTCTCCACCGAGGACCACATCGAATGACAACCCATAGTAGCGGCGCATTCGCAAACGTGACAAGCGCAATTAACGTAAAACACCACCCTCGCCCCATCCCGTCCAGCATGGGCTGCAGTAGCGCGGTGGCGCCAGCCCCGAACAGGCACCGGACAAAGTGTCTCGACGCCGCAGCGGCGGACGCATTGGCTGGATACAAATCGACAAGCAAGGTACAGACAATGCTATTTGCAGCCGTCATACACCCCCCGATGAAGAATAGCAGTGTCGTCGGAACAGCCAGGTGCACGCCGAACTCCAAAACCCACCCGAAGGCGATCACCGCGAGGTTGCCGATCGTCAGAAGCGGGAAGACCGCTTGGAGACGCGCCTTTTCGATGGGGAAGCCAGCCAGGTTCCCGGGGTTGGTGTGGGTTTCGTGAAGGGGGATATTCAGGTGCGCCGCGAGACGTTTGTAGTTGTAGTCTAGGACCTTTCATGTGCCGATGCAGGCTATGGCGGCGCCCACGCCTAGGGGAAGATAGCACAACCCGATCTGGAGCGCGTTCAGGCCGTACAGCTCCTTGCAGATGGAGGGGATGCAGGCGCAGGCTTCATAGTAACTGATTAGTAGGATGGCGTTTGACAAGAGAATAATACCAATATCCTTTTGGAAGATGACAGAAAACGTTTTGGTGGGATTTGGAAAGCCAATTCGGGGTCATTTCACCGCCGCATGACTTGCAATTCCTTTATGCCTTCCTCTCATCCCCCGATCAATCCTGAGTATGGCGACAGCGAAGCCCGCGTGTTGCTTCAGCGCATCCAGCCATCACTCCTTCTGACGTCCTCCGGACGTGCAGCGAATGGGGCTGCAAATGGTTTGGGAATCCGCGTGGCGCAATGTCTCTGGGATGCAAAAACCCGGTTCGTCCTGCTAGAGCCCTCAGGCAGCATGTCGGCACCTCGACCGATGACGCACCTGTGTTCACCGGCCCCAGACGACGGCGCACTGATGCTCTTTACAAGCGGCACCACCGGTACGCCCAAGGGCATCATCCTCACCCATCAGAACCTGTTGACTGCCGTGCGTATCCTCATCCGCGCCCAGTCGCTGTCGCCGACGGATCGATGTGCAATCATCACGCCTCTCTTTCACGTTGCTGGTGTCGGCATTTTACTTCTCTCGACTCTGTTTTCGGGTGGTGCAGCGGTCATTCCCGCTTCACTGTCTGGGGCATTCTGGTCGCAGCTGGAGGAGCATGCGGTGACATGGTTCCACGGTGTGCCTACACTCCACCGATTGTTGCTCACGTTTCCCCGGCCGCCGAACATGAGACGGCTGCGGTTTGTGTCATCCGGCGGCAGCTCCCTGGCCCAAGATACCTTGCATCATCTCGAGACCGAGCTGGGGAGCCCTGTGCTTGAAAGGTACGGCATGACCGAGACTGCACCGGGCATCTTTTGCAACAGCACCGATCGACCACGCCGTTCCTCATGCTACCCCATCCCACCAGAAGTTACCGTTCGAATCCTGCACTCCAGCGCGGGTAGTGGCACTCCATCATTGACAGACTCCGTCGGAATTGCCGGTGAAGTCTGCCTCAAGGGGGCGAATGTAATGGAGGGCTACGTGGATAATGCGGATGCCAATGCTGATGCCTTCGTCGACGGCTTCTTCCGAACAGGTGACCTGGGACGACTTGAATCCGATGGCTATCTCCGTCTTGTAGGCCGAATCAAGGAAGTCATCAACAAAGGAGGCGAGAAGATCGATCCCACAGAGGTCGAACATCTGCTGCTGGGACATGAATCCATCCGTGATGTGGCGTGCTTTCGCGTCTCGGATGAGATGTATGGCGAACATATTGGTATGTTGTTGTGAGATTGGCCTGGTCATCTGGGCCTCACTAGTTGAGTTGACTATTCTAACCTTGATATTTCATGCAGGCGCTGCCATTGTCCTCAAAGCTGGGTGCCAGCTCAAGCCACTGGAAGTCAAGAAGCACGTCCGGAACAATGCCATAGGCTTCAAGGTCCCTAAAAAGGTAAAGACCCAAGCTCCATTATTTGACCAGACTGTTGATTAAAGTCTAGGTTGTATTTCTGGATACGATTCCGTGTAATCGGACGGGCAAGTATCAGCGCGTCTTGCTCTCCCAGCAATACGGAGGATGAAATGTCGAGGCGCATATTATGATTATGGTTTGCCTGTTGCTAAAATTTGTTGCTGTCCACAATGGTATAGGGAATAAGGATCTGGTGGAGACTATACTTTACTATATTTGTACGTAGTGAGAGGGTTTATACCTAGCAAAAGCCAGAGAATTTGCACGTAGTCCATCGCTTGACCAGAAAGACACGTGTGGTTATTTTGATGGTGTTGTCTGCAGATTCAACTCACGTTCAACATATCATCGATAGGCAATTGTTCATCCACACCCAAGGATCCCCAAAACGATGGTGCCTTGAGAATTTCATTGGGTATGATGCCAATTTTCTAGCTCTACAGTCAAGCTGTCTGATCTGACAAGACTCAGTCAGTATCCATGCGAATTCCAGAAAACCTCGTCCTAGAAACAAAGACCGATAAAGACCGCAATGATTGATGCGAATCTTCTTGGTTTAGGGCTGTCAAAATGTTCATCTAGAGCAGCGAAGTGCGTACAGACTTGGAATTTAGCTTGACTAGCTGTACGCGTTTCTTTTCTTGTGAGTGATATAGATTGACAACAGTGATAACTGGAACCTGGAACCTATCTAACTAAATACTCAAGTCGATGCTCCCACCTGGCCCATATTCCAGTCATACTTTAGGATGATTCATCTTGTGTGGGTGTGTCATTCTTCTATACTACCAACGGTCATGAACGCTAAAAATCAAATGAGGGATGGCCGAGTGGCCACTCAGACACGTACTGGGGCCCATGTCAATATTTTGGGCCTGTACAACATGAACTGCAGTTGCCCCAGCGACTCCTAAGCGGGTCGCCATTCGTAGTGATGGGGACCTTTGCTTGTCGGCCCGGGGTCTTCCCCAGGCACGCCTGGTTTATTATATCCATGGGCACCAAACAGGTCCATCTGTCCTTGCATGAACTGGGTCGGGAGCCTCGTCCCACCCGTGTATTTGAGGTACTCCAAAGCAGCCGACAGAGCTGGGATATACTGATCGGTCCGGACGCCCTGGAGGACAATTTCCTTCAAAGCGCCCACGTGGCTGTGTAAAGAAACGGCCACGCCGTTGACTAGCTTAAGATTGGTCCAATCCGTGGTTCCGGATAGGCCATCCTGCAGGAGGTCTAAGATATACTCTGACTGGATGATACAGCCATTGCGCCAGATTTGCAGACAGGCCGCGGGATTGATGTCCCAATGTTCATCTTGCGACGCCCGCGCAATTAGCTCCAGACCCTCGCAGTAGGAGACCAGGAACCCGCAATACACGGCCGCTTGCAGCGTTTTCAAGAAATCTGCGGTATCCTGCACCCCCTGTATGAGCCCTGGACTGGGCATCCGGAGCTTTTCCGCCACGGCGAGCCGCTCCTTGCGATTGCCGCTTGCGACGCGCAGATAGTGAGCTGTGGCGTTGGTAGGTGTAGCGACATGCCTAAGGGCCGATTCCATCAGCGCCCAGTGAGGCGTCCCTTCGCTGTTATCATCATCCTGGACCACTTTATCCAGAACTTCATCAAGCACATATTCGGAGCTATCCCCAGCCCCCTCACCGCTACGGTCACCTTCGGGCGTCTTGCGTGTCCGCAGTAACTGTTCTCCGATGTCCAGAAGATAGGTGCGTCGAAGCAGACCCTCCTTGTTCCACTGGCCAAAAATATCAGCCACCTGATCGTAGCTCAGGCCTAGCCCGAAATGCATGAGAGACCATGCCTCCGCCAGTGTGGACAGCATGCCCCCTTCGATAAAGTTGTGGGCCATCTTAACGAAATGCCCCGCCCCAGCGGGTCCGATGCGCGTCACACACGGCTGGCCGGACTGGAGGTCCTTGGCAGCGTACTGCTGCAGCAGAGGCATCACAAGATCCAACGTCTCGGCATCACCCCCAGGGGACAGGCTAGGCCCTCGGCGCGCCGCCTGGTACCCGCCAGACACACCCATGCCGATCCAGTGGACCCCCCGTTCTGCGCACCGCCGCTGGCGCGCCTCTGTCTGGCGGTAGTACTCGTTTCCGCCGTCGAGGACAATGTCGCCTTCGGATAGGTCGTCGCTGATCATATCGAGGACCGAGTCGGCGGGGTCACCGTGGGTGATGGAAAACATGAAGAGTTTGCGCTTATTGTCGCCAGCGACCAGGCTTCGGACGAATTCGTGGATGTCTTCAAAGCTCCGAATTTGGTCACCTCGTTTGTCTGCTTGCAGGTCTCGCACGAGCCGCTCGATGTTGCTAGCCTTGCAGTCCCAGATAGAGACTTTCAGGCCCAGGTCAGCGAAGGCAATGGCCATCTGAGAGCCCATGCTGCCTGCGCCGACAATGCCTATGTACTGGAAGGGGTGCTGGGAAGGCATCTTTTTAGGCTGGTGGTGGTTCGAATTGTAGGTAAGGAAGTAGCAATCGGGGCTCGTGGGGTTGATTTGTTGTAGTCGCTCTCTAGAGATTCGAGACCGTCCTACTGTTCATGCCCGAGCAATCTCAAGATACTGGCCGTGACTAGTCAATATGTGGAAGCTAGAGAATCGTTCACAATGGCGGCTCATTCTTCTCGTGCTCGTATGCCCCTTAACTGTTTTATTATGAATTTAGCATGCACAAACTATGTCATGATGGGTCTGATGTCGCTATGACATAATTTGGGGAACCCTGTGGGGCATATCAACCGGGTTACGATAGAGTCTAGATTGTGGTTCTCATGCACCAGGGGCCGTAAATTTCATTACGAGGCTATGAATAATTGGCACGTTTTGCTAGAGTTTAGTAGTTTGTCGTATTGCACGTCGCTGTCTAGGTAGGTAAGACTGCATGGCAAACCTCTCCAGGATTTCTCCCATCGCAAGCCAGCCTGGAGTGAATTGATTGAACACCCTGTTTTGCCATGGTATGGGAATTGCTTATTGCTTTAGGTCTAGTCAGATTATAATGATGTGGGGTTGTATGTGTTCTTGATATTATATTACATCCATAAACAACACCAGCTAGAACTGACTGCAGAGGCCATGAAAGCGAACCTTACTCGGAGCATTGATCTAACAACTTCTTCATGGCTCGCATCGCTTGCTGGGCAAAAGACCCCATATCAGAAATATCCCTTCTACCCACGCCATCAGGCCCTTTGTCAAAAATCTCCATCGAAAACCAGCCTCTAAACCCGGTTGCCAGCACCGCTTTCGTGACCGATTCAATAGGCAGATACCCTCCATCGTAAGGCATTGGACGCAGACGACTGCTCCACCGCGCTCGCGGTCTCTGCCCTTCAGTCGTGTCATCCGTAGCCAATGGTTTCGAAGGCTTGTACGCATCCGAGACCTGGAGCAAGTAGATCTTGCTAGCGGGGACCAAGTTCCCCAGCTCGCGCATGCTCTGCTGGAACTGCTTCTCCAGCGTCTCGCGCGGAATATCCTCAATCAGACCCGACTCCGTCGTCGGATCCGCCCATTCCGACCCAGCAGTCTGGAAGGTATCCAGACACAGCCCGATATTGGGCCTGTCAACGGCGCGTACCACTTCCCAGGCATTTTTCCAGGTCGGCGCATGGGTCGACCAGCACCAGTTCTCGTATGCGAGGCGCTTGTGCCCGTGCTGGTCTAGCATATCGCACAGCTCGCGTAGATCTTCGATGACGCTGTTGTCTGTATCTGCGGAGAGCCGCTCGCGCGGGATATCGGTTGATCCGACTTGTAGGAGATCCGTGCCTACTGCGCCCATAATCGATATCCAGCCTTTAGCTCGGTTGAACGCGTCGTCGCGATCAGGGGAGCCCCGCGGCCAGCCTTCGAGATGTGCAAACGGCTGTAACATCATGACTGTGAGCTGGTTGGATTGGCATAATTGGCGGATTTCTTTGGAGACTTTGACTAGCTCATCGTAGTTGTCTGGAGCGACTTGGTGCCCGAGGAGCTCGTTGCCGTAGGCTAGTATGTCGGGGAACGAGAGCTCGATCCCCTTGAAACCTGCTTGGCTTATAGCCTTGAGTTTCGCGGGGAGAGTGTCATCGGGTCCATGGCCGATGGAGCAGGTAGCGTATGCGAGAGGAGGAGTTTCGGTCATTTTGTGTATGGAATCGGTTATGTCTCGAGCGAATGGATGATAGTTATCTTATTTGAGGGTAGTTAGCCATCGCGGCGATGCTCTCAGGGTGACGTGAGGAGCGATGATGTAACCAGATAGTCCACGTTCTGATAACAGCAATGACGCTATCACGATGTATTACTCCACATCTCTGCGAGTTAAATCCGGGCAAGAAAGCCATTGATAAACAAGGATTGAATATCTGCCTATACCTAGTTAGCGGAAGTTTGTCTTCTTCTCGACACCCATATCCTGACCAATACTACTGTAACAGAAGTGATGTTCAAATACGATGTCCATAAACCCTAGTATTTTGCATACTAACTATGAACAGTATATTCTAACCCTAGAATAAATTGCCTTGTTATGCATTCCACTCAACTTTCAAGGCATCTGCTAGTCACTCTAAATTGCAGGTCATAATCGCAGAGAACTTGCTGAATTGTCGATCTGAACACCATCTAGAGTACTAGCTATGAGAGCTTTCCATGGGATATCAGGCTCATGATGTACTATAAGATAGATATAGCGTACACATTTACGGCTTGGCCTTGATGATCTACCTTTGCGGGAGCAAGGGTTGACCGTGGTGTGGAGTTCAAAGCATTTTTTGTCGCGTAAGAATGCAGCGAGGGAAGTTAAATCGCTTCGCTGATTGCTTTGGTGATATCTGGGTTCCTAGATCAGTTTGAACAACCCCACACGTTTCGGGCAAAGAGTCTATATAGACCTGATATTTCAGCCGATTTTGGCTCTGAAAACCATCATATTGAGGGATCTCAAATCGCGTAGATGCTGAGAGGTGGTGGGGTTTGTAAAAGCAGCCATGGAACTTCCAAGTACTATATAGCTTGTCGAAAGTTAATATGGCAGCTTCGTATTCGTTCCTAGGAAGATCTTCCATCCATCAACCAGATGATGCAGGAAGTTGAACGCAAGTACCTTGCGAACGGTCTACTTGAATAGTTAGTGTATGCACGATTTGGTGCCTCACACACAAGGCTGCAGCACTATTACATAATACATACAAAACTGACAAACATCCCAAACGGGAATAGCGGAAGCACAGATAATCCGGAGACGCGCCTGAGGCTAGCAGGAGCTCTGCGCGGACTTTTGCCTGAGATCGATTGATTTGCTTGATTGCTGTGCCTTTTTGGATCGCAGGATCAACGTCCTCGTTGTTCACACAGTGCCTCCCAGGGCCACAATTAAGCCATTGATATCTGGTACCAATCACCTCTGTCGCGATTATTCCACTCCCTTTGCGCAAGATTATCGCACTCCTTCGTCAAATCCTTGCGAACGCGGAAGTTTGTTTTTTGTACCGCAATCGCATCCTCCACCCACGAGCATTCGGCAGCCTTGGATCGCCCTCGAATTTCTCAAGAAGGCCGGAATTCGACCGACAGCGTTTTTTCGGCACTGAGCACTCTCGGTTTCGGTTCTGAACGCCCAACTCGCCAGGTGGACGAAATAACCGGGGAGGATACCAGAGCTCGTGTCCTTAGAGCATCGGGAAACCACTTTGTATCCGACAGTTGCGTCTCAAGGTCTAATATATTCGAGATATCTGCGGTCGCGCCAGGCCACGAAGAGGCAGCATATTGGAAAGGCGACGTCAAGGGAGAAAATAAAGGTTGATCTGGGCTCTGCGAACTTGATCGGCAAGACGCTGGATCAGGTGGTTGCGATTTCGTTGGGTGAGGCCCAAAATGTCTGGTAGCACCCCACGCACATCACTTAGAGGTAATTTTGCCCCTTTCTCGCCCGTGGAAATGTGTTGACTAACTCCCTCCCTCCAGAGGGCTTGCGACAAGCTCCCAAGGTGAACCAGCCTTTTATCCCAGACACCGCACCAGTCCGACGGTCCCATATTCATGCCAATCAATCCCCACAGCCGATAGCCATGTCTCACGCCAATTCCAACTCGTCGGCCAACCCGATGAGCCCTCATATGACGGGCGATAACTGGGATGACCAGAAGGTCCCGTTGTCGATGCGCGAGGTAGCGACGCCAGGGAATAGGCCCGGCTTGTTTATGGACCTACCCGTGAGAGCAAAAACAGCCAAGCTGCCAGATTTCTATGATCCTTATTTCCCGCTCAAGTATCTTGAGGTGCCCAAATGTATGTAGGCCCAACTCTGCCCTTCTTGTAAGTGATTCTCCGGATATGGCTGACATCTTAGTATAGCGGACCATATCTACAAACGAGCCCATTATGGTTTACAATCTGGAATCCCCGATGAGGTCGACTTCGCGTTGTATCATCTCGTTCAGATTTCCAACCAGCGATGGGATAAATTCAAGTTCGAAGGGTTCCCACTACTCGCCGAAACTTTGATGGAGAAGGCTCTAGACGTCTCCATAATTTGCACTGGTGTCAAATGGGACCTTCAGTACGACTTTCGGGAACCCACCGACCGTGTCAACGCGTTGAATGCGCTGCATGGTACGCGCGATCTGCTCGACAAGATCAAAAAGATCCCAGTCACCTTGCCCCGGGATACACTCGAGACGTACGAGTTCGATCACTGTCTTCGGAACGTGAAGGAGGCCACCCTCGTTCTGCGGAATATGGTTCTGCTGAGAGAGAATGCATTCTATGTGTCTCGATATGCCAAGGGGCTTCTGAGGGACTTCCTCGTTATTCTCATCAATCTCCCGGATCAGCCTCGCCTGAATGAGATTCGAAATGACGCGCTCGACATCGCAGAGGAGGTTACGAAGTACCTTCGAACCGACCCAGAGGATCCACTCTGGATCTCTCTCATCAAATGCCTCGACTCAGCGGATCGTGCTCATATTGTCCGTGCACTCTGGGCACTTACTCATTTCTCGACTGGGCTAGACGAACCCGATGCCAACCAGGCGTTGGAGCGTACGCCAAAGGAGACTTTGAAACAACTGTACCTGCACACCCTCCTTGACGACGAAGACATCCTAAGCGGCGCTCTGGATTTCTGGTACCAATACACGTTGTCTCGCGAGAACATTGAGAACATGATGGATATCTTCAACCTTGCTATAGTCTTTGTACCACGAATGATCGCCTTGTTAACCCACAACGGAAGGCCTGGCAAGAAAGAAACCGTCTTGCAGGAGGAGAAAGTTGCGCCACCCCCATCGGACATTCCTCGTGTGCCTCCCGAGCTTCTCAAGGATCTCATGGAGCTGCCAGAGCCCGAACGAAGCTCTCGCTGGCTGCGGTGCTGTTTCGTCGAGGACCCAGAGTGCGAGATAACGCAGATCGCCTTGTGGCAGGCGTATCAGAGCCGGTTTGTAGACCCTCGAGTCCAAGGCGGTGGTGTCCTACCAGCAGCGGAATTTATCAAAAACGTGAGCACGACGTTCACCAACGCCCAGGCCCAGGTGATCAACGGGCCTGGTAACGCAACGCGGTTTATCATCAAGGGGATCCGGCCATTGGAGACAGCCTACTCCTTCCAGGGCTTCCCCTATATCTATTGCAAATGGACGGATAATTCCAAGCCGTCCAAGACATGTCAGCGCGCGTTTACTACGCCGACGGATCTCCGCAATCACGTGTTCGGAGACCACATGAAGCTGGCAACAACTGACACGCCTGGCCACTATAATCTGGACAAGGCAGACTCGGCCGTTCATACCTGCATGTGGGACAACTGTACGAAGTTCAGATCGTCCGGACCTAGTGACAACACTGCCATGGTCGCTGGCCACGTCTCGTCGCACTTGCCAGAGGATCGTCCCGAGGGTGCGGATGCGCCGGTCTCGAAACGTGCGGTTCTGCAGGAGCGCATCGTTCGCAAGTGGTTTTACCTAGACACACCGGTCAGCGAGCACGGGGAGCCAGTTGGGGTGGCATACAAGGCCTCATTGGTGCTACGCAATCTTGCCAAAAACCTTCCCAACGGCATTGCTCCCAATGCGGACGGCCTGCCCTGGAAGAAGGCTGTCTTCCTCAGCCACCGTCCGAAGATCGTGGAGGTCTGGGACCGCAACCGGCCGCTTCGCAAAGAACTCACCGAGTTAATCATGATAATCGAGAAGGAGGATTACTATTGATAACAAACATTCTGTTGTCAGACGACGAAAGTTCAGCCAGCTCTTTTATCTCTCCCTCTTCCCCATCTCTCAATCTTCCTCTTCGTCCCCGTCACACAACGTTCTCCACTGTATAAATACCCTGGCTTTCCTCTAGTCTTCTTTTCTCAAAGTTTTACGGTGTCACTTTTCTTATTTTATCATTTCTTTTTCTTTTCATTTTCCTTTCCCTTTCTTTCCTCTTTATAAATCTACAACATCCATCACTCGTGCAGAAACTGCGGTGTGGGATGGAGTGAAGCATTCGATAATCGGGGGTTGGACACGGCTATCTGCTTACAGGCGTCTGGATCACGAGGTAGAAATGGAGATCGGTGTCGCTTTTCCTCCTTTTTTTCCTTCTTAGTCTTAATTTTACAAGTGCTACTACAACATGCTGTTTTTATCAAAATCTCTTGTATTTTTCATCCTCTCCTCTGGTGTACTTGTACGGTAGTTTGAAAAGACGTCGGATAATACCACCACCACTTGTTTAATCTACAGAATGGGACCTTCATATCAATATCCCACCCACGAATTGATTATATTATACTCTGATATAGCTTTTTCAATGGGGTATCTCAGACCAGTCCACACTATCGTAGACATCATCAATGAAGTTCTCATAATTCAGCCACGACAGTTCCTCCCCACCCCCCAAATCCGAAAAATCAAGCGTGTCCCACACGCTCGGCCACGCTACAACCCCCGGATCCTGCATACTCTCCGGCGTAGCAAGATCCGGCGCTGCCACCGCTCCAACGCGGGTATCCGCTCCCTGCTGTACGACAGCATCCGGCGCGGAAGTCCCCAATGGCTGCACCGGCGGCACGCCCACACCAGCAGTCCCGGATAAGGCATTACACTGTAAAGTCTCTCTCTTGCCCTGAGCCCGAGCCATGAGTTTCTCCATCGGCTTCCAGAGCATGCCTTGGCGGGAATCGGCCACGAGCTCGCCCAGCCGGCCGTACGCGCGCTCGACGGGCGCCCAGAACATGTCCCACAAGAAGGGGTCGTCGCAGATGCACAGCTCCGCGATGGCGACTGCTAGGCCGTGCCATGGGACGAACATGTGGCCCATCCAGCGCCAGGGGTGCGCGCGGGGGTCGTCGACGAGGGCTTGGGACTTGGCGACGACGTCGACGGCTGCTTGGATGAGGTGGTCGCTGCGGATGCGCGGCGGGGTGAATGTTGCGATGCGTTGGAGGGGTCGGAGGGCGAGGAGCTGGATCGCGGCGTAGGTGCATTCTGTGGCTTGGCGGGTGAACCAGTGGAAGGGGATTGTGGTTGGTTGGGCGTGGTGGAGGAGTCGCGAGGTGGTCTGTTGGAAGTCGATGACGAGTTGTTGGCGCGTTGGCATGGATTTGACGGCTGGTTCGATGAAGTCGGAGGAGTTGAGGAGTCGGCTGACGCGTTGGGCTTGGAGTGTCATGAGGTTGTAGGTCATGTCTGTCATGTAGGGGGATTCGCGCGGTGGGGTTTCCATGTCGTAGGTGAGGTCGCTGTCGTTGGTGTTTGTGGGCGGATGCGATTGTAGCCAGCTGACTTGCATCATGGGCTCGGAGGCCCGGTCGGCGGCGGATTGCATGTCGAGGAAGCCGATTGCGAGCCAGAGCCTGCGGCGCATCTCGCGGTCGAAGGGCCGGACGGGGAAGGGTGGCTCGGCGAGGTGCAGGTAGAGGGCTTGGGCGACGCGGAGCGCTACGCTTAGCATTGTCCAGACTCGGCGGCTGCGGTCTTGAGAATGGGAGGACAGCTGGGTATGGTGTCAGAGATCGGTGGTATTCTTTAATTGGTTTTGAGTGAACAGGGAAGGCCCACCAAGGAAAGGACAAATGCCTGCAGGACGGTCAGGTCGTTGGTGGTTACGACGTCGGCATTTGCCAGAGCGGACTCGCACTCCTTCTGGTATTTTGTGATCATCGAGCTCTTGCTCTGTTGGAATATTTGCCAGCACTCATTTTCCTCGACGCGAGAGATCGCTGAGTAGTAGATCGCGTGAGCGAGCGCTGTGGGGGCTTCATGTCCAGGCTTGTAGTCGAGGTAGGGCTTTCCATCGAGTAGGAAGGCGCTCACTGATGGACGATGGAGAATCTTAAAGCAGGGATCAACTCTTTGGAGGAATATTTGACACAGTGTTTTCTGTGTGGATGTCGTTTGGAGAGCGTCTCTGCTACTCAATGGTGGATTGGGGCTGTTCTGGTGGCCATTGGCCATTGACAAAAGCCGCTGATGATCAACGCTGTCAGATACATGATCCCCACTGCCCTTTAGCTGCCCACAACAGTCAACAAATACTCTCAGCTATAGTCACTGTATCCCAAACAGAGCAGTTCTGGAATTATCCGCTTACTTGCTTCAGAAGCTCGGCCCAGAATGAGACCCCCAGGTAACGATCAGGCTGTTCGCCCGTGCTTTCATTCGTCGCGGTACCATTTCTACTAGACTCTCCTTCGCCCGCGGCCCTTGAAAAGCTTTGTTCGCCCTGGCCCCGGACAGTCCTCGAGAATCGTTCCGTTGAACCGGGTTCGGCATCACCCCCGCTTACGGCTTTGCGAACGAGCTCCTCCAGCCTCGATACGCGCTCTCGCAGGGTTTCGTCCTCGTCCGGCGTTCCTCGGGCTGAGTGTCTGCCTGATTTTCCCCGTGGTAGTCGGGCCCGCTGAACGGGGACACACGCAGTCCCAATCCGCCGGCAATTGGTGCACGGGTCGAGTTTGTCACACTTGACCTTCCGTTGACGGCACAGCTCACAAGTCAGGCGGACACTGACTTTGGAGTCAGGATTGGACTGAGATGGAGCCTTGTCAGCTTTGGCCGACCTCAGACGATCTGCCATGGCCCAAACCGCAGTAAGAAATTTCGGACAGCAGATGGCCCAATTACGCCTATGGATGGTGGTTAGATGGGATCCATTTGCATTTGCAAGTCAGATAGATTGGTATTAATCAAATAGTCTCACTAAGAAGTGGATCAAATGTGGAACATATTCATTTTTGCACGGTTCGTACCAACCCACGTGGTGCCCGACTGAGTTGGCTAGTCAGGAACTAGACAAGCGTTGAGGAGATGAGGCTATATTGCGTTGGAGTGGATTTGCCTGAGGAATAATTCGGCACACGCTAGGCCGTTAACGGCAAGGCGTCATGCGATCCCCGAAGGGGTTTAGCGCGTCTTTGTGCCCATTCCTTCAGGCTTTCAGTCCCGAAATTTCCATCGTCCCAACGATTTCCACCTCATCCATCGGTTACTTGGTCTTTCACGTTACTATTCTTATCTCTGGGTACAATGGCTTGCCCTGAACCATCCCTGGCAGTTGCCACGGGAATTCAGTCGGCAATACCAGGAAATAGCGTCGGAATGTTGCCCGTCCATTCTGATACTGCAGGACATCAAAGTTTCGGCCAGAGACTTTTCTAGTCATGATCGTATGAACTAAATATCTGCCAAGCCATATTAGTGCTGTTTATGAATCTTATCGTGGCGCATTATGGGGCCGTTGGAGCAACAACAGTCTAACGCTGAGACATGGCTCCTCTTCAAGGTTCACCCATCCTCGATCGGCCCTGCCACACCCTCTCACGAGGCCGAATTTGCGCGGTTCCAACTCCCTGGGTGAAATTCCATCGATCCGACTAACCCAATTCCTTGATATGCCGCGACGCTAGCTAGTCAGTTACAACTTGCGAGTCGTGACAAAGTTCTCCACGGATTCCAAAAGGTCAAGTCCCCACTTTGGGCAAATCGTCTAGTATCTATCCACACGGAACCATCATCGTTACGTCGGGGCGCCGTAGGGAGGTCCTGCCGTCAGTGTTCAGTGCTGGCAGATACACCCCGAGGTTCTTTCATAGTGCGATCGGCAATGATCGTCATTATCGAGGCGTTATGATGTACAGAGTCGCAAGCCAAACAGTGGCGTCAAGCGACTGCCTGGTTAAGAGGACAAACAGGGCCGGCCAGACTGCTGCAGAAAGGCGCGTTTGGATAGTTTGGTAAGGACCCTGATTTTGACAGTGGTGACGCTGTTGTCAAGTTTCTTCCGCGGGTGACAGACTCGACGAAGCCATTGACCCATGGTTTGCTGCCCTCCCTTCGCTGCATATCTCCACTCTATGACATTAATGGGCCCACAAGAACAAAGGTATTCATCTGTTCATCCAGATTTCTTCTGTCTCATTGGATCCGTGTGTGGTGTTGTTCCCACCCCCTCAATTACGTTCATGATGAAGCCCATGCTTAGCGATCCCAAGCAAGAATCCCTCGTTGTTTGTCGTAAGAATATCTCAATGATTGTGCAAATAATCACTAAAAAACTAATCATTGCTACAATGGTCACGGTATTCTAGGAGGCGATGTGGTTTGACATTATCTACACCCATGGGAACCACAGGTGGAATGTCACATGACCATATGCGGCTTAATCAACCGTTTCAACCGGCGGCAATTCAAACGACGTTCGTTTCTTAATCCAGGCGGAAAAAGGACGGTTAAGTACATACTGCTTTTGGTGTATCTCCGGTGGACATCCACTCACATGTCTCCCTATCAAAATATAATCCGTTATTGGTGGATTGTCGTCTCCGAAGCAGTATTCATTGAACTTTGTCATGGATAGTGCACCGCTGACTCTTCATGAACTACCAATCGCCCATGTTCTCTGGGCGATTCGTCATTTCGCTAGAGGGCATCCTGGGAACTACGGTCTCGTTTAAAATCCATGCTCGCTACGGAATACCTCTGAAACAATATCTGCACTAGCTTCCAGCTTCGTATTCAATGCAGTTGACCAATGTCTGGATGTGGTCACTGGAGTGGCTCCTTCGCGGGAACTCATGCCTGGTACACGTGGATACCAGCTCTTTTAGGGAACGAACTGTCGTTGACCCTATCCACATCAAGCTTCCCATAGGTCAGGGCTGTGTCTCCCCCATCCTCCCGGCCTCTCCCCTGGTCCTGGGCCCTTGCAGGACTCAACGTTCTTGACGATGCCACCCAAACTTTATGGCCGGATGGTCTCCACGTCCGTGGATCAGTCTTGGGCTGCTTGCTACAAATGCGATCCCCCCGCCCTCATACTGCGTAGTGTCGCTGTCACCCGCTAGATTTCTTTCCCCTGGCCGATCTCGTTTGCATTTAACTTGGTCTCCACGCCTAGCTATGTTGCTTTGGCTGGCTTTTTAATTTTATTCTACAACTTTATTCTCGTCACTCTTTCTCGGTCGACAATCTGGTCAAGACCATGCTCGTTTGAGATCGAATCTAGAAGAGATGCTGTATGTTCAATTACTGTTCATATTCTGAAGGCGGTTTCTTTCCTTAGTACTTTCTCGGTTCGCGAAGACATTCGCTATTACATACATTCGACCGGTTCCCTATCAGCAGCCCCGGTCTACCTCGAGTTTTTCCTCTCCTATTGAGTAAACGGAGTGAACCACTTCCCAATCTTAAAATGTCAATCGGCGTGGCTCGTGGCCGGGAGGCCCTTGTAGTCAGCGCTATATTCACAAGTTTATCTACAATTCTCACAGCGATCCGCATCTACACACGGGCCTTCCTGGTGAGGCAAATGGGATCTGATGACTGGACTATCATTGTGTCTTTGGTGAGCTTGACGCGCGGTGGCTAAATCGATGAGTGCAAACCACTGACCATCACGTCCAGGCTTTTAGCTGGGGGTTCTTCGGTCTTTTCGTTGGAGGTATGTTCTTATAACTTGGTCAACTGGATTGGGTCCCGATGCTAATGTGTTCTACAGAGACCAAATACCTGATGGGTGAACATTTTCTGCTCATCCCTACGGATATCTATACCAAACAGATGATGGTAATCAAGGGCCTCTGACTTCGTCGCGCGCACATCTTTCGCTAACTTACCATGTTCTCAGTGTTTCTGGGCTTCAGTACCCATCTACCAGGCCAGCTTAATCACCACCAAGGCCTCAATCCTTCTGCAATACAGACGGGTGTTTTCGACAACCCCCCGCATGCGATTCGCCTGCTGGTGTTTGATCGGATTTCTCGCCGTTTACGGAGTATGGGTCTTCATTAGCGCGTGGCTTAACTGTCTCCCCGTCGCAAAGTTCTGGGATGACGATATTCCGGGATACTGTCTCAACAAGAAGGCCCTTTGGTTCTCCAACTCGGCAATCCACATCTTTACGGATGTCTTGCTATTGATATACCCCATGCCTGTCCTGCGGAGCCTTCAACTCCCAAAGCGGCAGAAGATTGCGATCATGGGAGTCTTTGCCCTAGGTATATTGTAAGTCTTGAGTTTCCGACCCAGTCGCCCTCAATATGGGGTGAAACAAAGAACAACTTACCAACAATAACGAAAAAACAACAGTGTCCTAATCACAAGCATTCTGCGCTTGAAGAGTCTCCTCGTTATCTCCAACTCCAGCGACCCGACCTGTACGCGATTCCCTCCCCCCCTAAATAATACACCCCCCCTCCATCATCCGAAACTAACCCCAAATTTACACAAAAAACACAGACGACAACCCCCCAGCAGCAACCTGGTCCGCAGTCGAATGCAACGTCGCCATCATCTGCGCCTGCCTCCCCGCCACAAAAGCCTTCATCTCGCGCCTCGTGCCCCGATTCTTCTCCACCGGCGGCAACACCTACAAGTACCAGAGCAAGAACAAATACCTCGACACTCACGGCGGCGGCGGCCACCGCAGCCACAACCCCCACGCCTCCAACGTGCAGACCTCCATCGCTGCCAACAACAACCGCCCGGAGTACCACATGAGCACGCTCAAGGGCGCGAAGGACCCGCGCACAAACAGCGTCGATAGCAAGGTTTCGTCTTCCTCTGGGGGAGAAGACCAGGCCCAGGGTGGTGAAATCAAGGTGACGACTATGATTTCGACGCAGTTTGGTTCGGGGGCGCCCCAGGATGGCGATGATAATTCGAGTGTGCAGAATTTGGTGCCGAAATGAGCGGCATTTCCCGGTAATGGGCTTAACCTTTGTCTATGTCGGTTTTGACTTTTTTTCTGCTTTTTTCCGTTTTCCCTACATATCTATATACCCTTGTCATGGCGTACCATTTCCCTCAATTTGGAATCGCCATTGTTTTATGAGCTATTCACTCCGTGTTTCTTTTCCTCTTCAGCTTACGGTGATCATGTCTTTATACCTGCCTATTTCTCGATCGGACCACTTAGTGGTAACTGAGCGCAAAAATGTGGAATCTCTTTTGTTGAAGGCTCTATTCACCTTTATATCCGCTCTCCACATTAATTATAGGGTACTGTCTTCTTTCATGCAAAATTAGAGGGTTCGAATCTCAGTATATACATAAGTTTATCTCTTGTATAGATAATGTTGATAACAGGTCACCGCGTGCCATTAGCTAAATTATTGCTAGTAACGTTGGACGGAATCAAGCTTAAATTCAAACCTATGATCATTTTGTCTATTGCCATTGTGTATTATTTGTATTTCTCGCACAAAACCAAGAAGTGATGGTCGTTGACACGTTGGATTAGTTAGTCTATTGTTCATGGAAGACAGACACCGCCCGTTTTACGCTCTGAACCCGGATCATGATGCAGTAACTCAAGGGGAAACAATTAGGAAAAGAAAAAGGCAGTAAACAAGAATCAACAGAAGATGGAATAATATTTGCGATTTAGCGCTCAAGTCTAAATATAACACCAACTATGTGCAATTTATGTAGAAGAAATCAAGTCGAAGCGAATAGAGATAAAGAGAAAACTACTCCCAGACATTAGAGAATAAATCATCAGCCCCGTTAAACCCGCCAGCCGGTTTAGGTGGAGGGGCACTCGTCGTAGTGGTGGCCGCGGGGACCGGAGCCGCGCTGGTCCAGCCGCCAAAGTCCTCGTCCGTGGCCACGGTGGGCGCAGGCTTCGAGGTGGCAGCGGGCGAGGAGGCCTGGGCGCCCCAGCCGCCACCGAAGTCGTTCGGCGTCAGCGTATCCGGTACCTTCATGGTCGACGATGGCGGTGCAGCAGGCGCCGGGTCTGGCGTGCTCCAGGCGTTTCCGCCCCACGGGTCGATAGTGGCTGGCAGTGCGCTGGCCATACTGGCAGTCACGGGAGACGCGGCGGGTTTCGGAGCTGGCTGGAGGGGTGGAGGGTTGAGGTTGAACGCGGAACTCAGTTCTTGCTGGGGGGAGATGGCCGGTGGGGGCGGTGATCTTGCGGCAGTCGAGACCGTTGGGGAGGAGAGCCCAAATAGGTCATTGGCCGCCGCGGGGGGTGGGTTCGGCTTGGAGGGCGGGGGCGACGAAAACCCGCCAAATCCGGAATCAAAGGCGTTGGACGAGATCGAGGCATTGCGGGAGGCCTGGGGTTTCGCAGGCGGGAACGTCGGGGAGGTAAGACTGTCGAATAGACTGCCGCCGCCGCTACTAGCGGAAGCTGCCGGGGAGGTAACCTTGGGAGCCGCCGGGGTTGCCTTTGTATTGTTGAAGCTGGTCAGGTTGGCGAACGGCGAGGGTTTCTCGGCCTGCTTCGGAGGGGGCGGAGATGTGGTCGACGGGAAGCTCAGTCCACTGAAGGCATCAGTCAGACCGCCCATATTGGACGATGAGGCGGACTGCGGCGGTGGTGGCGACGCCATATCACCGAAATCGCCAAAGGACGGAGAGCGTTCATGCTGCGCCGGAGCCTGCTGAGGCTGAGGTTTCGAGTAGAGTGAAAGAATCGACTGCTTCAAGTCCGGCCTAGACGATCCCGTCGTGGCCCCGGGTGTAGACGAAGTGCTGTTCGGGCGACTGGGGGGAGCCGGCTGAGTGCTGCCAAAGAAATCCAGTCCAAGCAACGAGTCCCCCGGGCGCGCGGCAGCTTTAGAAGCAGCCTGGGGTTGGGCTCTGGGTGCGGGTCGAGTCGCGGGGTCGGTTGTGCTGGGACGAGCGGGGGGGGCAATGTGGTCGTCGCCGAAGAGGTCGATGGTCGGTTGGGGCGCACGACGCGTTGGGGGTTGACTGGCCGTTGCGGTCCGCTGCGATGCCGAACGCTCAATCTTGGCCTTTTCCTGCACGACCGCGAGGGGCTATTGGCACCGGTTAGTGGTCAGATTGCTATCAAAGGGGGGTATTCCACGAAGATACTTACGACGTCGTCATCGCCAACGTCTAAGGTGGAAGGGTCGGGCATTCCACCGTCCATCACCCACCGCTTGGATTCATATTTGGTCCGGATGAAGTTCTCGATCTTACTGTTCCCAGTCTTTCATTAGCGATAGACGCAGCGTCGGCGATCCAGAGTTCCACTTACGCTTCCGCCGGAACATGGCCAGGAGCCAACTTCGCCTCCCAGTATCTGTCATCCAGTCAGTCGCCTAAAACCACCGATAAACACTACACCGTAAGAAAGAACGCACTTATTCGCTCTCGCATTCCCCCATTTCAACACACTCTGGAGCTGCTCGTCGGTCCAGGCATCGAGATCCACGGATTTGACCCGACTGATATGGGTGCCCATGCCGCGATGGATACCCGAGCAGCGGATACAAACGAAGATGCCCAAGTTCCATGACGCCCACCGAGGGTCTAAAAGAGTTCATTGTCAGCGCCTGACACGGGCCCTGCATCAAGACATGACATCGAATCCTCCGATTCCGCCATCGAGCAACGGTGGCGCAATAAGAACCAGATCCCGGACGCGGGGGAAGGGGGGGAGGGGCCAAGGGTCCACTTACGCTTATTGCGCTTGCAGTCGGCACATATCTTGTTTGAATCGAGTTTCAGCAGATTCTTGATCGTCTGCTGATTCTGGGCAGCCTGGGAGGGAGTTGGACGTCGAGACATTAAAACGGCCGTTGCGAGGAAGGCAATGCAGAGGGTGGAAGTGTAGGGGGGAAGAAGGTGAGGTTGAAACAGAGAAGCGGATGAAGGAGAAAGAGAAATGTGGCGTCCAGTGGGCCCGACGGCCTGAGGCGCGCTTCATGCCCGATCCGGTAACCCGCACGTGCCAGAGCCGCATTTCATCTTGATAGAAGTAGAAGCATCAATACTTTGAAAGGGGAAGACAGTAGACAGAAGCATAGTTGACGATGTAACAGAAAATTCCAATGTACAGTCAATTCACAACATATGGCAGTGCCCCAGATTCTCATCCAACGACAACCCCATCACTACTACACAGCAAACAACACCCCCTCAAGCCTTCGCCTTGGGCTGGCCACCACCCTCCTGGAACTTCAAACTAACACTATTCACACAATGCCTCTCATCCGTCGGGGTGGGATACCCCTCCCCCTTAAAAACATGCCCCAAGTGCCCCCCACAGTTACTACAGGTAATCTCCGTCCGCTCCATGCCAAACGAGCTATCCGTATGCCGGGTGACAGCCCCCGGGATGGAATCAAAGTAAGCCGGCCAGCCGCACCCGGACTTGAACTTCTGGTTCGCCGTATACAGCGGTGTGTGGCAGCCTGCGCAGGCGTAGACGCCCTCGGCTGGGTAGTGTGCGTCGTATTCGCCTGTTCCGGCGCGCTCGGTGCCTTTTTCGCGGAGGATGCGGAACTGTTCTGTTGTGTCCTCGTTAGTTGCATGTACGTGGAGGTAGGTAGATTGGTACCTAGGTAGTAGTGAGCTGGTAGAGGGAAGGATGGAGGGGACAAACCTGGGTTGAGGACGGCGCGCCACTCGTCGTCGCTGCGTTGGTCGGGGTAGGACATTTTGTTCTGCGCTGCGCTGGAGCTGAAGGATGAACCCATAAATGGAATGATGGGGGCTGCTTTGAGAAGAGTCGTTCGCGTTATGGGGAGGTTAGAAGAGCGGGTGGGGGTAAGGCGAGGAAAGGCGGGTTTGGTGATGGCGGACGCGGGGTGCGATTTGAGGGGTTTGGTGACGGTGCGGAGGGCAGCGGAGAAGCCTGGGATGCGCATCGGGGTGGTGGGTCAATGAAGTTGAGGTCTCCCGACAGTACTGATTATTTCCCGAGCTGTAGCTGAGACTGGGTTTCTTCGTGGAAAGGGTTTGAAGTGTTAAATTGGTGGAACTTTCAACAATTTAAATTGTTGAGGTCGCGAGAATACATCACTTTTCCAATTTACGTCATCGGGTATCTCTTCTATACTACAACCTTCTATGCTACAACCTCCTATAAGACGTCAATTTACCTGTAGTACCCTACGTAAACGTAATGTCTAGGGGAAAAAAATTAAAAAATAAAACGAGTATTTTTGTTCAATGTGAAAGAATATATTCCATTGTACCCCGTCCACGGTAAAAAAGTACAAAATACCGAGCACAATAGGTAGGTACATAGATGGCGCCGACATCGAGCGCGAAGCAAAAAAGCGCGAGATGGGTATCATAGCATAGTCACAACAGTAAATGCAAAACTCAAATCAACAAGGCAAGCACAACTACTGCTAGCGATGTCGAACCGGCCCCAAAACGGTCAAAACCCCCTGGCCCACGGCGACCCTCCACCCTTCACGCGCCAGCATCTTCCCCACAGCCGGCCCCAGGCGGGAGGTGCCATCGTGGCTATGTCGGCCGAGACCCGTCACGATGCGATAGCCTCCGCCGGCGCCTCCGCGCATGTATCTAGAATCGCCCAGGGAATCCCACCAGTCGGAGACGCGATCGCTGGCGATGCGAACGGCATCCTGAACCGAGACCCCGTGGAGATCGAGCATGTCCGACGTTGACTGGGAGTGTACGAGCGCGTCGGCGGCATCTGCGGCGTCCCGTTTCGCCCGTTCCAGATGATCGCGTCCTACGGCGGAATAGTATGCGGCGGCGCCGCCCATCAGTCGGTCGGACCTGCCGCGTCGATAGGCCACGGACGCTTTCGACAGTGCCTCGGCGCTCGCGGTGAAATGGGCCCCCGCGGAGCTCCTTGCACGATCAAAATCCCGGGCGACTCGGGTACTCCTGCTCCGTGGCAGGGACGTTTCGGCATCGTCAAGATCTAGTGGTGGCGGGGACGCAGTGAACTTGATCAAGTCTGACACCGAGGAAGTCATTGGGCTGGTGATCATGGCGGCTGCCAGTTCACTGGCCGCCGACACAGAGCCCCTGGTCACCTTGAGCAACCCAGCGGACATCGTCGGTGCCACAGACGGAAACTCCTGGGTCAGTTCGGTAACCTGTGCGACCAGGACTGAGTCCTGGCTGATCTCTTGCTCATCCTTAGGCGCGTGTTGCTCTGCCAGAGCGCGAATTGTCACAGGCAGCGACGCCCCGTTGGTATGGTAGGCCGATTTCACCGTTTCCTTCTTTAGGATGGGCGCGGTTCTGGAGTGAATGAAATCCACATCCTTCTGCGCCGCGTCCCACTTATTGACAGCAGGACCTACACCGGGCGAGTCCATCGCAGATGCAGAATCCAAAGGAGACGACACGACTGAGCTCTGCTGCTTGTTTTTCTTTTGCTTGTTCCTGCGCCCTTTCTTGCGCCCGGTCTCCCCGGTGTTGTCCCCAAAGCCATCAACGCCCTTGGGGATACAGACTTTATCCTCCTCGTCGTCCTTACCAGACTGCTCGTCGAAAAAAGCGAGGTTCAGAAGAACATCCATCGATCGCTCGACGTCTCCATCGGCCTTTTCCAAAGTATGCCGGATAGTGAAATCCGCTACAGAGGGGAACATTTCCGTCAGGTAGTAGATCTTGTCCTCCTGCTTTGCGCCCGTCAGAGCAAGCGACCCATCAGGCCCAACGATATATGAGACATCCCTTCTGCCACCTTTGGACCCCTTATCGCCCACACTGACGGAGGAGAAATCAGACGTCAGGCTGGTAATGTCGGTTTCGCGCGACCGTGTGTCATTCTGGGACACGCTGCGCTCCGAGAGGATACCGTCGGGGTCTTGACCGGTCGTAGGGCTCAACCCGCTCGTGCCGGAAGGATCAAACGGAAGATCCTCCTGCTCCCACGCAGAGAGCTTAAGCGCATCAAGTGTATCGCGAAGTTGGCGCAACTGGGTAGAATCCGCGAGATCGTAATCGAACGCGATCGCGGTGAACAACGCTGCGTCGAGAGGTGGGCAATATTCCTTCTCCAGTTCCTGAAAGACCACAAGACAAGTACAAACTCGTTAGCCAAGCCCCCTTCACAGTCGGTCATATCGTTTTCTCCTCCCCAAGGAAACCCCAGTTCAACCGTCCAAGCGGGGCGAGGAAGAGCCAACTGACATTTAGAGGGCTCCCGCCCTTGTCATCCATGTTTGAAGTCACTACTGGTACCTGTGTGTCGCAAATGTATCCGAGGTGTCCTGTGCATGCCTCTGTAGATCGCGACCAGGAAGCTGTTGTTTTTTTCCCAAACAAACCCACAAACTGGGGATCAGAGCGACTAATATACAGCGTTGGACTGCGAGGGGGAGAGCCGAGAATCCACTTGGTGGGGGGATTTGATTGGGCTGGTCAGTTGTCGATGACATAATCGCTCGTATTGCATCGTATAAAGTGCCACTTGTTTGCGACTTGTTGTATCGCATTGTCGCCTGGTTTGTTGTTTGGATTTTCCTGATAGATGGTTGTTAAATGAGAGACAAGATGTTTCAGAAATATTTTAAGGTTGCTTAGAATGTGTACTATAATGAGCCACTGGCATGATTTCCACTATTAGCCAATGATCTATAAGGCAAGTGCGCAGATGTCAAAACACTTCAACAAATATCATTTCATCAAAGACTAATTTGCAACTATCTGGATACTAATAGTCTATATCAGCAAGAGACATGGTCAGTTGAATGGCAAGCCTTGCTCATGCTACCAGTGTCTAGGTAGTGTACGCCCATGCAGTGAATCAGCCCCCTCCAAGTACATTGCAACAAAAAAAGGCCAGTGATACACCCAACACAAGAATCCATTTGATCCATTCCAAATAATCTCTTCATACACAGCTCACTACCCAGATCAATTGGCAATTTGATCGAAAATGACAGTGGCATCAACACCGGGAAGGTCCACCTCTAGCGGTCCCAGGGCAGCAAGCTTGCTGCCCAGATTCTTTGGGTCGGAGTTATCGCTGGCGGTGCTGCCTGCGTCGCTTCCTTCGAACTCGCCTAGACGCTTCTTCAAGAGCTCAAACAGAGCCTTGCGCATGAGGTCGAGAAGGTTGGGCACGAGAGAAATCTCGCCGCCCTCCTCGAATTCAGCCCTAGCGACGGGCTGCACAGGAGCAGAGGCCTTGGAGAAGTCGCTGTCACCGAACGGCGGCCATCCGGGAATGATGCTCTGCTCGTTGTGGTAGCTCGAGGGGGGCGCGGCGAGGACGGAGCCGCAGAGGGCGACGACGAGTGCGGCGGTTTGGAACTTCATGTTGAAGTTTGGTGGTGTGGTTGAGACTGTTGAGGTCTAAGTGGATATGATAAAGGATGTGAATAACACCAAGTAAGAGGAGCGATAGATAGAGTGAGTCTGCTCTTTCAATAGAAAGTGATTGAGCGATGGGCTTGCAGTGTTTGATAGCCGGAGGGGACGTTGGCGGACTTTATATCCTGAGACACTGCCTCTTTTTGGTAGCACTGACCTGAAGTTCTAGATTGTCTGTGTCGATGGGATTTTGAGGCTTTTTAAGCTCGAACACTAGATACAGTCTAGTTGAAGGAGAAAACGACTGTTTGCTCGACCTCACTATGCCGGGCCACTGATAATTAGCTCTAGCTGAGCAACCAAACTAGACGTGAGACAATATAGCCCAAACGTCCATGTTCTCCAGGGAAAGAACAGGTCCTACGAAGGGCCGTCAAAGCGTGTCGACCAAGCCATGATAACTCAAAAGCTTATCACTCCGAAGTCACACATCGTCTGCTGAGGATGGTGAATTTGTCGCATGATACCGGGCATCTCAGGATATTAGACCGTTGTTTCGCAGTTCGGCCAATTGTTTCGGCGTTTTGAGGCATTTATCACTGGACTAAACAGATCTCCGGAGTAACACTCGAGCGACGGCGAGAGGTGAGACGGTTCTCGCTTAGGGCTCAGTGTCACTATCGCCATGCCTTCTGCTGGTGATTGACTGGCCGACAGGGGGTATTCAAAGTCTCATCCAGAAATAGGCTCAACATTGTCGAGAAGAGCTTTAGATGTGGCATTTTCCTTAACTTGATGCTGTTCCCGTCGAACCATAATATAATGGGCTGTTCTGGTTTCATCTGCTCTCTCCTGTGCGATGTCTGGTAAAAGAAGGTATAGAGAGGAGGGAAAGGAAGAAAGTGACAGGGAATATGTAAGTTCAATCAGAGTTCTTTTCCCTTGCAATGAATTCTGGTTCAGTTGTACATCGCAAATTGCACCAGCGGTGTGGTACCCACCATGGAACCGGTAGGGCAAATATCGTGGAACTATATTTGAGCGACGCCAGTGCTCTAGCCTTCTAGAGTTATGGGTTTGATACCTACATACTAGAATCAGTCCCAAACGGGCGATCTGGGAGGCATGCAATTCCATCTTTCTTTTTCGTTTTCTTTTCTTTTTAGGGTCTAGACTTCAGCGAGATGGTCTATAGTCTAACCCTATCATTTTTTTTTCGAGCAGGGCAGCCCTATCACAGTAGCCAAGGCAAATTGGGGTTAGTCGGTCTCCAATAATTAGCGCAGCTTCTTCCATCTTCCCATGAATATGGATCATATAAGCGAGATGACATTTGGTTGTTTGAATATACCTAATGGTAATTGAATTCTCTCTAGATACTCCATATATATAGCGGTGAGACTGTAATTTGTAAGTTGGTGATCTGTCTTGGTGCCGGCTTCGTCATCGTCTAGATCTAGAAGACCGTCCTTAGATTGAAGAGAGGAAGGCGTATAGGCTAATAGAGATACTGACGCCGCGTCTTATGATTTTGTCCAACCTGCGATCATGTGCAAGATCTATGAAGCTCTTTATGTCGGCCGTCGTAAGCAAGACCCGGAGTTCTGGAGTGTCCAACATCCTTGGGGGTGCGTCAGTTATTATTAGTTCGAGGAGAGATGCTGAGTACGGCTTCGATCAACATGGTGGGACTGGAAACGTGGAAACCTGACTTCTGCGTCTAACAGAGACATCGATGCACATTGTAGACGTCTAGATTGTAGTCTAGGCTATGTGTGCGTAAGGCTCTGCTTGCCTCTATGCTGTTGCGCCGAGCCTCGGCGTCTATCCGGATGACAATCAGCCCGCTAATAATAGAGTCGTCATATTTTCATCCGACGAGTCTTTCTTTCGACAACTCGTACCGGTGTTATCGGACCACCGGTAAGCCAACGTTTTGCGATCGAGGTCGGTCGGGGAGGGGAGAACATCGGTGGCCGAAGTCACTAGTCTGTGGCATCACATATGACGAGTTCGAATATCTGCACCTGATGCACCTGGGGCGGCGGTTCTCTGGCACTGAATTATCGGATTTGTCCGAGGTAACTTGCGTGCGCGTCTTCTTTCTTACGTTTCATGAACCTTCTTACTCCGTACATGGCAATTGGGCTTGGGACCGATCAGTACCGACGGTTCGTTATTCTGCCCATCACCGTTACGGTCGTTCCAACGGTCAAGTCCTAACCAGCTGCTCCACTGGGTCGGTACATATGACCCAAGCGATGGCGCGTTATCCTGCAAAACAAGATTCTCGGACCATGAACGAAATAGTACATCTTCTGTGCCTGGTAAATAGTGTGCTCAGGATGCTGCAGTAAGTTCCCCCACTCATGCGCCAAGGGATCTTCGACCCATCAGATCATGGTTCCACAGTGGATGTCGTTCTGGGAGCCCAGGTGGTCATCTCACGACCTTCCTGGGCACGATGTTCTACATCCTTGAAGGGAGACAGTCAACGTGACGTCGAAACGGTCCCTAGATAACATCTCCTTGGAAGGGAGGAAACCTCCTGCAAGAGAGATTACTACCCTGTCATCCACAGACCTCAAGGTAGTGAACTAAAAGAGGAATATGAACCTGCAGATGAATTTAGCTTTAGCCAATGAAATAGATTGTAGGAAACGTCTGTGGGAAACTTTGGACTTTCCCTAGCCAAGCGATGGGATAAAAATGGCTGGGCCTGGGATGAAGGACAGATCATCTGTCGGGCCCCTCGCTTCCCTTGTGCTTGCCGCTGCCTGCATCAACGATTATTTTCTCCTATCGGTCAATCCAGGATAGGAAGTCAGAAAATAAAATTCAATAAAAGGTGAAGGGAAAAAGGAAAAAAGGGAAGCAGATAGGGAAACGAGGAGCAAAGGATGTCAAGGACGTGGGCGGATGAACCTGGTCGAGGCCGAGTCCGGTCAAGTATAAAGCTGCTTCGTTCTCCCCAGTCGGTTTCTCGATTATCATCTTCTGTCTAAGCACTGCTTTCAATAATCTTTTAATCTAATATATATCAGGCGTCTTGTCTTCTTGAACCATTCACCATTTGCATTTTTTGCCATCTTTGATCTTCTCTGTTCTTTGTGATACCCTAATACCTCGTCTCTTCATTCTATATCCCTGACCACCATGCGTTTCAACATCTTTGCCCTTGTTGCCTGCGCTGTCTCGACAGTTGGTATGTGTCTCTTCTATGCATTTGAGTTTGTAATGAAAGGTCGGTTCAGTCGCTGACAAGTTCTTCCTATCCAGCTCTCACCATCTCTGCGCCTGATCAGGACGACAAGGTGGACCTGAGCAAGCCCTATGAGATCAAGTGGAGAAACGTGGAGTACGCTTTGCCTCATCCAAATCAACCATCTTAGTATTACTGACTGACTTGGTCCAGCTCGGATCCCATCACGTTCAACATCCAACTGGTCAACATGAACGGTGGATCCAACTCCTCCAACGTCCACAAGGAGGTCGCCAAGGACATCAAGGTGTCTGAACGTTCTCACACCATCAAGCCTGTCTGGGGCATCGAGAAAGGGTGTGTTTTATTGCTTCCAGTTGTGCTCTGGTTGCGATATAAGCCTACGGCTGCTGACCTCCCCAACAGCAAAGAGTACCAGTTCAACTTCATCCGCGATGACAAGAAGAACACCGGCATCCTCGCCCAGTCGCAGCACTTTGAAGTCACCAATGTGGCTGATCCCCCTAAGTCGGGTAAGAAGAAAAGATCATCATGCTCCACCACCATCACCACTCCAGCACCTCGCTCTCCCCAACACTGCACCTGCACAAACACCAAAGTCTCCATCAGCACCACTACTACTCTTGCACCTACAACCTTCACCCAACTCTCAACAACTACCACAACCACATCAGCACCATTAATAAACCACCCCCTCCCCAACACCAATACCAAGCACCATATCCCCATCTTCACGCCTTACTCTGCACCTTCACCTTCATATAGCACCGCTCCCTCCAGCTCCACCCCCCTTGGTGAGTACCATATAAGATGTCACCAAGAACGTCTGTCTAACACTGTATTTTTCCTTGATGAACAGCGTCACCTTCGGCTACAAGTACTTCCGCATCGTCCACGCCCACCGAATCCAGCGCCGCCTCGCCCGCCGTCGTCGTCCCCGTCGCCGGATCTTTCCTCATGACGCTGTTCGCTTTCGCTCTGTGACCGCATCATGTGAGTACCAGAGAGTCATATAGGTAGGCAAGTCTGTACTAGCCCCTATAAACAAACGAACAAGCGAGCAAGTATCACGTCCGAGTCCGACACCGAAACAAAAGTTCAACAACCCATCCCGCCCTCTTCCTCCACCCACGTTCGAAACGAAACGACCATATTCCATCTCCCCCTGTCTTCCTTTTTTTTTTTTTTTCTCTCTTCATTTCTATCATTCATCGTTTATGCAGGTACTTTTTTTTTTCTATTCTCTTTCTTGGGTAATGATTTTATTTATTTTTTTCAATGTTTCTATTCTCTCTTTCTTTCTACTGCGGCGGAACCCATCGCACCCATACACACCCCCCGTTATGACATTGGCTGGTTTGGTCTTTGATACATGTATCTACGTACCTGGTTGCAGTTAATACGAGTCTTTCCTTTTCAAATCTACATTTTCTACCCTTCTATGATTTTGTCTATCTGGGTAAGTATCTGTTCAATTAAATAAGTACCACATACATATATAAACATACATCTGCGGCTAGTCTGCAATAACCATGCAAATCAATAAACATACCCATCCAAGTGTACTTCACTAGCTCTATATCTAACTTTGATTTGGCGCATATAGGACGTGTCAAATTCCCATATCTCTGCAGTGCATGTGCATGGTTGGACGAGCTGAGTGGACTTCCTTGCTTCCCATGGTGCGTTTATGGCGGGACAGATAGGGTTTTCTTTCTTCCTTACCGCGAGGTGGGAGGGAACTGAGTGGGTCAGGAATGGCTTTCATTTTTCCGTCGGTTGCGGTGTACTATGTGTCTATGTTTTGAGCAGATATGTATATATCTACCTAGGAGATGTTTGGGGTTTGGTTGTGGCTTCATCAATCGCTCTGGTAAAAGATCTTGGTATGAATGACAGCGCTGGATACAACAGAACGCATAATGAAAGAAAAAGAAAACGAAAGAGAAAACAAAAACAACAATAATACTCAAAACAAAACATATCACGTTCAATGGGTATATCAGGAACACACAAAGCTCATTCATATCTACAGGCGCATCCCTCCCTCCCTTTCTCCCACCGGAAGGAAGGAAAGAAGAAAGAAAAGAAGTCAGGTGCCAGGCTAACCTAACTCACAACGACCCGATCGTTGAGCCTCCCCGGCCAGATCCGGACCCCGCAACGCTGGCACTAATGGCCGATGACGAGGCGTGGGCGTTGTAACTATCGTTGATGCCTTCTCGAGGTCGGTCCCAGGTGCGGATGTGGCCTGGACATGGACAGATCGTGTTAGCATTCGCCGCTGAGGAGATGGTTGGGGGTGGGTAGTGCGTTACCTTCGAGAGAAGAGGTCATGATTGAGTCTTCTTGGAAGCCTAGCCAGCAGACCGGGTCCTCGCCCACGATTTTGGACTGTTGATGTGCTTGGTTAGGTTCTGTTCCGGTGACTCGCTCAATGAATGGGATGCAGGCATACCATGATCGGGGGCAACAGGGCGGTCCGTGCTCTGGGTTCCACAGGATGCCGGACGGCGTGATCGCAGTCTCCGTCGGTGTCCGCCGTTCGTTGGGAATCGGACCGTATCCGGTTGCCGGCGCTGTCGGCCCGGTGGCGATTGGTGTGTGGTAGGGGTGCGACTAAACTGGTGCGTTGGCGAGCGCTGGCTTGGTGCTGTTTGATATATGTCAGCAAGTTGGGCCTTTTGGGAATATTCCACAATGTTCTGAGGGCAGAGAGAACGTACTGCCCTCGGGCGATGAAGCATGCCCACGCTGAAATCCCAGAGGAGGAGACGGCAATCGTCGCCGACACTGCCAAATCGGTACGTTCGCTCGTCGCATCGCCACGGGTCGAACGCTACCGTAGATACCCACGAGTTATGGCCTTGGCATCGCGCAACGATCTTGCGTTCTCGGAGCGACCAGATTGTCACCAGATCGTCTTGTCCGCCCGTCAAGATGTACTTGCCGTCGGGTGACCAGCAGACGCAGATCAAGCCGCCGTAGTAGCTCCGAAAGATATCAGTAACCCTAGAGATGAATTAGCAACTTGTCTCTAGCCGAGTACCCCGCAATAATCATTCTGAGCAAAAAAATAAGTGAAGACATACTCTTCCTTCAAATAATCCATCACCCGGAGAGACCCATCCTCCAGAACGATGGCCACATGGCGGTGATCGGGGGAAAATGCAAACTGGGTGATCTTTTGCTTCGCCAGCTTCCACACCGCGACCGGATTCGTCTTCTGGTTCCTGGAGTTGACTGACTTCAACACTTGCAGCGGGAGTTGACCGGTCTCTGCGGAGGGATGGTTGATTTCAGGCGCGAACGGCGCATCCTCCTTCTCCTTATCATACACGACGAGCTGCCCATTGGCGTGCGCCGCGACAAAAAGATTCTCAGAGCCCGGGATCCATCCGATATGGGTGACCGAGGTCCCGTTGACGATCCCGTTCTTGTTGATCCGCGCGTATTTCTGCGAGATGGGCTCGTACCAGATGATATCGCCGGCGGACGATCCCATGACGACATCGATGTGCGACGGGTTTTTGGTCAAGTCGTTCACGTCGTGGCTGAGTATATGGGCTTTTGTGAAGAGGATCTTTGCAAGCGGTTCCTCCTTCTGCTTGGAAGTGACGTCCAGCCACTGGAATGCGCGATTGATGTTAGCGAACGCGAATATACCGTCCGGACTCCGGTCGTTCAATCTTTTGGACACCGCTTCGTGGGTGATCACTCGCGAGACGAACGAGGAGCTGCTCTTGACGATGTTGTTTTTCGGTTTCCTTCGCTTGACGCCTTCCTTCACAGGCGGGGACGCCAGAGCGGGATTTCCCTCGCCAAACAGAGGGGTATGCCCATTCTCTTTCAGCTTGAGCACGGGCGTCTTCACCCGCTGGCCAAGGCTCACCAAAGACAGCTTTACACCGGATGTGGGCGGAGTCGGGACAGTCTGGAGCGGATTTGGGTTTATGATCGGTGCTTCGGAAGGATGCGGGGGCGGGGTCGCCAGGTGGAGGTCGTCTTTGAGGTGATATGTTCCTATCGACCACCAGAGGTCAGTACGCCCACGCCTCTAATACTCTCGCGACTCTCGCAAGTGCACGCGACATACCTTCTCCGACCTGCAATGAACACCCGCCTTCCGGGTGGCGGATCACATTGTTGGTCTCCACGACCGGGACGGGCATGCCATTTGATGCCCCGGCTGCATAGGCAATTGGGATAGTATAGCGAGGCGGCGGGGGTGGAAGGACACTACAGTGGGGATGTCAGTACAACAGATAGAGTGATGACCCTTAGATGAACGGAGGCTGGGGGTCCCATGGAAGGCAACCGACTGCCTGTGGCGCTGCCGCGCGGAGCTTACGGCACCGACACGCAAGCAAAACAGCCACAAGTTTAAGGGGGTCGAGGGGATCCTTACAACATGGTTGCAACTATTAAATGGACCAAGATTGGTCCAGACAATGGGGAATCACTTCTGCAACCGTAGAGATATGGTGAATGCCACGGAGTATGGGCAGAACAGGTCGGGCGCGTAGCGGCGCAACGGTGCCGCAGTGCTTCTTATCCCCCCGAGAGTGGCACCACAGACGGTGCTACTCCAGGCGGGCGCTGAAGGATACCCGAGTCGAACTTAAATACCACAGTCTTGATCTTAACTGTGAGTCTATTGTCAAAAACAAGAATAAAAATAGCGTAAGCGTCTAGCGGTTGAGGCGACCGAGCGTGCTATGGTAAGCTTCGCTTTCCACTCCTCTCTGATGGGGCGGAACAGATCTTGTGTTTCCGAACGAAAGGAACGACGTAGGGTGTCGAGGAGCGCGATAAAAGTCCAAAAGCCTGCGCTGAGAAACAGATATGACCGTAGACAGACGAAGGTAAGAAGTGTCAAGATTAAAGTTCGGGGAAACGAGGCTCTCCCGCGTGTGAGGAGAAGGTTTTCTGGGGTTTGTTGGGCTGGAAAGGTCCCGTCCGTCTCGCGTGTCCTGAGGCTGCCACTGGCTTAGTCTGGTCGGCGCAGCGGGGCCGCAGTCAATCATACGTGGTGGGTTAGATCGTTGGGGGTCGGTAGTGTCTCCCGAGTACGCTTGCATTCCTAGGATGCTCATTTACTAGTGGCTTTATATATATAATTTCCCCTGAGTTCTTTTCGTTATATTGAATGTTGTGAAACTTCGATGATTACGATTAAATTGCCAGTAGATGTCTAAGTAGTCTACCACAGTAGGCACACGATAGTAGCAGGCGCACCATCCCTATCATGATCATTGCTTGTATTTAACATCGCCAAATATTACTATAAATACAAGAATATGGGTATCGATTATAACTCGCACACTAAACCCCGCTGCCGCTGACTCGGCGCCAGATCATCACCGCCGCGGCCCCGGCGCAGACCACAGCCCCCAGGGCAATCCCCCAAGCCATCCATTTGCCTTCATCGTCTTCCTCGCTCCGGGGGAACGCCGTGCTGGGTTCCATGGCCGCTTCTGCAATGTGGACAAAAACCTCTTGGATGGAGCTCCACGTCGCGCTGACATGGAGAGGTGGACTGGACATGTTCAGCATGGCCGTGTATTCGTGCGGTTGGTACTCGGCTCGTTGGGTCGTCCGGTCCAAATCTGCCTTGAGCGCAATGAACACACTCGGGAGCTCTTCGAGATGCGGATACTTCGACCGTAGAGCGGGGATATACGCGAAAGAATCCGGATCCGACGAGTCATAAGTGTACACGATCACGTCGCATTGATCCAGCAATTTCGCTTGGTTCTCCAGGATAGCCGGTTCCAGTTCGCCCAACTCATCCAGGATCAAATAGCACTGTTTACCGCCCGGCAGTTCGACAGTATTGACTGCAGTGCGAGGTTGAATGGTGGGGTGATACGTCGTGCTGAAGCCACGCGAGAGAAAGGCATCGAGGAGGGCCGACTTCCCAGACCCAGGCGCACCCAGAGCGTGTCCAAGGACGACGTTGCGACCAACCCTCCCGGGACGTCTCCGCCGCTTCCGTGGCCGAGTCACTTTTAATGCGGCTGTCGTCGACTGATTGCTTCGGTCGGCTGATTCAAACCCCAAGTAGGCAAGATACTCCAATGTCTCCTTCGGCGACTGGAAGGTGGTCATGCTCCATTGCGCGAGCCAGCCCTGCAGCGTAACATGGCCGGCTTCATTTCGCACAGTAGACGATGGGAAAGAACCGTCCGCCCACGAAGCCGGTAGGCCCGGTGTTGGGGCAAACAGCGAGGCTAGCTCGGCATCATTGAGTCCACCGTCATTGTCCTTGTCGGAGAGGAGGAAGAGGTTCACAAAGAAGCGATATCCCTCCGGCGACAGTTCCGCGGATGCGTACGGGGGAACTTCGAATCTGGGATGGAGGAAGCTCTCCTGTAAGGAGAGATTGTCCGTGTATTGATACGCGCGCAGGATGATCCAAACGGTCTCGTGGCGTCCCTTCTCCGCGTACAACCTGTTGAGTTGTATGAAACCAGGGCAATCGATGCCTGACGGCGTCACCGACGTCGGGTGAGTCTTCAGGATGGTATCCTTGATGTGAATCAGGTCCTCTTCACTCAACGCCTTTTCGAAGCACCTCATTTGAAAGTCCTTGATCTCTTTATCCGAAAGGTACCCGTCGCGATCCTTGTCGTTCAAATAGAAGATGCGCTGCAGTGCTGCGATGGCGGCCGGCTTCAAGGACGACTCCTTGGTGTCGAACAACGGCGCGATGGGATGGGTGACGGCTTTCTGGCAGAGGAAGAAGGCCTCGTTCACGTTGCGATGTTCTCGAGCGCTCGTGCGAATACACGAGTCAATCTCTTTGAACTCCGCCATCAACGGCAGCATCTCCTCCTCAATGACCTGGGCCTCACTGTGACCGACGGCCAGGTCGGATTTGTTGGCGCACAGCACCACGGGCACATTGACGCCTAGGGACCGAAAATACGGCAGCCAGAAGAGAGCGACTCTCTCATAGCTGTAGTGGTCCGAGTACACTAGCAGAATCACATTGGCCTTCCGGATCTCCCGGCCCAGATTGCTTCGTTCCTGAGGCAGGGCAGAGGTATCCACCACGGTGGTCGTCGTGACATTCTCCGGGGTTCCGATCGTCGGAGGGATCGTAATCTGGGGTAGGATAGGCTGGATCTTATGGGTGACGAATACGCCTTTGACGAGAGAGGTAATCAGGCTGGATTTGCCCGTGCCTTCATCTCCGCAGACGCAGATTCGCACTGGAGTAATGTCTAGGTTAGCATGGCTGAATTGCATGTCGACCGGGGTGGCTCAATAGAGTGTACCTGTAGCCATTTGTCACACCACCTCTTTCAGATCATTGCCAAGGAATGACTTTATCCAAAGTAGACCAATTGATCAACGGCAGCGCCAGGATTGGGGGGCAACGGACACAGCCCTGCAGTATCAATTGTGATTTGTGATGGTTGTCACGATGATGTCGCGGAGTCTCGGGCGGTGGCTATGCCGCTCCGGCCATCTGGCAGCCTCAGGTATCCAAGCATGCAGGAATCGGTAAGTAGATAACATCCACCGTATTAGGTACTGCTGCTGTTCAGGAACAATATATGCTTGATTGATGTGCCATGACAGGGTAATGGGATAGGAATGAAATGTTAAACATGATAATGAATTTTTCCATTCCAATGCTATTTTAAAACAATCTCTAATCAAAAATTTCCACATGTCTGTACTCAAGGGATTTCAAGAGAAGCACTGAGCAGATACTGAAAACATGTTACCATACGCTGTATGCATGCCAGGCACCTCAGGCCATACCTGGCTATACCTACTCCGGACCATCTTACTATTCACGCATAGCACGTGAAGGACCCCGTAATGATTATAGATTGATTATATTAGTTTGTGCTAAGACTAGGCAGCTCTATTCTGCTGCAAATCTCGTTCTTCTTCTCCCTTTCTATCTGCCCTTTCATTGGACATTACTGAAAACGTGGTTGAGCATCGTTGCGCCGCAACTAGGACTGATCTGTACCTTACTCGGCGAACTACTAGAAGTACACTGGCTTACTCGGGGTCAATTCAGCCGGACATCCGCCCGCCTGCTTTTGAACAACCACCCCGGTCGCTTCCACTAGGACGAACTCCCGTCGCAGAAGCTGAACATACCCCCCCTCCCTCTCCCTTCTCTTAAATCTATCTCTTTCCTACAAACTAAAACTTCACCTACCCTCTTCTCTTTCTCTCTCCTAGATCCCGACGAGCACAGTCAAGATGCCTCTCGGAATCCACAATCCCTTGCCGTCGTCTCTGGGAAGTACGTATAGACCACCGGTGTTCTCAATTTCCCCGCAATTTACGAGAGGGGGCGAGTTCCGTGCTGACAACGGCTTTGTACCTCAACAGGCGAATGCAAGAAGGTTGGAAAAATCCTTGCGTCCTTCATCGACCCGCGACAATCGTTTGGCCCCGACAAAGTGATTCCGCCTGAGATCCTGGCAGGCGCCAAGGTGAGTAGTGTGGAAACCAGAGAACAAGGGCGAGAGTTCAGGATGTCACTAACGATCCCGCCTGGTGCTGTAGGGACTGGCTATTCTCACTGTCTTGAAAGCGGGATTCCTCGGCTCTGCTCGATTTGGCTCTGGTGTGGTCGTCGCCCGTCTGGCCGATGGTTCTTGGTCTGCCCCGTCGGCCATTGCAACTGCCGGTGCCGGGTTTGGAGGGCAGATTGGATTTGAGTTGACCGACTTCGTCTTTATCCTCAACGATGCCGCCGCGGTTCGGACCTTTTCGCAAGTGGGAACTCTGACGCTGGGAGGCAATGTTTCGATCGCCGCAGGACCGGTAGGGCGCAATGCGGAAGCGGCCGGTGCCGCGAATACGCGCGGTGTCGCCGCGGTGTTTTCCTATTCGAAGACCAAGGGACTCTTCGCCGGTATCAGTTTGGAAGGCAGCATGCTCGTGGAGCGAAAGGATGCCAACGAGAAAATGTACAATAGCCGAGTCTCTGCGCGCCAGCTGCTCAGTGGAACTATCCGACCTCCCCCAAGTACCGACGCCCTGATGCGTGTTTTGAACTCTCGTGCATTCTTTGGCAATGGACGGGGCCATGGGGATGCCATGTACAACGACATCCCGATCTATGATGATCGCCATGACGACGTGGTGTGGGAGGGACGTCGGGGCGATGCGTACGGTGAGGGTGTTCGGCGCGACCGGGGCGGCTTGAGTAGCAGCGACGATCAAAGTCTTGACGGACCCCGTCGCGCGAACACCTGGGCCGACGATGTCTATGATCGACCGGCAGGCGGCGCTGGGCTGGGTCGCTCTGCCACGGCCCGTTACAATCGCGACACTTTCGACACGGCCAGCCGTAGTCGAAGCAACACCACCCCATACGAGGACGACTATGTATATTCGGATCGCAAGCCCACTCGACCTACCGCCCCCAAGCCAGTCTTTGGAAATCGAACAGGGGGTGGTGCGGCCTTGCGACAGGACCAGGCGATTGCGCTGTACACCTTTGATGCCGACCAGGATGGGGACTTGGGTTTCAAGAAGGGAGAGGTCATCACCATTCTCAAGCGCACCGAGAAGACTGAGGATTGGTGGACGGGACGGATTGGTGACCGGGTCGGTATCTTTCCTAGGTAAGCCTCTGGACTTGAAACCATTGAAGGTGCTTCTCACTAAGACCGAACAGTAACTACGTTGATGCGGCTTGAATCACTTAGCCGCTATCGACCGGGAGTCGTTTATGCGGAATGACATTTGATGATCTCAGAAACTCTCACCACCCGCGTCCTTGTTGATGTTCCTTTCTTTTCTCTTCTCTTTCTCCTTTTTCTTTCTTTTCTTTTCTTTTCTTTTTTTTTTGGTTTGGTTTCTTGTTTACTTCTTGGAAGATGGTTTGCTTTTCATTGTTTGATTCCCCCGGGCGTGACCAGCTATATCACAAGAACCTCTACTGTTTGTTCCGAAGGTCCAGGTCCTCGGTCCTCTCTCGCCATATGATCCCAGGCGGACGCCCAGCCAGCGTTCTCGGATGTCGCTTCTTTGTATCTCTGACCATGGAACGGTTCTCGAGTTCTCCACCCTTTCTGCGCCTCTGGACTAAATGTCTTTTTTCTTTCTGTTTGCCTCTTTCATTGGATTGCATATTTGGATGATAGAATGGAACGCCCTCATTGTCCTTACCCATGTGCTATTGGACGATCCCATCAGTTCGACCAGGTCTCCTGTACCCATTCAATCAAATCTGGCCACTCATATAACCTACCACCTACCTTCCTAACCGTTGATTCCCCGGGTTTCCCCCCACCGCAAGGAAGGGATAGTCTCCGCCGACATCCCTTGATTCCCGTGATCACCGCCACTTCTCAGGCTACATGGCTTGCCTATCCGTTCGTACTGTGACCTGGAAGCGGTTCTTCATGTGTGTCTCTCCCTACCTAGGTAAGGAAAGCAAAAATCGAACTCACTTTCAGGTCGCCAATTGGGCTTCCCGGCGCTTGGCGTGGCTGTGTAAATCCCTCCTATTCGCGGGGTCCTGAGCCGTCAGGTTTTGACTAATTGTCCGAGTCATCGGACAGACTGCGTCTCAGTCTTTTCCCTATGCGGTCGGGGAGATGAACCTAGGCTGGACGCACTCGCACGAGACTTACATGAATTAACGGGCTCAAATCATCCAACACATCATCGGATGGGGATTATGTTATGCTAGATTAGGTCAGGTTAGGTTAGGGTTTTGAAGACCAGCATCCCTGGATGTGGCAGGGCCAGACATACATTCCAGGCCAGCCTTGCGTTAAACGGGATGGCGGGACATCAGATGGAAGGCCCGATAGATAACACAGGGCACACCACAGATGACTCGACGTGCCCGTGTAACGGGATCAGGCGACTGTGTCCACCCCCCACTCCTTCCTCTGAATACAGTTGGTGGTTACAGAGCAGTTATGTGTGTTACATCCCTAGCTCAGTGTTATCCACAGGAGAATTTCGAACCGGGCGGAGGGGGTGGATCTAGGGCACCTAGGATAAAGTGTAGGAAGACTAAGGCATGCATGATGTGACGTGATGTGATGCCTGGGGGGGATGCAAAAAGCCTTGTCACGGGGTTGATTGGGGGGTTCAATTGAAATGGCAATACCGTATGCGGTGAATGGTGTACATAGAAGGATGGCGAGCAGATGATACGCTTCTCTCTTGCAAATACGTCTTCTCATGAGGGGATGACTATGAATATTACTATCGGTCTATGTTTTGAATGCTTTAATTTCATATGCAATCAATCTATTCATCGAATTTGAAGGCACATGCAAGACAACGATGACATGACATGATTCTTGAACCAACGCCATATACAGTCATTCGTCAGCCAGTCCGTCAATACTCTAGTAGAATTCTTCCTGACTGGATGAGCATACCAAAGATCGACTGAGATGATCAGAGTTTGGTCAAACTTGCTGATCTTTAAGGATCGCTGCAGCGACAGATCGATCCTACAGTACTAAGTAGGAGTCTAGGACTACTCCCTCCGTACTGGACTACTGCTTAACTCACTGGCTACAGTGCACCTGATCGGTGGGGACAGTGGAGTAGGGATGACTAAGCTCTCCATTTGACAGGCCCGAAACGGATGAAATTCAACATCAAAAAGGGAAGAAGAGGAGAAAGCAGAGAAAGAATGAGGGGATGGAGTGGATGGTTGAGTAGATGATAGAGATGAGTGGGTTTGGTCTTCTAATTCTAGTAGATTGATATTCCGAGGATTGTCCATTGTACTCTCCTACTCCGTACTGTTCTGACCATTACTCTTTCTAACTATAATCTTCCAGAATACTCGATCCTGGCGGAGTCCACTGCCACCACTGCTGTGCCTGGATACTCCCAGGAACTTCTTCTTTCTCTCTCTCTCCGCCCGATCAGCCCAGACCAAACCAGACCAACCCGCCTTTTCTCACTCGCATTATTCATATACACTGAAACTTAGTCCGCTTCCTTCCTCCTTCCATTCTCTTTTTCTTCCTCCCCCTCTTTCTCTATTCCTCCCACCTTTGACAACCACCTACACCACCACTACCTTAACCTCGCCTTCTTCACGATCGGACGAAGCGGATCATCGAGAATACAATAATAAAAAAGGAAAAAAAGGGAAATAATATATCAACAGAAGTCGGGAAGGAAAGGTGTGCCAGAAATCAATACGCTATAAACCCGACAAATCCCCCGTCGTCATCCTCCTCCAGCCTCTTTCGTTTCCTTGATCTCACTCTTCCTTTAATCTTAATTCTCACTTCCTATCCCCTCGTTGGACTCCTCTCCCATTTGATCTGCAACTTCTTATCCATACGCCGGATGCCTGATCGCCATCGTCGCCCTTGGGTTCCTCCGATCACCGTGGTGGTTGTTCCTCTTCCGCGACCTTTCTCCCCCGCGTCCATGATTCCATGACCGTCCTCATCCTCTCGTCAACGCTTTCTGCCCCGGTCGTACCTTGACCTCCTTTTCTCGAGGCGGGTTTCTCGTCCCCGACTCGTCCCCAGTCGCTTTCCGGGACTCTCTTCGTTCTGAGTTGCTGCGTGCTTTGTTCTCATGCAGGTATGTTGTGTTCTTTCTCCCCCTCTCGGGCCGGCCTTTGTGGGTGTTGTTTCTGGAATTACACCCGGGACATCCTTTGTGTGCATACCCAACCGCTCTCCCACCCCCCAACCTCTTTTCTTCTTGAGCCTCCTGCCAGCTTCTCCAATGTCTTGTTCTCTAAACGGTCTTTTTTTGTCACGTTCAGGCTTCCTCGGGTCCCTCGGAGGCTGGCGGAGGGCACGCGTCGCGGAGAGGCCATGGGCCCCATCTGTCGATCAGCGACCCGAGCCACCATGTCACGGAGGCTATCGGCCATTTGTACGAGGATGACTACGACAAGCGGGATTCACGACGCCTCAGTTATCTCTCCACCAACAGCGAATCCATCTCAATCGTTCCCCCGAAGCACGCCGGTTCCGAATCCTCCCCGCCATCTGTACCTCCGAAGAACCATACGGGCGAAGTGACTCGCGGCCAGGTTAATGGACAGTCCCATTCCCCCACCGTGGGGAGCCGGCCGTTCGATATGGAGAGCAGCAGCCCGACGTCTCCCGGTTCCACCGCCTCCCCTGGTTCAACAGATACAGCTACCACCTCCTTCCCCTTGAATGACATCGACTACGAATCCAACCCGGCCGCTGTCGCCCAGGAACTCAACAACCTTGCCGCGATCCGGCGGATGTCCATGGATGTAGCCGCTACCGGCGACCCCGACCTTCCCAGCTTCAACTCAAATTCGATGCCCTCCATCGCACCCGCGCCGTCCGCCGATGAAAATGACGCCTCTCGATTGTTCTGGGTTCCCGCCCGCTTACATCCCGAACTGGCCCCGAAAGAATTCAAGTCCTTCCTGGAGAGCAAGTCGGACCATATCAACCGGAAATCAGGCGATTTCTCATTGCTGAGCCCGGAGCGGTGCGGATCCAACGGGAGCTTGAGGCGGAAGAAATCGATGCTATCCCGACAGATCGACGACTCGCACGGTTATACGGATGGCGCGGAACGGCTCGAACGGAAGCGATCGCAGCAGTCGAGCAACGACTCGTTGAGCCCGAACCTGATGCAGTTGGAGACGATGGTGGACAACTCAAATACTCGGAGCCCCAGTTCGTCCTCGTTGAACGATGACGTCCAGAATCTCTCTCTGACGGCCGAGGAGGACATGCCGATCCTTCCCCCGGCCCCGCCTGGCCACAGCCTGCGACGGTCGACGCGAACGCAGTACCGGAAAGCTGGCAGTTTGAAGAAGGGTGACAAGCTGCCCTACTCCAAGCGACTCGCCAAAGCGAACGAGACGGGTGAGGAGGTGCCGCCGATCGTGTCCGCGACCGGTGAGCCACCGATCCTCGGTCTCACTCGAGTGTCGACAGACCCCAACCCCAGCGTCACACGAGCTCAGGCCTTATCGAAAGCCGCACAGGCAACAGCACCCCCGTCTGATGCCACGGCCTCATCCGCCTCTTCCTCCTCCGTCGACCCGAGCGGTGATCAACCACGTGACTCCACCGCGGCTGAAGCGGCCCCCGTCAGTAGTTCCGCCCAGTCACGATCGTGGCATTCTCGCATCAGCTCCAACGGCCGGTCGAGCCTGCAGACTCCGTCTGGGGAGCAGAAGATCCCGGAGATCGTCGAACCGCCCCCGTCGGAGCCCAAGGCACCGTCCGCCTCCAACGCTCAGCAAAATATTCCTGCGGCATATGACTCTGGCAAAGACACGCCTCCAGCGCCGCCGCCGAAGAGCCCCTCCCATGAGCAATCTTCGACCAAACGATCGCTTCACCGGTCACACGGGAAAGACAATGCCCCGACCCTCAACGAGTTTGCCAGTACCCCACAGGCGCTGCCCGGCAACACGACGCGCACGGACAGCCTGACCTTTATCCCCCATCTCACCGAGGATCGCAAATCGGAGTCAAAGAAGTCCAAAAAGGAGTCCGAAGGCGGGCGCAAGTCGAGCTGGCACTGGTTCTTGCACCCGGATGAGAAAGACAAGGACAAAGAAAAGAAAAAGGAGAAAGATACGGAGGCCAAAACGCTCAAGTCGAAGATCGTCGACAAGGTCCATGAGACGACCCTCACTTCTTCGTCGAGTGACAGCAACCAACGTGGGCGGGAAGGTGCGTCTAGTGCGTCGATGGACCGGTTGGATCCAAAGCTCGAGGAGGAACGCCGAAAAGACAGCGCGCGGAGGACCTCCGGCGAGGCGAAAAAAGAAAAGGAGAGTGGTCTCTTTTCTTCCATCTTCGGGGGTGGCCGGAAGAAGAGCAACGAGAGCGGTCATCACAAGAAGAACTCGTTGCGAGCCATCTCCCCGGAGCCGCCCGTGCGGATCCTCCAGCCCGATGTCGACTATGCCTGGACTCGCTTCTCGATCCTCGAGGAGCGGGCGATTTACCGAATGGCCCACCTCAAGCTTGCCAACCCGCGTCGCGGGCTGTACTCGCAGGTCCTGCTCAGTAACTTTATGTATTCCTACCTGGCCAAGGTGCAACAGATGCATCCACATATGATGCTCGCGACCTCACCTGCTCAGAGACAGCAGAAGTCGCGAGAACAGTCTGAGGAGTACCAGCAATACCAACGTTACCAAGAGGTGGGTCCATACTTTTCTGGGATTCATCTGTTTCCCTCCCCCCCTTAAAGATCGGCGTGCTAATGATATTCTAGGAGCAGGACCAACGCTACGCGGACAGTTCGTATGACGATCCTCAAATGTATGAATACGGTGATGATTCTCACGACCACTATGGTTCGAATTCGCGAGGTAGCAAGCAAGGCTATGAGAATGGGAATGCATATGGACCAGGACATTACCAGTATGGGCATTATGGGAATGATTCTCATCTCGACGACGACGACGATGACGATGACGATATGTGGTGACGGAATCGTCTTTGGTACTGATAATGCATCGCAGCACGAAACTGTTTGCCACGAATACCACCCTAGTTTAACCACGAATAGCCCTCTCTCAGTACTCGGTGTTTCTGACGTCTGCTTCATTCTTGATCGGGGGGAATAATGAACAAGGAGATCGTGAATATGCCACGTGTGGCTCTGGGCAGCTCTGTTTTCCACATCCTCTGCATGTGATTATGTCTTATTACTATTACTGTTTCTTATTATATAGCGCTCTTCTCTAGAGACCTGACTGCCTCCTGATTAGGGTAGGTAGGTGGGTCTATGGCTGGCTGGACTTTTGGGATTGCCGATTGGGCTTTCTTTGCTCGCATAGCGTCTGGGGTTTTTTGCTTCTTGACTCGCATTACTGTCTGATTTTATACTCTGACTAATGAACTTACGGTCTTCACCATATGGTAGTAGACATACCATTATCAACGTACACAAAATCATGGGTACTTTCACAGTACTCGTATTTAAGGGTTAATAGAGACTATAGATAGATGGATAGTAGATAGATGATCGCCCTCACCCCACCCGAAAGAAGCAACTCGTCACATGACGTCCCGCCTCCACGGTCTCGGCCTTGCCATCGCGGCGTCATGCACTCAATTCTCTACCTGGCTTTATCTTCCTCATACTGAACCCTCCCCTGCTTGACAATATAAGCGTCGACAGAGTTGATCTATAAAACCACACCAAACAGAAACCGCCCCCTAATACATCAACGAACCAAACCAAATCAATCAAACTCAACGACAGAACCGACAAAATGGGCGAAGCCTACGAGCGCGAACAGTACGCACACCCTTATACAACCCTATCCTATCCCATCTATCCTCTCTTTCCTCGAAGGAAGATACAACACAAACCCGGTCGAAGCGAATGCATAAATGAGTAGCAGACAGACAGACAAGGCTGACAGGATCGATTGATCTACTGGAACAGACAAAACAACGCCCTCCTGAACTCCCTCTCGGGCAAAGTCTCGGCTCTGAAATCCGTCACCGTTGATATCTATGATAATGCGAGGGATCAGGAGACGTTGGATCATTCGGTTGGTTATCTATCCCCCTTTTCTTTTCTTCTGCATAGATATTTCTTTCCCCCCCGCCTCCGGTGGTGGCTCTCCATGTCTTGCACTGTGCAAAACACATTCTATGATGTATTATGAATGGATTAAGCTGACTATATCTTTTTCCCACTATAGGGCCAAGTGTTCTCATCTCTTGGAACGAGCTTGCAAGGAAGCGCGAGTCGGTTAACTCGCATGGCGAGACAGGGTGATACCGTTGCTGTGTTGAAGGTTGCGGGGATCTGTGTCGGTGTTGGGGTGTTGATTTGGTTGTTTTTGAGTTGGATTTTTTAGGCCCTATCTTTTGGGTGTGTTTGACTTGGCCGTGAAGAGGGGGGGTATAAGAGAGGGAGGGGGTGAAGAGCGAGTATCCATGGAGAGGAGAGATGAAGAAAGGGGAAGGGGAACGAGAAAGAGGAGGAGGAGGAGGAGGAAGAGGAGGAAAGAAGATGACTCGACTGTATTGTCTTGCTGGTCATGACTGATACCCGCGTTGCGCGATTATTCCTATTCTTTGGTGCTTGATATTTGTTTCTATATTTTGTGTATACTTTGTTGTTTTGTTATTGCTCTTCTGGCTGGTACAGCGTTGCAGTTCTTTTCGTTTGTGCTGTTTTATATGGATGCCTGTCGGGTTTTTGATCTGATAAGCTGTGATCGGATTTTATCTAGATATTTTATACAGCTTAATATTTGATATGGTGTTGCTGCTTGTAGTGAGTGGTGGTGTTTGGGTAAATAGTAGCCATTGAACATGCTATCGATATGGATAAACAGATCCTTACTCGGTAATGAATATAACCTGGGTGATCTCACGGTAGAATGTCATGAATGCACATGTTGACAGGATGTTTGCGCGATTAGTCCCACACCTCCTCCTCCTACTCCTACTCCTATACTTTCATCAATCACCAGACCACCTGACAAAAACCACATCGGAAAAGATCAACACTGATCGGAGAACACTCGCAGACAATCAGCCCACACAGGGAAGACAAAACAGCATGCTAGCAAAAACACCTATAGTGAAGTGCATTAGGGCTAGAATAGTTGATAGACAAGGCTAGACCAAGCGAGCACAGCCTACTGATTGGTTTGACATGGTAGCGTTATGGGATATGATCCTCTATCTATCTATCTATCTACCGTATCTATTGAGGTGGAGTCAGATAGCACAACGCTTTACTATAGTAGGGAAGTAGATAGGGGCAAAAGCGGTAAAAGCGTTATTATAACATAAGTTTATCATAGTCATACAACCGGTGTAGAACAACATGAGCAATTAACTTAATCGGTTAAATTCATCTTTATTTCATCTATTTTATTTGATAAAGATAAAATAAACGATGATCAAGTGGAGCCCGCAGCCAACTCCGTCCGTCTCGGGAACAGCACCCACCGGGCCAGCCAGCTTTAACTCCCGTCCCAGTGAAAAAAATTTGTTAGTGCTTCCGTGGGGACCACAACGGGTCGGGTACCGAGTTTTTCTTGTTGTAAATCGCTCTCGATGTCGATATCGGAGGTTTGGCTGGTCTCTGATTGTGCGACGGCTTCGAATTGGAGTTCTGGAATGAGCTTGTGGATGGAGCTGTCAGGTCGGTGTGTAGTGTCCACTTTGTTGAGACTTTATAACTATCCCCTTTTCTTTCTTCATCTCACGCTTTGTTTTTGTTGTCGTTGTTGTAGCTGTATGCTGATGTTTTCTGGATTGATTTTATTCCATTTTTTTCTTTGATATGTTTGACCTCTGTGTATCTCTTCCGTTTGATCGGTATCAATCGCCATGAACTAATTGACTAGTCCGCCTCATCCTCGCCATCAACATCGGCTATCAGTACTCCGTAAAAGACACACCATGTAAAAGAACCTATGAGTCAATTTCCATCCAAGCTATACCCAAACCAAGTCATTCGCCATCCATACTACCTAGCACCTACCGAACCGATAACAAGCCTGGATATGGGAAGGTTGAGGCGGACCCGTCCCATGCCTAATACAGACACCGGGTGTGGTGACCCGTTAGTGGCTCGGGATGCCGATGGCCTGGCGCTGGTGCATGGCTAAGATGCCGGGATTCCGTGGGTTTGGGGTCGTTTTTTAACCCTGGTTGCGGGTAGTTAGTCACTTAGCTCCCGGGATGAGGCAATGGAATGTTGAGGTGAGGGATTTTTGGATTGAGCTGGTTAGGGAGGTGAATTGGAATTGGATTGGATTGGAATGGAATGTTTGACATGAATAGGGAGTTGGGCTTGGTTGACGTTGGCTTTGAGAATGTACTCTATAGAGGTCTTGCAAAGGTGCTTGACTCATGACAGCTTAGTGCAGGCGCACTTTGTACAGACTGCAGACAGTTTACTACTAACGCCACCCGCACCCGGTTTGGGTCCACATTCTACTTCTAGACTTTGTCGGACTCGGATGATGCTCCCCTTCCCGTTAGTGTTGGAAATGGAAGTTCTAGTATGTGGTTGTATGCTTTGTTCTCCACTGGGTCATGTATGCATATCGGATAGAAAAGGGATTGGAACACAGGAAAAAGAAATTTCAAAGATGCATTGTTTGGCGATGGTTGTGTGGGTCTATCCGGATGCATGTCATTCCATGAGCTAAATGTGATTGTGATTGTGATTGTGATATCATGGCTTGCGTCAAGTAGTCGTTGTGTTTGTGTATTCGGAGTGGCCGGTTGGAGGATAGGATGTAAGGTGTGTTTTGTCTTTTTATTAGTAGTATTTAGGACTATCGGCATGCCGTATGCCGTAGGCTCGCTAAAGATGTGTTTCATCTGCCACCTAAGTAGCTATTTAGTACGCTAGATGCCCGATGCAAGCACTAAGAGCAGTACTGTATCAGAAACTGGTGTATGCCCGTATAGTATGACCGTCGCGGAAATTCCCGATCACCCACCGAAGATGTGAAGGGACCCCGGGAGCACCCGAGATTAACTAGCCCGATGATACCATACACCGGCTGCTCGGTTGATATCAAGTACCGTATTGTTACATTATCCCGAAGGATCAATTGAATACGATCGTCGCTGTGCTATTGCTTATCTCGATGCTCGACCTGGAATTATAGAATGTCGTCTGATGAAGGTAGGTACAAGTATAGAATGTACTCATACGATCTCTCCTGAATCCTGACTCCTGACTTCTGACAAATCTGCAGAGCCACCTCCATTTTCACATTGATGATGTGTTGACCGGCATGATCGTCCATAGTGGAGCCTGCCAGGTGGATGGATTCCACCCTGAAATGTCTGACTCTGGTTGATGTTACATAAGCTGTTCTATTTCTTCACATGGATTGATATATTGCATTATTGTCTTGTCTGGTTCTTCAAACGACATATTCTGCAACTGACAATGTACGACTTAGTAGGCGGGTCATGTGTGACACAGGTGCAGAAAGTGGAACTCTCCCTATTGTCCTGTTGCTGGTTTGGGGTGTTGACGAATCCTGACGAGTAGGGATCAAACATGGCTGATTTCAATACATCATTGTTAGAGATTTGTAGATCGAGGACCGTGGGCGCGGGAATGGCGATCCTTTATTTAGCAGTTTCAGGGGTGTCTTGTTCCATTGATGTCTATCCTATTAGTGGGAAATATTTTAATAAAACAGAAGAAAGATCGTATGAGGTAATTGATGAGAATCCTTGAAAACTGCAATTTGATACTAATAATCCCTCGTGATAAGAGTGATACACCGGGTAATGCATCTACCGCTGGCATATTAGGCGACCGAGGTATCACCATCTATCTTATTATACCAATAACCAGTCGGAATCACAATGATCATAATGTCAAGAAACATTAGTGATCGCTGCAGTGGCCAGTAGGACAACTGATCAGCTCCACGTTGTGACTCGCGGCCAAATTCTCCGGTATGTACGTCAGTCAGCCCAACTCCGGATTCCCATACTAAGTATTCATCTCACATCATTCTTCCGTTCGCTGCACCATCGCCTTTGTTTGATCCTGCTTTGAGATTGATCTTTCCATGGATTGATTTGCCTCTTTGAACTTTCCCCTGATTGAACATTCCCATAGCGGGCGGAATCCTTCCTTTCCAGGGATCACAATCTCCCAGATAGACGTCCATCGCATCATCGGCAATCCAAACCTAGAAGGCTGGAAGCCTCGGAGTCAGCGGTCCCACCGGCCACACGTCTTAAGGACTTAAAATAGCAAATCACAAAGTCAAAAGGAGCGGATCTCCGGCACCATCCAACAAGTCGAACAACGAGAGCCGACGGAAACGGCAGGCTGAGAGCCCCACCATCGAATCATTCTCTTGACTCTTCCTTGCCCGGGTGGGCCTTGCGAATCTGGACACCCACCAGTAGATCCCTTGGCCCAACTGTGGTCCCATTTGCGCCATAGATAGCTGGTTCATCTTTTGTATCTGTGTCATAATTTCATTTTTTCATCTTTTTTTTCTTTCTTTAATTCTTTTTAATTCTTTTAGTCTTTAATTCCTTATTTTTTATTATTATTTTTCTAACTCAATCTCTTGTTCTCATTAGATAATTCTTGATTTTTTCCTTTCCCGCTGTCTCTTTAATATCTTACGCCTTCCCTCCACTCTCTTTTCCCTTCACTCACCTTATCACCGCATCTTTTCAACCCCCACCCCTTCGTCGGGTTTCTCTTCTCTCCCCGAAAGCTGCCGGTCTGCGCGGCTGCCGGTTGAATCGCTATGGCTCTCAGTTTCTTTGGCGCGGGTTCAAGCCATGCCAAATACTTCGATATCCGGTAAGCTTCCGCCACCCTAATCTCCACCAGTCGCTTGCATTGACTGACCTTTGCCGACAATGACAGCCTCGATGAAGATTACATCGTTTTTCGCGGCGGAGAACAGGAGGCCGCGAGTGCCCATTTGAGTGGAAAACTCATCCTTTGCCTATCGGAGCCGCTGTCCATGAAACACATCCGACTTCACTTGACTGGCATCTCTCGCGTCTGGTCAGTAATTGATCTGATATCCGCGATCTCGAATATCGAACTAACCGGTCTCTAGTTGGCTTGTACCGTCCAGTTCCGCCGGCGGCGGTAGAAAGTCGTGGAGGGAGCGCGTGTTCTACGAGAAGACTTGGAAATTCCGCGATCCCGGAAAAAGCAAGACGGAAATTCTTCCCGCCGGGAATTATGAATACCCCTTCGACGTGATCCTCGAAGGTTCCATGCCCGAGAGTGTCGAGGGCCTCCACGATACCTATGTTACCTATCGCTTCAAGGCAGAGATCGGTCGCAAGTATGCCAAGGACATTATCGTCAGACGCCCGCTACGGATTATCCGAACGCTGGAGGCTAGCGCGCTTGAGCTCTCCCATGTGATGGTAAGTCCATCTGCTGTCCCAAACCTGTGTATAGGTGATATGCTAACTGGCTGCGATGTAGTCGGTGGAAAACGTCTGGCCCAATAAGATCGAGTATTCCATCAGCACGCCGACAAAGGCTATCATCTTCGGAACTGCCGTTCAGGTGGATTTCAAACTCATCCCGCTACTCAAGGGCCTCACGATTGGAAATATCACGACCCAGCTTGTCGAAAGCCACGACCTTACACTGAACCCCGAGGACCCCCATGCGATCCGCAACACGTACAAGAATACCCGCACCATCTTCACCGACGAGCATCATCTAGACCCTGAGAATGGGCTGGAGATCATCGACGAGTCGGCAGAAGGATACCAATTCACGCGTTGCCTGGATTTGCCCAAGACCCTCACCCGGTGTCTGCAAGACACTGATACCAGAGGAATCAAAGTGCGGCACAAGTTGAAGTTCCGTGTCCAGCTCCTCAATCCTGATGGCCACATCAGCGAGGTACGTTACGCGGTCGTGTACTGACGCATGTAACTTTCAGCTAACGTTTCGCAGTTGCGGGCCACCCTTCCCGTGTCCATCTTCATCTCGCCAAACCTCCCGATTGACGATGACAACAACCTTGTTGACCAGACGCCCCGATCAGCTCAGCGAGCAATCGAAACTATCGCCCAACAAGCTCCTCCGCTTTATGGGGACCATCAGTTTGACCAACTGTATAGCGAGGTTGATCTATCGGGCTACCGGACCCCCGGACCCGCCAGTGGCCGCGAGACACCCTTTGGCAGTATGAGTCGCAATCTTTCTTCCGAGAACCTGCCGTCCATGAATGCTTTGACGACGTCCGATATCTCGGCATCGGCCCTGCACAGTCGATTGTCGAATCTCCATGCGACGGGACATAACCATCCTTCCCCTCCGGAGCTGGACGACCCTCGCCGCCTTGGCCTCCCCACCGACTACTTTGGCCGCGCCTCAGGTTCCCATAGTCCGGTTACGCCCGGTCTTTCTCGCCGGCCTTCCGACGAAGCCGTCGATCACGACCACACACCATCCGGGGCTGCCACGCCGTTCCGCCCGCAATTTACCGAAGTGGAGACTCTCAGCCGGGTGCCCAGCTATTCCACGGCCGTCCGCACCACGGTGCGTCCGTGTGATTCCGAATTGCCGGATTACCAGGCCGTGGTTTCGAGTCACAGTGCGATCCCGACGCCACAGCAGGCACACGTCCGAACTGGCGTTCGTGGGCCTGGCGCGCGCTCTTCTCTTATTGATGTACTACACCGACCTGGCCTTTCCCACCTTCGCTCCACCAGTCACGCTGACGATGAGGAACGCAGTCTTCGTCTCACCCAAGCCCGCGCCCAGGTCTAGTTTCCTAGGGCAGACTTGTGGACCGAGCCCGATCTTCCATATCACGATCACGACCACTTTCCCTCAGCGCTGGACGCTGAGAGAATTTCGCATTCTAGCAATCTCCCATCACCTCCCGAATGAAAAGACAAAACATGCTACGGCATGTGTGTTTTGCAGCGTCTCTGCATTTGGAACGTTCACAACGCGGATGCTGTCTTTGCCGACGAACTTTTGCCTTCTACACCCATCCATACACTTAGACCCGGAACGGCGCGGTTAATTAGAGCTGGCGTTATATTGTTTGCTATTGGCCTTTTTTTTTTTTTGGTTTCCCTTTTCCAGATCGAGGCATTGGCGGTTTGGACGTCCCGGATGAGGCTCTCCTCTGAATAGGACGATGGTGGGTTTGGGATCCTCAACGGACAGCATGAGTTACGCATTCTTAAGACAAAAGCAGGAACACAGTACATAATCATTATTTTCAAAGGATACATCTATTTAATCAACATATGATCTGTTAAGGATCAACCATGATATCATCTCTGCCCAACCAAACCACGTCGTCCACGCCACTGAAGCGGTAGCGCCTGATTTCCTCGCGAAAGCACTCGATCACAGCAAAGCAGTTGACCTGGATTATATACCCAACTTCGTAAAAAGCAAGCTGTACAGACTTACCAATTAGGACTTCCCCTGATGGAGACGGAAGTGGTGTCAGGCCAGGCCCGCAAGCGACCAAGCGGAGGATAACAAGAATGAGGGGTAACATACTCCCGGCAGAAAGCGGTGACGCGGTGACTTCATCGGCTGTCTGGGCTTTCCCGGCGATCATTTCCCCTTATCCCCTCCATCCCCTTGGATGCTTTGGTTGAGGAAAGGGTAAAAAATATTTCCCTTGGATTTGACACCTCTATTTCTCTCTCTCTGAATCAGTCTGTGCTTGATAGGGGTTTGAGTGTTTAATCATCCTTTTGTTTGATTGAGACCTCACCGCTTTCTCATTCGTTGGTGGTCTTGCCACAACGTGCGATTGATTCTCCGGATCACTTACCCCCCCTCTAATTGAAGTTCTCCGCAACGAACTGAGGTGAATTGCTCTGTTCAAGATCTCTACCTACGACTTTCATCCCCCGGTAGAATCTACACCAGCAGCGAAAATGTCCGCTACGAGTAGTCCAGTGGACGCGAGGCTCCCGCATCGTTCCTCGACGATGAGGAGCTCCGTGACCGGTCCGGACCGCCGGGCTTCTATGAGCGATGATGAGGCCATTCCGGATTCTGACAGCAGTGAGGTTAGTATCTGTAATATGGTGGCTGGATATCGGCTTGTGTTGTACTGTCAAGCTAATGCGTGCGACTACCTAGACTACGAATCTCCTTGTCGAGCGCCTCCGCGCTTGGAAGCATATGTGCGGCAACTTGGAGGACTTTGTTAGTGTTACTGCTAAGGTGCAGAAGTCGCAGTCGAAGGACTATGAGAAGGTTCTGAAGGTGGGTTTGTCTGGATACTATGTGCTGGTTTGTTGGATGGGCGCTGATTGAGGATAGACCGTTAGCGATCCCCTGAAAGAGGGGCACCATTTTTCGCAGAGCGTTGGGGGCGTTTCTTCTATGTTTGAGAATATTCGCGCCAATACTCAGGTATGTAGTCCATTCGTCCCTGGGGTTGCAGGGTGCTAAATGTCCTAGGGAATGGTCAGCATGTACCTCGACGGAGAGAAGAACTTGAGGACCTCCGTCCTCCCGGCCCTGGAGCGTCTCCACAAGGAAATCAAGAACAAGTCGAAGGAGTTGGCGACCGGTGCGTCTAAGAGCGCTAAAGCTGTCGAGAAGGCCCGCCAAACCACCCAGAAACACATCGAGCTCCTGGCCACGCAGACGGCCACGTTCGACGCCGCCGCCGGAAACAAGGTCGAGACGGCCAATGACCCGTACCTGCTGCGCCGCGGCGTCAACCACCGCCTCAACAAACAGGTGATCGAGGAGAACAACAACCGCTCCGACATCATCGCCGTGCAAAACAACTTCCAGCAGTTCGAGGCCCACGTGCTCCAGACCATCCAGGCCGCCATGGAGCAGTTTACCGTCTTCGTGAACGGCCAACTAGAGCGTCAGCGCACCATGTACTCCGATATCCTGGGCGCCACCCAGCGCATCCCCCCCGAATTCGAGTGGGTCAACTTCATCACGAGGAACGACCAGGCCCTCGTCGACCCCGATGGGCCCCCGCGATCGCTGGCCAACATCAACTTCCCGAACCAGGACCACCGTTCCACCACGCCCCTCGTCGAGGGCAGCCTGGAACGCAAGTCCCGCGCCGTCATCAAGGGCTACAACTCGGGCTTCTACGTCGTCACGCCCGCGCGCTACCTACACGAGTTCAAAGACAACGACGACTTCCAGAAGGACCCCGCCCCAGAGCTCTCCCTGTACCTGCCCGACTGCGTGGTCGGCGCCCTCGACGGCGCCAAATTCAGCGTCAAGGGCAAGGACGTCTCCAGCGGCAAGGTCGGCAACGCCTTCCACACCAACACCGAGCTGCACTTCAAGGCCCACAGCGCCAGTGAGGCCGAAAAATGGTACAAAGCCATCAAGGAAGCCTCCAGCGGGCCCACCCTGCAAACCAACACCGCTGCCGCCGCCGCTGCCACCGTCGCCAGCCCCACCGCAACCTCCCAGCCCGCCAGCCCGGCCGTCGCCACCGGCGGTAACGGTGCCTCCCCCCCGGGCCAACAGCCCCCGGCCTACGGCGATCACCAGAACGACCCCGTCTCTCCCGCCGTAACGGGCCCCAGCGACGCCGCTCAGAGCCCCGTGTCTCCCGCGGGAGTCAGCCGCACCAACACCTCGGCGTCAGCATTCAGCAGCACGGCGGCCACAGGTGACAAGGCTTAATTTTCTTCCAGAGGGCAAGCGATGTTTTTTCCACTTCCTATTCTAATCTTTTCATGTCGATATAGTATTCGTTGGTCTCGTATACCTTTGTCCTGTTCGTATCATATTATATCGTATTATTGTGGCCCTCTATGCTTTTCGATATACCACACACACACACACACACACACACACACACACACACACACTTTATGCTAGTCTAGTTTAGTCAACTACTCCGTTTAATGAAGTGCCTTTTGCTAGTTAATACCTTGCTATTCCCCCCTTAATATACAAAGCAGTCCACGTCGTTCTCGGAATCGAGAAACGGAGTTTCGATTGTCTTATGTGTGGTATCAGTGATGATATACTGGAAATATACACAATATCATCCTTATGCGCGAAGAACCATGTTTTTTATTTTATCCTTAACTTATGTATAGCCAGTTTTTATGAACAAGTCTGTTGGTCTCCATTTCCGAAGCCGGGTGGTCCGTCATCAAAACAGTTGCAGGAGTACAAATAAACAGGCGTACATGTAGGCATGCATACACGTACATACTACAAATGGAGATAAAGATATGTGATAAGGACGCTGTGGTATGTATGTATGCCAAGTGGAACAACATGAGACGAAGAAGGAAAGTACATGTAATGGGAGGGATGAGGAAGGATGAGGAGGGTGGATGGGTGGATAAATCGTATGTCTCGTGACAGAAAACTTTAATAGAAACAGAGGAACGATGATAGAGCTAAGCAAGGAAGATAAAGAAAAAGGAAGATGCAGTAGGTACGGTGGCTTTTAAAGGTTCAAAAGTCCTCTGGGCTCTCCAGATCTTCTAGCTTCTGGCTGAGAAACCTCCCCAGGGCAGCGGATTTGGATTCCAGCGCGAGGAGGATGGCGGGCGGGGCGGAGAGGTTCAGGCTGGAGAGACGGGCGAGGTCGTCTGTGCGGTCGATCTCGTACTGCGATTCGAGCTGCGCGTCTGCGCGGATGGTGGTGTCGCTGTGGCTGCGGGAGATGCTGTAGGGACGTCCGTTTGTGGGGGTGCCGTTGGGGTCGCCGGCGCCGCTTGTGTCTGCGCCGTCGGGGGGTGCGTGCTTGGTGGAATGGCCGTTTTGGGTTGTTGGACCCTCGGACTCGTGTTTGGATGGTCCGACCGCGGCGAGGAGGACTCGGTCGGCGATTCGGGTGACGACTGCGACTAGGTCGTCGAGTTCGAAGACGATCGAGCCTACGTCGCCGAGGGAGATCGATTGCGCGGTCACGTAGGAGGACGGGTGGCTGGCTGGGTTGACGCCTGTGAGGTTACCGCTTGATGCGGTCTTCGCGTAGCATGTGTATGCGGCGCCGTAGGTCGCGCTGAGGTTGCGCAGCTGCCGCGTTGGGAGGGGAGAGCCGTAGGCGAAGATCGCTCCGTTGGTACCGAATACTCTATATGTGCAGAACTCGCGATTAGCAGGGACTGGATAGGAGGGTACCGTTGTAGGTGGCTGTACAGGATAGAGGTGATTTCCGGCGGGGAAAGGTTGTCTTCAAGGAGGCCCCCAAGGGCCTCCGCGTCGAGCATCTTTATGTCCGGAAGGCCGGGAATCATGATGGCGGTGCAGTTGTCGTGTCCGGATCGCTTGTCCGAATAGGCCAATGACTGGCGGGAGAAGAATCTTCGGGGGAAAGAGATATGCTATCCCAGTATTCGCTATCTTTGTGATCGCACTCTATTTGTTCGTTTTGGGTTTTTGGGCGTGTTGGAACTGGACCGGCGCAAGAAGGAAGGCGGGGGTTCGTATACCTCGGTTCCGCGGAGTCGGGTTGTACTAGGGATTGATCTTCAGCCATTTTGTTATTTACTAGAAAACTGTCCCTTGACAGAGCAGCTGGTAAAACAGAAACAACTCGATTAACCACAGACAGAACAGCAATCCGGCGACCAACAGTTTCATGGAGACGAGGAAGACGGACTGAACGCCGAGGCGCATCGACGAGATACAGCTCACACAGAATATGCATGCAAACGGAACAGAAGACAGGCTTTCTTGTGTTTACACAATGGATGAGAGACGAAAGAACCAGTTCATTTCCAGCGTACAATCCCCTCGTGTGTCATAGTGGAAAGCAGTCGGGGGACACGGGGCGACAATCGCGGGGACGAGAAGTGATACCCTTGTGGATAGCGGAGACGAAGAAGAAAGACAGACTGACCTTTACGGAATGAATTGAGAACTCTGTAGCGACCGGCGCTCTAGAGAAGAAATCCAGGAAGAGAGAGGAGTAGTGATCAGAGGGTGGATGAAATGGAGATGAGAGTTGGAGAGCTCGTGGTTTGGTTGAAGTCGGGGAAGAAGTCGATCAGCTCCTGTTCGGGACTAGTGGCCGATCGACGTCATTCTCCTCTGTTTACTGAACTTTCTATTACTCCATACTCTGGATATCTACTACGTATGTAGATACTCCAGTCCTTTCTGGGATGGCTTCATAACCACGAAGTGGACAGGGATCGAATGTGGTTGTTGCTACTTTCAATAATGCAACCCATGTGTTGCTGTCCTGGTACTAACAGCAGGTACTGTTGTACTTGGAGGCTTTGGCATTAATACACTAACTGATCACGCTATGAGTGGGCGTGTCTAGCGTACAGGAGGAAGTTCACGAGTTGTTTCTATGACCACCCTCCCTGCCATCTAGTCAATCTCTCAACACATCCTACTGACTACTCCACATCACTCATCTGACGTCCCATTCGAATAATCCTCTGTTCTACAGAATGCCTTTGGATCAGAAAGAGTTCACCGATGCGGTTCCCCACCCGAAAATTGGCACCCCGATCGATTCGCCCGATGTCAAACCCTGGTATTCAATCGGTCCAGGCATTTGGGAGCTGCTATTGAATGGCGATCCAAAGTCGGAGAATAAGTCTGTTCTGCAATGGTACGATCCGGGCACGAAATCCGTGCAGAACGAACCCATTGTGCACACCTATTACGAAGAAGTCTGCTTTATCCGGGGAGGGTTGAGGGACATCACCCTTGGACAGGAATGGGGAATGGGAGCCTACGCCTACCGAAGACCCGGCATGAAGCATGGTCCATATGTGGCTTCAGCCGAAGGTTGTCTACAGTTTGTGAAACTCATGGCGGCGGTTGAAGGTTAGGGCGAAACGCGACGTGGCAGTACGAATGGAGGGACTATCTTAGCACACCATGAAGGAATCGAGTCGAAATATACTATCGCTTGAAACCTAGGCCCAAGACACCACTGGTTCTGATCAAGTAGTAGGTGGAACTGGGTGAATTCGAGATGTTAGCCATGATGAACGTCATCGGGCAAGACCCCACATTTCCCAGGCCAGTATCGGTTTTTCCCCCTCATTCCGCTCACTAATCCCGCCTTAAAACTTGACCCCTCCTTTCGATTCGATTCTTCCTCTCCTCTATCCCCATGTTCGCCAATCGCGCCTTTTCTTTTCTTCCTACCACTTCCTCCCTCAGGGCCCTCACCCCACGCCTCTCTATCTTTCCAGGTGGGTTCCATTCCCTTGGACATTTCCCCACATGGGCCGATCGCAAATACTCACATCGTTTGCCAGCTACCAATCGAACAATCGCAACCATGGCGACGGAAACTTCCAAGTATAAGCTTAACCGTTAGTCGCTGTGTATCCCCCGGGTGATGACTGTTGTTCTGACAATGGCTCGACATCAGACACCATGCTCCGGGTCAAGGACCCAAAGAAGTCCGGTAGGTAGCTTCCACACCCCTCCAGTGACATCCGACTTACAGATGGTTTGCTTCGGCTAGTGGAATTCTACAAGTTCCTGGGCCTCAGCCAGATCCAGCAGCTCGACTTCCCCGAAAACAAGTTCTCCCTTTACTTCCTCGCGTACAATGGCGCCCAATCGCTGCAGGGCGACCGTCACTGGACAGACCGCAACGGCGTCTTGGAACTGACGCATAACTACGGAACGGAGAATGACCCCAACTACAGCGTGGCCAATGGCAACACCGAGCCCCACCGTGGCTTTGGGCACATTGCCGTCTCGGTCGATAACATCGAGGTCGCGTGCAAGAGGCTCGAGGACGCCGGCTACCCATTCCAGAAGAAACTGACCGACGGTCGGATGAAGAACATTGCATTTGCCAAGGACCCCGATGGATACTGGGTCGAGATCATCCGTCGCCACGACCAGGACGTCGGGACGGCGACCGACCCCAGCAGCTACCGGCTCAATCACACGATGCTCCGCGTCAAGTCCGCCGAGACCAGCCTGAAGTTCTACCAGGAGGTCATGGGCATGACGCTCCTGCGCACCAGCGAGAATAAGGATGCCGCTTTCAACCTCTACTTCCTGGGATACCCCAACTCCAACCCCAAGCAGCAGGAGGGTGTCAGGAATCCGGTCGCGGAGTGGGAAGGCCTCCTCGAACTGACCTGGAACTACGGTACGGAGAAGCAGGAGGGGAAGGTGTACCATGACGGGAACAGCGAGCCGCAAGGCTTCGGACATATCTGTACGTTGGCTTGGTCCGATAATCCACCCTGATGATGTGTTGGCCACTGACAAACTTAGGTGTCTCGGTCGATGATCTCAACGCCGCCTGCGAGCGCTTCGAGTCGCAGAATGTCAACTGGAAGAAGCGCCTGACCGACGGGCGCATGAAGAACGTGGCGTTCGTGCTCGACCCCGATGGATACTGGATTGAGGTGATCCAGAACGAGACCCTGAAGCGCAGCAGTAACTGGTAAACGGGCTCCAATAATGCGTGTAGATAGTTGTAGTTTCATAGTAGCCCGACAGATCTGTCAGAATGTGGTCCACATAATTGTGTAATAACAGTCGCTGTCTATCCTTGACTGCACCATCTACAATGTGGTGGATCGTACGATCGGGGTTAACTTACTCCAAGGTAGTTCGTGTTCATAGGAAGATCGACGAAAATAAATATCCCGGACGTGCAGCCACACGTGCATCAATGGTATTGTCAACACGGTCGCATGCTGACCGTAGATGCGTGAATCAAAAACCATAATATCAGCCATGCTGGCAAACTCTTATTTCCCACATACCCCATCAATCTGCGCCCGGTCCTATAAGAGTCCAGCCCGAGATGTCAGATACCGATCTACCGATCTTCTTCCACTCGCTTTTCCCCTTTCGCACGCGCAATGACTAATACCTCCACCATCATTGTCGCACGCCTCCCCCGAAAACCGACATGCTATCTCTTGCGCTCTCTTTTGTCGGAGCCGGGTAATACGATGTTCTGACGAGCTGCTTGATACTCTTTGGCTCTGAAAAGCGAGACAGACAGAGAGAGGGAGTTCACCCCGCCCCCGCGCCCCACTTCCACCCTGCGGCCATGCAGTCGCAGTCGGAGAAGCCCAAGAAAGCGCCTCGCAAGCACCTTACTACTGCATGCGTGCCGTGCCGCGAGAGTAAGATCAGGGTATACATATTATCTTTTCAGCCCATGTCACGTCGACGGGAGCTGGGCGTCGTCGTAACAGTCTCCTTCAAGATACTGACACTTTTACCAGTGCGACGGCGCGACTCCGCATTGTAACAACTGCGAAAGGAAGGGAAAGGCTTGTAAATACCAGCATGGCGAGGATAAACGGAAGTAGGTTCTTGACACTCTGTTCTGTTGACATAGACGAATTCGTTTCGTTAGAAGGAGGGCGGGCCGGCGTGTAGAGCGACAGGCGACGGACTTCGCTGGAGCGCGAAAGGCTCGCGAACGTTGCGCAGGATAGCTCCCCACCCCCCTGGTTCGATTGGCGCTGATCGTGTGTTTGTTACCAGAGTGTCGCTCCGTCCTGCGACAGAGCTGTTTTCCGCGCGGATTGACCAGCTGTGCCAGTTCATCTATGACAATGGCTTGGAGCCGCCTCCGATGAATCCTGAGGATGAGTTGGGGATGAATCGGGTGTTAGAAACGCTTCAGATTTCTCGGAAAGCTGTATACAGAGATCATGCTGGAATGGTGGGTGAGCAAGTTGGACACCCTCAAACAGCTATCCCTGGCGTCGCGGATCCCAGCCTGCCGGCACCTTTGACCAGCGAGGGGCACATGCGCGTGAACGAGAGTACTACTGGCGTTCCTATGTCATCTCCCAACGTGCCATCTGACCAGGGGTTCATCCCGTCATCGAAAAGTCCCGAATCAATCAACGCTCTGGGAATGAATCTGTCCCCAACGAGAGCCTATGCCTCCTCGCATTGGGCACTTGCCCTCCCAACTGCCGAGAGCTTCGATGCGCTATGCGCGAACATGATAGGAGGACCTGGCGTTACACCGGACGGCAGTGCCAGTCCCGCGAGCTTTCACCCGTTGCGGGATAGCATTCAGCAGCAACCCGGGGAATCGCTCGGACAGCCGCGCGACAACCGAGATTACTACGACAGCGATAGCGGGGAGGAGGACGAGGCAGAGAAAGACGTGATCGAGCAACTATCACATCGCATCGGAACGCTGAAAATCGCCGGGGACGGTCACCTGCGATTCTACGGCGCGACCTCTAACTTGAACTTGGTAGATGTCTCGGCGACACAACAGCGCCAGCGCCCCGATGCGCGGTCAATCCGCCACGACGGGCAAGATATCTTGAACCACCTGCGCGTCGGGCAGCCTGTGGATCCAGTCCTTGAAGATCACTTGGTCGAGCTCTACTTCACGTGGCAGAACCCCAGTACCTACGTGGTGGACAAGGAGATGTTCATGATCGCGAGATCGAGATGGCGGAACGGATGCGACGACACTCCGTTCTATTCCGAGGTGCTGACCAACGCAATGTACGCTTTGAAGCCAGCTCGTCAATTGTCACTGCTGGAGCTGACGACATACTAGGTGCGCCATTGGCAGTGCTTTTGAAGCGCGGTATCACCCAACTTTCATCACATTTCCCAAGTCCCTTTCGGAGTTCTTTGCAGATCGGGCTAAGGCGCTTTTGGAAATTGAGTTGGACTCGCCCTGCGTGGCTACGGTGCAAGCCCTCGTTATCTTGAGTTGTCATGAAGGCTCGTCAAACCGGGATGCACGGGGTTGGCTCTACAGTGGTATGTCGGGTGTTGAGGGCTTCTAGACTGCCATGCTGATAAGGAGTAGGGATGTCCATGAGACTGGCGTTTGATCTTGGTCTTCACCTTGATATGACTATCTATGTGGAAAGAGGCGACATCAGCGCCCTTGAAGCTGACGTCCGTCGGGTGGCATTCTGGGGAAGCTATATTGCTGATCAGTAAGTTTGTCCCCGGGAAACAGAGTATACATGCGCTAACTGGGTGCTATAGTTTCTGGGGTTTCTATCTAGGCCGCCCCTTCCGGATGAACGCGGGAGATATCACAGTTATGAAGCCCGCGTCGGATCTGGGCCATGGGAAAGAGAGCATATGGTACCCATACGGACACTTGCTACAGTCAGAGGCCCTCAAGGGAGGAATCAAGAACCCGAACGAGCTGATCAGTAGGCAATTCGTTATTTTATGGGAGATCATCTCACCCGTCGGTCATATTCTGTACGTACCTACCGTGCCGCTCTCTTGCCAACCGCTAACGACTGGTAGATATGGCTGCTCTGATATACCAAAACACGACCTGCAAAGACTCTGTCACCCCGTGACGGATGACCTGTTCGCTTGGGGAGAGAATCTCCCCTCGAACCTGGATATCGATTTAGAAAACGACACAGTTCCAATCCTGCCGCACCTCTTGATGCTACAGTTAGTTCACCCCTCTCCCACACTCCCCCTCTCCCCAAATGACCGCCCCATTAACCCAACCAGCCTACAATACCACCAAATCGTCATTTTCACCCACAGACCATGGGTCTCCAAAAGCTACATCCAACCCCGCGCCCCCCGCCAAGGACCCGGCTACCACCACGCCCGCAGAATGTGCATTGAATCCTCAATGGCCATAGCGCGACTCCTCCACATCTACGAGAAACACTACACCTTCCGCCGCATGAACAACCAAGTCGTTGCCATCATCTTCAGCGCAGCCCTCATGCTCCTCTACGTCACCATCTCAAACTCATCTCCAACCAAGACCACCACCAGCACCACCACCAGCACCGGCCCGGAACACCCAACCACCAACGCTGAAATGGTAGCCTACCTCAACCTCTGCTTCCGCGCCCTAGACGAACTAGGCCAGTCTTTCGAGAACGCGAAACGCACACGCGACTTCCTCGTCAGTCTCCAGCGCCGCTGGCAAGCGCACATGCGTCGCTCCGGTCCTAGAAAGCGACAAATTACAAACCACCCCTCTTCGCAAACCCTGCACGCACCCGACCACCACGCGTCCTCATCGAGAAAGAAATCCAGAGTCGCCCCCGCCGTCCCCCAAACCATACCACCCCCTCCGCAAAAGATCTCCTCCACAAAACAAACTCCCCTGCCGCAGGCCCTAGACGCAACGCAGCAGTTCGGCGCCTGTCAGCCTGGAGACCTGGACTGGATCCGCACTTCGGATCTGCAGTTTTTGTCGGAGCAGATTGCGGATGGGGGTGTTCCTGCTGTGGATAGAGTTACGCCTTATGCAGGTGCTGGTGGGGAGGGGGGGGTGGGGTTTCCTGCTGGTTCTGATTTTGGGCTGGGGAGTTGGTGGGATGAGTCTAATGGGGGTGGGGGGGTTTCTTGATGAGAAAATATTATATACTACTTTTTATATAAGTTAATAGTTACTGGGATGTGATTATTATGGATACGAAGTCAAAAGAGTAAGAGTAACTTTGTGAAAGACCAATATCGTTGTTATTATCACACTTAACATCCTAAACCTCTTATATAAAGAAAACATAGTATTTTCCATATATCCAAAAGTCTTACTAGAACCAAGTTCTATAAGAGGGGCTCGGGTGCAGTGGAGAGGGCGAAATGCCTCCCCCCCCATTGCTGTCGCTCCAGCGTGCTCCGCCAGTTGGGGTCTTGTCTGGGGGTGGCGACGACGAACGAGTAAGAAGAAGCGTGTTTGAGATTAGCCGGGTGTTGGTGGTGACTTGTTGGATTGAGTTCGTCGAGGTGTGGTTGGGGTGTGGTGGGCGCTGTCATGGTGGTTGTTGGTTTTGATGTCTGGGGAGTTGAGGAGTGAGATGTGAGTAGATTTTTTGTTTGTTTGTTGTACGACTAGGGTTATTGTATCCCTAACTCAAATACCGGATATCTATGAAAAATGGTTACTATCTGATATAAACAGGTAATTAATATAAGACCATATACATAGAATTTCTGTCACTCTGATGGTTAAAGATGTTAACTGCTGCAATTGTCCAAAAAATTGAAATCATATAGCTATACTTGCGTATTTTATTCAAATTTTTGCCCATTTCTTCCTCCAGGAAGACTGTCTCTTAAAGACGACAATATGCTAATACTCACAAGAAGCAGCAAAGCAAAAGGAAACAAGACAAAGAAAGCAGAAGCTAGTCCGAAAGATACGCCACAGACCGCAACATCCGCCCCAGCACTCCCTTCTCAGAAGTCGCACTCGCAGCAGGGTCATCCATGTCCAAGGTAGCCTCGACCTCATCTTCAGGCATGGGCCGAATGACCTGGAGAGAGAGCTGCGGATCCTTGGAGTAGACGCGGAGACCGATCACGCAGACGGCGTTCCACGGGTCGGTGATGCACTCGTCGTCCATGTACCGGGTGCTCATCGACAAGGCGGCGGAGGTCTTCGGTCCAGCCGTAGGAGCAGAAGGTTCCTCGCAGGGCATGTCTAGATCCGAGTCGAACTCGAATCCCTCGAGGAGCTCCCGCTCGTCTTGGTGGTAGTAGAATGAGGAGCGGTGGTTGGAGTATGTTGTGTCTATACTGGACCGGAGGGATTCGATTCTCCGCGGGTGTCGGTGTCCTTTCGTGTAGATGCCGTTGAAGCGGACGGTGGGGATGGAGGGGATGCCGTTGGGGGGCTTTTCGCCCCCTCCTAGGTCCGGGCTTGAATTGCCGTTGAGGTCCGCGGGGGACTGCACGGGGCCGCCGTCGGGGAGGATCTGCTCGGAGTGGCTTTGGGCACTGGGGCTGGGCTTGGATGCAGCGAGGCGTTCGAGACGCTCGGCTGTGCGCTTTTTGCGGGCGTGTATCTTTCGCGAGCGGATCCATTCCCGTTCGAGCCGCTGTTTGGTATCTGCGCGCAGCTTTTTCCGCTCGGCGTGTTTGCGCCGCTCTTCTCTTTCTTCGCGGGCTTGTCGCTCGTGGTCTGTCTCGACGACGAGGCCCTTTGCGTGGGCGAGATCGTACGAAAGCCCGATCTGGACGAGCTTTTCCCGCCGCTTGGGTGCCATCCGGCTGACGACTTCTTCGGTCGATTCTATTTTGTGGTACCGGTAGGCGGTGATCTTCATGAGGATGTGGTAACGGCCAGGCTCGAGGTTGACTTCGGTGTTCACGGACCGGCTCATCAGGTAGCTGCTGTGGCTGCGAACGATGTAGTCGTCGTCGTCCTCTTTCTGGATGCGGAACTTGAGGAGGAAGTCGTATTCGCCTCCGAGGCCTTTGAAGTAACGAGGGTCCAACTTGTCTAGATTAGCCACTGGTAGTGGAATGTGCTATACGCTTCCGTTCGACATACCTGGGACAGAACGATGACCTGGGGGCCGCCTTTGGTCACGGTCATCAAGAACTTAGTGGCATGGTAGTCGGCGGACCACGGCACATTCAGCGTAGTCCATTGCTGAACAACAGTCCAGTGACTGTCGAATAGTCGAGTCCGATCGAAATGCTGGTATTTCTTCAAGAGGTCGTTGTACGAGATCCAGAAGAACTGCGCGAGGTTAGTTTCTATTATTTTACTCCATGTAGAGAGAAACAAGGGAACACAAACCCCGTCGTTCCCAAACGTATGGCCCAGCTTTTCCATCCACTGGGGCGTCCACTGCTCCGAGCCATCGCTCCATGCGCCGGTCCACTCTTTTTTCCCCCAGGGATTCCTGTATCTAGTTAGTATCATGCGTGCTCATATGCAAAGGTTCGGACTCACCTCAATCGAAGCAGACGCTGGCCGTCAATCTCCTTAGCCTCCATGATCGAGTACGAATGGTTCTCGGATATGCCTTTTCGGTCTCGCGGGGGGCCCTTGTATTTGGGGTCGAGCCAATTGGCATACAGACCCGTACCGCAGCCAAAAAGGAAATCTTTGTTGACTTTCATAAGCTCTTCCCTCCAGAACCGATCCTTGTCAAGGATGTTGCTGGACAGTATATCGGATGTAACGCCACCTGTCAGATCTTCGATAGCTTCCCTGCAACACGTCAATATCTGCCTAGGCCAATCAGGGTGGAGATCTTACCCTACAAACCCGCCCTCAATAGCGGAGTAATCGCCATGGGCTTTGGCATATGCTTTCTCCAACAAAGGAAGCCATGTTTCATTCTCATCTGCACAATGAGCGAAGTAGAGCGCACGTGAGCCGGTCTGGAAAACCTTTCGGTACTCTTCCTCGGCATCGGACCGATTGATGTCATCCCACACATGTCTCTCATCTATGGATTCGTCGTAGTCTGCTGATCGTAGATAGAGCTTATCGTCGATGAGGCACTGCTGCCACTCGCCATCTAGGAAAGCGAATGTTAATCTCGACTCTGACGACTTGCAAACTCATGAAGACTCACCTCGGTAAAAGACAAACCCATAAACCCCGACCCTTTCGTTCCGGGCCACGCATATCTTCTCAATGAGACCTTGCTTGTTGCCCATTGTGCACAGTGCTGCCATAAACCAACAGTCTCCATCACGGCCTTGACGTACGTCCGACGCCGTCGGCCCATTGACATAAAACTGTGGATTGTCGAAGATTTCCTTGAGAATTTGGTTAGCAAACAACTAGGGATATATCTCTCGTAGTTTCCCAGAAACTCACAGTCACTCTCTTGACACCACGAGGCCGCATGATAAAATTCTTCTCATCCAATCCATACAAGCAATCATTGCGATCATTCTTGAGATCGACCTCGATGTCAAAGTGAGGGTCGGTATACTTCTGATTCAACCGTTCGCACTCCCTAGCAATGCGGTCCACAGCCCGCTCGCATTCCCTCCGAACCTGCCCATAGGACTTCCCTGCTTCCTGCCCTTGCACCACACCACTGGGGATGGCGGCAGCTTTGGTGCGCGCATACGGGTTATCGGGCAGCACGGTATAGACTTTCCCGGGACTTTTGGTATAGAATTGATCCCAGAAGCTTCTTAGCGTCTCCTGCGGAGACAGTCGCTTCCGCTGGGCTCCGCACTCGGAGCGTGAAGAGAGATCCGGTGTGTAGACCATATCGACATTGTCGTCCTGATCCATGGCTTAGCGCTGGGTCCACGTAGAGGGTAGTTGCTCTAGTTGGCCCGCAGCAAAGGATGGGTGCGGGGAACCGTGCGGAGGTGAAGAAGAACAACAACAAAATTCGAGGGGATGTGAGATATTTCTATTTATAGACTGTTTTCCCCCTCAGGAAGGATGAAGAGATGTTATGTGTAGGTCTGCCGTGCGAAAATATTCTCAGCCAAGAGCGTGGTCGCTGCCTTTTTATCTTATCGTCCTTTGCTTTAGTCTTCTCCTGGACGATCGGCTCCTGAGGCTGAAAATCTTTTTGATACTAGTGCCTCTCTTGGGACAAAGACCCTGTGCAGGACGTGCATGGAACCACCTAGCAAATTTGCCAATGAGCATACCGTTCGACATTCCAGTTTTGCGTTTGGGGCGCCTTAGTTGCAGTGTCTGATAAGAGAACGAGCCCCTGTTCGGATCAGCGGTCTCCCACCCCATGTAGCAACGTGCCAACGGAGGAAGGCTTAGGTCTAGTGTGGACCCCAGAGTCTAACCGGGTTTAAATTAAAGAAAAAACCGGCTTTGGATGGGTAGAGTTCGCGATGCAACAAAGTTATTTTTACCGGCTGAATTGAACGGGGGCCAAACCCAAGCTGACGGTCAAGCATAGGTTGGTGCCATTGGGGTGGATTTCCAACCCCAATTCTCCAGAGACCTCGAGAGCCACATGACTGCATGGTCATGGCTTGCACGCATCCAATGGTTGGTTGTCATTTTTAGCCCCCGCCAGTGATGACGGCGCAGTCGAATACGAACGCTACTGTAGCAGTAGCGACCTTTGAAAAACGCCAGCTCCACGCCAGCGATTTGACCGTTCTTTGAACGGTCTCCAGCTGAAGAAACTCTAGTCTCGAACTCCCGGTAAAACGGGGACGCAGTTCTGGCCTGAGGCTGTGTGCATCGATATTATTACGCCGTCAACGTAGCGTAGTAGCAGTGTTTGAGTCGCAAGGCTGAATGATGCCGATCGCTCAGTCCAGTCAAGTCAGGATCTTGTTCATCCTTCCCTCTCCTTAATGGCTGGTCAGTGAGACATTTTCCATTCCCGGAATCCACGTTATGTTCGCTGACTGGTAGAAGGGGGAGAGTTGTGGACTTGTCAAAGTTGGCTTTTCTTCGGTCAGTTCGTGCGGGCTGAGGGGTTGGAAGCCAAGATGCGCGAGTGTGGGTTGGCTGAAGTCGTGATTCGACGGACGGCTCGGGGTCTCCGATGACAGGACATGTGTTTGTTGGTCTCGATTTTCCATCGTTTTTACTCTTCCCTCAACTTCCTCCTCAGCTTTCATGCGTTTTCAACGGTCATATCCGGTGATAGGGGTACAACCCTGTTGGTGATCCGCCAGTTCCAATGACTCATGACGCCAACTTCTGCATCTCGACCCTAGCTGAGGGGGGGGGGACTTGCTCGAAAGACGTTGAGTAAGTGGGATCTGTGCTCAGGAAATGACACTTGACTGGGACTAGGTAGATCATGGACAACATCACGCATACTCAAGTCAGAATAGAAACTAGATGCTGTTATCGGTTGGGCAAATTATTGTCCCTTGCAGGGTCGACTGTAGACCATACTAACAGAGTATGAAATTACTCATTCAGACGGGTATGTACGCATCAGTGGAAAATAAACACCCCTGGTAATATCCTGTAACCTAATTTCTTTCCCGTCCTATCAAATCATTCCGCAAACAACGCCATGAACAAAGGAAACACGAGACATAAACAAGAAGAATCGAAAGTGAGCAGCACGCGGGACGTAACGGGTGAACCGGGGGCAAAAGACGGCAATGAGTAGTAGTGTGGGCTCTGCCATCCTGCCAGTTACCACGGTGCCACTGGGTCTGCCGCAGCCATTCACATACATACATTACACATAAGGGACCGATTCACAGGGCGCGAGTCGATCATGGCAATCCGTTTCTCCGGGTGCGACCGGAGTAATGGGAGCTGCCGTTCTGGAAGTACGGGTGCAAGCAAGCCTGCTTGGCGGAGAGTCGTCGGGCGGGATCGTACTCGAGCAAAGCATCGAGGAGGTCAAGACCGTCCTCCTCCAGCCCGGGCACGAGGGCACGGGTCTCCTCGCGCTTCCATTTGGGGAACGTCGGCTTGTAGTCGGGGAAGGACGTCACACCAGGCCAGGCATGTTCATCCGGGGTGCCGAGGAGTCTGCAGGGGAGGAGCAATCAGAACACTGCGCTTGGGGGGTGGCAGATCGGTTTGAGCAGAGAACATACCGGAAGATCTTGAAGATCTCGTCGATTTCGGAATCACCAGGGAACAGCGGCTTGCGAGTGCACATCTCCGCGAAGATCGCTCCGGCGGACCACATGTCGACACCGGTGGAGTATTGACGGCCGCCCAGAAGGATTTCAGGGGAGCGGTACCACAGGGTCACCACCTGGTGCTCATGTTAATCATCATGCCACCCATACAAAGTCGAATGGAATTACCTCATGGGTGTACGTCCGCAGGGGAACACCGAATGCTCGGGCCAGTCCGAAGTCGGCGAGTTTCAGATTGCCTTCACGGTCAATCAGAAGATTCTGAGGCTTCAGATCCCGATGCAGGATACGGTGGCTGTGGCAGTAACGGATCCCTTCCACCAGCTGGGCCATGAACTTCTTGACCATTGCATCTCCCAGACCCAAAGTCTTGCACATCGACGCACCATCGGGGAGGGCTTTGCCACGTCCACCCTCACTGACAGGAAGAGCCTCCATGTATTTCTTCAGATCGAGATCGAGGAATTCGAAGACGAGATAGAGTTTGTGGCCATCGGCATGAACGATATTGAAGAGCTGCACGATGTTGGGGTCGTTCATCTCCTTCAGCAAGGAGATCTCACGAATGGCGGTGCTGGGGACGCCTTCGTCCTCGGCTTCCAGGCGAATCTTCTTCAGGGCGACGATACGGTTGGGATGGGTGAGCTCGCGAGCCTTGTACACAACACCATAGGTACCTAAATTTCGATGACTGCTGTCAGTCCTTGATCCCAATAGCGTATCAAACTAGGGAGAAACGGTTCTTGACCACAAGCCTATGGTGGGAACCAAACGTACCCTCTCCAATTTTCTCAATCTTTTGGTAGTTCTCCATGGTGACAGAAGAACAGGACACCCTTCAAGATCACAAATCGGTACGAAACAGTGAGGTCGATTGAGCCACAGGCGAGAAGAAAGGCGAATTGAGGCGATGTTCAGAATCCAGAGATAAGCGGGGTACAGGAGAAAGTGAATGTAATGCACGGGCGCTTGGTGGTTGTTTGTTGCCCGGGAAAGAAATGAGAGAAAAACAATGGAGTTGGTGCGGTTGGCGTCAAAGCAACGGAGGGGGACAGCGCAGGGCAATGACGAAGTGCAATTGACCACTTCAAAGGACAAACACAGCCAGCAGGACGTCCGAATTGAAGGAATGACCGATCTTAAAGACAACCAACGCACTTATCAAAGGCCAAATGAACGGATCTATTTTAAAACTCCTTTTCAAGGCCTTGTTGTCCCTGGTGGGGAACAAAGCGAAGGCGGTCAGCCCGAATAAAAACAAACAAAAATCCCGCGTTCCCGGGCGGTGAGCGCGTTGGCACCTGACCTTCCTTCTCTTTCTCCGTTTGTTGGTCCGCGTTGACCATCACTCGATGCCTTTCAATCAACATGAATACTGCTAGAGACCACTAGACGGGGTTATGCAGTCATGCAGTACTCCGCAGAGATTCGGCAGATACCGCAAATACCAATGAATTAACCCTTGAATGCAGATCCTCCTTAATCCACTCGATACCTGCATCTACTTCCTCCCCCAAACCACACGGCCAACCTTCTAGATACGAAACCCTTTGTTATCGGATACTGCTTTGATGATTGAACTGGATCCTGTCTCCATGATTGACGAGACAATCTTGATATTGCGTACCCCTTGGATGCCGATCAGCCGTGCTCAGTTAGTACTCCGACAATTATTAGCAACAGCAAGGGCGTCCTGAACCTCGGGAAGGAGGATACATTGATTCGGACCTACCCCTACCCTCTTTTCTCTTCTCGGAGTTTGTTTGTTCGAGGCTCCTATGGTGTTCTCAGCCACAAGGGCTGAAGAGTGACGAGTCATCATCGGTAACGTCTGATGGAACCGTTCCCTTCATCGATTGCGACAACCTTCAGTCCATCAGAAGGGGTTGAAGCACAACTTGCTGGACGGTGCTTTAATTACTTTTTGCCAAGGTTCCTGGCACCCACAGTCGTCCTTGGGACTTCATCTATCAGCGGAACCATTCCGTATACACGCTATGAATACGATGGATCATCAGCTAGGCAATTGTACATCTTGTCGGGACAAGGTTATGTCAAGAATCAATAAAAGGACTACTGGTTCGTGTGTTCTACACATAACAAAACATTGAGAGCCACCCCATACGAGCGCAAAGAAATTGCGGGCTTCAAGACGCCCTAGCTACGTCCAACATCGAGTGCACTATCAAGCTGTACGACTTGGTCGGTCATCGATTATCAACGTAAAATAACACCGAAATGCAACCTTATCTAATGTCGCAATATAACGTTACCCACCAAGCGCAAAAGCGCCATGATATAATCTTCTGTAGCCGAATGGTAATTCTTCCCAAGATATAACAACCTCGTATTCTTCCACGTTGGATTAATCCGCTCAGCCATAAACAGAACCTCCACAAAAAACCATCCTACATTGAAACTCTGACAACTTCACCTCTCGGCTGTCCTCCCATTAACCATTCGTATGAGTCATTATCATTGTCCCATAGGTGGCAGTGGGCACACTACCTACCAACCCCAACACCGCCAGAACCCACTGCCCACATGGCTCCTGGAACACCAATTCGGGACCGACAACCGCCCCGCAGGGAACCCCCTCATTCGTACTTCCCCCTCCAATAGTCCGGATATCTCAACGGGTCCCAAATCTCTTGGCCTGCCTTTCTTGGTAACTTCCCCTCCTGATAAGTGCCGCGGAATCCACCTTGGTTACTGATGATTAACTAGTTACGAGGTGTAGTCATTTGAACCATAGGTGGTTGGTGGTTACTAAGGTTGTGTGGTCGGTGCCGCGAGGGCGTACTCCGTCTCTTGTTCAAGCGACATATATCTATCTATCCTACCATTGCGATTTGATTTGAGCTGTTTATATTCGTTGGTTTACTCTTTAAGTAGTGACCATGACGATCCCTCAATGGAAAACACTAGCGGAGACTAAGCGTCAGTCCATCCTGGACGCCATCCCCGCGAAATGGAGGTTCCAGGACCCCGTTCCTGAACCCGCGGAACTCCGCGACGTGACGGGTTCTTATATCCAGCAGTTCCTGACTCCTCGCGAGGTCGAGATCACTGAGACTGACGCCGTTGGAATCGCGGAGAAGACTACGTCGGGGCAGTGGTCTGCGGTGGAGGTGACTGAGGCGTTTTGCCATCGGGCTGCGCTTGCCCATCAGCTTGTATGTCGCGACAACGATCATGGGGTACGGTTGGGGCAACAGGCAGTGGCTGACTCATTCTCAGGTGCATTGTCTGCATGAGGTATTCTTTGAAGCGGCCATCGAAGACGCAAGGCGTTTAGATGCCTACTACGCGGAAAACAAAAAGCCGGTTGGGCCTCTGCATGGTCTGCCCGTAAGCCTGAAAGACCAGTTTCATGTCAAAGGCGTCGAGACGACGATGGGATACGTGGGCTGGATTGGCACGTTCCAGGGCAAGAAAGGCGACGCGCGGAAGGGCGTGTTTGAAAGTGAACTGGTCAGGGAGCTGAGAAGTCTAGGGGCTGTGCTGTTCTGTAAGACGAGCGTGCCTGTCACGTTGATGGCGGGCGAAACGGTCAACAACATTATCGGGTACGCCACCAACCCCCAGAATCGCCTTCTCTCCTGCGGGGGTAGCTCTGGCGGGGAGGGGGCGCTCATCGCCTTAAAGGGGTCCCCGGGTGGATTTGGGACTGATATTGGCGGGAGTATCCGCATTCCGGCGTCTTTTAATGGCTTGTTTGGTGTGCGTCCGTCGTCTGGCAGGATGCCTTATGAAGGAGCTGCCAACTCCATGGACGGCCAGAATAGCATTCTATCAGTGATCGGGCCCCTGGCGGCCACGGCGCGTTCCCTGACGTTTCTTTTTAAAGCCGTGCTCAGTCAACAGCCCTGGTATCATGATCCGCTTGTCTTGGAGGTGCCGTGGCGGGATGACATTGAACGGGAGACCCGTGCCCTGATCCACGCCTCCGCTGCTGGTGAATCCAAGCTTTCTTTCGCCATTCTACATCACGACGGCATCGTGCATCCTCAGCCACCGGTGGCGAGGGCATTGGGTCAGGTGGAACAGAGACTGAAACAGCTGGGACACAAGGTATGACAAGGCTAATGCGAGTCTGACCCCTTCAACCGACATGCTAAACATTTGAACAGGTCATCGCATGGAACCCCCCTAGTCTCGGAGTTGGATATGGATTGACTGTATGGATTAAGTGGCTACGAAGGGTATCTGATGAAACATGGCTGACGATCACAGGGACGAATCTTCGACCAGGACGGTGGCGCAGACATTCAGCATCACTTTCAACTTTCTGGGGAAATCAACCCTCCTCAGACCATTGTGGATGCCGATGCAGCGCATTTGAAAGCGCAGGAGCTCGCGGCATTGAATGTAGAGAAACGGGAGTACCAGAAGCTCTATATGGATTACTGGAATAGTACCGCCGAACTGACTGGTACCGGACGACCGGTCGATGGGGTGATCAGTCCGTGTGCGCCACACGCTGCGGTGCTACCCTTGAAATACCGCCACGTTGGATATACCTCACTTGTCAACCTTCTGGATTACACAAGCGTGGTATTCCCGGTGACTCATGCCGACAAGACGGTCGACGTGCCCCATTCGGATCTGCAGGTCCTGAGCGAGGTGGATCAGACGATCCAGGACGAGTGTGAGTGCCCCTGCTTGATGGAAATTGCCATGATGGTAGAATCGTATCCGCTGACATCAGTCCAGATGATGCTGAAGCATACCACCATGCGCCCGTCGGACTGCAGCTCGTTGGGCGACGCCTTCAAGAAGAAAAGATGCTGACGTTGGCGGAGTACATTGGGGAGGCTGTGAGAGGGTAGAGGTTTCAATTTGGTTCTATTGATAGTCCAGAAAGGTGATCTGCCGTGTATCACATTGCGACACAGTGGGTCATGGTCATTGATGGACCGACATTGTCATTTCAATTAGCTGGTTGTCGCATAAGAAAGCTTTTGGATGTAGTGACTGATGGGAATCTGGATCAGATCTTGCGTATCAACACAATGTAAAATGGCAACTGCCATTGTATTTCCAGCCCAGAGGCGATAGATTGACAAAGACTAGGGGTGAATAACAACATGTATAACCAGAAGAAGAGAAAGAAGAAGTATGGTAAGATCCAGAGAGAGCAAAGAGGCTGAACCCCACACAGGCTGAGAAAGCTTGGCAGCGACTCCGATCGATCGTCACGTTTCTGGCTCTTCCCGCCTTGCTTCTTCTTCTTCTCCTTCCATCCTTTTTTCCTCTTCTTCCATTTTCCCCCCTCTCAACCTCCTCCTCCTCCACCACAAACATCCCCCACTCCCCTCTTCTCTCTCTGTCTCCTGCAACTCATCCCTTTCGTCTGTTGCTTGCGATCTTCGACTTCGCCTCATCTTTTCCCCTGGCGTCGACACTGACGATCCGCCTTTTCTTCTCTCCGTTCGCTATCTTTATTTATATTTTTTTTATCCACCTCCCTCGCATATTTGTTTTTCGTCTTGCATCGAGGTGCAGCGCGCCATCGAATGACCTGGTTCTGGTGAAACTGAAACGCGTTATTTTACCAGCTCTCCGTGATTCTACTCCTGTCTGCAGCCTACTGATCACGCGTTCTGTGGAACATGGATGACAGCGCGTCTAACCACCCAGCGAACACCCCTGAGGGCTCCACGGGTGCCGATGAGAATGCTCCGGGCGGAAAGGGTTCATCCCTCAAAGATCGGAAATGTCAGTACTGCAATCAGGCCTTTACCTCGTCGTCTCTAGGTCGTCACTTGGATCAATTTCTCTTCAAGAAGAAACCAGACGGCGTTCACGATGTTGAGGAGATTCGGCGCATTCGGAGCGGCATCACGCGGCGACAGGCGCGCACCTCCACGGGCAAACGGGACACCCCGGAACGAACGACGGGGAAGGGCCAGTTGGATTCGTATCCATCAGGGGAGTCTGGGAAGTCGCGGGATGGGGTTCGGATGATGTTCAATACGCCCACATGGCATGCGACCGGTGTGATCAACGACATTCCCAATCCCCAACAGACCCCCGATGCTGCCAGCTCCTCACGATTTGCCGCTTCGCAGTCTCGGACCGGTTCGATGAACCTTCCGGATTATGCAAGCCGCGGCGCGAGTTCGAACAACCCCGATACAATGAGAGCGCTGGAGCTGGCGTTGCGGGAGGTTTTGGACAATGTCAAGGCTGCAACGTACGGTTTTTTCCCCCCACTTTCTTCTCGCTCCACCTTGGAGTAGGCGACCTGTACTAACCTCCATGCGCAACAGATCTAGATTAAGACCTCGACTTTCCCCATTTGATTTCGACATCCAATCGCAGACCTTCCCGTCGCTCTGCCTACAGCTGCTGCCCCCGCCTCCGAGTCTTTTTGCGACCCATCCGTTCCCGTCCCCTACCTCGTTCCCCCTTCAACCTCCCGGTGTGGAACACGTCGAGATCGTGCGGCAGGCTATCCGTGCGAAAATTGAACAATGGCAGTCGGACCAGCTGTCCGCTGAGTCCGCAAGTCGCACCCAGGCGGGACGGGTGAATCTTGGCATGGACTCCAGCATGATCGGCCGGAATGCGCAGCAGCACGAGGAAATGAGTCTGCGACACCTGGAGCTGGCATTTAAAAACTGGACAGATCTTCACCAGGACGCGAGACGGGAAGTGTGGCAGCTCGAGATCACTCGAGCCTTCGCTCGCGAAATGGAGAAACGGAAACTGTTGGATGACCAGCTGGCGCGGGTGCAACAGGAGACGAACCAGCTTCGCGCCCAGGTGGAGCGACTGGGGTCGTGCCAGTGGCCGCGGGAGTTCGCTCTCTTCCCTCCGGATACGCTGCCGTTGCCGCGCGATGTCGCCCGAGATCTGGATACCAAGGAAAGCCAGATCAGTCCCAACTCGCCTCGCTGGGACTACGACAGCGTGGTGTCCAAGTGGAAGCGCGTCGTGATGCATGATCGCGGCATGGGCCGGATCGGGGTCGGCCACGCGACGACGGCAGACGACCTTACCCCCACGGAGAACAAGTCGCGCAGCGGTGGAGATCCGACCTTTCCCCGACCGAAACAGCTGCAGCCGCCGCCGGCTTTGAGCCCGGGTACGTCGCCCGCCCACCCCAGCGCACCCTCTGCCTCTCCGAGCCAACAGACGTCGCCCTATATCCCGCAAGATCCCAGCCGGAGTCCCAACGCCGGACATCAGGCCAAACGTCCACGTCTCATGAACGGCCACCATTCCGCAAACCCCTCGCAGCCCGCAGAGAGCGCCAGCCATCCGCCTCCGGCTCAACGGCCTTCCAGCTCCTCCCACCAGTGGAACACTCCCCAGTCGTCTCTCATGGTCTCCAGTCTCGCCAGTCCCGCCGCTCCAACTCCTCCGCCGTCCAATTCCGGCGGGACTTGAGCCACCAAGCTCCGGTCCACACACTGTCTATTTCACTACTGTTCCATCCGAAACGCTCTATTATTAATTTAATCACATGTTATCCAGGTGTGTCCTTACGTCATCGACTCAGCCAAGGTACGAATGAACATTGCATTGTGACTATACTTGAACGCCGAATTCCAAGAGAAAAAGAAAAGAAAGAAAAAAAAAAAAAACACTCATGTATATAACTGTCGGAAATCGAATCTTCGCTGTGTTTGACTTGTATCAATTACCACTTGCGTATGTTAACAACATCCTTAATGAGATGTATGATCACTATATGCACAAACACAAGTAAATTCTTATCTGTAACCTAGACTCCAGGGATCCAGTCTCGAATAGACGCGATGTACAGTATGCAAATGCTGTATGTAAAAGTTAAAAAGTCACCTCATTGCGACTCACCAGCCCCAGTCTTCTTCGTTCTCCGGGCACCAAGCCAGCGCTTCAAATCTTTGAACCCGTGGAGATAAAACCACGAGAGGGCGAACACGGCGGCGAAATTGAAGATCACGTAGGCCCAGAAGATTCCCTGGTATTTGTTAGATGGTTTGGATTTGATGTTTGGGTGGTTTATGTGGGGCGGGGGTATATATTTGTGGTAAGGTAGTGGGTATTGGGAGCATGTGGATGACTTACGTAGTCGCGCCATTTATGGGAGTAGTATACGTTGAAGCTGGCGCCCTATAGAGTTTCGCATTAGCATGAGTAGTGGTCTTTTTGCAAGTCTACCGTCTTATTCCGTGAAGGGGGGGAAAAAAGAAAAGAAAAAAGACCGAGGGCAAAAGAAGAGAGGGAAACATACAAACTCATCCCCAGTCGAGTACTGACAAAACGCACACATCCCATCCCCAGCATCACGCACATACCCACCCATCTTCCGGGTAAACGGACCCGCGTACTCCTGACATGACTGTCCCGGCGGCGGCGAAAACCTGCTCTCTTCCCTGTCGATACAGCGGATAGGCACGTCGTGGATCACAACGCTGAGCAAGCCTTCCAGCAGGTACGTGAACGGGGTGAGCCAGTACATCCAGGAGCGCCAGAAGTGGACGAGGGCCACGTAGGGCACGACGATGCCGCAGAAGGAGACGACGAAGGTGAAGAATGTCGGGACGAGGAGCGACGCGAAGAGCTCGTTGGGGGAGAGCGCGGCGATGAATTGCCCGAAGCCGATGTAGAAGAGCTCGAAGAGCATGAGGAGCATCCAGACGTAGCCTGCGCTGAAGGAGTCGCGCGGGAGCCAGAGGCCCCAGTACCTGTTGTCTTGGGTGAGTTGGGGAGGTCTTTATGGGATGGAAGGTTGGATGATATTTGGGGGGGGGGGGGGTACCAGCAGTTGAAGTAGATGGAGCCTGCTACGATGGAGTAGGGGAGCTCGGGGAGGATAGCGCTCGCTACGAATGCTGTCCAGGAGTAGATCTTGGAGTTTGCCTCGCGGGATTCGTAGAGGTTGCGGAAATGGAGGTATCGTGGTTGAAGCTGTTGGATGAGAGGCGGGCAGATGGTCAATGTCATGAAGATTGAGAAGAGTCGAGACTGCATGTCGATGTAGCTGTTTCCTACGTGCCAAAAGGTGAACGTGTTGAAGAGCCCGGTGAAGATGTGGAGCATGAATTTGCCCTGTTCGAATGTTAGAGTATATGGCCGTGGATATAGATCTTAGGGGGTTAAACGTACAATCGTATACTGGGGCGTCCGCCAGTAGGCCACAAAGGCTCGTTTTGAACACTCCACAACCTGTACCCACCGAGACATGGCGAATTCTCTGCTGTCGTCCTTGGTGCCCTTATCCTCCGTTGTTCGGTTTGTCTCGATGATGCGATCAATGTCTTCGGAAATCTGTTGACACTCGCGCGAATTGGCCCAGACATCGCTCCAGTCCTGGCCCTTGTAGTCGGGGTTTCCGGCGCCGATAACATCCAGCATGTACTGTGCAAGAAAATGAATTTAAGAAAATGGTGCGAGCCGCGACAACATCATGCAAGACATACCTCTGCTGGATTCGCATGGGGAGGGCAACTTTTGCCCCCATTCCGTTCGAAATACTCCAGGAGCTTGGTCGAGTCCTGTCCCAGCTCGCCGTGATAGACGACTCTCCCGCCGTTCTGCAACAGCAGTAACTCGTCGAATTGCTCGAATAAGATGGCGGAAGGCTGGTGAATTGTGCACAGAATCGCTTGTCCCGAATCCGCCAATCGCCGAAGAAACCGCACGATGTTGTAAGCGGCCAGCGAGTCGAGCCCTGAGGTGGGCTCGTCAAGGAAGAGCAGCAGCTCCGGCTTGCTCGCTAGCTCGACCGCTATAGTCAATCGCTTTCGCTGCTCCTGGTTCAGTCCAGTGCCTCCCGACCCTACTATCGCTCCAGCTATTGACCGCATTTCCAGCAGGTCGATAATCTTCTCACAGTAGTCGTATTTCTCGCGGACCGGGACTTCCTTCGGCTGGCGCAGGAGTGCGGAAAATCGGAGTGATTCCTTCACGGTGGCTGTGGGCTCATGGATGTCCATTTGCTCTGCGAAGCCGGTTGCTCTTTGGAAGCTTCGAGGTAAGGGCCTGGGGATGTTAGTCGATGTAAAAAGGTTGACCTTATGTTGTGACTTACCTTCCATCCACGAGGAATGTACCAGATACGACGCCTAGGGTTATTCGTTGAGCTAGGGTATTGAGTAAAGTGGTCTTCCTGTATTTTCAAAACTGTAAGCAGGACGTCATAAGCTGCTCGATGCAAATACTAACCCTGCACCGGATGCACCCATTAGGGCAGTCAAACGCCCCGGCTTAACATATCCTTGCACATTCTGCAGCAGTTGCTTCTGCCCACCGTGATAAGGGATGGTGTAGTTCACGTTCTTCCACGTGAAAATCGAGGTGCTTTGTGCAATCCCTTCGACGGCATCTCCAGATTCATCGGAGCTCTGCTTTTCCATGTCAGACTGGGTGCCGTTGGTTTGATTCCCTTTTTCCACATCACTGGGAAGCTCTTTTTGCTTGAACGCCTCCTGCACCGCCTCCGGGGCCTCGCCTCTCTTGAAAATAGTGACTGCACTTCCGCCTTTGTTCGGCTTGCGCAACTCCATCCCCAGCATGGTCAGCGCGACGAAGAAGATGAACCACCCGATGATGATACCAAAGTTTCTCCACAAATGGGCCCGAGTGTACGTGAAGGCGTTTTTGATGTAGTCGGAGCCCAAGACAGTCAACCTGTCTGGCGTGCTCCCTTGTATTGAGCATGTTTGGTGGCCCGGGGAGGCATTAGGACCAAAAGGCACAGTATTGGCGGGCTCGCATTGGATATGTAGGTTGTAGAATTCGTTCGCCATCACCGCTTCGAAGGCGTATTGGACGGGGTTGATCCAGATCAGCCACTTTAACCAAGGGTGCATTTTCCACGGTGGGATGAGATAACCTGGATGGAGAGTGTCAGTACCAGCACTTGATCAAGTATAGTCCAGTATTACCAGTATAGACGACGAGGGCTTGTATTGCAACCCCAGTAATGCGCGTTGCTGTTCCATAATGAGCGAAACGTCTAGATAAGGGGGTAAGGATATATACCAGCATCAAGAGAACCGCTGAGTGCACCAATGGAACGAAAGAAAGAGTACATAGTCATGGTGAGAATGAAAATGATGAGGAAATTGATGAAGAATTGAGAGGCCGTTCTCTGAAGATTTGACATGCTGTAGTCGCACTATCAGTAATCTGATCCGGAAATGCAGCCATGGCCTCAGCATACAAATATACAACCACCTCGAATAATGTGACCTGAATGAATATTACAGGAACATCAACAGCAACCTGCGCCAGGGCAAACGCAGACGGACGATAGAACGAGCTTTTCCGTCAGTAAGTTAACAATCCAAATATACCGCTCGAGGGATACATACAAGCTCTTATGCTTCAATATAACGGGCCGACAGTCGAAAAAGGACGTAAGCTCCGCCATAGCAAGCAAAGCATTAAACAGAAGTATGAAGAACAGAACACCGCCCCTTGTAAAGACGCCAGAGCTAGAATTGAAACCTATTAGCGCGCTTGACGTCCAGCCAACACAGCATATCCACTAACCTGGTAGGAGGCAGATTGTAGAAAAGACTTCCGATAATGAGCGCCTGGAAGACGAGCATAGCCCACTTCATGACCAAGGTCTGCTTGTCACCGTACATGATGAGAAACTGGCGGTGGGTTAACGTGAGGACCTGTTGCGTAAACGGAACAGTGTAGTTCTTCTTGGGCATGCTTTCTCGCGCAGCCTCTCGCTCCTGTTCCTGGCATGCGAGCTCCTTCTCGAAGTCGTCGATGTCTGCCATCGTTTCGTTGTAAGTTTCGCTTGAGCGGTAGATCTTCTGGAAGTCGTTCCCAGTGCGAGGAATGCGGTCTTCCCAACCGCTCTTCACGCGCCGTGCGTGAGGGTCGCTCACCGACGTCAGAAAATCTGGAGTTGTCCACCGTGGGGGGCATTCGAAGCCCAATCGCTCGAAATAGGCCTTTGCTTCCTGGGTGGGACCGAAATATGCACATTTTCCCTCTTCGATAAGGATGACTTTGTCGAAGTTGTTGTACAGGTTTTCAGAGGCTTGGTAGAGCGCAACGAGGGTAGAGGCATACGCCGTGTCCGTGAGACTCCTCAGGCTTTGCACGTACTCGAGCGCCGTGCTCGCATCGAGACCCTTGGTCGAGTTATCCCAGCACTGGGTGCTAGCCTTGGTTACCATGGCTTCGCCGATGGAGACCCGTTTCTTCTCGCCGCCTGATATCCCGTGTATCATCTCGTTGCCGACTTTCGTATCGAGGGCGTGTTCGATCCAGAAAAGCTTGGCGATGGCCGATAGAAAGGTGTTCTGATACTCCTTGCGACTCTCGCCAGGGAGCCGTGAATCTTTGTCTGGGGTTCTGGTTTTGAGCGCGAATAGGAGGGTGTCCCTCACCGTCAGGGTAGCGTAGTGAAGATCTTCCTCAGGGTTATACAAAACTACGAATGTAGAATTAGCACCCCGATCTGCTAGAAGGGAAAGAATACAGTCATTTACCCTCTGAGCGATATCTCTTAGCCATGGTTTCCGCATCTGCGCCGCCGTATCGCACATCGCCTTCAATGCTCTTATAGCCTGACCGTTGGTTCCCCAGCGTTTTCAAAAATGTCGAGCACCCAGAGCCCGGTCTCCCAAGAACCAACAGCATCTCTCCTGGCCGAACGCATCCCTTCAAAAGCATCAGTGGTCTGAAACTCAATTTCACATCCCCACAACAGCACATACGGTAAAATCATCAATAATCGTCCGCAGAGGAGGGCCTCCAGCATTCCCCTTCAACAACCTCGAGACAGAATCCTTCACAAGCCGAGGCAGCGCAAGAAAGATATCCGAATTCGTCGGCTGAATGGCCGCCCCAAGACCAACCCCCTTGACCGTCAGGTTCTTCCAGACAACACCCAAGTGCCGAGTCTTCTCCTCGTCGGAATTGGCCTTGCGCTCTCGACCAAACATGCGCGAAACAAGCTTCGCGATCTGCACATCGTCTGCTGTATCGCTCGTCGAATGGATCGTAGAGGAACTGCTCCGCCGTCGCGAGATTGCCCGCATAAATGAATCCTCCGTGAGTGTCTGCCCCAGCGGTGGCCTCTCTTGGCTGCCTGATCGGTTGGACTTCTGGGTTCGGATGGGCGCATACGTTTCTTCGGCCTCGGATATGGACGATTGGGCTGACACCGTCTCCGGAACCGCAGCTGTGTCGGAAATTGCTTGTCTTTGCTGCTCGGGCTGCATCCCCGAGGTGTGGTTATCGGGGCTGCGCTCGGCGTCCATGGTCAACTCGCACAACGCAAGCGGAACCCCGGCATCTAATTGATTGTGGTAGACTAAGTAATGACAGTAATATAATATACTTTAGAGGAATCCATATTGAATATGCTTCATTGAGAAAGCAAGACTAAAAGAAGAGTTCAGAGTGACCCTGCACTGGTTACGTCAGTCTGCCTGCCTGCGATTTAGTCATCGTGCACAAAGAATCACATCGACAGCATAAACAAATAGTTCCTGAACATCACTAGTAAAAGACTCAGATGGAGAGACAGACTCAAGCACAAGGTGAATAAAGCTGGTTCGGATCGGAGACTCCGGGCAAGTTGTGATCTGGTTGCGCGAGTCATAATGAAGTCACCACCTCATCACCTTGATCACCTCATCACCTAATCAGTATCACAGCAACTATCCAGCAATATTATTGAGGGGAGAAATATAACCATATTATTGGTGGAAAACTTGGGGCGAAGTATCTACGGAGTAGCATATTCGTGAAAAGGGCAGATTAGGGTCTGCTGCCGCACGTGTCGAGCATCTATAAGGTTTGAGGGGAAGGTTAACAAAGGTATTGACTTGCTGCCTTATGCTAGAAGTGCATACTATTGCCTAGTCGCGATACATGATGATCAGGATGGAAATGGACAAGACAAAAAAAAACAAAACCCAGCAAAACAAGGAAGAGTCAGGGAAAAAAACAAACAAAAACGAGAAGAACAAGCAGCTCAACATTAGCCATCCCTTGGATCCATCACTCTAACGATGTCGGTTGGAAAACGCCCTCTCTCGGACGAACCAGCCACTCAGCACCCTAGTAGGATTCTGACGATGCAATCTCACAGCTTCATCAAAGATAAGCTGATTTATGACGCCCGTGCGAAGCTGAAGCTGCCACAGGTTATCGCGCAGCGCAGCCGACAGACGACTCCACTCAACCTGCAAGTTCGGCTCCGGAGCCCTGAATCTAATACCGCTCGCAGCGTCGACATACGCGTCTCTCTGGTGACGCTCAAGCAAATCATACGCTCTGTCCACAGCCGCAACTTGATTTCCGTACTCGGTCAGGAGATCGACGACGGCGCCGAGGGTGGCGATAGAGACGTTGTTGTAGAGCTTCAGGTAGTAGATGCCGCTGTTCCAGCCGTACTCCCTGGTATTGGCAGTGCCTTGCTCCATCGGCGACTCCCACAGGTCGATCTCCAGGCCGGCTCCGATGTAGAGTCTTCTGAGGCAGTAGGAATGGGTGAGTCCGTGCAGGCCCTCGAGGCGGTAGATGCCCAGCCAGACTCTCTTCCACAGCATCACGATTTCCTGGCGGAGCTGGCGCTTGATGCGCTCTTCCTGGGCGGCGGGGTCTGGGGCTTCTACTCGAATGGTGAAGCTGTTTGCGACTATCCATTCTCGGAGGGAGATATGGGTACTGTGGATATGCTCGTTAGAGGGTCTATCTTCATGGAATTAAGGAAGTGATGGTTATACGCACGGAGGGGTGGGAGAGCCCCCGGAAGAAGAGGAAGGGCTGGACGCGTCGGACTGGTCAGGCGACATGGTTGTCTGATTCTTATTCTTCTTTGATGGTATCTTGGCCTTTGATGATATCAACTGGATCGATGAATTCGGCTGGAGGGAAAGGATGGGTAATAAGGAGGTTGACGAGTAGAAGAACTCAGAGGAGGGAGGAAGAGTAAACGCTTGTCTTCATGGAAACACCGTTTCACGAAATGTAGAATCAGACGACGCCGAGATGGAAGATCACGGAATCAAAACAAACTAGCCTTCACAGAAGTGCACGGAAAGGTGAAGAGCTTGGGACTAATCGACGGAATCCATTTCATGACTCTTTGAGACGTGTTTAGGTCTAGTTAAGGATTGTACCAAAGGACTTCATACATCCTATATCATCCTTTCAGACACATCCAGATGGACTGAATTCTTTATACAACACCAGGAATCATCACAAACCTCTTCGGTTTATACCGTTCCCCGAAATCCAAGCGATAGCGTCTCTCCTTCTTCTTCGACCAAAGCGCCATCTGCACACTTCCAACAATAATAAAAACCAATATACTCCAGCTTCTCATCCCACCAACAAGGTAGATCCCAACCCAAGAAACAATCTCAAAAAGATAATGCGGACAGGTCACCATGCCGAACCCCAGCCCACATGGAATACCACGCTCAGAAGAGCCGGGACGACGGAGGTTTCGCAGCACAAAGTGGGCGTTCAAGTTCGCCAGCTCCCCGAATATAAACAGAGTCACGCTGATAGTCATCATTGCCGTTTCTGAATCGGTCGTAGTTCTGGCCCTCGTGGGATCGGGTCGGAACGCCTGGTAGGCCATGCTGGAGACCATGAGCCAGTAATAGCTGACATTCTTGACGATGTTGCGCGCCGGCATTGTGGCGTTGCTGAATCGATGGACGAACATGGACTCATATTCTCGCTTGACGAAGTGGAAGGTCAAGAGAGCACAAAGGAGTTGTTGTCGGTTGGTCGGCGCAAGGATCGTGTCGAGGTTTGCATTGTACAGGTAAGGGCGCAGCGGGAAGAGAAACAACGCTGGAATCAGCGCTGGACCAAGATATTCGGCGATGTATACGGCGCGCCATGAGATTTGGGGACCTGATTGGAGAGAGCTAGGTCAGTCTAGAATCAGCGCTGGCTATGGTAGGTATTAACCTAGGTCCTTGACATGTATCACGCCCTGGTCCTTGAGTCCAACTTCATCCACGGTCAGATCTGCAGAATTTGAAACTAGGGTCCGGTCACGCCCATGGGTTATCCTCAGACGATGGATGGACAATCTTGACGCTGCTGCCACTGAGCGGTACAGTTCATTTGTGGCTGCATTGGGAACAATCCGCAGCTGCTTGGGAAGGTCCTTGATGGGCTTTCCTATAGCAACAACTAAGCTTCAATAAATAGATAATGACGGAGGAAATGCGGCAACCCACCGCTTGGTATGACGGCCAAGTTGATTGTTGTTGAAAACATTGGGTATCAGATATTCGACTTCAGAATTGCCCATGAGGAACAGGAAGGGGGAGAAGGGAAGTACAGCAAACTCGCTCCAATGTGACGTGTATGTTTGACGATGGATTTGGTCCCTGACTTGTCAGTCCGGTTTCTGAAGCCGTCCAAAATTCCATAGCAAACAAGGTAAAATTACTTTCAAGTTCCATTCAAATGACTACTACAAACATGGTATTTCCTCTTTCGAAGCAAAAAGATACTAATTTACGATTTTGCTGAAACAATGGCCCTCACCGGGGCATAATGAACGTTGAATCCTCTATTTCGTCTTTTATACAGATACAATATAACACACACCCCATAGAGAGATACTACTCAAATGAAACCCCATTCAACTGCTGCAACCTAGCCATCCGCCAATACTTCCCCCTCAGCCTCATCAGCTCGTCATGCGTTCCTCTCTCGACAATCCGCCCACGATCCAGCACCAAGATCACATCGGCATTCACAATCGTCTTAAGCCGATGCGCCACGGCGATGGTGGTCCGGCCCTTCATCGTCCGCTGTAGTGCCCGCTGGACCAGTTGCTCCGAGGCACTGTCCAGTGCGGAGGTGGCCTCGTCAAGGAGACTAGGAGAAAAAGAATATCAGATGAGTAAACAAGACACTAGGGTTACCCGGAAGACATACAGTATCTTTGGATTCCATAGAAAAGCCTTGGCGATGGCCATGCGCTGGCGTTGGCCCCCAGATACAGTCGATCCGTTGCCCAACATTGGCGTATCCAGGCCTCGAGGAAGGGATCTCACGAAATCAGTCAATCCGACGTGTTCCAATGCTGCCATGATCGAGCCGTCGGAGACAATCCGTTCGTCGCTCTGCAGGCACTCGCGGAGATCTTCGCCGACCAGACAAGGGTTCTGGTCGACGAGCGCTAGGTATCCCCGATAGCTGTCTATGTCGTAGTCCTCGATGGATCGATTCCCCAACGTGATTTCCCCGGCGTCGGCTGCGTAGAACCGCTCCACTAGATTGAGTACCGAGCTTTTGCCGCAGCCTGTTGTCCCGACGAGCGCGATGAAGGCTCCGGCGGGAGCGTGCAGAGTAATTCCGTTCAAAGCTGCCTGGGAGGGGCGTGTAGGATATCGAAAGTGGATTTGTCGTAGTGCAAGGGACTCGGTAGTGTTCGGGATGGGGATGGGAGCGGGCCTGTATTGTTGTGCGCTGTCTGCGATACGGGGCTGAGGGTTATCGCTCTGCACCAGCTCCGTAAGCTGCGAAGCAGCAGCGTGTGCGCCCGCGATGTCTGGGGCATGCGCGAAGAGAGCCGCAGCAGATTGGGACCCCCAGACTGTAGCAGCGAAGCAGATAAAGAACTGCTGGATGGTGTACTCACCTGTGGCGATGAGATGGGTTCCGCCGTACCAGAATACAAAGGCAATGCTCAGTATGCGGAGCGATGTAGTGCATGCGTACATGGCGGCCGACATGGCCCAGTATTTACCCTGCGTCTCTTGCGTGCTTGCTATTTGAAAAGACGCGAGGACGGTTCTCTGCAGACCGAGGACTGTCACAGTTTTGATCGCTGAGAAAGCTTCTTGTGCGATGGCTACGGCAGCGGTGTCGCGCTTGACGTGCTTCTGCACTTGCGCTTCAATATAGTACTGCAGGAAGCTGGACATGGCTATTAATGGGACTGTGGCTGTTGCTGCGATGCCTAGCTTCCATCCGAAGATGCACCCGACTGTGATACCTGTTGCGAGCATCACGATGCTCTCCACGACAAGTCCTAGCGATGTTCCTGAGACGCCGATAATTTTTGGCGTACCCGATGAGAGGAAGCTCACCATCGCCCCTATTGAGTGATCTCTGTGATCCAAAAACGGGAGGCTCTTTAGCAGTAGCGCTTTGAACAGGCCTGAGCGGGCTCGGAGTTGCAGCTGAGACGCAGAGACCGCGAAACAGTATCCTCGCGCACAGTATATTGTAAACACAATGATGCCGTGGATGAGGTACATCCGCGCCCAAAAGCGAACGCTATGTCCACCTGTGCTGAGACGCGAATCAACAATTGACGTGATCCCGTTGCCAAAGAAGATCGCTTGGACCGGATATGTTATTCCGGCAAGGACACTGAGAATGGTACCTGCGACGACGTGGGGCAGCTCGGGCTTGTTCAAATGCCAAACATGATCCATACCGCTGCTCTTGGGGAATTCTTGAAGGGTAGCACGTTTTGATGTCTCCGTAACACCAGTATAAACTGACTTAGGCCCCAACTCGCTTTCGAAGCTCCTCTCTGCGCAAGGAAGGTCCTGGCATTCGTCATCTGGCCGAAGTTCCTGCTGCTTGACTAGCTCCTGGTACACGACAGATGTGCTGATTAACTCCGCATGAGACCCTTGATCTAAGATGCGTCCACTTTGCATAACAATAATGGTGTCGGCATTTTGGACTGTTGAAAGTCGATGGGCAATCACCACCATAGTTCGTCCAGCCGCGGCCTTGTCGAGAGCCTCCTGGACTTCTTTCTCACTTTCGCTATCTAGAGCGGCGGTAGCCTCATCTAGAAGTAAGATCGATGGCTGGGATATGATTGCCCGGGCTATTGCGAGCCTTTGCCTCTGCCCACCGGAGAGACTTGACCCATCTACTACAGTACCGTAATTTTGAGGAAGACTCATGATGAAGGAGTCAATTTGCGCTGTTTGGGCAGCCTGCACTACTAGCTTTCGGACGGCAGATGCATCGAGTCCCTGTGGCTTTGTAAGTTATCGAATCTTCCCAGACATGACCATGGCCAGGGATACCTCAGCAGCAGCGTTTGGAAGCCCAGACGCAATATTCTCGAATAAAGTCGCACGAAACAGCGTAACATCCTGACCAACGTATCCAATCTGGGATCGTAGCCATGACAGATCCATCTCGTCAATCGGCTCATCATCTATAGTGATGAATCCACCAAGCGGATTGTATAGACGCTCCAAAAGAGCAAAGACTGTTGACTTTCCAGACCCTGACGGCCCAATCAAGGCGACCGTGTGCCCGGCCGGTACATGGAAGTTGATCTCCTCCAAGACAGTTTGTTCAGGTCGCGAGGGGTAAGCAAAACTGACGTCCTCAAACCGAATCTCTCCCCGGATGGGACTGCATATTCGCCCGCTATCCGCCATAGGATCTATTGGCGAAACACGCTCGATGGCTGTAAACACTCGCTTGGCTGCTCCGTTGGCTTTGGTGATATCAACAACGAACGGCAAGGCTTGGCATAGCAAGCTCCCTGCGACAGTCGTTGCATACAACACCGTCAAAGCCTGTGGGATAGTACAGTGCCCCTGGCGGAAGAGGTGGTCTGCCTGCCAGAACTGGAAAAAATTACCACCAGCCCTCAGGGAACAGAGAACGCGGAAGAAAAGAAACACATACGCCCAATCCATTAGCCCAATGCAGAATCGAGAACGAGCCAGCAACCGTCACTCCGAAAATCAACCGCTCTCGAAAGTCCAGCGCAGTGGGGCGTAGTAAGCGGTCATGGTACTTCCTAGCATACCTGTTTTGGCTTCGATAGGCAATGATGTTTCTCATGGCGCTGAGAATCTCGTGCGCTAGATTATCTGCTTGAGCATATTGGGCCATGCCCGTCTCCTGGGTCCTGCTTAGCCAGGACCCCATTATCCCTACCAGGACAACTAGGGCCAGCGGCTGCGATATCATGATTGATGCGAAACGTGCGTTCTGGACGAATGCGCATATGATGGCGATCACGAACCCGGATACCCCGGATAACAGGTTGCCCACTTTGTGCGAGATGCCCGCCTGGATGAGTTTCATGTCCTGGTCCACTTGGGTCATCAGTTCGCCAGTACCGACCATATCGAAGTATGCCATGTTTTGTCGCAGCACGGACGAGAGATATCTCGCCTGGAGACGACGGGTAGTGTGCTCCCCGACGACATTGAAACCCCATGTGCTGATCATGGTAGTGACAAACGATCCGATTGCTGGATGTGTCAGTATACTTCATCAGCAACGCTTAGTAACTTTGCATGTACACACACCGATATACACCAGCAATAGCGTAAGATGCTTAGTCCTATCTCGAACATCCCGCGACGTCTGCCCATCTTCACTCACAAACTCACTCGCCAGCTCCCCAAAAACAACAGACACCAGAGGCATTGCCGCACCGGCGACTATCGCACAGCATACCGACAGCAGTAGAACGCAGATCTGCGACGCGCTCGCAAATCGGTAGTTAGAGAAAAAGTTGGCCTTGCTGGGCTCGTTCCGGATCTGGGATTCGATGACCTCTTCGATTGTTGCGCATGACGTCCCAGCTATAGGCTGGAGATTATCTAGTAGGATCTCCTCGTCGGCCATTCTCGCCGTTGCTCTCGAAGTATTGTTTGCTTTCTGCCCATGGCCCTTTCTTGCTCTGCAGAAATGCGGCGCGGTACAGAATTGGACGTGTCATAGTCGCATGTATCAGATAGGGATGCCGATAAACAGTATTGGGGAATGGAGAATTTCACGCATTCCGATGGTTGATTTATCATTTTCGGCCACGTATCGCATTTCTCTTGGGTTAGAGGTGGTACTTTGTTTCCTCTTCTTTTTTTTCCTTTGCGGCTGGGCAAGTGATAACAGATCACCCGGAGGTATATATATATATGTAAGTGTGTTTTTGGTGCGTTCGGACACTGATGTTCCCCGAAGGAGACTGTCCTCTAACCTCCTAGATTTGTGCCATAAAAAAGGGAGCCACATAAACCGAAGAACCGGAATACTACGACACAATATCCACTCGATATAAAAGATTCGATCGATGAAAATGACAGACTGGATGGAATCTATGCGACGGAGAGATTTGTAGATACGAAGATTCCAGTCTCCAGAAAAGCATTATAAATTGAATCACTTTACTTTATGATCAGACTTGAATCAAGCGACACATCACACTTGGACCGATTGAATATGAAATCTCTCGCGAAAAACACAAAAAACAAAGACATTCTGCATATACTTGTTATTGAACCGAAATGCGTACGAAAACCTTCCACACAAGACCACGCGTCATGGGAAGTTAAACCTCGCCGATACTAAGTTACCCACGCAATAAGATCGTGCCTCAGACATCCCCAAACGAGAAGGGAGACACCATCCAAATGTAGGGCAAGACGGCTACCCCCCCTAAACAAGCAATTTCCAGAGCAGGTAGAAGTCCAGAAGCATCCCGGACGACTTCTTAGCCGGCACACTTCCTGCGTAGGCGTCTACCCGCTTAGTCTCAGTCTCACGAACACGAGTCTCCGGCAGCTCGTCAACTCCCATCGTCGTCATCAGCTGTTTGTGGATAGACGGCCAAGCCTCCGCTCGGGTCTTGAACAAGAGCCACCAGTCACCAGCAGCGTCTTTGCCGACCACCCTGCAGACATTGCGAGTCGGGTACCAGCAACAGTGTTCAATGTCATTAACGTAAGATGGCCGGCCGATGGCATGGGGTCTCTCACCCAGGGGAGTACCAGTGGCGACGACGGCAGCCGAGAAGTCCGTCTCGAAGTATCTGGCCTTGTGCTGGTTGGTGTGCGTCAGGAAGACCAGGTCCGAGCCGCCGACCAGGGGCGGTATTCCCATGATGGATTTTCGCTGGATAGCAGTCATTGCTTCCACCTGGTCCTTGGTTCGGTGCTGCTCAAGCGCTTGGCGGTTCTGGGATGCCAGATGCGCTATGTTATCGTCTGCGAGGATCTGGCTTGTGGGGTGGACCGTGTAGGAGTTGAAGAATGCGTTTCCGATGAAGCCCTTTCCGCCCTTGAATGACTCGTTGAAGATGCCCCATGCGTTGAACGGGCTCATTACCATGACTGGGCGACTAGGCGCTGGGTCCAGTGCCGTTACAATGGTCTTCAGCCACCAAGCGGCCACGACGTCGGGCTCGCTTATGAATGGCTCGTCAGCGCCCTGCGACGAGGCGTCGGCTGCCAGTTGCTGGCGTGCGGCGTCCCTCATTTGGTCCACACAGTGTCCTGGTAGACGGATGGAATGCTCTTCTTCCTTGCGGAACCAGAGTAGCTCAAAGAGATACCGGAGTCCGAAGAGTAAGAGACCAAGGCCTGTAACGAGGCGCTGGAAATTGACATAGCCCGCCGGGGAGGTATCCTTTCCTACTGCGCCCAAAGGGTCCTTGTCAAAAGGCACGAAAGGTGGCACCTCGGCTTCTCGGCCTTGCAGGACAGATGTCCAGGCCCGGAAGAAATTGGACCGCGCAACTGCATCAAACAGGGTATGGAGGTAGCTGGTGGTCACCAGAGTTGCATCCTGGAAGACTGCGACGTGGATGTGAAGCTGTGGACGATCGGTGTAGATCCAATCGGCCAGAGCCCGGGGACTATCAGAATGGCGGACCAGAGGAGCAAATTCGGCAGACTCGGGCGATAAGAAAGACTGGTCTTGTCCGGTCTTGGGCAGCTGTGAGCCCAGCGGATGCTCCTTGATGCTCATGCCATACTGAGTGCTGGTGAAAATGAATGCCGGGCGGGTGCTCTTGTTGTACTCCGCGGGGATGTGGTACTCAAGCTTGCCATTGTCCTGGTCCATGGTCTGTTAACGTCGATGTTATACATGCATTGCCAGATTGGAAAAAAAGCTCTTACACTCAGACGCAGGCGAGCCCCCAGTTGACCCCAATCCCCGATCTCCATCAAGCGGTCCAGCGCTGTCTCGAGCTTCGCTACGTCCAAGACGTCGTCAAAACGGAAGGTGAAGTCATGAGCAAGACTGCGTAGGTAGTGCAAGTCATCCCAGTATCGCAAGGGAATGACTCGGTCTGTGGGCACCGTCGCAGGACGTTCCCGACCAAACATTGACTGAAACCCCATTGTCTGGGTAATCTCCAAGGAAATGAGCCCTTGATTGTTATGGTGTAGGTAATCAGCGTCCTATTTTACCGTCCAAGGGAAGCCGTAGTACAGCAGTGCAAAACAAAGGAACACCTTGACTAGGGCAACATCTAAATGCAAGAAGAATCGAGGAGCTTAAATGTATCTGACCTCGTAGCTCGCGAGGGGTTAAACAGCGGTGTATCTGATCGCTGAATATGAGTGTGGGATATCAATGCAAGGGTCACTTCACGAATCTACAAGAAAAAGTATGGCTTGACTTCATCACATCCGCAGCTGGAGCAAGCGCCTACTTCGCGGGGGGCGGGAGAATATCTTCTGCTTGGAAGACAGGTTCTCTGTTCCGGAAGTCTCGTAATGCATGTTGCATGTCTCTAGATTTTAAATTTGCTTTTTTTTTTTTTTTTTTTTTTATTGTTTTGAACGAGATGTGTATGACCTGGGGTCGCATTAGGGTAAAACGGACAATAGACCAAGCACTTGTTGGACTCCTTGATAAGTCGGTGTAGTATACGGAGTAGCATAAACCCGTATCACTTCTGCCGCGTCAGACTTGGAACGGGACCAATGGACATGTGTCTTCATGTTTGACTGTACCTCATATGCATGCATCTTGCGTGGTGGAGACTGCTATTGATTCCTTGCATATGCTGAATCATTTCTCCCACTCTGTCATGCCGAAAGCTACCAGTTGCTCCGGTCAGAGATACCGTTCTCTAGAGAAGATCTCAATACGCGGGGCAGTACGGGGTAAGCAAAGAGAATAAGAAACGCAATCCCCAAGTGGCACATGACACTCTCACCGCGTAGCTGCAATGTGCAGATGACAGGGCAGGCAGTAGTGCCATATAACGAAACGACAGTACAGCATCCCCGCGCTGCGCGGCACCTCACGCAAGATAATGGAATCATGGCTTGGATCACCACGGTTCAATGAGCCTGTTGTGGTTTTCGTTGTGGTAATTGTTGGGGTTGCTTTTATACATTTGATGCGAATATTTCGGCAAGGCCTCAAACGGCGAGAGCTGGAGCGACTCCGTGGTTGCGAAAAGCTCCCCAATGAAAACGACCGCTTCCGGTATGACATCTTTGGGGTCGCCAAAACAGTCGAGTTGGCCTTTCATTTCCAGCGTCGAACGTCGTTGGAGTATACGAATGCACTGTTCACCAGATACGGAGAGACATACACTTCCCATCTGATTGGGTATCGACTCATCTTTACCCATAACCGGGAAAATATACAGCACCTGCTGTCCACTGCTTTTGTCGACTTCGACAGTTCGCCCTTACGAAAGCCCCTGTTTCAGTCGATCACCCCACATGGCATCTTTACTCTGGACGGCGCAGATTGGAAGAAAAGCCGGGGGCAGTTGAGTAGCCGACTTTCCGATCTTCGCAGGATCATCGACCTAGAAGGGTGCGAGCGCCATTTTCAAGCCTTTCTCCAACACGTCCCCTCAAACAACCAAGCTTTCGACATTCAATCCTGTGTCTTTGCACTTTCTTTGGATATACAGACAGGATTGTCCTTGGGAGAGTCTATCGATGCTCTCGACCCTTGTCAGTCCCCCGAGAAGAAGCAATTCGAGGCAGACCTGCTACATGTGAAGGAGAGAATCGTGCAGGACGGTTTCCGTGGTCCTCTGCGTCATTTGCGCTCTAAGCGGACATTCATCCAGTCATGCAGGCGTGCCCGTGAATATGTGATGGCCCAGGCTACCCGAGAGGTCCGACAACGCAGTCACAAGAGGAAGAGGGCGGAAGTATACCCCGTCAAAGCGGCTCTGGACGCGGAGGCCGAGGAAGTCTCCCAGTTTACCGACCAGGCGCTTGGCATCCTTCTCGCAAATGACAGCATAGGGACGACTCTCTCGGGTCTTTTCTACTGTCTGTCCCAGGACGAACGGGTCGTGCACAAGCTGCGAGCGAGCATCATCGACACTCTCGGATTGACATCCCCGACATGGAAGCAACTGGGTTCTCTGGGCTATGTCCGCTGCGTGATCCAAGAAGGTGAAGAGTCCCGAATTCATCCTTTCGCTATCCAAGGTCGTATGCGCTGACAACCTTGCTCTCGAAGTCATGAGGCTCTTTCCTGCCGTGGTGCTCAACGCACGCGTGGCGAACAAGGATTCCATCATGCCGCGCGGTGGTGGGAGGGACGGTGACGCCCCGGCCCTGGTTCGAGCGGGAGATATCGTGGTCTTTTCCACTTGGGCTCGACATCGGCTGGGGAACGACTTTGGGGAAAATCCCCAAGCATTCTATCCCGAACGGTGGGAACATCTCAGTGGAGACATGCCGGGGTATATCCCGTTTAACAAGGGACCTCGAGCTTGTCCTGGTCGTAGGGCGATTCCTCCCTTGGTGGTTGCCATAGCTGACTCTTGTGCAGGACATTATGCCATGATTATCCTGACGTACCTTGTGGCGCGTCTGTTTCAGACTTACTCGCGGGTGTCGAACTATAATACCCAGCCGTGGACGGAAAAAATCAGCATGACGTTTGAGAACGACAACGGGGTATTTGTCGGGCTCAGCTAGTAGTAGGTAATGAGGTTCAAGAACCCCGATCATCTGGATATAGTAATAATTCGGAGACAAACAGAACAAACACGACAGACTGCCGCATTCGAATAGCTCGAAATAGCTGGGACAAGCTTGGATTGATTCAATTCTGGTCTTGACCTTCTCATGGAGTCGTCAATTCTTCTTTCCAATTCTGACCATTTTCATGATATGATGGGATCGTTTCTTCGGATAGGAATCAATCTGATCAGGGGTCTTCTACACTCCCTCGATGTGTTGTATGTAAATAAATGCATGCCTGAGGCAACATTACCCCTCCGTCATCTCCGACTTCCATCCAGTCTACAGTTACAGTATAGATAGCTCCGTCGTGGGATGGACGTAGATTATCTCACCGGATAAAATAAACTGGATTCAATTGAATTCCATCCAAGTGGATCGGTTGAAATCATTGTGTTCGGCGTATTATCCAAGTACCTAGTTCGACTCACCGGACCGGACTACTCTGCTCCTCTCCCTCAGCATGATTTCCCACTGCTAAACAAGCCCCGCCCATTCTCTCTGTTTTTCGTCCCACACCCAATGACCAGAAGGAAACCTGCTCCGTAAGCGGCAGTGACATCGTCCAACTCTCTTCTCTTCTCTCTAGTCTATCTTCCTTCTCTTCTCCTCCCTTTCTTCCCTTTTAAATCGTTCCCATCTCCCCCCCACCTTTAATCCCTTTGTCTCCATCTTGAAATTCAACTCTTTTGTTGGATTGCTGTTCAAACACTGTCTTAATACCCCTCCCCGAGACCAGAGAGCTTCTTCATCATGGCAACCGCAGTGTAAGTTCAATCGATTTCCTATCTTTCTATCTTTCTTTTTTCTTTATATATGTTATTTGCATATTATCTCCTTTGTATTTCCTGCATACCAGTCATCGTACAAAGATGCCTCCCAACCTGGTGCAGATGCCTTGTTTTTCCGCATGAGGCACCGAGCTTTTCTCGTACCCCTCCTCGCGTCTATGGTGTTGCTTATCCCTATTGAATCGTTTCTTTTCAATTTTTGATGATTTATGGGTTTTATTCTCTTACTCTCTGTGTCATCTTTTCTTCATTCGTCTTCTTTTTGAAAGAAGGGGCTTCTTGTCTTCCCGTGGTGATATGCGACGAGCGGCGGCGCGGGGCAACTGCAGCTCTCAACGTCATAGCGTTCGTGCACTGGGATAGGACAAACCATCCACCACCCCACTAACGCACACCCCTCAATTCCACCATTTCCGTTTTTTCTTCTTTGGTCTTTTTTTTTTTTTTGATTGCTGCATTAATTCCTGATTTACTGCCCTCTGCCCTCTGGATATATGAGAATGTACCAACTGACTCAAGCGCCCGCTTGGCCGGCATCAATGTCGGCGCATCGGCGCATCCCTCCCCTAGTGCTGACTTCGGCCTCATCGGTCTGGCCGTCATGGGTCAGAACCTGATCCTCAACGCCGCTGACCACGGTTTCACCGTCTGCGCATACAACCGTACCACCTCCAAGGTCGACCGCTTCCTTGAAAATGAAGCCAAGGGTGAGCTACCTTTCCGGATCATGGCGGTTCGTCGTGGAGTCGCGGATAGCTAACTGATGGCTTCTAGGCAAGCCCATCGTCGGTGCTCACTCTGTCGAGGAGTTCTGCTCCAAGCTGAAGCGTCCCCGCCGTATCATGCTCCTGGTCATGGCCGGCAAGCCCGTCGATCAGTTCATCGAGGCTCTCCTGCCCCACCTCGAGGAGGGTGATATCATCATCGATGGTGGCAACTCCCACTTCCCCGACAGCAACCGCCGTACCAAAGAGCTCGCCGCGAAGGGCATCAACTTCGTCGGCAGTGGTGTCTCCGGTGGTGAGGAGGGTGCCCGCTACGGGCCCTCCCTCATGCCCGGTGGAAACGAGAAGGCCTGGCCCCACATCAAGGACATCTTCCAGAGCATCTCCGCTAAGAGCGACGGCGAGGCCTGCTGCGACTGGGTCGGCGACGAGGGTGCCGGCCACTTTGTCAAGATGGTCCACAACGGTATCGAGTACGGTGACATGCAGCTCATCTGCGAGGTAGGCCTCTCCCCCAAAAAATTCCGTCCACTTCGGTCTGACCGGCTCTGACATCCCTTGCACGATAGGCCTATGATATCATGAAGCGCGGCCTGGGCATGCCCGTCTCCGAAATTGCCACCGTTTTCGAGAAGTGGAACACGGGCGTCCTCGACTCCTTCCTGATCGAGATCACCCGCGATGTCCTCAAGTACAACGACAACGATGGCGTCCCGCTCGTTGAGAAGATCCTGGACAAGGCTGGCCAGAAGGGTACTGGCAAGTGGACCGCCATCAACGCTCTCGACCTTGGCATGCCCGTCACCCTGATCGGTGAGGCCGTCTTCTCCCGTTGCCTGAGCGCCCTCAAGGACGAGCGTATCCGCGCCAGCAGCCTTTTGGAGGGACCCTCTCCCGACTTCAAGGGTGACAAGCAGGCTTTCATCGATGACCTGGAGCAGGCTCTGTACGCCTCCAAGATCATCTCCTACGCCCAGGGCTTTATGCTCATCCAGGAGGTAAGTCTGGTCCCGTTTATCTGCAGTCAAATCTGCGTATGGTCTACTAACGTGTTGGAACTTAACAGGCCGCTCGCGAGTACGGATGGAAGCTGAACAAGCCCTCGATCGCCCTCATGTGGCGTGGTGGTTGCATCATCCGCTCGGTCTTCCTCAAGGACATCACCAACGCCTACCGCAACAACCCCGACCTGGAGAACCTCCTCTTCGACGACTTCTTCAACAAGGCCATCCACACCGCCCAGAAGGGCTGGAGGAACGTCGTCGCCCACGGCGCTCTCTGGGGCATCCCCACCCCGGCCTTCAGCACCGCGCTCGGCTTCTACGACGGCTACCGTACTCGGGACCTCCCTGCCAACCTGCTGCAGGCCCAGCGTGATTACTTCGGTGCCCACACCTTCCGCATCAAGCCCGAGTGCTCCAACGAGAACTACCCCGAGGGCAAGGATATCCACGTCAACTGGACTGGACGTGGCGGTGACGTGTCTGCGTCGACCTATGTGGCTTAGATGATGGATGCAACGCCCTGCGCTGGACGTGGAATCATTCCCCCGATAATGGAAGAAGGGGGACCGGATTGGTAGAACTCTGGGGCAACAGACGATCACCCGGTTGCCAATGGTTAAAAGTAATCAGATGATTACGATGTATTTAGATGCCCAGTTATGATGGCAGAAACTTATGAATGAATGTTTTCTGTTCGGTTCATCCAAATCCTGGCGGTCGGGTCCTCGTGCACCGGCCGGTATTGAGCAAAAAAGATCAAGGTAGTAGGATTAGACGACATGACATGAGTCGTAAGGTTTCATTTCGATAGTAGCATATGCGACTGAATGATGGAGGGGGAATTCCCGTCGATTTGGCCAGTTGACATTGATTGAATACAATGACGAGATGGGGCAGAGGTCTCCACCGGCGCTAAACCGCATTCGGTCGGCCGGTCCAGTCACCCCAGTCCGACCTCCCTCCATGAACATTTGCCCTCATTCTAGCTTTCCTGCTATCAGTCGACGGAGCGCAACCTCCTTTGACCCCATCTCCGTGCCAGCAGTCTGAGATTTCTCCCTCTTCTGCTTGGTCATACTGTGCCTGATTTGCACCCCTCCTCCGATTCCTTTTGCGTATCGCGGGGCGCGATATCGGCCACTCCCTTTCCTACCCAAGTTGCGGCTCCCGCTACGTCCCACTGTGCCTGATCTGCGCCGAGTACCGTCTACAGGGCCGCCGCAAGTCATCTTCGCAGCTCACTCGCTAGTCTAGGTCGCAATCGGTCTAAATCGTTGCGGCGATCAACGTGTCGGGAGAGACGGAAGTTCTTGTGTTTCAGACTTGAGCCGTCACACAACCCGCCTTTTTAAACGAAGCTGGTCCAGCTCGGCCACCGCATGAGCATAGACATAGATACCTGTTGATTAGCTACGACTGAACGGCTTGAGGGTCCCCGGATTTTTGTTGACAGTCCTATGCCGGATACTAAGCGTCACAGCGTGGGTGGAAGACCGTCCGGTGCAAGTCCAAACCAAGGAATGGCTGGTGCTATGGTGCCTCTGGAGGCTGCTCTGAGCGGTGCAATTGGTGCACGGTAAGCAGACAATTTATCTTGCCCCCTTTGGCTCGACAAAGATGAGCAATTGGAGTCCGCGGTATTGACATATTCATCTACCAGCGTTCGCATTAGCACAGCCCCAACCGTGTCCACCATCGAAGGCACCCTGTTCACAGCCTGCCCCATTACCAACCTAGTTGCCATCAACACTGCCGACAAGCAATCGCAAGCAGCAGACTACCACATCATCCCTGTGTCGCGCATACAATCCTTCCAGCTCCTCTCGCTGGCCCCCTCATCCAACTCCACCGAAGGCTCCTCGTTCTCCGATGCCGTCCCCCCTCTGCACGCGCTGGATATCCGCGCCCTGAAGACTCGCGAGTTCAATGCCGTGAGCAAGCTGCTCGAGACGGAGGCGCGTCGCGGGAAGGGCGTCACGCGCGAGGCCCAGGACATCTTCGACGCTTTCACCCGCACCATGCCGACCCGGTGGGACGGTCCCAACATCATCGTGGCGGATGCCGTCACCATCGCGCCCCCGTACCGTGTGGACGACTGCCGGCCGCTGGTTGCGGGCGACACGGCTGCTCTGGCGCATGTGCGCAAGGTGGTATGTACTGTTCTTCGGTTCTAGGTTCTCTTTGATTTGGTGGCTGGATTCTGACCGTCATAACAGCTTGAAATGGAACGCAAGAAGATCGAGTTGCGTAGCGCCAGTGCGGCGATCGGCACGACCAGCACCTTTTCCCGCGGCAGTTCCGCAAAGGACGCTGCGGGCGGTGCTTCGAGCAACTCCAATCCGACTCCAGGGCCTGGTGCTGCTGGTCAACGGAAGGGCGGTTGATTTGGTGGAGTACCTACCAATGATGCGGCTGGAGAGGGAGAGGGTGGGAGTGAGGGAGAGAACCATGCATTGACCGAGGAGCGTCCAACCCAGATGATTAAATCGGGAGAAGGGCACCTGAATATACGATAGCAACGATGGACAGATGGGTGTTATAGACTCGGCAGATCTATTAATGGAAAGTGTATGGTGCTGGATATAGACATCCGTCGCTGTACTTCTATTGCTGGGACTACATCCGGGTTGGAGTGCATAGGTCTGGATCGGATCATTGCGATGGTTGTCTATCTACTTCTGTTTGGAGTTGGTAGGACCAAGGACTACTCTAGAAACGGAACAATGATGAATGAACATGATTTATTAGATGGCTTCGTAGCATCACACTTAGCTTTAGAGTACCTGGTACCTATATACCTAGACTCATCAAGCCCAACCACCAGAGTACTATAGCACGACCACAACCTACACCAAAACATACCTACCTACCTACATAGACGATCCCAACCAACGCTCCATGCCAGCTCAACCACCACAGTACTACGGAGTACTGCATATAGCACCAGACCCATATACTGCGCAATGATGTGATGTACTATGACGATTGACCTACAAACAAGCCAGGTGGTTGGCGTCGTACAAGCCTTCCTTCCTTGCCTTGGAGATGTGGACACGCCACGACGCTTACTTAGTGGGTTGTGGAGGCTACATACGTAAACAAGTATTGGTTTTATTTTAGATTCATGTTGATGTTATTCTGGCAATGCTGCTGCCTAGTAAGTGAGTTATGAGATATGAGTTGTAATCTGTAACCCCCAGCGTGGAAGCACATGTATACTCCGAGTATACCTATGTACCTAGGCGTTGAATCCCCCTGCGTAATGACGTGATGTTTGGCCCTGTGTAGTATGAGATGAGATGAGATGAGATAGGGGGAGTGGGATTTCCTGGAAGTATGGAGTATTCCCACCTACTAATATGATAATATCAGCTGTGGCTCTGGCGTTATAGCATAGGTATCTAGTTCTTGGTACCTGGTTCTCGGTATCTGTGCTTGATAGGTATTATATATTATGTACATAGTATGCAGGGGTATCTATTCCTATCGGGATGGTCCACTCATTCTTCAGAAGGTCGCCACATCGTTGGGTCTTCTCCAATATTGTTGAGTATATGTCTAATGCACCACCTACCACAGGTGAAGGAGTGTACCTTGTGTTTCCAGTTGATCCAGTCCCTGGTTAGTTAAAGACTGATCTAACCAAACCATGTGCAACCTCCATCCATCCAGCAAAACAAAACTAAACACCTGACAAATAATCAATACTTACTACACCCTCACAATTACTCATTGTATTACTCAAACCCGACCACGTTGAAGGAGAATGGATCATGCGACTGTGTCATTGTCTGTCTTGTCTCCTGTCTGTCTCCTGTCGGGTGCAGACATGCAAGGGGAGGGGTCTGGTCCATCCACCGTCTTACGTTCCGACCTGCTGTGTCTGTCTCTCTTCCTTTCTTCCTGCGCGATGAGATCATCGGATGGGATTGGTTCTGTCGTATTGCCCTCTGGTTGGGGCTTCGAGAGTGGCCTGGCTCATGGGTCAGTCGTAACTAGATAAAGTTTTTGCTTTGCTTGTTCTCGGTGATTAGGGATAGTTGGGGTTAGTATCTGCTAGTTATCGGTGTTTATGCTGGGTTAATCTGGGTGTGGGTGTGCTTTGTTTTGTCGAGTTTCATGGGTTGTATACTGTTTCATTCCACCTTCTCTGTAGGAAGATAAAGGTCTACCATATCCAAGTCATCCGAACCGTTTGTTTTTTTTCTTTTTCTTTCGTAACCCACCAGAAGACATACAGTAGATCCTGAACCCCCCCCCCTCGTCAAGTGCGCCATTCCGGAAAAGATCATACCTGTCAGATGCTTGGGCCTGACCGCGGCTCCCTACGACAAATCATGAACGAGCTTATTACGGGGTCATCAGATGGCCAGACCGAGGAAGGGAGAAAAAAAAAAAAAGAGCGCTACCTAAGGTTCCAACTTCCAAACCAACCACGACGATTGATCCCTGTCTCAACGCCAAGAGTTAGGTGGAAGAGACGGGAGCTTCAGATTCAGCAGCCTGCCGGAGATGTCTCCACCTCTTTTCTCTTTCTCACCTCCATCCTTGGGGGGGCTTTGGCTAATTGGTCCGTCGCACTAGGCTTGGGCTGTGCTGGCTTATTTAACTTTGCACACGGCTCTTCTCCCAAACTTGGTATGGAGACCGGGTTCAGTGTCCGTGGCTTTGTCCCTATTTTTGGGTGCTTATCACGTTGTACCTGACGGACGTTGTTGTTGGGGCCGGTAGGGTAAGATCTTGCACTAATGACTCTGGTGGGATGTTGATGGTCTATTAATGGTCATTGCATTGGCAAGGCATTTTAGGCTGACAGATCAGGAAGAAGAAGGAGAAAAAAAAAAAAAAAAAAAAAGGATAATCCACAGGGTCCTAAAGGAAGTAATAGGGAAATTATTGTTGACCCCGGATCGACCGGAAGAGGGACAAAAAGTAAATGAAAATGAAATTACACCATCCCCTCTATGGAATATGCCCTATTGGGCCTCCCCGCTTTACAAGCGCGGCTTATTCACTGGCGGACGCCCATGCAGACGCGAGAACAAGCGAGATCCAGAGGGCAGACTCAAACAGGCAGAGCGGAAGAGAAGAAAAGAAAAGCCGGTGACGGTGGCTCGTGAATTTGAGGGACTAGCCAGGTGTCTCGTAGTATGGGGCCAAGGGCACTATGCTCCGTCGTAGATGATTAGTGGATCAGGAGAGGGGCGTCAGTGACGAGCTAGGTCTTCTTCATGGGCTCGTATTCGCCGGTGGATGGAGTGGCTCCAGTGGCTGCACCGCTGCAGGCGCTAGAAGAGGGTGGGATTTGACTAGACCGGTGGAGAGTGGAGACGGGCGAAAAAGATCGTAGTCATTCCCGGGCAGGAGAAGCGGGGGACTTGCCGTAGAATTCGGAAATGATGTTGATAATCGTCAGAGTTATGATCATGGTGGTAGGGAGTACGCAGGAGGATGGGAGGAGATATAGAGAAGGAGGAAAAAAGAGTAGAGAAGAAGAGAAGAAGAGAGTGAAGGGAAGATAAGAGAGAAGGCAGTGGGACTGAAGGAGGAAGCATAAGCTGTACAGTCAATAGATGTTATAAATGTTTTCATAACTTCAGGAGATCCTGACTAAGTAATCCACATCCACTCGCTCACATGATCCGCCCGTCTTTCTCACTTCTTCATCTTCATCTCACTCGTCGTTGTTGTTGTTGTTGTTCTCTTGATCTTCATCTTTCACTCTCCCAATTCCTTTGTCCTTTCGTCAATCTCTCCATTCCTGTGTTTGTCGGTTTTCGAACCTCTGTCCGATCTTCCCTTTTGTCCTGTCTCTTCCTCCCCCTGTTTTGATCTTATCTTTCCTTACTTTCCTTTCCACTGTCCATTCTCACTCAACTCCATCGTCCCATCACTCCTTTGGTATCTGTCCTCTGTGGATCGATTAAACTTCGAGACACCTGGAGCAACGCCTCCTGCTATTGTCTCCCTTGCGTCGTTTCCCCCCTCCCGAACCTTTTCTCCTCTCTTCCGACCTGTGCCATCATCCGCTTTCGACCCTCCCACTCCTTTCATTAGCCCCCATCGGCCTCTTTGTCTCAAATCCGGACTAGGCTATCGATTCCTTTACACCGATTCCCAGCTTGCTCGACTGTTCCGACGCTCAGATCTTTCCCTCTCGACTCGTCTCGACAAGCCCCATTGATCGCAGGATTGCCCTCATCGATACCGTCGAGCACGCTGGCCGATATCCTCTTTCCTCGTTTACTGATGGAGCCCGCTCCATGCTAGCCTAACCTTCCTTTAACCTTTCCCTTATCATCCCTTTCTCCTTTCTTCGCATCGTCTTCACTCCCTTCACCATGGGCTTATCGCCGTCCAACAGCCACCATCGACGGCGGAGCTCAGTGCTCACCAGCACGGCTGGTTCATCCCATGCCGCTGCCCTAGACCAGCGGGACGACCCGTCGAGATTGACCGGCGATGGCCTCGGATACAAGCGGGACGACCTGAAAGTGGGCGAGGATCCAGACGTGTCGGACCTTTCCTCAATTGCGGAGAGTGTGGAAATGGATCATATCAGCTCGGATGACGACATTCAAGATGACGAGGAAACGGGCCTCACGGCGAGACAACGACGCCAGAGACGACGACGGAGACAACAACGCAGGCAGTTGGATGCTCGGATTGCCGGGGTCAAGGCGTCGAAGACCGATGATCTCGCGGGTCAGAGTGTCACCCAGCGGCTCCTGATTAATGCGACGTTGATCCTGATGTGGTATTTCTTTTCGCTGGCGATCTCGATTGTGAGTAGCGATGCCCCCTTCCCCGGTCTGGGGTTGAGAGCGGCGGCAGGAGGAAAAGCTAACGCGCTGGATAGTACAACAAGTGGATGTTCTCCGAAGATGACATCGTCTTTCCCTACCCTCTCTTCACCACGAGTTTGCATATGCTGGTTCAGTTCACGCTCGCCTCGACCCTCCTTTGGATCTTCCCCTCCTTACGGCCAAAGGCTCCCCCTCCGCCCGATGGCGCGGAACCCGAACCCCTCCTGACCAAGCTCTTCTACTTCACTCGTCTCGTCCCCTGCGGAACGGCCACGTCGCTCGATATTGGTCTGGGGAACATGTCCCTCAAATTCATCTCGCTCACCTTTTTGACCATGTGTAAATCGTCCGCCCTCGCCTTTGTCCTCATCTTCGCCTTCCTCTTCCGCCTCGAAACCCCGTCGTTCAAGCTCATCCTCATCATCGCCGCCATGACCGTCGGCGTCGTCATGATGGTCGCCGGCGAGACGGCCTTCAATACCATCGGCTTCGTCCTCGTCATCGCCTCGGCCTTCTTCTCCGGCTTCCGGTGGGGCTTGACACAGATCCTCCTTCTCCGCCATCCTGCCACCGGCAATCCCTTCTCCACCCTCTTCTTCCTCACTCCCGTGATGTTCCTGTCCCTCATCGTGATTGCCACCTCGATTGAGGGCCCGTCCCAGATCTTCACCGGCGTGGTGGCCCTCACCGACGAGCACGGGGGTGCCTTCGCGGCGTTCCTCCTCGTCTTCCCGGGCGTGCTCGCCTTCTGCATGATCGCGGCCGAGTTTGCCCTTCTGAAACGGTCCTCCGTGGTCACCCTGAGTATCTGCGGCATATTCAAAGAGGTGGTCACCATCAGTGCGGCCGGTGTCATCTTCCACGACCAGCTGACGCTGATCAATTTGACGGGCTTGTTCGTGACGATCTGCAGCATCGGCTGCTACAATTATATGAAAATCGCCAAGATGCGCGCCGATGCCCAAAAGGCCTCGTGGGACCGGACTCCGGATCTGGACTCGGACTCGGAGGACCTGGGTCCCGTCCGGACCCGGGGTGGATACCACCAGGTCGCGGACCAGGAGACCACGATGGTGGAGTCCCCCACGATCCACGTCGATGACAATGTCAATATCACGCCCCCGAGCGACTTGCCCATCAACGGAGGACGGTCGTTCCGGGTTCGCGCCAGCGGGGCGAGCAGTGCTGTCCACGGGCTCAGCATCAACACCACAAACCTGGAGGATCCGGATAAGATCCAAGTGTCTCGGCCGTCTCCCATGAAGTCGGCCCCGCCGATCGTCATCTCCGCCGACACGCAGTTCCCGCCCCAGGGGACGCGGGGACCCAGCCCGTCCGAGGATACTCGATCATCGCCCGAACGACACCACGCCAGTGATGGACAATGATTGGACCGCTCAGCTACCTTGTCCTCTCTCGTCTCTTGTACTCCGACTGTCGATGCGTTGCCTCCATGCCGTTCTCATCCAGCTCTCCAATCGCGTCTTAACGCATACCCAGGCTCTCCGTGAGCCAGGAAGATCTTCGAGAGCAGCGGCCCGTGAAAGACAACGCCCACGCTGGCAATGCGATATACACGCGTCCTCACATCTGTTGATTTATATCCACGACTCGGGCCCGCACTTCCCTGGAAGCGCACAGTCCACCGCACATATTGGCGCGGCTTCGTATAGAGTGATTGTTTCGCGTGATGTACCATGTCTACTACTACCCAAGAAAATATCTCATCTCATCTCATCTTATATATCTTAGCATTTGGACTTCCAGCTGAAGTCTGGCATATTATACAGAATACCCATTTGCATTGAACTTATCCGAACCATTGTCGTAGTTTTAGGTGTATATTAGTGTAAGTATGTAGATGTAGATTGAACGGGTTTAATTCGATAATCGCATACCACAAGGCTCAAATTAATATGTTACAGTCGGGTGGTATAATCCTTGTGTACGGAGTACGGAGTAGTAATATCTCAATCCTCCTCCGCATGACTCTGACACCCCTCATCCTCACTCCCCCCATGTTCATCATCATCACCATCATCAACCTTCTTCCCACCCCCCCTCTTCCCCCGCTTCGGGGCTCCATTCATCATCTCCATGAGCGTCTTCTGCCCTTTCCTTGCAGGACTCTTCCCGCCCTCCTTCTTCAACCTCTTCTTCTCCTCCGCCTCCATCTTCCTCTCATACTGCTCCTGGTGTTTCGCACGCACCTCCTTCCCCTCGTCCGCCAGTTGCGCCTCCAGCGCGCGGAATTCCGCCCCCTCGGGATCCATCCCGATGAGCGACTCTAGGAGCTCGATTTCACGAGCCCAGACCCCCGGGTCTGGTACCGCGGCCTGGGATTTGGAGGTTGAGTTTTGGGGAGGGGGTCGGTCGATGGGTGTTTCGAGGATCATGGGAAGGTTTTCGAAGCGCGGCTCGTTCATGACGTTGTGGAAGGCGCGGAGGCCGAGGAATCCTGTGCCGATGTTGGCGTGCAGGTCGCGGTTGCTGCCGCGGGGGGCTTTGGAGTCGTTGAGGTGTAGGGCGCGGAGGTGTTGCAGGCCGATTTGGTCTTCGAATTCTTGGAGGAAGGAGGTGAAGCCGGCTGGTGTGGTCAGGTCGTAGCCTGCTGCGAAGCTGTGGCAGGTGTCGATGCAGATTCCGATGCGCGGGTGGTATTCTGCTGGGATTTGGGAGAGGATCGTGCGGAAGTCGCTGAGGTTCCCGCCGATTGTGGAGCCGTGACCGCACATGGTTTCGAGGACGGGGACGACTGTGGTGGTTGCTGCTAGGGCGTTGGTGAGGGCTTTGGCGAGGCGGGTGAGTGCGGAGGGGAAGGGGCTTTGGTTGGCGCTGCCGGGGCTGTTGAGGTGGGTTTTGTTAGGGTTGTATGGTTAATGGGGGAGGGGAGGGGGATGTACTGGAAATTGTAGAGGGTGATTCCTAGGGCCTCGCAGCGGAGGAGGTCTTCGAGGAAGGAATCGTAGGCTTGCTTTGCTTTGGCTTTGTCTTCTTGGGCGAGGTTGACGAGGTAGGATCCGTGGGGAAGAATGTGTCTGTTTGAATGTGAGTCTGGTTGTGTGGCTGACTGGGGCGTACTTGATGGCAAACTTACTTGTTGCCGTCATATTTCTGGTCGATGCAGAGACGACGGAATTGGTCTCGATGGTCGTCTTGCAGTGGAGGGTTGTCCCATTTCCTCTGTGATTTCAGGAACAGAGCAAATGCATTGCCTCTGCAAGTAATCGGTTAGCGTTGATATTTATGGATAGACAGGCTGCATACCCAATGTGAACACTATTGTTGATGGAATTGAAAACACCCTTTGCTGCACTGACATGAGCTCCCACACACATGCGCAGACCCTGCGTCCGAGCCCTCAACGGCACCATCTCGGCTTCAATCTCCTTCTTCGTCTTCCGTTTTTTAGTGGTTGTCACGGCCGGTGCGGGCTCTTCCGTTTTTTCGACCTTGGTCTGCGCTTCTTCGTCCGCCACAACCACACTGGTAACTTCTTCCGCGATCGTCTCTTCCTTGATGGGGACTTTGACAGCCCGTCCACGGGCGTTTCTTTTCAACGCAGCGTTGCTGGATGTGCCCTCGTCTTGTTCAAGCTCTTCTTTGACCTCCAGATTCGGCAACCCCTCATGCGATTTGGTGCGTTTCGATCGTCTTAGAGGGGAGCTTGGCTCAGTACTGTCGACCTGTCTTTTGCTGCCTTTGCTAGGACTCGCTGTCGGCGAGATCGCACTCGAGGCCGCTTTACGGGCGACGCGCGGCATGTCAGCAGTCAGATCACGAAAGTGTGGGGGCACTAAAATATGCACTGAAGCTGGACGAGTTCCAATCGATAGTTGCAGAGAGCAAGGAATAAGGGCTTGTACTAGTTTGGCTGCGATAAGAAACAGCTCAAAGTTGGCGCGTCGAGCGTGTCGCGGGGCTGACTCAGCAGAGCTCATTAGCTTTCCCGATCGGGTAATCCACCCACGTGACTCGTTACTGGGACAACGGGCGGCAGTTGTTTATCGATAAACGACCCGTTTTGGATCCGAATCCACACCAGAATTTCACCTTCAACGACCATCGACCACCCTGTCATTCGACCGCCACGACCACCGACACAAGCCCAGATTATACCCAACGCCACTAATATCTAACGAAAACAGATTGTTTCCTCCTTCCACCCCCTCATTCGCCGTCGCCGCCATGGCGGCCTCCGAGGACTTGGTTGACTTCGATATCATCGAGAACCAGAAAGAAAACATCCAGTCTTTACCCGGTGGACGGTCCGCCAGGGAGCTGGCCCGGTTATTCTCACCAAGGGAATCAGAGGGGAAGCTCGTTTCCCCATCGCCGAACGACACAAGGACGCTCAACGACGCCATTCGACAGGAATATGAGACCGAGCTGCAGGCCATTGCAGAGTCGGACGATCCGCTCGATATATACGATCGCTATGTCAAATGGGCCCTGAACGCGTACCCGTCTTCTCAGGCCACGCCGGAGTCCGGACTGTTACCCTTGCTGGAACGCGCTGTGCGCGAATTTCTGTCATCATCGCATTATAAAAACGATCCTCGCTATCTACGCCTCTGGCTTCACTACATTAGACTGTTTTCCGACTCCCCGCGCGAGACGTTTGCTTTCCTAGCACGTCACCACATTGGAGAAGGCCTCGCCCTTTTTTATGAGGAATTTGCTGCGTGGCTGGAGGGTGCAGGCAGGTGGACACAAGCCGACGAAGTGTATCGGCTGGGCATTGACCGGGAAGCCCGTCCCGCCGAACGGCTCGTTCGGAAATATAGCGAATTCCAAGAGCGCTACGAGCGGCGCACCCAGGATAACGGACCGTCGTCGCCCGCCTTGCCCGCTGTTCGTCCGGCGTTGGTCGCCAAGGTGGACCCCTTTGCTTCGGCACCGGCTGAGCCCAGCGACCCGCAGGCCCAGCAACAATCTTCTCCCGCGGCGTCCGCGCCCAAGACGAAATCGAAAAAGCCCAAGATGGCCATCTTCTCCGATGCAGACTCCGGAGCAAGCCAACCAGCGGTGTCTAAACCGTCCAAGGGATGGGAGAGTATCGGATCGGTGCAGGACCGAAAGAAGGAAAACACGATGGAGGCAAAGCCGTGGGTAGGCGAGACCTTGAAGGCCGGGAAGAAACCGGCGCCCACGCAGAAAATGGCGATTTTTCGGGACGAGGTAAGTACAATTGGTTTTTTGGCCCTGACTCTCGACTTCCACGTATTTACGATCACAGGACTAATTAGTGGCATGAAACCCTCTTCGGTTTACGATTTATGTATCCAGTCAAATTCCAATGCAGAAAACAATGAGCCTATGCAATCCAAGCATGTTCCAGAACATCGTATAAGGGAGGCAGTTAACCCACGTACCGGAAGGCGAGAACGCGTTTTCGTGAATCTAGATGCGGTATATCCGGACATTGCCAATCCTTGCAATGAAGTTAGTTTCGAAGAACTTCGGGCGATGAACCGTGGGTGGATGAACAAGAACTGGCGGGCGCAGAAAGAGCCCCTGAGGCAGATTACCGGGAATGAGCAGGTTGACCCCAGCCTTGATAGGGACTTACCGGAACAATTCCACCACAAGTTGACCGTCAAAGATGTCGATCCCCATGCTGCGGAGCACGATGCAGTCATGGAGAAGAAGAGCAAGAAAGCACAGAAACTCAAACTGCGCGAGGTCAAAGGAGAAACACAGACTGGTAAGGCCTGTCCTGACATGCATACTCGTCTGGGTCCCACGCTTCCGGAGCCACACCACTGACTCTATACACAGTCAAGATGAAATTCGATTCCCCAACGAAGAACAACAAGTCGCGTCGCAAGAGCACCCACGAACCAACGATGACCATGCACACTCGGGCCGCCACGGATGAGATATACAGCATCTTCAACCAGCCACTGAAGGCAGAGGAGAATGTGGCCGAGAGCAGTGATTTCGAGGACGACGACTACACCAGCGGCGGCGAAAGCACGATGACCGGCCACCTTTCCGCCGCATCGAGCGACTTCGGCGACGATACCTTTCACAAATCCTTTGGCGAAAGCGATGGTGACGGTCTGGACGACACCCGCGCAGAAAGCGTGGTGGATGGCGAATGGACTCAGTACTCGACGAACCAAGACACCTGCGATGTGTCCGCTGTGCAGTCGCCATCCGGCACTCCCAGGCACTCGTTGGATGGAGCAGATGACGCTTGCAGTGTGGATAGTGACGAATATGATCAAAGGGACCGATTTGTCCCTCAGATGCCAGAAGACTATAACCCCCCAGTTGGCACGTACCGTGACCCTGCCATTATGGCCCAGAATCGCCTGCCTTTCATGACCCCTATCGTGGAGCAAACCGAACACTCCTTCGCTTCAATGACCGCAGCTCGGGCTCATATGTACAGCGCGAAGACCCCCTCGAAACATTCGTCGGCTAATCTCCTCGCCACCCCTCTCGCTGAAACCCCTCGCCTGGGTCATTTGCCCGAACTCCCGGAAGATGTGACGCTGAGTCCCACCGCCGCGAAGGCGCTTTCCAGCTTCACCTCCCACTCCCCAGCCAAGCTGACGGGCTCTCCCCGAGTTATTGTCCCGGACGCACAGTGCAATCCAACCCATAGCAGCGTCCGCAATACCATTCTCAGGTCCCTGGAGCCCCCACTAACATCTTATCCTGGCTATCATAGTCACCCGGAGATGGGGACACACTACGCTTCTGAGATCCAGAGATTCATGAAGACTGCCGTCAAACGCCCCAGGAGTGGCGACGAGGCTTCCTTCGATGTGCCGATCTTGGAACTCCCGGGGTCTGAACGAAGTTACATCATCAGGAGGGAGCTGGGGGCCGGTGCTTATGCCCCTGTTTATCTTGCTGAGAGCATCGACAGCTTGTCCTCTGACTCGGAAGCTGATGATAATCATCCCGCTTGCCGCAAGGGGAAGTCCAACATGCCTCGGTATGGATTCGAAGCGATCAAGTTGGAAGTCGGGCCGCCGAGTGCTTGGGAGTTCTACATGATACGGACGGCCCACGAACGGCTGATACGCAGCCCTGGTTTAGCTCGCAGTGCGGAGAGTATCATTAACCTGCATGAACTGCACGTGTACAAGGGCGAAAGCATCCTGGTGGAGGATTACCGAGGGCAGGGGACGCTGTTGGATCTGGTGAACATAGTCCGCAACGAGCCCATCACACCCAACGGCAACGGCGAAGGCCTCGACGAGGCTCTGGCTATGTTTTTCGCCGTGGAGCTTTTCCGAACCGTTGAATCTCTTCACGCGTGCAATATTCTGCATGGCGATATCAAAGCGGATAACTGTCTCGTTCGGTTCGACGACAAGCCCGCAGCGCCGCCTTCTCTTCTCGATCTGGACGGGGATTTCCCCGACCCGCGGGAAATCCACTACTCTCCCCGCGGATCCCACGGCTGGGACAACAAAGGTCTCTCGCTGATCGACTTTGGACGCGCCATCGACATGCAAGCCTTCAATCCCTCCGTCCAATTCGTCGCAGACTGGGAAGCCAAGGGCCACGAATGCACCGAGATCCGGGAGAACCGCCCCTGGACCCACCAAATCGACCTCTACGGCCTGGCGGGTACCATCCACGTCATGCTCTTCGGGAAATACATCGAGTCGGCCCCGATGCGCCGCAGCGAGGGCGCTCCCGCCCAGTCTAGCGGCGCCACCCGAACCTACCAGATCCGCGAGTCGCTCAAGCGATACTGGGAACGGGACATTTGGCGCGACGTGTTCGACCTCCTTTTGAACCCTTCCGCCGATCGCTGGGTCCAAATGGAACGACAGGGCACCCCGCAGGATGAGAATGAAATCAGCGTTCCTGGATCGCCTGTCCTCCCTGTCCTACGGTCGATGCGGTTCGTGCGCGAACGCATGGAGGCGTGGCTTTTGGCCAACGCGGAGAAAAAGGGCCTTGGTCTGCAGATCCGTAGATTGGAGGCTATTTACGCGGAGAGAAAGAAGCGATTGGAGCGGACATGATTGTCTACTTCAGACTTCTTTCTAATCCTCCCATTTCTATAATTTTCTTCTCTCTCCGCTTCCCTCTTGATTTTGTTGCTTTGGTGGACAAGCTATTCTTGTTTTACGATAGACGCGATGCTTCACGACAACTTTTTATCTTCCTTTTGCGTTTCCTATACCCCCCCAACTTCCCTTCTGGATCTCACTCGTTTTCTTCTTGCAGCGTTGGCGTTTGAGGTGGAGAGGCTGAACCTCGATCTTTGTATTCATGTTATCAATTCTTTTTGTGGTATTTGTTTCTGTCTTAGTTATATCTACCTAATATTCATTCTATGTGGTTCTCTACAGACTTCCCAGGTTGACCTGATAATCACCGTACATGACACCAGAAAGCTATCTATCTATCCATCTCACCAACTACCTACTTTCTTACTAACGGTGTACAACTACTGCTATTTCTACTACCATACCACTATAAAGATCCCCTCCCTTACACAAGGTAAAAGAGGACCATCTCACCAAAGTATCTTTCAAGAAAGAATGGAAAGAATGTAATATCAATTCGAATAAATCAATTCAGAAAAACTCAAGATCGTTGACTCCGCAATGAATAGCGAATCAGCCATCAAATCAATCAATAACATCGTGTCCATATCATGTCCATATCCATGGTAAGTCATCATCATTATCATCATCAGCAGCATCAATCAATAATAAGCATCAACATAAGCATCATCGGCAGTACTAACCAGACTTTGTTGCGTCCAGGGTGTTTGTTTTGCTGGTTGGTTGTTTGTCTGTCTAGTATGCGCGCTTGGGGAGTGGAGAGAATGTAAATGAAATGAGGAAAGAAAGAAAGGAAGAAATAGAGAGGACCATGGGAGAGAAAGTAGTAGATGGATCATGAAGAAGGAAGAGGAAGAAGAGGAAGGAGAGGAAGCTGGAAAAATTCGTAGTGAAGAGTGTATGATAGAATAGATTGAGTTCTTCTGCTTATACAAGACAGGAACAAAAAAAGAGAGATAAAGAAAGAAAGTAAGAAAAGAAAGAAATCATAATCTCCAGAAAGGAAACAAGACTGAAAAAAACAAATCGCTGCAAAACGCTTGTCATTCATTCAACGTCACAGCCATCATGATCATTTCAGTTTTTCTTTTTGCGTCGTCGATCGTTTCATGCATCTATTGAGTAGTCGTTTCAATCAATACCAACATCAACATCGTCTCCGTACCGGTCATATTGCAATGCATGCATGCTTCTTGGGGTCAAGATGGGAGGTTTGGTTTTTGGGAGAAAGAAGAAGCATGCACGCTGCTCATCATCATAAAGTCAAGTCAAATCAAGAAAAGAAAAAGACGCCAAGACGATGACAGGGGTAGATGGACTGTGATCAATCGAAGGGAAAGTGGAGAGGGAATAAGGAAAGTTAAAGATAGGTGGTGGTTGAGAACAGCCGGGCTGCAGGTTGTACAAAAGGCTTGCTTGCCTCGTGTTCCTCTCGCTTGACGGTGTTGATCCGAACAAGGCGTTGCTGATGTCGGCCAAGAGAGGGTTGTTCAGGTGAAATAGAAAAGAAGAAAAAGAACAAAGAGGTAAAGAAAGGTTAATGAGTGTAGTGGACCGGAGATCAACAATGGCTTTCGGGAGTTGTCCATGGCTATTGTTTTGCGAGATAATGGCCACTGTGGTGGGAGGTCCAAGCCAATGTCACTCCGGTCCGTAGATTGAGACACAAGGAAATTAGAAGTGGGAAAACTGGTGAAAGATAGTGTAGGTTGATCAGTTCAACCAAGAGAATAGAAACAGAAGGAGATTATCGCATGTGGTCAGGAAGTCTTTCCATAGCCACGTCGGAAGAGGTACACCGTTCGCTCATGGCTTATTGGGAGTACCTAACCACACAATTATCATCCAACAGACTGTAGGTGTGTTGTCCACGACTTTTGTGTCGGGCTGTATTTGTCGATTGTTTATCGTCCTTGTCTTGGCGAGGTGAGCAGAGTTTTGGGGTTTCGTGTATTCTTTTTTTTTTCTTCTTTTTTTTTCAATTTCTCGTTTTCTTCTTGTGTTGTTTTTATCTCATTCATAATATCGTCAGGGCCATTTCGGTCATTAGATCACTTGATGGGAAGGATCTAAGTCCAAGCGCATCATCTAAATCATTAAAAAAAGGGATATCAAAACACGTTGACACCATGGGGTATGGCGAAACCAGATTCCAACGCCGTCCGCCCTCTAAGCGGTTGGGCAATGTCGGTTCTGGCCAGCCTTACTGTTTCGTGTAGGGCAAATTCAAGATCTGCCGGCGAATGCGCTCGGCGTCGGAGATGCCCCGTTCGGTAGGATCGTACGGAAGCACGCCTGTCCGTGCCCGACTGCGGCCTTGGGAATCCGGGGTCGCCAGTTTGGGTTGCGGGTTCATGGACCGGCCGATAAATGGGTCGGATAGGGAAGGCGCGTGCCGAATCCGCCGGGTTGGGCCGGGCCGTTTGGGGGTCTCGATCTTAAACGGGGATCCCAGGCGCCGGATGTTCTCGCCCGCATCGCCATCCAGATGGTTGAGCAAAGAGGGGATGGCGAGTTTGTCCGTGGAACCGCGTTCATCGTTGCGCGATGACGACGACGGAGGGGAGAACAGTTGATTGATGGCCGGAGGATGCACCGCGCTGGTCGTCGCCCCGCGGGTTCGCAGTCGGATACGGCGCTGGCCAAAGTCGTTGAGTTTGCCCTGGCGGAATAATTCTTCCAGGTGGCGTTGCGTTTCGTCTTGTGCCGGCGACTCGTCCGCAGGAAGATCGTTGCGAGGGACCGCACCGTGCTGGTGCTCCGCAGTCGGGAGCGCATCCATGCGCGGTAGCGATCGCAGCCGGGCGCCCGTCACATGGATGGTCTCGCGGCGGGAGCCCGGGCGATGGATTCGGTGGCGGGAGGTGTTCGGGCCCCATGTATTGTACGCAAACGGGGACCCGAGACGAGGCGCCTCCATCTCCTGTTCGTCGAAGCTCCACGACTTGGGCGGGAGCGAACGGGGTTCAGCAGATGGAAGAGGATGCCATTCGGGGTTTGTCATATGAGACGGTCCCTCCGCCGCCAGCTGCGATAGGGGAGTGGGAACGGAACTCGTGACCAGAGAGACCCCCAGGTCGCGCGTGGCATAGGCGGCGTTGTTGCCCGCGCTTTCGGGCTCGATGCGGGGCAACAGGTCCAGGGCCGGGCTCGGGCTTTTGGACTGCATCATCCGCTGGTAGTGCGGCGCAATGGAGAACTTGCGTTTGCAGAGCAGTTTGAGTCTGCGGCGCGTGGCGGCTTCCGACCGGGGCCAGATGGGCGTGGCTGGTTCCGCTTTGGGCGTCGGGGTCGCATCTCCACTCCGCGATTGATGCGCGGGCGCAGAGGGGCCGGCGGAGGGGTGCTGGGTGAGCCGAAAGCGCTTTCGTTCCCAGTTCCTCTTGGCCTCGCGCGCGACCCGGTGGGTGACGCCCAGCGGCGGGATACTGCCGGGGGTCATCTTGAAAGGGGTGATGAGGGGGTTCTGGATATAGAGCTGGTAGGTGTTCCAGAGGTGGTTGTCCATGTCCAGGGTCCACTTCTCCTTGGATCGCAGACCGCGGGGCCTCCACGGTTTCCGGGGCAGCGGCGGCGAGTCTGCGAGCGGCTTGGGGGCAATTTCCAGGTGGAAGAACGGGTCATAGGAATCGCTTTCCATGCTGGTGCAGCTTCCGCCCACGGAGCGCCGCGAGGCGTAGGTTTCAATCGAGGAGATGGAGGAGTCCGACGCATGCGAGCACGCGGATCCCGGACGTTCAATGGCGTCGCCCCACAGCTGGGGATCGTCGGACCGCCAGGAATCGGTGGGTGGGGGGTCGGCGGGGTCGGGACGGATCTGGGCCGGGGGAGTTTTCAAGGCCACGCGATGCCGGGGCGGCGCCAAGAGGTGAACATTGTGGGGCGGGGGGATGGAGGACGAGGGGTTCTCGGCCGGCTCACAACTAGGGGGGATTTCAATTGAGGGGAGGGGGACATCGGGGGAGGTGGAGCGGACGGTGCTGCGGTCGTATTCGACTTGCGCAAAGATGTCGGACCCGGAGCGGGCGCGGGATCTCCGCCAGCGACAACTAGCATGACGGGGCGGGGGAGGCGGAACTTCAAGTTGAATTGACGACCGTTCCGGGGTCCGTGGCTCACCGAAACTCATTGAGGGGAAGGTAAAGTTCTTGGGCAGGGTGCGCGACAATCCTTGCTGTGGGAAAGCCATGACAGGCGACGTCCCGATGTGGGGACGATCGAACCAGGCGGGTGATCGATCCCAAATACGCTGGTTCGTTTTTTTTTGTGTCCGATGTAGGCAATCTCTATGGCCCAATCATTTCGGTGGTCGCAACCCAGTCAATGGTTTCAACGATAGGGTGGATTTCACCAGGGACGGCGCAGGCTATCCGAAACGATGTCGCAGCGACTCTCGAAGTTCAGCCCAGGGCACGTGAACCTTCCGCTCTGAAAGATGACCCGGGAAAAGATTCCGGAAAGTAGACGAGGCAAGGAAATGTGATTTCGACGGTGCAACGCAGGCAATAGGATGCGATGCGACGTTGACGAATGCGCGTGCTATAGATGTCGTAAAATCGTAAAAGTGGCGTTACTGAGTTAGAAAAAAAAGGAAAAGGAGACAGAGAATGAAAGCAAGAGTAAAAAAAAAAAAGAAATGCAACACGTCAAGGTGAGTGAGTGGTTGGATGTGCAGGACGATGTGAAGCTGGACAGTCAACACATCGCATAGGATTCCGGGCTCCGTTCGGGGGGAGGAAGGAGGGAAGCTCTATGGGATTGGACACACAAGAACGCCAGACCAACACAAAAGAAAGGGTAAGGAAATGGAGTGGAAGGGATGGGAGTGAACAAGCCACGCGCTTGATTTGAGAAAATCAGCGACAGTAGCTTGTGCGGGGGGGGAAGGGGGAAGGGGGGAAGAAAAGAGAAGGGTGGAAAGAGAGGTGGAAAGAGAGGTGGAAAGGTGAGGAAGAAGAAGGGAAGAAGAAGAGAGAGAGAAGTGGAGGAAGAGGAGTAGAGAGAATAGAACGGGCTGGGCGTGGAAGGATCTCGGGGCAGATCAGGGTTACCACTATAGCAGTAGTACACTAGACTATTACTCTATCGATCAGATATACTCTCCTACTTCTTCTCTGGTGATACTTCCAATATCAACAGTAAATAAAACCAGTCCCCATTTCGACCTCAAGAATGTAGTAGTCGGGTGACGGACTTCCTGTTCAAAACAATCATATCATTCTTTCAGAGCCACCAATGCTCTGATTATATGATTATATTTCCGATCCCTCGTTCCTCTCGAGTTGTTTCCCCCTTTTTTTCATCCATCTTCGCTACTCTGGTCCACTGATCGGACAGATCGTGCGGTCAGGCTATCTTCGACCGCCTCACCTCGGGAAAATTCCAGGTGTTCAAGTCCCACTGTTGGACAAATGATATCCCTTGACAATTCCAAGCGGACCCCATGATTCGCGCTGCAAGAGCGCAAGGGAGCATGATCATGTTGCTCCAACGCCCTGCATCCACCAATCATCTTCTGTCCTTTCTCGTCTTTTTTCGTCCGTTGGGCGTTGAATCTTTTTCCCTTCGGCAAATCGGAGACACCCGTTTTGTTACCATATATCGATCGTTCCTCCATGAGAACGGCATAAGAAGCGGTCAGTCGTTCTATCCTCTGGCCCGATGACGATCAACAGTGGCTGGGACACAGTCGTTTATTTTTACTCCCTCTGCTCCAGCCCCGAGAGGTCAGTCATGAGCAAGTCGTGCCGACGGTTTGCACCTCGAGTCAAGGACAGAACCGACTGGTAATTAAAATTGCAACTCCATTCTCCTGCAGAAGCGTGATCCACCACCAGGTGAACGAACCGAGAGGGGTTGGGGCGTGCATTAGTTTGGATAGACGCGACTCTTCCCTGGGACTGACTGTCTGATAGCTTCCTTACTCGACCTTGACTGTCCGACCATCATCTGTCTACCATCACTACTGAAGGTGGGAATTGAGATCAGTTAGATACCCAGATCGATCGAGATCAATAGCGTGATCCATAATGATGTGATCGATGAACGTCTGGCCCGTTCATGACGCTCGGATCACGGGACCACAGAGCCCGATCGCCCACGCGTCAAAAAGTGGGGGTCGAGCGCGTCTCCAGTCGCGTCGCCAACGCGGATCCGCGCGTCTGGTAAGTTACCGTAATCCGCTAGTCTTGGTTGTTCCTGGACTAGTCTGCTTTAGGGTTAGTCTCTCTCCAACTCATCGCAATCTTTATTCTCATCGATGATGATCTGTGATCTTGATCCATTCGTGGAGTCGACTCCAACAGATGCGGTAGCTCAGGGGTTCATACTATCCTAGTTCTAACGCATACATGCAGGAACAACAACAACCGTGGGAGTCATAGTGCAGAAGATACCTATTACCTACCTTTCAGGTTATGGAGACCGGGTGCTAAGGAAAGAATATCCCCAATATCAACGTGGGTCCCTCGTTCTCGTCAATATGTCTAAGTCCATCACCCGAGGATCGACCCCAACCCCCTCAATCCCAAAAATATCTACCTGTCTTGCACTTTCTCCCCATAAGGCATGGATTGTCGGCGCCCCATCTCAACCCCATCCATCCCGCTCCATCCATCCCCGGAACCCGGTCACCCCGAACGGACTGCGTCGTTCCTTGCTGGTATGCACAGGTACCGCTACCGCTGGCTGGGAAGGGCTGATGCCTGCATGTGAAGTCTTGCATTCTTGCATATGGTAGGGCTTTCTCTTCATTCCCTGTACAGAGTGTAAGTATCAGGTAGGTCTATTCGGCCTCGCGGTACGTTGTACTAGGTGATGATTTCTCCCGGTATGGATTTACCACGGGCTGGGGATATATCAAGACAAGGCTGTGAGTAGTCGATGAGGGGTTTCCCATCCATGCTTGCACAAGCTGTGCAAAGCTCCTTACGTCTTTGGGCTTTTCGGCAGCGTCCATGTCTTGAATGGCACATTATCCCCCACTCCACTTCCACTCCTACTCCCTCTTCCACAGTCCGTGGCGGTCCAGCCACGCTACTTGTTTATTTTGTTGACTCGGTCTGAAAGAGGTTGTTTATTGACTCAGACTGAAGACGAGGTACCTCGAACATGCCATGACTATCACGCACTAACTGGATAAGGCGCACATACAGCGAAGGAGAAACAACAAGAAAATTTGGGAAGAAATACACCGACGAATGACAGAAAAAAAGAAAGAGACATCACTCCACCAACCCCTCCCCAAACGCAGCCAAATCAATCTCCGGCTGTCGGGACTTGTAAAGTAGCTTCACCGTGGGATTGCAAATCACCTCCGTGCCGTGCATGATGGACGCCGGACGCTCCGGTCCCTCGGCAAACTTCCAGTCATACTTCATCAGCAGGTGGGCCAGCATGATCTTGATCTCGTTCGAGGCGAAGAACCGTCCGGGGCAGGCGTGCATGCCGTGTCCGAAGCCGAAGTGCTCGGGGCTCGTCGTCACGAATTGATGCCGGTGCTCGCTGCCTGCTACCTGGCGCTTCTTGTAGAATCGGAAGCCATCGTAGGTCTGCGCGTTGGGGTACACTTCGTTGTCGTGCATGACGTGGGTCGAGACGGTTACGTTGGCTCCCTTGGGGATGTGGGTGCCGTCCGAGAGAACGACGCTCTTCATGGCCAGACGGTTCAACAGAACTAATTGAGGGAGGGGCCGGGGTCAGCGTCCGCAAGGGGGTGGGGGTGGGAAGAGGTTGAGTTCCCAGGAGGAAAGACTTACCGATACTGGCCGGGTTCACGCGCTGGCTCTCTTTCATCACGCTGTCCATCAGTTTCATCTTGGTCAGACTGGTCTTCTTCAAGACGCCATCCTCCTTGACGATCTGCCGGATCTCATCCCGCAGCGGCTGGATAAACTCCGGGTAGGCCGTCAGGTCATACATGACGTTGGTCAGCAGGTTGGATGTCGTGTGGATGGCGGCCATGGAAAAGCCGATCTGTGCGAGCGTCGCGTCGATCGGGCGTCCGGCGGCGACTTCGTCGATCCAATCCAGGCAGTCGGCGTGGGTGCGCGGGGTCTCCTCGGCCAGCTTGCCCTGTCGGATCAGCTCTCTCGTGCGGACCTCCTTCTGGATGATCTCCTTGGCCCGTCTCACGTCTCCGCGCACTTTCTTGGTCGATGGGAGGAACCACTGGACTACGGGGCGCAGGATGGACGGCCAGAGCCGGAGGTCGCGGGCGGCCATGAATCCGTGGATGGTGTAGTTGACCGAGATATCCAGCCACTCGGTGTCCCGGCAGAGTTTCTGGCCCAGGAACACGAGCGAGGACAGACGGGCCACCATGTGTGGGATCTCCTGGGCGAAGGTGAACGACTTCCATTCTGGATAGGGGTGCGGTCAGTCAAATCGGTGTCATACCCATAATGGATATGAGTCCTCCTACCTTCAGACTCGGGGAGGTAATCCTTCATCACGGTCGCCGTCTCCTGGGACAAATGGATCGTAAGTTGGCCTGTAGGAAAGCGTCAGTCAGCGGGGACACTACCGGAGCATGGGTATAGGTCCCTACCGAGGGTTTGGGTCAGCTTCTTGCTGATCACTTCCAACAGGATGCCATCCTTGTCAAGGCCCTCAAAGGCCTCGAGACCCGAGATCTTGGCGCCAAAAAACATCTGTGGTCGCTGTCAGATTCCGTCCCGGCCCGTGCCCCGGTGCCTTTCCATGGACATACCTTTTTGATGGCCTCGGTGGTGTTCAGATCCGGGTGGTTCTTCACCTCGTCGACGAACTGGGGATGCAAGACCACCGTCGGCATATGATCAAACATCATCTGAAACACGCGCTTGCCCTAATCAATGTCAGTCTGCAGTCCCAGTATCGCAGGCTTGTCTTCCGTTCTCCCCCTGTGAAGACAGGGCGCAAGATCTGTTGCATACCTGGCCAAATCCCGATGCAATGATCTCCTTGGCCGAAGAGACAAACTGCTGCTTCGCCTTGGAGTTGGATAGCCTCCATCCGCTCGTCCCCACGATGGGGATATTCCGGTACGGTAAGCCATCAGCCAGTTCTCGGTAGAAGCTGGAGACGACGACCAGCAGCAGGGTGACGGCCAACCCCTGCAGCAGGTGCGGGTTCTCCAGCACTTGCGCGATAATCGCCATCGCTGTGCTTAAACTCTACCGGTTGGGCGAAGAATTCCGCTGGTGGTCAGGATTCCAGAATGTCCGGAGAAAGAAAGCGTGAAGAAACGGCGTGAGGCAGGAGACGAGATCCCATCGCGACGGGATAGCGCTGCAAGCTCGAATATATAGCGAGTCTTATTGAGCTCGTCCCTCGTCCGCTCCACCCGGGTGCCATAGAGTCCCTCCTCCCCCCGTCCAGGCCGGGGCTTATAGGCTCATCATCCTTCGATTGATTGGAGGAGGCCCTTGGAATAGTGAATACGGGGATACGGCAACACGCAATACGCAATACGGTCGGGATCTATCCGACCCTGCTGAACAAGTCTAAGCGAGCAAGTCCTGTCTTCATCGTGACTAATTGGTTCTTGGCTTCCCCGATTGACCGCTTAAATTTCTCCAATTGGCAAAAGCTGTTGTCCGGTGTGGCAGCGGGAGGGGCCCATGGAAAATCAACCGAAGACGACGGGACTGTGTCTGATTTGCCCGCTGGGTAAGGATCGGCGGCTGCTAGGGACCCGAAATGGCATAGTAGGATCCCGCTGCTGGTAGGGAGGGTGGATTCCGGCTCGAATGGGTTTAGCGATGATGGTTGGGGAATAGTGGAACAGTCGCCATGCGGGTTGGGCGTTGACGATCGGCGGGATGGATGGTTTGGTGGATAGTTATAGATCAAATTGGACCTGTCTGATGGGGGTAACCGATAGAATATATACCATGATCCGACAGATTGAGAGGGAGATCACATCATCAAGATCGAGTGGAATATCAATCGATCAAGAGAATGAAAGAAAGAAAAAGAGAGGATCTCGTGACCGCTAAACCGGATGCGGATGCGCTGTTACTGCAGGCCAGTTGGGTCTTCACTCTTCATTCCTCAGTCTCCCAATCTTCCCCCCAATCTCTACCCAAACGCCTATATCTTTCTCTCTTGTCTCCGCTGTCTGTTCAAATCTAACGCCGCCGTGATAACCTTGCTCGACCTCTCCTGCTTTCCTTGAAATCAACCACAATGGGAGACTACGGCCCAAGTGGCGCTCTACCCCGCGCTCAACCCCCCAGCAATCCGCCGCTCCCATCCACCAGCTCCGATGAGATCTCCGTGCTCGTCACTGGCTTCGGGGTACGCACACCCCTTTCCTTCTTCCCCGCAGACTAGATCAGGACCTGAAACAATCCCATCTAAAGCGGAGAACTAATCCATGCACATGAAACGGTATCCAACAGCCATTTAAGACCAATTTCATCAATGCCTCTTGGCTCGTCGCTTCCTCCCTGCCGACCTCCTTCGACCTCCCCACCGCGGGAGGAGTAGGAGGAGCAGGAGAGACCACCTCTACTCCACGCAAAGTCTCCATCACCGTCCACCCGGCACCGATCCCGGTCGCCTACTCGGCCGTTCGCACCGCCATCCCCGCCCTCCTAGCCGAGTACGCCGACTCTCACGGTGGCCGCCAGCCCGACATCGTCGTGCACATGGGCATCGCGGCCACCCGGGGCTACTATTCGATCGAGACGCGCGCCCACCGCGATTCGTACCACATGTCGGACAACCGGGGCCAGTGTGGCTACGACGACGGCGAGCGGAGGTGGCGCGAGATGCAGGTGCCCGCCATGCTGCAGGCGGGTGTCGTCGACGACGAGGACGACAACGGCGATGGTCACCGTCGGGTGGGTAAAGGGTGCTGCCCCCGTCCGCCGGACGATGAGTTTCTGGCGCTGTGGAAGGGGTTCGCCGGGGAGGATGCCGACGTGCGGGTGTCGACGGATGCGGGACGCTACCTGTGTGAGTTTATCTTCTTTACGAGTCTGGCACTTGCGTGGCGGGAACGACGATCGCGGAATGTGGTCTTCTTGCATGTTCCGTCGAGCTGTACGGAGGAGGATGTGCGGGTGGGGAGGGAGGTGGCGGTCGCGATGATCAAGGCGGTGGTTCTGTCGTGGATTGATTCTCGATGAGTCTTTTTTTTTCTTTTTCTTTTCTGTCATGATGATGAGCCTTGCTTTCTTTTATGGTTTTGGATTGGCGTTTCATTGGTGGTTGGGGCTTGCATACTACTTGGATCTATATAATAGCATCACCAATGGCTATATACGGAGTCGGAGATTGTTCTCCCTCAATTGGATTATCTGGGCTGTCTCTGTCAGTATATCATTAATATGTCTGTCTGACCTATTCAATCTGCATGACCCGATCCTATTGCATTGAGTCCAAGTCCATGAAGAATAGTCTTGGCGCCTGAAGAACAAGGACCCACCTCGGCATTCGATCGATCATCCAAACCATCAATGAAATCCCCACACTTTTGACCTTCTTACTTCTTCATGCATCTTTCCTCTCCCCCAGGGAGCAGCTCAGCACACACAATGGCGCCCATCCTCGTCGCAATCTTACTCGCCCTTTCGGCAAGTTACTTCCTCTTCCCACGCCTCCGCCAATGGACCAGATACTACCTCCCTCTGGGTGCACCACCCCTGCCACCTCCCACCGAGATCGTCTCTCTCCGGATCTATCCCGTCAAATCCTGCCGCGGCATCCAAGTCCAGCAGACGCAGCTCCTAGCTCAAGGTCTCGACCTCGACCGTCGCTGGATGTTCGTCGACGCAACCACTCTCGAGTTCCTCACCATCCGCCAAATCCCCGAAATGACCCTCATCAACACCGCCCTCAGCCCCGACTCCTCCACCCTCATCCTCTCCATCGCCGGCCCTTCCACCACCACACCAATTGAAATCCCAACACGCCCCGACCAACCCTGGCTCGACGCGAACACCACCCTCGCAACAGGCGTCAAAATCTGGGGCTCCCTCACAGACGGCTACCTCTACAGCGCAGCCCTCACCGCCCCGTTCTCCTCCTTCCTCGGCCGTTCCGTCCGTCTCGTCTACAAGGGCCCCACGCCACGCATCGCCCAAGGGAACGGCGCCCCGCATCTCCTCGGCCGCTCCCAGCCCGTGAACTTCCCCGACGTGCACCCCGTGCTCATCGCGTCGGAGTCCTCCCTCGCCGACCTCAACGCCCGACTCGTCGAGCCTATCCCCATCGAGCGATTCCGGCCTAATATCGTCGTCCGAGGTGGCGTTCCCTGGTCGGAGGACGTGTGGAAGCTGGTTCGCTTGGTTGGGCCGGGTGGTTCTACCGCTACACCCACCAGTAAGGGTAGTGGAGGCCTCGAAATCGACATCGTAGCCCGCTGCGCCCGCTGCCAGGTCCCCAACGTGGACGCAGACTCGGCGCAGAAACACCCCGCGCAGCCGTGGAACACACTCGTCAGCTATCGTCGCGTCGACGAGGGTATCAAGTGGAAGCCTTGCTTTGGGATGTTGGGCGCTCCGCGCGAGGAGGGCGTCGTTAAGGTGGGGATGCGGTTGGAGGTGTTGGCGCTGGGGGAGCATAAGTATATTAAGGGGTTTTAATCTTTCTTTCCGGTCTTTGTGTTTTGATACGTCTTCGAGTTATCTTTGCGGGTGCATACTGACTGTGCTGGTGGGTGCTTTTGAGGGCGAACGCCCACTTCATGGGACTGGACTTGCGAGCGAGTTGGTGTTTACATTAGACTGCTGCACATATTATCTACATGCTGCATATTTCCTATCGACACTTCGTGATGCCATATTGTATAGTGAAGTAGAGATTGGCCCGGGCTATAGTTCAGAGAAGTCTTCGTGTTCGTCTTCGGTACATTATGAAGATGTTTGTCGAGATACTTATATATCGTATCTATTATCCTCCGCTTACCACCACACAGGCAGTCCTTGCAAGAACATCAGTCTGGCGCGTATGCGGGATATTTGCAAATAGTAAGAAGTTGTCTCCGCTTGGTCTGGGCTTATTCCGAGGGAATGAATATATTCCTGCTGAAGGGGTGGGGCAATACTCACTCCATAGCAGCACTACATCAATCCCATTCGGTGTACATGTAACCGCATAGTTCAGCACAATATTCAAATACAATATACTTGACAATACAGTCTATAAACAACTAGCTACTATATACAAATCACTCCTTCTGCTTGCTAGCCGACACACACCAATTATTCCAATCCGTAAAGAAAGAAGGCTGCACATGGCTCTTCCGACTCAACAGCTGATTCTTCCTCGTCTCCCCATAAACATCAACCACACCGCCCAGCGCCTGTCTATCACTCGCGGCAACGACCTTCACCAGCAGCAAACTCGCCTGGCTCGCAGCAGCCGCATGAGCAGCCGGCCCACTGTGCGACGCCTCAGCATGCACAGACCGCAGCAGATCCCATACGGGATCCAGCTCGTCCACGCGCGGCACGGCGGCCGTGCCCTTGCACAGCTTGGCGAACTCGCGCACGACGGCAGCGGCCTTGTCGGAGACTTGCTTGACGGAGGAGCGGCGCGTGAGGCGCAGAAGGGGGAGGAGGAGGTCGAGAGCCAGCACCTTCGTGTGGCATTTCTTGACGTAGATGTCGAGGAGGTCGAGAACGCGGTTCTTGAAGTTCACCATGTTGCCGCGCGCGTCCTTCTTGTCCTTTTTGTGGTTGTTGGCGTCGCGGCGCGCTTGGAAGACCTTCACCAGCTGGTTGTCCAGCTGTTCCATCGCGGAGTCGGTCATGTCGGAGTCCGAGCCGGAGTCGTCGTCGGCTGCGGCGAGGTCTTCGTCGCCGCGGCGTGTGCCGAGGGCGGCGGCCAGCTTGGCTTCGAAGATGGCGACTTCGGGGTCTTCTTCGTTGGAGGAGTCGTTGGAGGAGTCGTCGTCTGAGCCTGAGGCGTCCGAGCCTGAGGCTGCTTCGACGACTTCGACGTCGCTGTCGTCGGAGTCGGCGTCTACGTCAACGTCCATCATGTTCTCGTCGCCCTCCTCGTCTTGCTGGTCGAACATTTCTTGCTGTCCCGCGAGGCTTTCCTTCGCTTCGAGGATCTACATTTGTGAGTTTCTCGCTTGTATCGCGAAAGGCATAAGGGGAGGGTAAATACCGAAATCAACGAATCCAGCCCATTCTCGGTGACCTTATCCGCAAACACCCCGAACACCTGCTCGCTCATACGTCGGAAAAGCTGCGACTGCTTGGCTGCGAAACTCAGCAGGATTTCCACGAGCGCATCCGTCGCGTCCGACTTCTCCTCCTTCTTGGACTTCTTGTCGCTGAAGATCTTCGAGAAGCAGAAATCCAGCTCCTCCAGCATGGACACGGCGTCCGCGTCGCCGTTGTATACCTGCAGGATGGTCATCGAGTAGAGGAGCTTGAAGGCGTCGATGCCGCCGTCTTCTTTCTTGTCCTGTACGCAGTTAGATATCGTCTCTTTCTTGGTTTTGATGTATTGGTGAAGACTAACCATGCTGAACAGCTTCTTCAGCGACTTGAACGCGCTCTTCACCGACTCACGCAGCGTCTCGTCCATGTCGATGATGAACTTGCCGTACTCGCCGGACTTGGCCCCGTCGCGGATCTTGCGCACCACCGCGTAGGGCAGATCCGTAGCGTACTTCTGCTGCGCGATCAAGCTGTTCAGACACGAGTTGATCCTGCTGCGGAAGAGCTCCTGCGTCTGCTGCGTCAAGGGCGGCTGGGCACCGGACTTGGCGTCATCGGCGGCGCTGAAGTACGCGAAGCGCACGAAGGTGAAGAGGATCTGCTCGAGCACGTCCTGCGCGTCGTCGGCGTCGCTGGCTGACGCCCGCGACCGGACGATACTCAACAGCAGGCCGGCGAGGAACTGGCGGCTGGACGCCGCGGCTTTGACGTCGGTTGTGTCGGGGGACGCGATGAGGCGTTCCAGCCGCGGGACGATCTGGCGCAGAGCGTCGGCGTTGGCTTCGACGGCCATCTTCTCGACGGTCTTCGTCTTGGTGATCTGGTCGAAGTTTGCCGGGAGGCCATTGATGGAGGCTGCGGCGAAGGCGGGCTCTTTGGAGACGCGCGTTTGCAGGGCTTTGGTCGCCTTCACGGCCATGCGGTGCAGGAAGCGATCCTCGACGGCGAGCTGGTTCGTGAGACAGCCGACGAGGTTCTTGGTGAATACCAGAGAAGCCTGCTCTGGGGGACACTCGTTGATGACTTTGACGAAGAGGAGGAAACCCCAGTATTTGCGCTCGTCCGAAGAGGAGGAAGCGAATAGTCCGTCTAGACGTAGTTTGTTAGCTCACTCACAATCTACCATATCCACCGTGTGAATTGAGATTATAGAGTACTCACTATCGACAACCTCAACCCAGAAGTCCGCGAAACCCAGACGCGACCCCTTAGACTTGGTGGGAACAGCCAACCTAGCCAAGACGGCATCCCAAGCAAAATGAAGCTTCGAGTTCCACACCCCAGAAGACTTGGGCTTGCCCTGCTTCTCCTCCTCGGGGTCAACGGCCGACGACTCCTTCATGACCTTGGCCAGCTTGCTCCGCTCCTTGGCGTCGAGTGGATCGTCATGCTTCCACACCTTGCTGGGGAAGTTCACCTGCGGGAACAGGTCCTTGGCCGCAAGCCAGACGGACACACCCTCCGGGGTGCGAGCGAGGTCGTTCGAGCACAGGCGCTCCAGAGCGCTCTCCACGAACTTGGCTTCGGCCTTTTGCGTCGACAGCTCATAGACACAGCGGTAGATGATCCAGCCGCACTCCTCTCTGATCCACGGCTTCTTGTTGGCCAGCCCGAACACCAGATCCAGAAGCTTGGTCCACTCCGTGAACGGCACCTGGGGCTTGAACAAGATCGACGACTTGATGATCGCTTCTGCGCCGAATAGACGGCCGAAGACATGATCCCGTTGTTCCTATCAATCATGAGCACACCATTCCTTCATCATATACTCTCTCTGGAAAAAAAAAAACGAAGAGAAACGTACCTGACCAGACTCACTCCCCGAAGAACTAGACTGCGACTCCCAAATCCCCATAACACCCGCCACAGAGACATCCGAGTCCTCCCGCTTCGCGGAAAACACCTGCGTCAGGATCTCTGTCAGCGCGATGGAGAAGCCAATGCGCGCGGCCTTGCGGCTGCTGCAGAGGCCGCGGAAGAGCCGCTGCAGGGCCTTCTTGATCAGCTCGTCCGAGGCGTTCTTGTCCGGCGTGAACTGCGACACGAGCGCCTGGGCGGCTTTTAATCTGATCTCGTCTTTCTCGCTAGCGAGGTCTTCGTAGATTTCCACGAGCTGGGTGTTGACGTTGGCGAGCTCGCGGCGCCGCTTTTTGGATGCACCGAAGGGGGGCATTGTGGATGAACTTTTTCTGGTCGTTGATTCCCTCAGTGTATGTATGATGTGTTGGATGGAGGTTAATTCAATGGCTGTACATGGGGAAGCCAATTGAGAGGCAATTGGTGATTCGGTCGAGTGACATTGAATGATTCTGCCGGAGCGAAAAATTATGATATTTTCCTGATTGGGTTAGCGCCATCTGATAAGAGCGGCTGACCGCTTTGGGGAAATTGCTTCGCATCATGTCGCATTTTGGTCTTTTTGAGGAGTAAGTTAGAAGTAAATTCAATTGGATATTGGAGAAAGCTGTGTTAGGTCTATCATGTGGTATATTTCATATTGCCTGGTATATGCTATGGTGGTTATGTAAATCGAGTGCACGTGAAGATAACGATAACGAAGATATATATCCTGATTATCGATAAGTGGAGCATAACCATAATACATCTTCATTAAACATTATGCCCCAAGATCACTCTCATTCCTCCAGACAAGATACAGCATTCGTTTCAACTACCAGGATAGAAGGATCAAATAGAATGCCCTCCTCCACCGCCCGCTCAGCCAGTAACCCATCAAGACAAACCCAGCATGACATGATGGTCCAGTATCTCACACCATAACCTCATAATTCCCAACCTAACAAATGCCCAAAAAACCAATCCCATGTCTTACCTACCATACAAAGAAAATCTGCAAATCTCCTTACTCCAAATCAATAGTGTCTCCACCAGAATGTCTCAGGCACAGAACAGACACATACCCAACTGAAAGCTAAGACAAAGCTTGGGCCATCTTCTCTCCCCTTGGAATCTGCAGACGCTGCAGAATGACATCGCTTTGGGTACGTGGCTCGCAAGTACTGGACGGATAAACCTGCCGAGCTTGATCGAGCGGGGCGTGGTAGAATGGACTGGAATGGAATGACGGGTCGGGATGAAGACTTGAAAAATGCGAGTGCTCTGGTGGCGGGATTGATGGGCATGGTATGGTATGCTGTCACCTGGGGTGTCTGGCTATTTTTGGGGTGAGATATGAAGGGGTTTCCTGCAAAGGTGTTGGATATCGGTTATCATGTAGGGTGTATGGATACAGCGCCTTCTTAGGGGATGGACTGACCTTGTTGAGAGATCTCCGATGGTGTTATCATCATCTGATACCAATGTAGACACCAATGCTCTGATCGAGTTCAATCAATTCAAGCTGGTCCAGGTTGAAACTCAAAGACCACCCCAACGTCAATGAACCCTAATGCGAAACCCAGGGAGATCTCCCTAGAGAGGGGGAGGAATCTGCAGGCAGTAAGGTGTGTGGGGTGGCATTGCATTCCTGGAGCTGCAGAGCATAACTTTAACACAAGGCTGTTTTTATGGGGCTTGTAGTGGCTTTGGGTTGGCTCTAGTGTTGGTTGTGGTAGGAGGTATTTGGATCTCATGGTTAAGGTTGATTCTGCGCATAGGGTTGATTGGAGTATTTAGTGATGTATTGTTCAATGAGTATGTTACTGGTATGATGTGTATTGACTTAGAGATCATACGACTGAACGTCCATCAAGATATATATTGTCTGAGCAGTAGTTGAGCAGCAGCTGTATGTAAGTAAATAACCATACGAATTCGTCCACGACAGGGTGCCAGTCCAGAGTAGTAAGTACCGTAGCTGCATACAATCCAGACCCAGTCAATAAACTCAGACGACGCATGGAGCGAACACCTCAATCCATAGCATATCATCCATACGCTAAGCAATAAAGTTATCAACCAAATCAGTCAGTCGACCATTACCCAAGCAGGTAAAGTCCAGAAAGGGATAGACAAGTATAACACCCCTACAAGGGCCCCCCTCCCTTAACCCTAGATCAAGAACGCAGGACCATCCATCCACCCCTTCATGCACATCTTCCCCGTGGGATCTTTCACCCCATGCAGAAAAATCCAAGATCAAATAAGATAAAGTCTGGGGATATACATCGATCCCAAACCTTATCGCCGTGGGGAAGGCGAGGGACGTAAAGTCAAAATTATCGCCCGATCAATCTATTGATTGATATTCACCGAAGGGGTGGATTATTGACTGCCTGCTTTGGATTTGGATATTTACTAAGGGTGACACTAGGAAGAGTTTAATGAAGGGAGTGGTGGGCTGGTTAGTGCTTATCGATTGTATGGCTTAGTTGTTAGTATGTATTGGATGTTGATGAAGGGGTGAATTTTGTTTATTATGGAGTTGATTGTGCAAATGGATGTACAGTAAGATGCTCAGGATTGATGAGGGATGAAGCTTTTCGATTTGGATTATTTGAAAGATCGATAATTGTCGAAGGGGTATGAATGGGTTGGTTTCCACTGGCGAGGATGATATACTCGGTATTGACTATTGAGTATGGGATGGATGGAAGTAGTAGTAGTAGTAGTAGTAGTAGTAGTAGTAGTAGTAGTAGTAGTAGTAGAAGAACAAGGATGGAGTCACGGGACCACGCACAGCAGTCGTGTCACTCTCCGACCGTCAAATCCAACAGGTTTGTTTACCTTTCTCTCCTTCAGGTAGTTTCATCTCCTCACAATCAGCCCCATTGTTATTGTTATTGTTATGGTCATTGCATTATGCCTGCCACCTGCTCACCACGCCATCATCACAATGACAACACATACATACATGATTCTAGATCCGGACCAGCAGGATTCAAATCCCCCCCCGCTCTCAGTGTGACATCACCTGGACATCCCACATCAAGACTGGATGGACTGGACTGGATTAGAAACAACCGGTTTCACATTTCGCGCCGCCAACAAATATAGTTTCATGGAGAGCAGGGCAGGGGGCTTTCCATTCTCCAATTAGATTGCTGGTTGCTCGGTGTACCCCGCACCGAGTCTCGGTATTTAGTAACTTGTTCATGGATGACTGCCAAGCGGATTGGGTAGACACTGGTTGAACGAGGATGCTATTTGAGTATCTGTGAGAAAATCACGGATCGCTGGTATCAATTGATTGAGAAACCGAAGAGGGACTCCTATCTACGATGTACACTCCAATCTGTCCGTCGGTCAATCTGCGGTCTCAGTCACGTCACGGCGGCTCCTGCGAAGGATCACAATCCCTGTCGCATCCTCCTCGTCTCTTCCCCACTCCGCGATCGGGCGCCCCGAGATACGACCGTACTAGTAGAGTCCGGCGCCTACGATGGATTCTGCCCAGCCAGCCTGGACTCCGTCCCCGATCGCATGTTGTGGGTGATCGCACGGTGATGACCCGCCGCGAGAATCGCATGCGCTGGTGGACACGGTGGACCACCATCCAAACAAGAGAGCGATCATCAGTGCTGTGCCAGCCAAGATCATCTGCGTAATACCGACGGAAGAATGACGGCATCTGCCCGGGCGCGTAGGATCAGGCTGCAGATAGGCTGGCAGCTAGTTTGGCGCCAGCGGCACTAGACTAAGGTCGAGACCCGAGTGGGATCTCGCCAACTCAGGCCCATCCCCATTTGTGGCGGAGCTGAGATGAATATTGAATTGTCGGGGGAAAAAAAAGAGGCGGTTCCATCTACTCCGTAGTGGGAAGGATAAGATAATGCAAACTAACTACTCCGTACTATGGGGCGTGTAAGCCGCGATCGCCTGGAGCTCCGAGCTGAATGAATGCCCAGGCCAGCTCGGCCGGCGTCGACTCGAACTAGCTTCCTAGTTCTGGCCAGTCGTGGCGGTGATTGAACTAAGATGCGGATCCTCTTCTTCATCTTGGAAATGGAAAACCGAGGGCTGGCGCCGTGCTCGGCCACACACGTGCAGATGGATGTGAGGCTCGGTCATTCTGACTCAAGATGTGCGATCGAGCGAGAGCCGATCGATCAGCCTCAGCGAGACGCGAGCCATTTGCTCCATCTAACTAGTACCTACGTACGGGGAGTCGTACGGTCATTGTCCGACTGGACCCAGTTTCCCACTTGCTCTGTTGGCCAACGTGAGGGTGACGTTGCGGTTTTGTCCGGATCAAACGGAAGTCCGAACAAACCTGCCTTTCGTCGAACGAACGGGTTTGTCGAAGGAAGGTGGAGAGACCGATCGGTCCAATGCGGGGCCTAACAATCATGATCAAGAAAGGATGAACAATCGTATCAAGAAGGGATTAATATTCCATTTCAGGTCTTCAGCAGAAAGGGCATTTGAAAGGGATATCCTCCCTAGCTAGGAGTGATGGTTCTATCCAGGTAAGGGCAGCGATGCATGCATGTCTGGGGAACAGCGCAGCGGGAGGACAGTGCTCAACAATGTCGGTAGACGGCCTTGGAACTCGAGCAACCATCTAAATTAAGTCGCCCAGAGGAGGAAACTCGTGGAAAGAAAGGCTATCACCGTCCATCGCCGTCGATCCGAAATCGTAGGCGAAGATAAACGAGAGTCCTGACCCGTACAAAGCCATGTCCATAATTCGGCACCTAGGGCATGTGTGGGCGGGTCCCAGCTGTTCAGCAGAGATTACTGGATTGGGTTATACCAGTGCCTATCCAGGATCGGAACTAGTTTCCTTTGGCAACGATGCCTTGATTTCTGGGGATACCTGAAGTAGGTATGTGGTTGTTGGTTATGTGGGATGGGGTCGTGAATGAAGGGTGTCCTCCGTCCTCCATACGGATACAGGTTCGGGCATCGGGGATTTTATATCCCAGGTTTGAAAGGCAGTAAGGAAAGCAGGCCGGGGTGAAACCGTACCTTACGGATGACACTTTTTTTTTTTTCTTTTCTTTTCTTCTTTCGTTTTATTTCGTTCTTGATTCTCGTTCCCTGGGACACCAATACCGGACAAGCTCTTTTTCCCGACTTGGTGGAGTCGGTGGAGATTCTTATTAGATGCGATCTGTATTTTTTCATCTTTTTATGAGAGGATGATAGGTCGTTTGCTGGAACAGGACAAGAACAATCGGCACACACGGAAGATATTCTATATTATTGGTTTTATCTTATTTCATTTTCTCTTCCAGTATTATCTTATTGTATTTTATGTATTTCAATCCGTGATGATTTCTGTCATTATTCCGGTTGAAAGGTTCAACCTCAACTCCGGCACCAGGGTCAATATGAGTCTATTCCAATTGGAGAAGGGATGTATCAACCTCGCATATGCCAGGAGAGTCAGTTGGACGACGAGTGGACTGAACGGAATTTCCTCGGATCCAGCGGTGACTTGGTTTCCATAGCAGACGGTGAACCGGTCAGAAATACCTGTATATCATTGATTGAAATAAAGATGTCAGTAACCGGAACGACAGGAATGACGAACGAATCAGGTAAAGAGCCAGAACAAGAAGGAAAAAAAGAAGTCGACAGGCACGATGGAGACTGATCCCCAGCGTGATAGGCGAAGGGTTGCTGAGCAGCGAGGTTAGCGTTGGTGAGGGCGGCAAGGGAGTCCGGGCAACGGAACTGGTACCTGCTTGACTTAGTGGTTTGCTGCATGGAGGAGGTACCTTTCTGTCTGTACTGTACCTGTAGTATTTGTACCATACCGTATTGCTTCATTTGATAGAATATCGAAGAATATACCCAAGTTGGTCTCGATCGGGTCAATTCATCTAGTATTCATTTATTATTATTTACTGATGCATTCTCGTCTCTCGTTTCAATATTTCCAAATCAACTAACATCAGGGTTGAATCAATAGTGCTTCCGATTCTGCAGTCGAGATCTGTAAACCACATACCCGGGTACTACTATACAACATACACCATCCATACGGGATCGCTTAAGCTCTTCTCGCAACCTGGAGATCCCTCCCCACTTTGGCGTTGCCATTGCAACAAGCTCATCCCTTCAGCTTCACCTTTTCTGTCTCGCCTTCCTTTCTTTCTTTCTCTTCTCTCTTCCTCTTCTCTCTCGCGAATCCATTCTCCTCATCTTCTTTAAGACCTCGCCTCCCGCTTCATTCATGCTGGGTGTCTAGATCTTCTTCCGACTTGCACCCAGCCCGGTTCCTCCGCAGTCCTCTCTTCGCATCGGTAATTTCTCCTCCAATGCATTAGCGTCTACAGCCCTGCTGCTCGCTGCTCTCCCCTACTCATTGCTTGCTGCACCTGATTATTTGCTGCAACGGACGGAGGTCGTAAGAGTTGGGACCACTGGCTAATCATCCCGTTGATCTTAGTAGCCCCTCCCTCTGCCCCCTCTACCTCTCCTCCTACCTCTCCCCGTTCGTGGATAAACCTGATATCGACCATTTCCCTCAAAGCGCCGGTCATGGTGCCTTAGACGCCGGTTCCCCGCTCCGTCATCTCTCTCCCCCTCACCTTCTCCACTCGAAATCCGCCCCAGACGGAGACCGGCATTTTAGAAGCCCTCTCCGCACCGAGGAAGTCTGGGTCTCAACACTCGGCGCTTGGAATCCTCCAGACGGAGAGAGAACGAGAAAGAGAGAGAGAGAGAGAGAGAGAGAGAGAGATTCCTGAGAGAGGCCGATTCTTCAGCTGCGAGCGTGCATCCTCCCCGTGAACTCAAAAAGAGTCCCCTGCATATCGGCCACTGTAGCATATGCCAGATAGATAGCTGCAACATCGCAATATTCTGCTCGTGCCTTGCATCACTGGTTCATTGCGTTCATCGGCCGGGAAATTAATCCAGGCCACCGATCATCTCATCCACCATGGAACACTCCTCCCCACTGGCCGCCATGCAGCCGCCCTCCATGCTCTTTGGCCACTGCTTCCGTCCCGACGCCCCGACGTCGTATCCGACTTATAGTCCCATGGGCGGCCTCGGTTCCAGCCACTTCAACTTCAAAGACTTGTCCATGAAGAGACCCTCCGCCGACTACTTTGATGTGAAACCGGTTCGGGGTTCCTCTCCAACGGCCAGTCTGGCGGCCGACTTGTCTCAGAATTTCCACATCGATCAAAGGTTTGTCATTGTCCCCGTGCCTGGCTGTGCGCGAAGACTTCCTTTGTCCGCTTCATGGACATCATCTCTGAAAGACCCCGCGCTGACCAAAACTAGCCCCCAACTGGCTACGCCACGACGGTCTTTGTTCTCCTCGAATCTGTTTGGGCATGGCAACATGCGTGGTAAGATCCCGAGAGCGACCTCGATCGACCTCGCCGGCCGCGGGCTAACCCGTATATATAGAAGAGCCGATGACCACCCCTCCGCTCCCCTCATCCTCACCAGCCCCAGGAATGGACGTCATGGACATGTCCCCGCTACCCCACAAGCCATCCTTCAACGCCCCCGACGTCGAGATCCACTCCCCGACGTTGGATTGTTCGCCCATGGACACTCCCGTCCGACCGTCCTTCTCCGCCCTGCAGGATTCGCCCTTGGTGGCCCAGAAAGATGGTCTAGAGTAAGAGAACACCTGGCTGGAAAAAAGGAAGACGTGTGGGCATGGGTCTAATTGCGTGTACGTGCAGGAGGAAGCGTCCGACGTTCTTGCGCCCCTCGTTGGCCAAGACTAAAGCCCAGTCGTTTCAACTGGGCATGTCGAAACCGGCCCCCGAGAGCCAAGCGCCCCCCTTCCGGTTTCAGAGCCGCGGGGCCGCCAAATCCTCCCTCAGCACGTCCGCGTCCCTCGAGGACATGTTCCACGAATCCCCACAGCGCGAGCGGCCCATGTTGCGGAACCACTCCTCCAGCGGTTTGGTCGCCCACGGACGGCTGCGACCGCCCTTGAGTCGCGAGAGCAGCCATCGCGGCAACGCCTCGCCCTCTGCCGCGTCCATCCGCAAAAGCTCCCACCCTCTGATGCGCCCCCGCAAGAACCAGTGCCGCCGGTCCTTGAGTATGTTTGAGAGCCCCGACGAAGTGATGACCCCAAAACAGGCTAGTTATTCTACAAATGCACCCCTACAATCGATCAGCGATATCGATAGTTCCCCTAGCCAACAGCTGCCGCACTCGATCCCGGAGGACCAGTCTGATTCCCTGCCGCGGATCAGCCAGGGTACTCTGGTGGAGGTGATGGACGGCAAGTACAACGACCGGTTCGACAACGTCATGGTGATCGACTGCCGGTTCGAGTACGAGTACGAGGGAGGTCACATCAACGGGGCGGTCAACTACAACGACAAGGAGTATCTGGCCGCACAATTGTTCACCAGTCCCAAACCGCGCACGGCGCTCATCCTGCACTGCGAGTATTCGGCGCACCGCGCGCCCATCATGGCCAAATTCATCCGGCACCAGGATCGCGCCTTCAACGTGGACCACTATCCCTATTTGACGTATCCCGACCTCTACATCCTGGAGGGTGGGTACAGCGCGTTCTTTTCGGAGCATCGATCCCTGTGTTATCCCCAGAACTACGTCGAGATGAACGCCAAGGAGTTCGAACACGCCTGCGAGCGCGGCCTCGGCAAGGTCAAGCAGCGATCAAAGTTGATCCGTGCGCAGACCTTTGCCTTTGGCCAACAGTCCCCGGAGATGGAGGACAGTCCGACCGGCCGGTGCCGGAATCCCCCCAGCGACCGCCGTCTGCTGGGATCACCGTTTATTGAAAGCCCGGCGGCAGGTCGCAGCCCAGGACGGCGCATGCTTTCTTATTGAGCCACCGATCTGGTGATGTAGGATGTCCCGGGCGTGACCCTACTTAGACCCACCGCCGTTTTCACCAGTCGGGCGATGAACAGAGCTCCATTTTTCGAAACACTCGTGGGAACTGGAACCCAACCGCGCCTACCAGAAGCGCAGGCCCGCCCCAGTCCCTTCCACTCGCTTGACACTTTCGGATTTGTGTTTTATTTCCCTTTTGTTTTCGGTTGGCTGGATGAGATTTCCATATTTTGACGACACGACAAAGAACGCGCCTCCCTTGGAGAGGACGCATCGAATTTACGACGGGGAAGAACCCGACCTAACGACCCCCAGCCACTCTCTCAACCCTATTTTTTTCCTATGTTTTGAAACGAGTTTCCTACGTGATTCTTCTCCGGCCTCGATCGGACGATTTACGATACCTGGGCATCTGGCCTTCCCTTTCTTGGAATTTTCCCCTTTCCCTTTTTTCTATTTTCCCCTACCGTCTTTTAATCCACGCTCCCCCCTTTCTGTACACCTCTGCGAGGGAGAAGAGTCCTGCCGTACGAAGTACATACGTGTACGGCTCGTCGAATCGACGATAATCACCATGTGTGCGTGGCAGCGGGTTTCGAAGCTATTGCTGGACCGTCTGATAGAGACGGTTTAATATGCCTCAGTGTCCGCGCAACCCTGTACATAGAACCGCCATGGTTGTCCCGACGTGGGAGACTGGAGCAAGACCTTTCCTTTGTTGGAATGGATATGAATTCAACTTTGGACATTTCACTTTGTTCTAGTAGATCAACTTTTGACCTCCAACTAGAGTAGATCGCAGCTTAGTAAAACGCGCTTATCGCCGATAAGCTATCCACAGCCTGAGGCATCATCCTTCTCCGCTTTCTCCGCCGAATTTCTTTGATTTTCGCGATTCTCGATCTCCACCTCGTTCATTCCCATCCATGCAATCCATGCAGACATCCCACCATGGACATCGATGACATCCTCGCCTCGGTCGACCAGCCCGATGCTTCCACCCCCCAATCCACAGCCCTCGACCACCAGCTCCTCACCCGCTTCTGGATCGCCGAGCGCGGCGTCTCGGAGCTACTACCATGGCCGGCTGGCCTAATGGATCGGACTATGGAACGAGTCCGACGACAGGTTGTCTTCAATTACAATCATGATTACTATTCTCCAGAGTCTGACACTATGTGACACAGATCGAATCAATCGAAGACCTCGCCGCCTCCTCCTCAGACCCTTACTCCACCACAAACAGCAACAGCAACAGCAATAACAACCCCACCCTCAACCTCAAGCTCTCCATCCTCCAAACAGACCTCTCCAGAACCCAATACCTCGTCCGCTCTCTCCTCCGCCACCGTCTCTCCAAACTCTCAAAACACAGCATGTACTACCTGCTCCTCGTCTCGCCCGGTCCTTCCCCATCCTCCCCTCAAGACGACAACGAAATCGATGACCCCCACCCGCAGGACTCCATCCCGCCTCTCCCCTCAACCCCCTCAAACCCAGATAGTGCCGCGCCGCTCTCCCCGCAAGAACTCACCTTCCTCCACGCGCACCAATCCCTCCTCGCCAAACACTACGCTTCGTCTTTCCTGTCTTCCTTCCCGCCCCAGCTCCGCAGGTTGGATGACAATGCGGGCGGTACGAGTATGGTGCAGGCGCCTGAGACGAAGGAGGTTGTTTTCGTGAGGTGTCTTGTGGATGGGGTGCGTGTTGTGGTCCCTGCTGCTGATGGGGGCGAGGATGATATCTATGCGACGGCTATGCATGTTGGGGATGTGGCTGTTGTTAGGTGGGAGGGGGTGAGGGATGCTTGGGGGAGGGGGGAGGTCGAGGTTTTATAATGTTTCTTTTGGACTTTTTTTGGCTTTTATATATCCTATATCCATTGATTTACCTATTTGTTTTGAGTTCTTATATATTTATTTGGTTGGGGTTGGGTGTTTGCCTGTGTATGGTGCTAAAGTATGGTTTATATATAGTATACCTACCACTTGTATAGAGTTCAATAGACTTGGCTTTACTTATTACGGAGTACTACCTACTCAAACACCTCATGTACATCCTACTGAAAATCAATACGTGAAGTCTCATAATCATTCATCTGCATCCCTAGATAAAAAGCCCATCAAAAAAAAGAAAAAAGAAATCAAAGAAATCCAACACCCCATAGTGAATCCCTACCCTACCTGCGCCCTCCCTCACCGCTAAATTCAATTCAACCCAGAACCCCGCGCCCAAATAAGATAAATACGCCAAAGAGGTAGAAAGTGGTCGGAACTTGACAAAAAATAGACATGTAGAAAAGTTGGAAAGATGATGATGAAGGAAAGAAAAAGAAGATGGTAAATCAAGCGATATATCCATACGTTGGGGGATCTTCACCCACTCGCTCGAGATACTCCCGGTCGATCAAGCTTTCAATCCGTCGCTTGATCATGTTCACGTCAGGGACGAAGCGGGAGGAGAGTTGTCCGAGGACTTCGCTCATGAGTTTTGAGTGGGGGAGGGTTTTGCGTTGTCTGGTGGTTTGTTAGTTAGTTATAAATTGCTTTGGGGGCGGAGGGTGTTTTTCTAAAGGGAAATGGGAAGGAAGGGGACATACTTCATGATTCGAACAACAGCAGCTTCAATACTAGCCCCCCGCTCCTCGTTCATCTTCTTCTCCGTCTCCTTGCGCTGATCGTTGTTCTCGACTTTGTTGGCGCTGCCGCTGACGACGCCAATACGGACCTTCGTGAACGGGCTCTGGAATTCGTGGTTGAAGAAGAAGCGGTCGGTGGGCTTCACCTCGCGGCTCATGGGGTCCTTCTTGAGGACTCGTGTCTTGGGCGCCACGGCTAGGGATTGCAGGTTGCGGATGAGATCGTGGTCCGGGATGCGCGTGCGGCTCTGGATTTCTGCAAAGGTGAGCGATTCGCCTGGCGCGACGTCGTTGAAGAGCATGAGGATGATCATCGCGTAGGTGGACACGTTGAGCTCGTGGCGCTGGGTCTTGCCGTTCGGGCGCTGGAAGGTCGCTCGGATGTCAACTGTGCCCATGCTGGCTTGCCAGGAGAGTTTGCGGCCGCTGTGTTTGCTGAGGTAGAATTGCTCAAAGCTTTGCTTGACGGATTCGACTTCGCGGGGGAATACGCAGGAGAGTTGCACTTCGTCGCGGGTGTTGGACATGATTTCCATGGGCCACATTGTGCTCGTGAGCACGTTGATCTCGAGGTCGACGGGTTTGCTGTCCTGGCTGGCGCTCTTGCGGATGTGGTCTTTGTAGTTGGAGGTTAGGTCCTCTGAGATGGTCATGTCTTTGAACATGGATTCAAGACGCTGCGTGAATTGGTTGCCGACTTCCATTTTCATCTTTGAGATCATCTGTCGCTCGGCGTCCATGCTGGCGGAGCGTTTCATTAGCAGACGGCGGGAGAGGTGCTTCTTGTAGTAGGCTTCGAAGAGGTCTTTGTCTTTGATGTAGCGCAGGAGGGTGATGCCGTTGTCGAGGAGGGCGTCGACTTCGCTGTCGGTCTTGCCCTTGATGCCCTTTTTCAGGTTTTCGTCGAAGAATAGGGAGAGGTGTTCGGAGCTGCGCGGGTTCGAGTTGATGAAGTCTGAGAAACTGGTCGTGATGGCGCTCTGCATCACCTGGTCCGACATGAAGGAGTCCACCCAAATGGCGTCGAACTTCTTCTTGAGAGCCAGGATGTCGTCCACCCATTTGATCGCCGACGTGGTCTGCTGGTTCATCGGCTTCTCCTTCTCTTTGGCTGCTTTCTTGTCTGTTGGTTCCGGAGCCGGGGCCGGGGCGGTGGCTAAGGTGTTGATTTCCTGGCCCATGTCGACGATGCACTTTTGAACGACCGCGGTCAAGGGCGCCTTCTTGCTGTCCACCCGTGAGCTGAGGACGTACACACTGCGTAGGATATCCAGACGGTCTTGATCGAGCATATTCCGGACCCCGGTTCCCTCGAGATTGACGACTTCGGCGATGTTCCGCTTGATGAGCTCGTTGTCCAGGACCTCCTTGATTTTAGATTCCGACAGCGTCGACAGCGTCGAAGCGCAGCGCTCTTTTTCCTCCGTGATCCGTTCCATCGCTACCTTGCAGAATGTCGCCGCGTCGGCCGATTCCACCAGACGCTGGCCCTCCTTTTGGTAAAATGTCTTACTGGCCTCGAGGAATGCCGGTTCGAAACTGGTCAGGTAGAGCTTGGATGACTCCTCTTCGGTGATGGTCTCATAAAGTCCCTCGAGCATGTAAATGCAGTGCCGTATCAGCGGCCTCTCGATGATCTGGCCGGATCTCTCCAACTGGACCAGAAAGAGAACCGTCGACTCCAGTACATCGGCCACCGTCGTCTTCGTGTCAGGACGGACCGGAGACCGTAGCACGATATCTCGAAACAAAGCCATGGACGCAACATAGATTGATGGTTTTCGGTGATCCGCCACGACTACGCGATCCTACGGAGAGAAAGTCAACGGAGTCCGGCGGGCTGCGGGTCGTCTGCCCACAGGACAATCGATACGTACCATGTACATCAGAACATCGGTAATCATTCCCATGGAGAGCTGATGGTCTTCCCATGTTTCCCGCAAGACGGCCAAAAACCTCTCTCCCGCCGCTCGCCGTTCATTTGCCTGGTCTTGGATATCCAGCGCATCTTGGGCAAACAAAAGACTGGGCGAGATGGCGGCATTCACCCAGCTCCGAACCTCCGTTTCCAGCCATTCCCGCTCCAGTTGTTTCACCCGTTCGTAGAGGTCGTGACCCCGCATGGTCACGATGATGTTGTAGGCATTTCGGTAGAGTTGTTCGAAGGAGAGATCGGAGGCATCTTTCGTGTGGATCCTCTTTAACGAGCCCGATAAGGCTTGCCAGTTCGCCTCGAAATCGTCCCCTTTACTCGATGCGAGACCCTGCTCATGTTGGTCAGCTGTTGAGCTCGGTAGGGGACATCGTCAAAGGTTTGGTGGAGTGACAGGTGGCGAACGCGGGGTTGCCTGAAATACGGCAAGAGACCATCAGGACAAAGAGACTATGCACACATACCTTCCGTGGAGCACGGATCTTTTGTCTTGCTCTCATCGCCATTTTCGACAGCTCTGGCAAACGGCCATTCACTGATTCACAGCTGGGTAGCAATGCGCGGGGTATAGCGAGTCTGGAGAGATAGATACACAGAACAAAGACCTGAAGTCAAGGAGGGATGAGAGGATGAAGGAAGAATAGGGAGCACTGGCAGAACTCCAGCAACACCAAGCAAAAAACAGTGAAATGGAGAAGACAAGTGAAGGAGAAAGAGAGATGAAGATGAATTGATTGTTTGGTTTGATCCCGCGGAGAGACGCCCGGATCAAGGTAAGTCCGGCGCAATCGAGATTCTGCCGTCATTCTTACTCTTCATCTTCATCATCTTCTTCATCTCTCTGTCTCCTTCTACTTCTACATCTACTTCACCTATTTCTATATCATCCACATCATGCGCCCCGCAATGCCCCTCTCCCAAGGCCTCCGCCTCATCTCTTCTCTCCCCCGATCCGCCATCTCCCGCAACGCCGCACGACCTCTCTCCCACCTCGCCTTCCGCTCCCTTCGACCCTCCCCAGTCCCATCCCAACGACCAGCCACAAGAATCACCATCCCCTCAATCGGCAGCGTCCGCACCAACTCCTCCTCTCCCTCCTCCTCATCCGAGACCGGCGACCGACCCCTGACAGACCGCACCAACGACCCCGCCACCGACGCTGAACACGAGCAAGCAAACCGCCAGCGTCGAGAACAGGAACCCGCCTACCAGATCACCTTCACCTGCAAGCCATGCAACGAGCGCTCTTCGCACCGCATGTCCAAGCACGGCTACCACCGCGGCACGGTTCTCATCCGGTGTCCGACGTGCCGCAGCCGCCACGTCATCAGCGATCACCTCAATATCTTCCTCGATCAGAAGAGTACCCTCGACGATATCTTGGCGAAGCAGGGCGATAAGTTGACGAGGGGCTATGTGGAGGGCGATATGGAGTTCTGGGATGATGGGTCGTCTACGCCGAGGTCGCAGTCTGAGACTGAGTCGGAAGGCTCGTCTGGGTCGTCGGATGGACAGGGCAAGCTGGGTTGATTTGATTTCTTTGATGGTTGGGTTCTGTTTGGACTTGGACCGTACTCGGTTGGTGGTCCTGGCGTTTGGTCGATCTTGCTGTCGTCGTTAGCGCTATAGAAGGGTTTGCCTGCGATGTTGATACTGGGGATGGATGCCTAAGCGCTCGAATCGTGATATGATGACTTTGGGGCGTTATATACATGGCTCTCAAAATTTGGTTTGGAGATCGGCGATCAACCTTTACACTTCTCCGTGACTTCTGTACTATAGACAACTCTCTATTCATGTGGATATATACTCTGTACAAAAAAAATCAAATCTATCTCCCCCCTCCAACGCCAACTTTTGGACAACCCAGCGCAGCACAATGCATGACATGAGACGAAATGGAATCAAACAAAACAAGAATAAAGAAGTGAAAAAAGACAAAGAAATATAGTGTTCACCACCCACGTCTCTTCCCCCGATGTTCCATCCCGCGCTCCCTCCTCTTATCATGCTTGCGATCATTCCTCCGCTTCTTCTCCCGCTCGTACTTGACAGGCTCAGTAACGGCCTCAATCCGCCTCTTGACGCGTCTACCCTCGCGCCTCTCCTTGATAGCGTCTTGCACGAGAGTCATCTGCTCGATGTACACGGTCGTGCCCAGCTTCTTCTGGAGCAGATCGAGCACCTCGTGGCAGTTGGACACGAGCGCCTTGTAAGAGTCGCGGAAGGTCTCGTCCGACGACCGCGGAGGCGGGATCGACGCGTCGGTCATGTGCTGCAGCGGGAGTAAGATGACAGGCAGCGAGGGATGGATCTGCTCCGCTTCCAGGTGGCGGATGAGTGCCGCCAGCAGACCGATTGAGGCGGTCTTGGGCACGAGAGACCCTGCTCTCGTGGTGAGCAGCTCGCGGCGCAGGATCGACGACACCTGCTCGAAGATGTACCGCAGGCCGGACTTGGTGGGGCTTTGGTCCTTGGCTGCTGGTGTTGGGCCGGTTTCTTCGTTGCCGTCGTTGCGCTCGTCGTTGTCCTCGTCTTCGCTTTCGTCGATCTCGGCCTCTTGCGTGTGCCCGCGGGAGAGCTCGAGCCCGTTCTGCGCGCAGCACCGCGCGAGGAAGATGATGTTGCGGACGGATTGGGTGGCGAGCTCCTCGCTGACGGCTGGGGTGCGCAGGCAGCGGAGACTCGCGCGGATCAGCTGCACCATCGCTGCCCTGTCCATGGCGAGCCCCGTGCTACCGGTGAGAGGCAGCGCGCTGTAGCCCTTCTCGGCGTTCGCCTTGGCCAAGTCGGCGAGCCAGATGCCGGCGAGGTTGGCGGCGCACGTCTTGACCCAGGCGTGCGGGTAGAAGAGACACTCGCGGATGGCAGCCCACATTGCGGTTTGGTCCTTGGCCAGCGCGATCGCGGGCAGGCTCTTGGAGAGCTTCAGGTAGAGCTGGAGGGAGAAGTAGAGCGTCTGCCAGTTTTCGGTGTCGTCGGATTGCTGCAGCACGGGCTGCATGAGATCAGGGAGGACTCCCGTCACGAAACGGCCTTCTTTCTCCTTGCCTGTTATGTCAGCGTCGAAGTAGATCCGCATGGCCTGCAGGCCGGTGGTGGTCAGGAGAAGATTGTCGGTTTGTTCCAGCCACGAGCGGAGGGGCGTGAGGATGGTCTTCAGCTGCTCCCTGTCGGCGCGGCTGTACATCTCGCCCAGCAAGGCGCCTGCCATCTCTCTACACTCGGTGGATTCGTCGTTGGACATGACCATGATGATAGGGAGGAAGAACGTTCCGACAATGTCTTGGGCCAGCTCGGGCCCGGTCTTGGCGAGGAGTTGGTTGATTGCCTCCATGACCGACTGGCGACCGTCCGCGTGCTTGTACTCGAGGTTCTTGGCCAGGAAGCCAAGCTGCTTCGCCCACCGGCTTTTAGCCTGAGGGTACTCGATCAGGAAGTGGATGTACACGCCACGGGCGAGATCACGCGCGGACCGGGTCTGGTTCGTGACCATCATGCTGGCGATGTGGTCGACCAGCTCGTACATCTCCGGCACCACGAACTTCCTGGCCATGACGGCTCGGATGAAGTTGAAGGTGATGCCTTGACGGTCCGGCTCTTCGATGTCGGCGGTGAGACGCTGAAGCAGGTACGCAAGATGTCCATCGCGCAGCTTGGTGTTCTTCCTTTCTCGCAGCAGAGCCGAAATCAGCTTCAACGCCGCCTGGCTGCCTTCGGTGTTTGTGCTCGGCGCCTCCTTGACGATCTTGACGGCCTCAGTGAAGTAGACGTGGGAGTTGTTATCGATCTCGGCTAACGGAAGCTTGACGATGGTGGACAACAGTCGAAGCGCAGATAACTTCACCTCCTCTTGAGACTGAACCAGCGAGTCACCAATGATCGGGAGGAACCCAGTCAGATTATTGGGCGTGAGCAGGGAATCGAACTTGTTCAGGGTCGAGCGCAAGACATCAAGAGCGAAGCGCGTCAATTTGTGCACGTAAGACGAGGTGGTCCCGCGCTTCTCACCCCGCTTCGGGGCTTTGAGGTTGATGAGGAAGTTCTTCTGCATTGCACTTTCGGGTCCCTTCTTCTGTCCGGTTTCTGCCGGCGGCTGATACGACTCCTTGATCACCTCATAGCAGAAGATCAAGAGATCGCGGCTTTCCGCAGCGGGGTTCCGGAGAAGACCGATGCCGATTCTCCGCAGGAGCTCGTCTACCTTTCTCACGATAACGGAGTTGAGCTTCTCTCTCAGCAGTGACTGGAGAGGGCGAATCAGCTTCGCCAGGTTCGGGATGGAGGAGTTCTTCGCTAGCAATTCCATGGAGTCGTAGCTCTTATTACTCTTGACCTCCTTCATCTTGCTGACGTAGTCCTCGGCGTCCTTCTCTTGGCCGACGGTGCCGAAGGTGTCATCCATGACTACTCCGCACAGGTCCGAGAGACAGTAATCCAGATCCCCTTGCGCGAACTCATCGGCCGTCACCACAAGGATCGAATGCACAGTGAAGGACAGCACGTGCAGCTGGTAGCCTTTCGTGAGCGTGGTCCGCAGCTCTTTCAGTATATAGCCGAAATAACCCGGCCCCAGCAGAAGGGAAATATCACTCAGCGTTTTCCGGGCAGTATCCCGGGCATCCTGGGACCGACTCTTGAGGATATTGCACACATCCAGGAGGACCTGCGGCAGACGAACGGTCATGTCTTGCTCCGGCAACAGCTTCAGAAGCTTGACTGTGGTAATCGACGCCGGCAAACGCAGACTCATCTGCGCTTCATTCTTGTGATGGATGAAGCTGATCAAGAACGGCGTAAAGTTGGTCGTCAACTCGGTATTCAGCTTGGGGCCCGACGGCAATGACCGGGCGAGAGCGCATCGCGGACCTTCGGCCTCGATACCCTCCATGCCATCTCCGTCCGTCTCCTTGGGCTTCCTCGCTTGTCCCACGGCATTTGTCAGCGCATCCGCCATTCTGCCCAGAAGTCTCAAGATGTTCCTTTCCATCTCAGACCTGCTGGTCATGTAAGCGCGGTATCTCCGGAAGATAGCCCTGAACTGGTTCCAGTCCAACCACTCGGCAAGGGCCCCGATCGTAGCCACTGCCTCTGCGATGAGGTTGTGGGCATTCTCATCGACGTCCTCGTCAAAGACAAAATGCTCGTTGAGGGGAATAAAGATCGTGCTGATGTTTGTAGCCTGGAGTTTGCCTTTCGCCGCTTCGGCAGCCAGACGGCGCAATGCACGAAGCCGGCGATGCTGCTGTACATGAAGGATGTTGGTGAAGAACGAGGCCTCCTCATCATCACCGACAAGAAGCCCGTGCATGTCCTGCACAATTGGCATGGTGGGGTTCAGTTTGACGAAGAACCCGAGCGCGGACACGAATTCGGTCCGCACCAACTCCGACTTCTGCCTGATGCCGCTCTGCAGAGAGGGGAAGAGCACGTCCTGAACAAGAGGAGAGAATGCTTCCGAGTCCTTGTCCATGGCAGCCCTTTCAATGAATCGCCGCAGGCCATACGAAGCACTCGTTCGGATGGCAAGCTCCTCGTCATCCTTGGTGTGGAACAACATGTTGTAGAGCAGAGGCTGCCACTGCTTGGCGTTGTATGTCTCCCAGAGACTGTCGTTCACTTGGCGGAAGGCTTGCTGGCGGCGCTCATAATCTGCCTCCAGTCTCTTTCTGGACACGGAATTCAGGTCCTCACAAAGAGCGGCAACTTCAAGGAGCGCAGGATCATGCTTCGCGTAAGCCGAGAACACCCTGGACAGCACTTCTCTGTTCGCGTCATCCCTGAAGTAATCAAACATCGAGCATATCGCACCGTACACCTCCTGTGCAAGTTCGGCATCCTCTTTCGGGTCGAACAGGGGCAGGAAGTGCTCGAGAATACGCAGCAACCCGGCTTTCGTTTTAGGAGACACGCGATCCGCAGGTTGACGGAGAAGGTAATTGGTGATACTGATCAAGCTCGATGTTTCACTCGAGGACTCAACACAGGGGGCAAGGATGGACAGCGTTTGCACGCCCGAAATCAGCACAGGACGAGAGGGGCCGCGTCTGAGGAGACGGCTCAGGAGAGAAAGGGTGTGCTCCATGTAGGGCGCCAGAACTTCAGAGCGGATCTCATCGGCGGCAAAGTCACCCATCTGTTCCTTTTCTTCGAGTTCCTTGCCAGTAGCGAGATTAACCAGGGGAGTCAGAATCTCGTCCAGAACGTAGACTTTGACCTCGTCCCGAGCGGAATCCACCCCAAGAAGGTCCATCACCCTCGTTAAAAGAGTTTCGTTATATTTCACGAGATAGAACGATGACCGAGGAGCCGTGGCCCAGGTGTGGAACAGCTTGAGAAGCCCCGACACGCCTTGGGCATTCTCCGTCGCGAACTTCTCGAGCCTGGGGTTAATTACGTCGTTGAAGATAACACGAACATGGCTTGTCCAGTCTCGGTCCAGCGAGATGGAGAATATAAGGTCGAGGCATCGGATGCAGGTGTGTCGGATATTGCGTAGCACCGTGATAATGTGGCCCTCCGATGACTCGCCGTTGATGGTCGCTTGTTCCTTCTCCAGATTCCGGCATGCCCGGACCAGACAGTAGAGCACCACACCCAGGGACTGTTCCACGTATGGACTCATTCTCGTTTGCAGTGTGTCGAACACGGTCTCAATCATCTTCAACAGTCCAGTCTGTCTCCTCGGGCTCGCAAGATCCCGGGTGAACACTTCCTGGTCAACTTGTCCGTCTTGAACCACCCGGACATTGCCCAACGGTCCGAATGACACTTGCATGAAGATGCCGAACTCGTTATCAGGCAACTGGGAGAGTGTCCGCAGGATCGCCTTTCTTCGCCCAGTTTGTCCTGCTTGGCTATTATTCGCGCCAGCTTTGGAGATCATGCGGCCGTACAAGACACGGAGAAGGACAGGGATCAGCTCATCTCTATGGTTCTCGTCGATCATGCTGTCATTTCCGCCGACGCGGACGAACAAAGAAAGCTCGTCCTTGAACCGTGCCTCGTCCAGAATGTTCAGAAGATTTTCCTGGTAAGGCGTGATCTTCGGGGATTTCCAGGTGAAGAGAGCCTTGAGAGTAGTCTTTTGGATTTCGGAGTTACCATGGCACAGCAATCCAAGAAGGGCTTCGTGGACTTCGGGTGCCCTGAACAGAACTCGAGGGTTGAGGAATTGCCCCAGGAGCTTCAAGAAAGAAATCCGATCGTAGAAGCCCCAGGGAATATACGCACCGGAGTCAGACTTCTGGTCAGCCTCAGCGGGGACCTCGTCCTCATCGCGGAACGCCCACGAGAGAAAGAGGGGAATAACTTGACGAGATCTCTTCTCCGCAATGGCGGGGATAGCATTGAGGACGCGTAGGGCCTGAGTACGTGGAGAAGCCGGAACGACGGGCAAGAAGGTGTGGTCCTTCTCGAAATCGCGGATTAAGATCGATATAGGCTGTTCGGAGTCGCCAAAGTTCGTGGAGGAGAGTTCCTCCACCTTCTGGGAGTTGTAACACAGGAAGTCTCCTGCCGGGAAAAACTTTCTTTCGTCCTCCTTTCCGTCCTCGCTGGGAGGCAAGCCCTTCCCATGGAGCCACTCGATAGCCAACTCAGTGACTATCTTCTCGCCCTCGGCGTTTTCACTGATCGTCTTGAGAGCGGCGGCGGAATCATCCCACAAGGGGGCCATCTTCTTGGAGAAGAGGCCGAACAGGAAATTGGGGATGAGTCGAGTCATCCACCGCCGAGAGACAACTTGGGTGTACGCCATGGCAAGGTTGCGCACTTGCATTGACAATACTCGGGCGGACTGCAGCGTCAGGGGGCTTTCCTCCACCTCGATCGCCAAAGAGACGAGAGATGCATCTTCTCCAGAAGCTTCAATCATCACCCGCAGCATCTTCAATGAAGACAGCCGCAAAGAGTGAGAGGGACTGGCAAGGTTGGTGATCAAGACATCAGCAAACTCTTCTAGTTCAGGTCGTGCGAGGTCCAGCTCTTTGTGGCAGGTGGAGAGAAATGTCAAAGTAGCTTCCAGGAACCCACTCAAACGGGAATATCTGGCTGCGACTTTGCTGATTGGGACCCATAGACTTGCATCCACTTCTCCACTGTCCTTCGCCAACTCGGCGTAAGCCTGGAAACCGTGGCCGAGATAAAACTTGGTCGCAGGTGACGCGGTGGGCTCGTCGGTCTTCAAAGCGTCAGAAAGGCGGTCATGAAGGATACGAGTCATATCCGGAAGCAGAGACGGCTCAGTGGATAGCGACAACACGCGAGGGAGTCGAGAGTAGGCGTTGAGCAAAGCTACGTCGGCGTCGCCCGGGCTAGCGAGACTGAGCATGTCTTTGATGTGTGTCTTCCAAGGACCCGGGCAGGTGATGTAGCCAGGCTTCGAAAGCTCGGAGGTAACGCATCCGGACTGATTCAGTCGAATTAAAGCCAAACACAGCCCATGTTCGTATTCCTTCCATGAGGCGTTGACGAACTTCTGGAAGTAAGGGAGGACAACACTGTGGAATCTTTCAGGACCCCACTCGGAAAAAGTAGTACAGAACGACAGAAAGTGGGTCGTCAGCTGGTCACTGGTGACGGCTTCCATCAGGGGGCGCATGTATGGCAACATCTCATCCATCGGAGACAACTGGAGAGCGAATGCCATTGCGGTGAGAAGCAGGGGTATAGAGTCCGCATACGCATCCAAGGCGCCGACCGCCGTTTTGACCAGGAGCAGTGTAATCTGATGGACGGACCGCCAGTTCTTCACGCGTACTCCCTTCCGCGTAGATACACAGACAAAGATCAACCGGCAACATGCCGTTGCGTATTGTTTGTCGGCCTTTTTGCAGTTCGACTCGATATACGACTTGATGGTCTCCAAGATCGGCTCGAACGAGTCAGCGGTCGTCTCGTGGAGGATGTTGACGAGCACCCCGCTTGCGACCTCCAGCCTTAAGCTACTTCGCAGCTCGTCCTCGGAGTGAATATTGTCCAGGAGGCAGCGGAAGACATCCGTGGCGTTTGAATGGAGCCCTTCCTTGATGCCCTTCATGGCGTCCGAGAACATGGCCATGAGGCCTTCCTTGTATAGATCGACATTCTTCGAGTCGGCCGCTGTGTCGCACATGTCGTCGAGTAAGAACGATAGGGCATTCTGGAGAGGTGCGCGATTCTTGTAGTAGACGAGGGCCGCCTTGCGGATGAGGAAAGACATGGATTCAGCGGCAAACCGGGCCACAAACGCTTTCTGTCGCTCCTTTCCCAGATAGGGAGTCATGATCCCCAAAAGCTGTCGCAGATCGGGCACCAGAAGGCGCGACAAAAATTTGAAAATCCACGCCAGACAAGTGAAGCTCCATTCCACCACCTCGACCTCCGGGTGGGTAGCGGCGATGGATGCTACTAGAGTGACCGACGCGGCAAAATACTTCTCGAACCTGGTCCCCAGATCCCTAGCAAACTGCGAGAGCAGACTCAGCAGCGGCTCCATCGACAGGTGATCCCGTTTCTCGATATATTCCACCAGCAAACCCATAATCTTCTCCTCGTGATACAGGATCTGCGGCAAGCTCTCACACAGCGGGTGAACTTTGCGGGAGAATTGCGAATAATTGTCCGACAAGTTCAGCTCCGACCAGTGGTCAAAGGCTGACCGAAAATGAGACGCGGTCTCTCCATCTTCTTCTCCAAAACTCGGCCGGCGCACGCGGTGGACAGGGTCGATCTTCAACTTTGCGACTCGCTGGGAAAACGGCTCGAATCGATGCGACTTGGTCGTCTGTGTCTGCTTTTTTAAGCGCTTCACGGACAAGGTCCGCGAGCCAGACGACGCTGCTACCATCTTAGATACAGATGGTGACGATCACACGCAGCGTCGCTAATAAAGATAAGATTTGTGGGGTCTCCAACGGTATTGAGGCCGAAGATGCAGCACCTTGTATCGATAAAAAATTCATCGGAGCGGAAGCAAGTTTGATCCGGCGCGGAGATTAGCGTCGGTGTTTGTGATCCACGCTAACCTCATGCGGTTAGCGTTATGTACATCCACGTGACAAGTGGCCCAAGCTCCTCGACCCGTTTTTGATGCTTTTGTCCTCATAGATATTTCATCATTCCCGAGTTGACCGGTAGCACATTTTTGGTCGATATTTAGGATTGTCAATTACACCATTAACAATTAAACTGTCCATGCACGTCGCCATCTACAGACTAGGAATGCTAATATAGACCGTGTCATAGTTCTTCCAACCGGCCTCACCATGGCCTCCAAGATGTGAGCTAAGAAGATGCCAAGTCGTGGTGTACCTCAAAACTAACATATAATTAGAATTGTTATTGGAGACGTGAATTGCGAGCTGCGCGATGTTTTCACCAAGCTGGCAAAGCTTCAGGTGAAGCAGAACTTCTCTCTTGCTATCATCACTGGCGATCTCTTTGGCGACTGTTCTACAGAGCAAGAGCTGGACCAGATCTCTGCGCTGCTGCAGGAGAACATCAGTGTGCCACTGCCGACTTACTTTGGCCTGGGTAGCCGGCCTCTGCCTACTCGCATCATCGAGAGAATCGAAGCCAATGACGAGGTCTGCCCGAACCTGTACTTCTTAGGGAGGCGCGGCACGCTCAAAACCGCAGAGGGCATCCGGATCGTCGCCCTCGGGGGCAATCTCGAGACGGAAGCCAAGTCGACCGACAGATACCATCCGGGTTACACCGAATCGGACGCCCGCGCGCTGTATGGTGCGCACAGCGCCGACCTCCTCATCACGCACCAGTGGCCCAAGGGCATCCGGTTCCGATCCCAAGTCGCGCTCCCAGAGGGTGCAACGACCCCCGACGAGGTCCAGTGCATCGCGGATCTCTGTGCGACCCTCAAGCCCCGCTACCACCTCTCCTCGTCGGCAGGCTTCTTCTTCGAGCGGGAGCCCTTCTTTCACATGCCTACGGAAGACCAGCCCGACGCGAAGCCTCTCACCCGCTTCATCAGCCTCGCGTCCTACAACAACACCTCTAAGCAGAAATGGATGTACGCGTTTACGTTGGACCCCAGCGCCGCGCCCCCGCTGTCCGTTCCCGCCGGTGCCACCGCCTCTCCGCTCTCTACGTCTCAAAATAAGCGCAAACCCCTCACTAGCCAGAAAGACTCGTACAGCCGGTTCGCCGTCGACGATGACAGCCACCGGCCACGGAAGCGCGCCCGTGCACCGCCGCCGGGGCCGGACCAGTGCTTCTTCTGCCTGTCGAACCCCAACATCGCCACGCACCTCATCACATCGATCGGCAACGAGAGCTACCTGACCACGGCCAAGGGCCCGCTCCCCACCTCGAAGACGTTCCCCTCCCTCGGCTTCCCCGGTCACATGCTCATCATCCCGTTCACGCACTCCCCCACGCTACACAGCATCCCCGACGCAGACTCGCGCAGCAACACCTACAGCGAAATGCAACGATACCGGACCTCCCTCCACACGATGCTCCAGACCCGCTCGGCGGGTACGAGCACACCGCTGGGCGCGGTGACGTGGGAGGTCAGCCGCGGCAACGGCATCCACACGCACTGGCAGTTCCTGCCGGTGCCATCCGACCTGGTCCAGCGGGGACTTGTGGAGGCGGCCTTCAAGGTCGAAGCAGAGAACCTAAAGTACCCGAAATTCGAGAACGTGCCGGCGACCTCGGACCCGGCGCACGATACGGGAGATTTCTTCCGGGTGTGGGCGTGGGCTCCGGCTTCGGGGACGGACCAGGCGGACGAGGCTCCGAGTGCGGACGTGGTCGAGAAGTGCCTGCTGCTGCCTCTGGGGCCCGAGTTCCGGTTCGATCTGCAATTCGGGCGGCGGGTGATGGCCAAACTGATGGGGTTGGAAAAACGCATCAACTGGCGGGACGATGTGCAGTCGGAGAGGGAGGAGGAGGCGGATGCGATGGCGTTCAAGGAAGCGTTTAAAGGGTTTGATTTTACGTTGGAGGAATGACATACCTTCTGTATGATACACTTGTTGGAATCTTAAAATTTATATTTCGATGGCTGGGTGTATACTGTATAGGCTAGGGCGGGCTATCTTAACGGTGCTGACGTGGTAGTACCGCATGAGTATGCATGCCATGTAATCTGGTCCACTGAAACAGACCGCTCCTTGAGCAAGCCCTGTGGCTTTATCTATTTATCTTATTTAAAATTTATATTTATATTCACAATGATATTCATATTGGTATTGGTATACATAGTTATTCAGACTTGTACTATATCTATATATATAATTCACATACATATTTTATTTGTATTTATATGTATAATGTTATTGATAGAATTTCTAATCTCCACTTGTTTCTGAGTCAACCACGTATGACCCAGAAGTGACCAGAACATGCCAAGTACGAGCGAACCAACCGGGGAACCAACCCACCCTCAGAGATTGTAAGACTCAGACTAAGACGTTGCATGAGTCGGGTAGAGTCGTCGTGCTGGTGTGGCTGGTTGCATCGGATACCCGATCAGTGGAGAGTCTCCATCAAGAACTGTATCTCTACCTCTGACTGCTATACCTTATTATCATAATGATGATTTGGTATGTTGACCACAGATGATGAGAAATGACAGGAAGAATGTGCCATCAATCAAATCCAATGATTTATAATAATCATCATCATACAATAATCGAATTGAATCATATGTCCTCAGGCCAAGATGCCCAGCCACGAGCCCAGCCACAAACCCACCCACGCTAAACCCAATCAGGTCGATCATCTTTGGCTGCTGCCTTCGAGCCTGCGACCATCAACCGTCACAACGACTACGACTACGACTTCTCCTTGCATCGCTCTCTCTCCGTTGCTCCCTTCTCGGATTTGGAGTCTATCACTCGCTGCATTAAGATATTTCTCTGGATTAGATCGACCCTTCGAACCAAGAGGTGTTGGATTCTCCATCTCTTCCCTCCCTGTTCCTTCACGACCAGACCCCGATCCGCTTGATCGACGTCATCTCCGCCCTACGCCTGACAATCCTCATCCACGTCTGGGTGCCACCATGGGTCTCATCTACCCCCGTCGAGCATGGTATGTCCATCTTCTCCTGGATCGTCCTCTTGCCGAGATGCGATGGCTGGTCCATCAGATCCTCCTTTCCCCCTATGAATTCAGACCGAGGTTGAACATCAACTGAAAAGATCGTCCCCCTAGTTACGTGGACTCCTTGGGATACACAAACGACTGCCGGAGTTCCTGGAATGACTGGGGTCGATGGGTGGCCTTTGCCGTGATCGTTGGCTGTGCTTTCATTATCTTCTTCTTATTTGCGTACGTCTCCCTTTCAACCGGATTCTGCCCCCTTCGTTTCAGATCGAAAGCTAAACGGGAATAGATGCTATAACGCTCGTCGACGCCGTCGGGCTGGTCTCCGGCCTCGCCCCGGTACAGGCTGGATGGCTGGCCCTCCTCCGCCCTACCCCGGCGGCAACGGCAACCAACAACATCAACAACAACCTTACTATCCGGCCGACCCTTACTACCAGCAACCTCCCCCGCCCCAGTACACGCCCCAACCTCCTGCTTACGGGTACTTTGGAGGCCAGCAGACCGGGGTGGAGATGCAACGACCGCAGAACGCCTACCAGGCGGATGGGGGACCGGTATATCCTGCGCCTCCGGGGCCGCCTCCCAACGGAGCCAAGGAGTAAGGGCTGGCTGGCTGGTTTGGTGGTCACCATGGTTGTATTCTCTCGGAACGACCAACCATGACATACGAACAGAAACAAACAAAGAACAGTTGAAATACGAAGGAAAAAGAAAAACGAACAAAAAAAAATATTAATTTGTTTCTGGCGTTATTGAGCAAGTGGGTTGGTTTTTTTACGGGACTCGTGACATGAAGACTGGGTGGGAGGCATGGCATGCGTTATGGGCCTACGAATGCGTACTGTCTTTTCTTATTCATTTTGTTTTCATTCCTTCTTTTCTTGATCTCTTTTCGTGATTCGTTCTCTCGTACGCGATTATATGTTGTATATCTTAATGACAGGGGAGGTGGTCGGTGAGTCTCCACCCAGCTCCATAATTCTACATGTCCACCGTCAGTTTGAACCATAAAGTCCGTCGTCCACTGCGTACGATATATTACCCAAAGTCGTTCTATCATCCTTTTGGTTCGCATCCCCACTAGTTAATTTCGAGAACCCATGGCCCGTGGATGCCTCGGGTGTGCCAGTACCAACCAGTGGACGACCGAAATCTCCCTACCGTCTCCTCCAACCCCGGTGGAGAAGAGAAGGTAGTTTTTGACAGTGTAATTCTCCAGTCAAGGGATGATCTATGTAAAATAGGTACACCGAATCTCGAGGGAAAAAAGGTGGATGGTTCCGACCGGTGGCTGCGATCGACGAGTGGGGAGGGGGGGGGGAAAGAGGTACGGTATTGTCATTACCGGGCTGGGAAATAGGGGAGACTGTAGGGGTGCATGTCCCTGTGAGTCCCTAACATGGACCCCGGAGAGCCTTAAAGAATAGTGACCATTTAAGTATGATTACCATACCAACAATTGGGATAGGCAGATGAACGCAGATCCCCGCCTCTTTTCTTCCTCTTCGGCCTCTTCTGCCTCTTCTCTTCTCTCCTTCTTCTCTCCACCTTTTCTTCTCTCTTTCTTCCTCCTATTTTCTCCTCTCTTTCAATCTCTGTCCTGTCCTTCTTCTGTCTTTTGTTCTTCAGTCCTTCATTATCCACACACTCTCTCTTCTTGATCGTTCCAATCGTTCTACCAGACTTTCGATATACTTCGCCAATATCGACTCCATCTCCAACTGAGACACCCAACGAACCCCTTGGGAGGCGGTGCAAACTGATCGTCCTGCCGGTAAACTTTCAGCCAACCACTTTTTCGGTTCCTTTTCGCTTCTTTTTTTGGTTCCTTTTTTCTCCCTTCTTGATTTATCGCATTCGATATTTTATACTTGGTTTCGTTTTCCCTCGGTTTTTGACCGTTTTTCATTGATTTCGATCGTTCAGATTGACTCTGAAACAAGTCCGTCCCGCGCCAACGGAACTATACATTCCGGCGCTGTATCATAATATATCCCAAGCCACACTTGGACAACACCCATCAAGGACCGACCGACCGACTCATGCGGACGACAATTGATTCAAATCGCATCATCCTTTCGTGTTTGTGGCGTCCCGACTCGCCGGGATCGATTGACCCATCATCGGTCGGGAGTTCCGTTCGACGATACCACGGTCGCTGCGCCTGGACGGTCTGAGTGCGTCGCATCCAGAAAAAGCGGGGAAAGCCAATAAAAAAAGGAGAGAAGAAAAAGACTATCGCGACCATGAGCCCGTACATGAGCCCCAACCCGTTGTGGTCGCGGGACCTGGGGAGCGAGTTGCAGGCCGCCCCCGAGACCTTATCCAGCTGGGACAACTGCATGGCCAAATCCTACTGCAAATGGCCCGTCATCGCCGCCATCATCGTCGGCTCCGTCATTGTCATCGCCATCCTGGCCTGCGTCATCAATTGCCTCTGCTGTGGCATCCAGTGCTGCCGCTGTTGCGGCTGCTGTTCCTGTTGCTGCCCCAAACCGCGGAATAAGAAAGCCAAATACATGGACGACCCCTACGATCCTTCCTTCAATCAACCCCCGCCGCCCATGCCCGCCCCGTCTGGCAACGTCTATGCGCCCTCCCCCGCGCCGCCGGTCTACCGCGGCACCGCCGTCGCCCGCTTCGACTCTCCCGCCAGCTCCGCCCCGCCCTCCAAGGCGAACGAGGATTCCCTGCCCGCCATGCCCACCTGGGACAGCGCCGTGTCTCGCCGCGTGGGAAATGACCACGACGCCGTCGAGATGGAGCCCCTGAACCTCGCCAACCAGGAACCGCGGCGCACGCCCTCCGCGAGCCAGCGCCCCCTAGCACCGGGCTACATGGGCCCCGCCCCGATGCGCACGGGGACACCGGGGACCCCGTCTAGTTTCTACCCCGAGTCGCGGGCCTACGACGAGCAGAGCATGTACCGCACACGCTCCCCCGCCCCCATGGGCGCAGGCCCCATGGCGACGGGCCCCATCTCCCCCTACGACCAGTCCCACCACGACTACCCCGGCGGACATCCCTTCCAGACGATGTCGCCCGCACCCCCGACCATGTCCCCCGCGCCGCCATCCATGTCCCCCGCCCCGATGGGCTACGCGCAACCACAGTACATGGCCCTGGGCCCATCCGCCTCCCCCGCGCCCGACGGACCCCGTCCCATCCCCTACCGCCAGCCATCCCCCGGCCTCAACGCCCTCGGCGGACCCGTCCCCTACCGCCAACCCTCCCCAGGCTTCAACCAAGCGCCGCTCGGCTCCCCCGCCCCCAACGTCAACGAGCAATACCAAGCCATGCCCATGCACATGCCCTACCGACAACCCTCGCCCGGCATCGGCATGGCCATCGGCCACCGCACCGACAGCCCCCGTCCCATCCCCTTCCGCCAACCCTCCCCGGCCATCAACCAGATGCCGTACGCGCGCGAAATGTCCCCCAGCATCCCATCCTCTCCGCCCCCGCCCTTCTCGGCCGTGCCGGGCCCCAACGAAACCACCAGCCAGAATAACCCGGGCAGGCCCCCGAGTTTACTCCAGAGCGGGCGTAAACCCGCCCCTAACTCGTACAAAGATCTTTAACTTGGGGGTGTTTAGCTGGGGGCAGATTTGAACATGAACTATGGCTTTCTTAGGATTTATTTTATTTCTTACTTTCTTTTCTTTCATTCTTTTATCTATATATATATTTTTTTTTTTTTGAATTTTTTGATATAATTCCCTTTTTTCAACGACGGCAAGACTCGATTTCAATTTTTCCCCCATCTTTCTCATGTTACATATTACTTCTCTATACTTTTACTTTTATCCTTGAGAAGGGTCATATATGTCCCTCGTTACATACCTACATACCTATATCTATCTATCCATCCATCCATCTATCTACCTATCTAGTAAATGATCAATTCCCTCACGGTCGAAGAATTTTTTACCATGGTTTTCTTCTTTTTCCTCTCTTCTTTCTATCTATCTCCTTTTTCTACCGTTTCCCTCATCCATCCATTGATTCATTCATTCGTTTCTGGATAGGACGGACTTGACGGTTGGGATGGGATGGATGGGATGGATGTTGGATATTCGCACACTAGCGCACACTCACATAAGAGAGAGGGAGATATTGTGTTACTTATATTCTCTAATGAATTATTACATACTACCTATCTACTACCTCCTACCTCCTACCTCCTACCTATCACTTACAACATACTGACAATAAGGTAGATGCGTCCCTAGGTTAGTACCCTGCCTCAGTAGTTAGTACTAGTCTGGTCCATATCTTGCAAGAGCTATTGGACAACTGCCGTTAGGGTAGCGACCCATGGGAACTAGTTGACAGGCTCACCAAGTAGTAGTAGACGAAGTTGATCACCATTCGCGGGTGTGATAACTCCTGATCTTCCCGGCGATCGCGGTGGATCTGCTGTAGGAGGAACCACAAGGACCATGCTATATAGATTCTATATTCCCAAGGCTCAATTATGAGGTGGTGAGGATCGGGGGGGGGGGATGTTCTGGTCTGACTCTCATGTTGTCGACTGGTCTAATTACGAGCCAGGATAGTTGATGATAAGACGTATAAAAAAGAGTGATATTATATGTGGCTCCTAAGTGAGGATGTTGACGCCCGAGAGATAGATCCCCAGAAGAGAGGAGATGCAGAAGACCAAATGCGTTGGTCTATCGGGAGGAGGTTGTGTAGACATGCTCGGGGTCATGGCTTCCATATTGGAACAACTGAAGACTAAGTGGGACCCGTCGGGCTTGCCTGGTTTGTATACATGCATTCATTCCAGGGCAGTTCGTCGACAATGGTCTTACACTGCCCGCGCCCACCGGACTGACCCTGCACCGATGGAAAGACTCTGTAGAGTACCCATGGTGTGTATGTCACTCCTGTAGGGGGGACCTGTAGGGCTGATGGGATCCATGCAGTAGATGAACTTCATTATACAAAGAAATCTGTAGCCTGCGGTTGGTACAGTCTGTCTATCATGAAGATATATCCCTCACGCTGCCCCTTGTGTCTGGTAGGGATCTATAGCTTTTTTGTCTGCCTGAGGCAGCATATGGCCGTAGTGGGACCATCATGGACCCATCAACCACGGGCCAATGATGGCAGTATGTGACAGCAGGGATGGAGGAGACACCCCTGTTTCATCTCCGGCAGCATTCCCCACTGACTGTATTATAGTCATTTCATGGGGAGGATGAAGTCCGGAGTATGGAGTATGGAGTATACGATAGAGCGAGAAGTGAGAGAAAGAAAGAAAGAAAGAAAGAAAGAAAGAGAAATGAGAGACGAAGACAAAAAAGAAAAGAAACAAACAGCACAAATCAACCGCCCCAGGCAGCCAGGCAATGAGGCAGCCAGGCGGAGGCATGGCGGGACGTGATTGGCCAGGACCGATCTGCATTGCCAACGCATCAACATGGTCAGTGTGGGGTTCCCGCCAACTACTAAGAACGAACTGCTTCCCTCGTCTTTCTTTCTTTCCTCAATTCTCTCCTTCGTTTGTTCGGTGGGTTCTCTTGACTCGGTTGACTACTGATGATGTCTTTCCATTTTATACGTGGACTCGTGCATCGACGCCATTCGTTGAGATATGTGACATGCTGAATTTACACCAAAGCACTCAGAGATATAGTCATACTCTCCATGCTTCGAACCTCATTCGTGACCGAACCAATCATTCAACCAATAAGAAAACAAAAAACGAAAACGACAGAAAGAAGAATCATCCATTAACGCTCCACGAAATTGTGCCTGGTTCACATCGTTGTCATCATTACATCGCTGGCTGTGAGCCACTCGATCGAGAGGGAGAGAGATAGGACGAGGGAGGGAGAGGTGGAGAGGGTGAGAGATATAAGGGGAGAATTTACAAAGGCGGCGAAAGGTCGCGCCAGCGGACCTGCCGGCCAGGCATTCATCGGCTGGCTCGGGCGATGAGCCAGTGCAACACCGCATCAAGGTTCGTCTCCTCCTTGGCACTGATCCCATAGCAGCTCACTTCGCGGTGCGTGATGGATTTGAGGTCCATCGCGTCGATCAACTGGTCGACCGACAGCTTGTTGGGGAGATCGGATTTATTCCCCAGCACCAACAAGGGGATAGCGTCCAGCGTGGGTTTGGTCATCAAATCGTGCAGTTCCTCTGTCGCGACCGGTAACGCCGCATGGTCCGCCGCATCAACGATATATCTCCGCGACCGTCAGCACCCAGACAAACGGAATGAAAAGAAAGGATCCTCTTACACGATGGCGTTCACGCCGCGACAGTACCGCTCCCACATGGGTCGGAATCGGGGCTGACCCCCAAGATCCCAGCTAGATCGAGTCAACCGAAAGATCCCACGCGACCGCCGTTCGACTTGGGCAAGACACACCATTTCAAGGTCACATGACCTTTCTGGACGCGTTTGGTGTTGAAACCGATGGTGGGGATGGAACTGAAATGCGACCCTTAGCAACACGGACGGGGAGCCAACTGGCGGGTTGGGATCCTACGCGCTGGCCACTTACTCTACGGTGAACTCGCCGCCCTGTCGACGGATGGATGTGGGTCAGCGACAGCGGACAAACACCCACATTCATACAGACACAGGCACAGACACATCGTGGGAAGGGGAGCATACGGCCAATACTCGCAATAACGAGGATTTCCCGGCATTCTGGAGACCGATCATGGTGACATCCATCTCCGTGGCCCTGATATGGACATAAGATTAGCCTGGAGAGGGAGGGGTGGTTTGCGTGCGGGGACGGGCCGGGAAGGGGAGCCATGCTCGGAATGAACCGCCACACAACGTTGAGAAGAGAAGGGTTGTTTGTTTGGAACGGCCCACTCACCAAAACATCCTTAACAGCCAGTCATATATGGTACGGAAGATACCCGCCATGATGGTGAGTTGGGGTTGGGGTTGGGTTTGGGGAGGGGGAGTGAACCAAAGGAACGAAGATAGAGGTCAGAAAAAGAGATAGGGAGAGACAGGAAAAGGGAACAAAACAGGGAAAAAAAAGGAAGGAAAAAAAGAAAAAAGGAAAGGAAAAAAGAAATAGTGCGTGGGCTGAAGAACGAACAAGAATGGAGCCAAGGATGAAGTTGGAGTGGAGTTTTTGGAGTGGATGGAGGGAGCAAATATAACCCGGGCTGAAGGAGAAGGGAAAAAAAAGAGGTTTTGAAGTGGGGATGACGGGAGTGGGAGGAATGACACTACTACTAGATCTGTAGGCGGAACAGGTAGGTCACGATAGATCTCTCCAGTTATACGGATACTGGATTAGAAAAAATAGAGGAGTAGGAAAATACAAGAGAAACAAAAAAGAAGTAAAGAATAGACTAGGTCAACAGCAAGCGGCAATTTGATCCCTCTAGGAATGAGTCTCGCATGACCTGCACGCTGCGCTCCGAGCGCTTATTCCGGTCACTATCGGGATGGAGATTCGATTCGAACGGGGGAGTCGGGGTCGCACAAGTCCTATCTATACTCCGGATCTCTTGAGACCCCGAAGCGGTTGATCAATATCTGGATGGAGAGTATGGATCTGAAATCATGATTGATATCTGGATGGATCAAGATATCCTGATGTGGTGGTGATGTTTGAGCCTCAGTCACCGCTCTTTGCCGCCTGAGGAATGTGAGAGATACCTCAGGCAGTAACTCCACAGTGGATACCTGAGGCAGCGGGAAACACTTCCGATACCTCAGGCAGAAAGTAGTCAGTCGACACCTCAGGCGTACAGGACTATCTCCACGTGACGATACCGCCCGGCTCCACCGAAAAATTTCCCCGTAGAGGAAAAGCGACGAAAAAAAGGCTTCAACTACTCATCATTTCTCCCACGGCGATCCTCGCTTCCCACGGACTTGTCGGCCCCCCTCAGTATGGCCCCCGCCAAGTCGACAGAGACCAATTGGTCCGTTGGCTACGATACCCTCCGTCGGGAGCATCTTTTTCGACACCCCCCCAAAGATCAAACCGCCTATCCCGCCCTCGCCGAGGCCATCCGCCCCCATGTTGACTCCTTCAACGCCCTCTTCGACGGGCCCAAGATCCTTGAAGCCGGTTTGAAAGATATCGGCACCAAGACCTTCGTGGATGGAGACTTCGAATCCCCCGAGCAGAAACGAGCCCGCCAGGCCGAGGGCCGCAAACCCCTCAAGCGCAACCGCCTGCAAGTCCGCATCAAGGAGGTCTTGCTCGAGAAGCCCGCCCTCCCTCCCACCAACAAGTTCACCACCCGGAATCGTAACATCTACCCCTCCGAGTGCCGGGAGCGACATGCCACCTACCGCGGGAAACTGCGCGCCCGCATCGAGTACCGCGTCAACAATGGGGACTGGGCCGAGTCCGTCCGGGAGCTGGGCCAGGTCCCCATTATGATGCGCACCAACCGCTGTCACCTCGAGAACGCCACCCCGGCGCAGCTCGTCCAGCACAAGGAGGAGTCTGAGGAGTTGGGCGGATACTACATCGTCAACGGTAACGAGAAGCTCATCCGAATGCTGGTCGTCGGCCGCCGGAACTACCCCATGTCCATCATCCGAGGATCCTTCGTGAAGCGTGGTCAGGCCTACACCAAGTTCGGTGTGCAGATTCGCTCTGTGCGCCCCGATCAGACCTCCCAGACCAACGTGCTGCACTACCTCAGTGACGGCGGCGTCACCTTCCGTTTCTCCTGGCGCAAGAACGAGTTCCTCGTCCCCGTCATGATGATCCTCAAGGCCCTGGTCGAGACCAACGACCGCGAGATCTTCGAGGGCATCGTCGGCGGGCCCAACTCCGAGGGCATGAAGAACACCTTCGTCACAGACCGTGTCGAGCTGCTGCTGCGCACCTACAAGGCCTACTCCACCCACTCCCGCGCCTCCTGCCGTGCCCTCCTGGGTGAGAAGTTCAAGCCCGTGCTTGGCATCCCCATGGACACCCCCAACGAGGAGGCCGGCGCCGAGTTCCTGCGCAAGGTCGTCCTGCCCCACCTGGGCAACCAGGACGTCACTGAGACCCAGGACTACGACAAGTTCAAGCTGACCCTGTTCATGATCCGCAAACTCTACGCTCTCGTCGCTGGCGACTGCGCCCCCGACAACCCGGACGCCGTCTCGAACCAGGAGATCCTGCTGGGTGGGTTCCTGTACGGGATGATCCTCAAGGAGCGTCTGGAGGAGTGGGTGCGCTCGCTGGCCCCCGTCCTGCGCGACTGGTCCATGCGCAACCACGGCGCCCGCTTCACCGACCCGGCCTTCGAGCGGGACTTCCTCGGCAAGATCGTCAAACGCACCAACGAGAACCTCGGCGGCGCCCTCGAGTACTTCCTCTCCACCGGTAACCTCGTCAGTCCCAGTGGCCTCGATCTGCAGCAGACGTCCGGTTACACCGTCATGGCCGAGAAGATCAACTTCTACCGGTTCATCAGTCACTTCCGCATGATCCATCGTGGTAGTTTCTTCGCCCAGCTCAAGACCACGACGGTGCGCAAGCTGCTGCCCGAGAGTTGGGGCTTCTTCTGCCCCGTCCACACCCCCGATGGCTCTCCCTGCGGTCTGCTCAACCACTTGGCCCACAAGTGCCTGATCGCCACGAGCAACGTGGACGTCTCCCACCTGCCGCGGCTCCTCGTCCAGCTTGGCGTCCGGTCCGAGTCGTCGGTCTCCCTGGAGGAGAGCGTCACCGTCCAGCTGGACGGCCGCATCGTCGGCTTTTGCTCCCCCGCGCAGGCCCGCGTGGTGGCCGACACCCTGCGGCACTGGAAGGTCGCCGGCACCCACCGCGTCCCGCGCGAGCTGGAGGTCGGCTACGTCCCCAACTCCACCGGCGGCCAGTACCCTGGCCTCTACCTGTTCTCGCAGGCGGCGCGCATGTACCGGCCGGTCAAGTACCTGCCGCTGGACCAGCTCGACTACGTCGGGCCGTTCGAGCAGCCCTTCATGGAGATCGCGTGCCTGCCCGACGACCTCATCGCCGGCCTGTCCACCCACATCGAGTACACGCCCACCAACATCCTCTCCATCGTCGCCAACATGACCCCCTTCTCCGACCAGAACCAGTCGCCGCGTAACATGTACCAGTGCCAGATGAGCAAGCAGACCATGGGTACGCCCGGCACGGCCATCGACTACCGCACGGACAACAAGCTGTACCGGCTGCAGACGGGGCAGACGCCCATCGTGCGCCCGCCGCTCTACAACGCCTACGGGTTGGACAACTTCCCCAACGGGACCAACGCCATCGTGGCCATCATCTCGTACACAGGCTACGACATGGACGACGCGATGATCATCAACAAGTCCGCGCACGAGCGCGGCTTCGGCCACGGCACCATCTACAAGACCAAGGTCCACGGCTTGGACGACAAGGACTCGCGGCGCGGCAAGTCCCGCCGCGAGGTCGGCAAGCTGTTCGGCTTTGCCCCGGGCGCCGAGGTCAAGGCCGAGTGGCGTCAAACCCTGGACGAGGACGGACTGCCGCACATCGGCGCGCGCGTGCGCGAGGGCAGCCTCGTCGCCGCCTGGCACACCGTCCGCTACGACGCCGCCACCGACTCGTACGTCAACGTCGACGGCCACACCCACTTCGTCAAGTACAAGGACGCCGAAGAGGGCTACATCGACAGCATCCGCATCCTCGGCGCCGAGTCGGGTGTCGAGCCTTGCCAGTCTATCAGCGTCAAGTACCGTGTGCCGCGTAAGCCCATCATCGGTGACAAGTTCTCGTCTCGTCACGGTCAAAAGGGTGTGTGTTCGCAGCTGTGGCCGGCAGTCGACATGCCGTTCTCCGAGAGTGGTATCCAGCCTGATCTGATCATCAACCCGCACGCTTTCCCATCTCGTACGTTCTCTACCCTTCCCATACCCCCCCACCTTTCCCATCCAAAACCACACACTAACAACCAACCAGGCATGACAATCGCCCAAATGGTCGAATCCATGGCCGGCAAAGCCGGCGCCCTCCACGGCCACGCGCAAGACTCAACACCCTTCCAATTCTCCGAACAAAACACCGCCACCGACTTCTTCGGCCACCAGCTGCGCAAAGCCGGATACAACTACTTCGGCAACGAGCCTCTCTACAGCGGCATCACAGGCAAGGAGTTCGCCGCCGACATCTTCATCGGCGTCGTCCACTACCAAAGACTGCGTCACATGGTGAACGACAAATTCCAAGTGCGCACCACAGGACCCGTCAACTCGCTGCACGGCCAGCCCGTCAAGGGCCGTGCCAAGGGTGGCGGTATCCGTGTCGGTGAAATGGAGCGCGACTCGCTCATCGCTCACGGCGCAGCCTTCCTCCTCCAAGACCGTCTCATGAACTGCTCCGACGCCCAGCGCGCCTGGCTCTGTCGCTGCTGTGGCTCTTTCCTGTCCACCCAGGCGACCGTCACCGCCACATCAGCCGGCAAGGCCGCCGCTGCCGTGGCTGTGGCCGCTGCGTCTGCCGCCGCCGGCCAAGAGGACCAGCAGAAGCAGCAGAAGCAGCGGACTGGCGCCGGCGGCGTCGGCTCCCTCGTGCGGTGTCGGCGGTGCGCGCGCGAAGCCGTCTTCGAGGACTCCCGGGCTGTGGTCTGGGAGGACGGGAACGGCCGCAGATATGTGGGCGGCGACGACGTCACTGTCGTTGCTGTGCCGGGTGTGCTGAAGTACTTGGATGTGGAGCTTGCTGCGATGGGCATTCGGATGAAGTTTTTGGTTGATAATTAGATCCTTTTCTTTTTTTTTCACTTTGCATTTCGAGTCATACTTTTTCTTTTCTTTTCTTTTTTCTTTTCTTTCTTATATGGGAGTGTATGTGTTTTGCATACGGGGCAAAAGAATGACTGACTGCTAAGTTACTGCTGTCGACGACGGCTGTGACTGAGTAACCATGTCATGTTAAAGATACGCCCTTGGCTTTGTTTTTCTAATGACGTTTGGACAAAAGCATTTGTTTTTGTATTTATTTATCTATATCTGCTGGGTGAACTGTTTATACGAGCATATATCATTATTTCTTTCTTCATACTTCTCCATCATACTTGACATTTCTCATACATTATATGATTAAGATAAGACAAATACGTTGGGAGGAAAACACATCATAAGATAATCAATAAAGTATCTAGTTCCTCGTTATTTCCCAACAAGAACCACTAAACTAACGACTAAAGAGGGAAAAAAAACTACAGCGCCATCGGAACATTCGAGAACTCGCCCTTCTCGAACTTCGTCTTCCAGAAGATCGGGTTCATGTCGTCGAAGCCGTGATGCACCCATCCTTCCTCCTTGACGTGGTAGAGGTTGATGAAGCCACCGGAGTAGGCGTCCCGGTGCATGGCAGCCAGGATACTGCGGCGGCCCAAATCCAGCGCCTCCTGCTCCGTCAGATCGTACTTGTAGTTGGCGTCCAGCACGCCGTAGGCGAAGGTCTGACCGGACCCGACGCAGAACAGGTTGCCTGGGAGGCGGGTGCCGTCTGAGTCGATGTAGTAGAGGGCGGGGCCTTCTTGGGGGGTCATCTTTGGTTTGTCAGTATACTCTTTTCATTGGGAACAATTTATCGAGGAGGGACTTACTCCCGCTAACATGGTTCCCATGCTGAGGCCGTATCCCTTGTAGGCGTAGGTCAGGTTGGCGAGGATCTTGGAGGCGGCGGCGACGGTGATTCGACGCTTGTGTCGGATTTCTATCATCCACAATTAGTACTGACTATGCAGATGCAACACCCCGGGATATCATACCATGCAGCGTGCACTGCTGGCTCAAATACCGCAGCCAATATTGGCAATCGGCAGCACCACCGGCCATCGTACCCAGCAGACCCGGAACAGCAACATCAGGCGACACCTTATCCTCACCGCGGCTCAACCGCGACACGGGAATGACCTTCTTGACCGTCTGACTGGCGATCCAGTTACCGGCGGTGGCTCGGGAATCTGTAGCGACGATCTGGAGGACACGGGGATGGGTCAGTGGGAGATGAGAAGCGGATGGGGTGTGGGAGAGAGGCGTACAATTCCACCCTGGAATCGGAAAGCTAGCGTTGTTGTGCCGTGGGCGAGCTTGATCGGGCAATTGGGGTTGGAGTGGTCATCGGTCATGGCACGGAGGAAGCCTCGCGACTGTGGGGAGAGCTTCGTTAGTGATTTCCGAATTGTTCTGTCTTGTCTTGACCTAGCAGGTAGACCGCATGGAGATAGCTAGGCGGCTGTTCGGCCGGGTGGGGAGTCTATCGGCTTGGTGCCTGCGAACAGCCTGCGGTGCCGATCGGAGTACAGATAGGGAGGAAGAGGAAGCTCACGTCGTCAATCGGAGGAAGGTCGAATTTGAGGGAGAGAGGGGGAAGGTTCTCGGTGAGGTCTCGCTGCTCTTGCTCGGAGTAGAAATCATCCTTGTGAGGCGGACGGGAGTAGACGGAGACCAATTTGTCCATGTTGTGAGATTAGATGAAGAGAAAATGCACTAGTTAAAAAAAGAAGACGTAGAAAGAAGAGGAATAAGGGATGGGGGAGAGCTAGGGAGGATGGAGTTGACGATGATGAAGCTGGAGCTGATGATGCTGAGCTGCTCCGCGTCACGCTTGGCCGCCTGCGGTCACGTGCGCCGATACTCCACCCGCCCTCTATACCGCACGGTCACGTGGTGTACATCACGACATCCACATTATCGTTGGATTGATCGTTGGATTGTATAATATTGCTCTTTTTGTATCATTTATATGAGGAATTAAATCATCTTGCCAATGAGATAGGCATACCGTGAATGTGGCCGTGAATCGTGGTATACGGTACAGTATATCCACCACAGCACTGTCTCCACACCAGTCTACATCAATATCAATCTACAATACCCAGTCAATCTAGACCAAGTATCAGTAAAATAGATAAGAACAGTAAGAAAAGAAAAAAAGTAAATAAGAAAGTAAACAAAGATCACAGCACCGCATGCGGAATCCAGCTCCGAATGTAACTCCACCCGTACTACATCAGCAGAGAGCATCGTCATGGACTGTTCCTGACAGCGTATCTACCATGAACTAGAACCTTAACGTGCACCAGCCATTGCACCATGCGTTGCTCAAAGTTTGGAACGGCTCTTTATGGAGTCATTCACTGTCCCTAGGTCTTAGTATTACTCTCTTCGTGCCGGCAGTCCTGTCTTTCTCCGTATATCGAACTATCCTCGGGTATCCAACAAGAAAGACGGACAGACACAGAGAGAAAGATAGAGAGAAAGAACAAAATGGTCCATGAGGCTACCAGGTATATCTGAGCCCAACCCTATCGAAGCCCAGCACCTAACAGCAGCGCTAGTGCGGCAACCAAGCCCAACACGCCGCCGGCAAACAACCTCTCACAGAAGCTATGGGGCGATCGCGCCGTGACGCGCCCGTCGCCCGGTATCCGTCGACCTATGAAGAAGGTCAAGAAGAAGACAGCGTCAGGGGAGGAGATTGAGGTGGAAGTGGAGGCGGAGTCGACCATCAACATCCGGGTGAATCTCGACTTGCGGGCTGACGTGGGACTGGAGTTACACGCGGTTCTGCAGGGGGATGTGGTGCTGGGGTTGATGTAGTTCTTGTTTCCTCTTTTCGGGTTCTTTGCGCTTTTGGGCGATAGCATATCTCGGGAAGAACCCTGAAAGTGAGGCAGAATAGCATGGTTTCAATCACCCACAATGATCTTCAACAGTTGCTCTGTAAAATCCTCGCAGACATACTGCATCACGCGGCGGAGGGTTGTCGCCAGCATAGACACAGCCCGATGGCTGGGCCCCCGGCCGCACAAATCAGATAGTGGGCCCCAAATGCACACCTGGGGAGTTGATTGATGAGAGTCGTGTGTTTCCTCCACGCAGTAAACAATATAAAATTCCCAGTTCGCCCCCATGCTAATACACCCAACAACAGGTGGAAGAGGGGCGGCTCCTCGCCGATGCTGCAACATCCATGAAAACAGGCCGCTCATCCAGACCCCCAATTGGACTTCGGCTTCGATGAAATTTCCATCAGGGGCCTTCACCTCACATCCGAAACCGAGAACGCGGGCACCCGTGTGTGGATGCGTAATGTGGCTGAATTGGTAGTCGGGGATATGTGCAGCGACTTGATCATAGTACGTCGTCCAATCCTTTTTTGCGAGCCCGACCACAAGGTCGATTTTGCGGTTGTAGGTGTCGCGTGCTGTGTACCGGGGTAGGTATCTTACGTCGACACTCTCTGTTTGGCTATATACGACTAGTAAGTATAAGACTTCCACTAGTAAGTATAAGACTTCTGGCGGAGGTAAGATTCGGGGAGAGGAAGGAGAGACTTACACACTCCAACACTCCAGGGGTAAGTCTTCAATGGCCAATTCTAACAGAGGGCAGGCAACTTTAATGACCCACGATCCTTCGCTCCGTATCTCGGTGGTACATTGATACGAGGCGGCAGATATTTTGGCTATTGATTCCTCCGGTGGAATCCACGAGGAACTCGTACACTCCCCGTTTTCAACGAGTAGACGCGCCAACAACTGTTTTGCTGCCTCATTGCCAGGATCCCCTAACTCATTAATGTAGACTATGCTGGGACTAGCCCTCGCTAGGTTTGCTTTTGCACGGCTGGGACTCAGAGACCGCTGTCGGCTAGCAGATGTAGATGTAGATGTTGAACCTGTAAGGGTGATGTCGTCCCGTAGGCGCAAGACAGATGAATGCGAATCCGAATCCCGTTGGAAACGGGGCCGTTTGGGAGGATCTGCTACTGAAGCCGATGACATCTCTTCGAGCGTCCGTTTTTGCGAATTCAGTCCTTCCCAGGAACTGCGTGGAGGGGTAGTAGTCATTGGGACAATTCTTGCATCCGTCATGGGTTGATTGGGCGGCGTGTTTTGCGCGCATGGAGGAGGGGTCGGCCGTCGGGCGAGCTCGATGTCTTTGACCCACCGCAGAATGACTTCTCGCTGGTCATCGTCCATGATTTGATGCATAACCAAGAGCCATTCACAATATTTCGCGATCGTGATCCCAGCGCGAGGATAAAATGGATAGTTAGTTGGTTGTCTTCGGTTGTCGTAGAAGTTGCCAGGGGCGATGAGATGAGAGAACGATCGCGATAGATGACGTAATCTGCATCAACAACCCTAATTTGGCACTGAACAGAACGGACGATGTGAAAGACGACTCTGTCAACCTACACGCGCCCTTAACGATATTCCTATTTGACCATTCAAGTAACTCTTTTACTATGTGTGTATGCCATGTATTGCCGCTTCACCATTCAAGCAGTCTGCCCCGGCTACAAACAAACGATCTATAACCAAACGATCTACTTCAGCACCATGATATACCATACGATCTAGGAGTGCCTAGAAGACCAACATCACATACGAATACAGTAAAAGAATTGACTATATACTATACAAAAACTATCAACAATCATATTAACTATACATCATTAATGGGTCAAGCTGAATGAAGCAATCCTGAGTTCTGAAGGTAGGTGTGCCGGTACAGGATGATGTCCTATGCATCTATCCAGGATGCTCTGCGGGTCAGAAGCCATGTCTGGAGCAGTCAGAAGCAACCGTATTAAAACCCGTATCACACCCAGGGCAAAATCAAGGCCACACTGCAGATAGACGGAAGAGCAATCAACGAGAGCCTATTCTAATACGGCACTGCGACGGTATATGCGGACGGCTCGGCGCGCGAGGGCACTCCTAGTCCTGCTGACAGCTTGGGCACCTTCTCGGGCCGCTCCCGCACTGGCTCCTCCTCGACGACTGAGTCGAGGCCTTCATCGGTCGAGTCTGACAGTGTCACCACGTCTGACTTCTGGTCCTCGGCCTCGTCGGCGTCGGTGACTCGCATCTTTTCGTCGGTGCCGGTGACCCGGTCTTGGTCGACGCCGGTGACTCGGATGCCTTGATCGGCGGCCATCATGTCGGGGCCCGGGCCGGTGACCCCCGTGGTGCCGATCACCTCGGTCTCGCGTTCGCGCATGATCACCCGTGGGGGAGCCGCCTGTGTGGTAGTAGCTCCGGGGACGGCGCCCACACCACTCACGACGGGCTCCGCGTCCGTCATGTCTTGGTCGACGCCGGCTGAGGTGCCCAAACCCGAATATCCGGCGGCGCCCGCCGCGGCGGTGTTCGCGGTGGGACTCATGCTCTCCGTGCCGCGACCAGCATTCGCTCCAGCGGCGGCCGAATCGCGCTTGCGCCGCGCCGCCGACGACAGGGGCAGCTGGGACTCGGACGTGCGATCGGGTACGGCCGTCAGGATCGGCTCGAGGGAGCTCGACCACGACTTGAGGTCTCTCTCGGCGTCCTCGACAATCAACTTGGCCGAGGTGGCGTGGCGATACTCGGGCTTCTCCTCGCCTGGGATGATGGGCGTGTCGTCCAGGCAGTTGAGCAGACGGCGGGCGTGGCGCGCCAGCAGGATCTGCTTCTCCCCGCGTTCAATAACACCCGCCAAGTGGACGTCGAAGGACTCTTTGAGTTTTTGACGGGTCTATCGAATTAGCGAAGGCAATCAAGTGATGAACGGACAGGAAGAGAATATACCATGTTGGTCAACTGTGCCTCGGCAACTAGGGCCTGAGCCTCCGCTCGCACCAGCTCCTGTTCGAGCGTCTCAATCTTACTCGAGTTATTCGGGTCTTTCAGCTTCATTTTCTGGACCTCGTCGGCGGCCTTGTGGCGCTGGTTACGGGCCGGTTGCACCGAGGCCTCGGTGTCGCGGATGTGCTTCAGCATCATGCGATACTCCTCGAGGTTGCTGGCGAAGTTGTCCTCCTGGTCGCCCATTTCGGCGAGCAGCACGGCCAGCTTGTCGGAGACGTCGGAGATGGCGTCATCCTCGATGCTGTCGCCCCAATCGGAGAGCTGGGAGGCGACGGAGATGCGCTCGCGACCGGCCTTCTCGTAAGCCGAGATTACACCATTCTCGCTCTTGATCAGTTTGCTCATCTTCTGGCTTAGCTTGGGATGCTGTCGGCCGCGCAGCGTGGACAGGTTGAATTGGTGGCTGGAGCCGCCATTGCCGCCGCTGCGGGTGGAGAGACGGCGATTCCTGTTTCATTTAGTATGCACCTTGAGAAATTTTGACAGGGAATTGTACATTTTGCAGTGTTATAATATCACCAGCGTAGTTTCAAAAATAAAATGTGTTGAAATGGTGAGACGGAGCGGAACGGAATCATATATGTACGCTCCGTGGGGTTGGTAGCACCTTCCGTGTCAATCCGGCACTCGAACAATAAACGGGTCGACAATAGAGCTAGACAATAGTATTTCGCAGCTGTCATAGACAATGGGGCAAATCGAATTGTTCAACCCCGGACGAGCATCAATGCTTTATTGAAACGACATGAGCTCCTGACGTCATGGGGGATACGTGGGTGGTGAAATCATCGTCGATTCTCGCATCCGCTTTCGACCACCGTCATCCGTCATCTGACGCAAGAGTCGAGGATTCTTTTCTTTTTGAGTTTTCCGATTTATTAGCCGGGGGGTTCGCAGACGGTGTGGTAACCTGGTGATTGGGAGAGGAGGAGGGTAGGGTTCCATGGGGCGCTCACCGATGGAAGGGCCCTTCAGCAACAGTATGACATCGAGCGATTCAAATGAGGATGAGGTAAAATGGAACGAGGAAAAACAAAGTGAGGCAAGATAAGGTAAAGTAAAATGGAACCCAACCAGAAAAGAGAAGGGAAAAAGAAGAGAAGATGAACAACCAACCTTAAGCCAGCCACAACCATAGCATAGAGAGTGGTAGCCGTATATGAACTACCGTCCTGCTATATACTGCACTTCCACCTCATCCCCGTCCGAGCATACCCTCCCACGTGGTCTTACACGCGGTGGAATCCACTCGACGGCCGGAACCTCCATATATTCGACATAGCGATGGCCCGGCTCGTCGATCTCTAGGACGCGACCCCGTCGCCACGGGAGTATGGATTCTTGTGTGCGGCGCGTATACGTTCTTCGTATAGTGTAGTCGTAGTCGTGGTCGTTTGACTCAAGGTCGCGAGTCTTCTCGTGCTCGTGGCTATGTCTTGAGTCCCAATCTACTATCACGGGAGGCGCGCTGCATCGTCGATGTCGGTGTCGTGGAGGACAGACTAGGCTGGTATTCTGACTGGTGGTGTCGGTAGTTGTAGTGTTGGTCTGGCTGGTCTTGCTGGAGCTTGTACTGCTGCTTTTGCTACTACTGCTGTTGCTGCTGCTTTTGCTGCTTTTGCTGCCTTTGCTGCTGTCACTGCTGTCGTCACTGCTGCTGCTGCTGCTGCCACGCCTATGATGACAGTGATGATGCGCCTTATGATGACGATGATGACAATGGTGATGATGACCGTGTTTGGCACCTGGGAAAGAGACACGTAGAGGTTGAGGACGGAATTCCGTGACCCGGATGCAAGGTCCGTCTTCGTCGATTTCGACGAAGCACATGGTTGATAGCTGTATCACAAAATGGTATATATCGTAATTATCCCGAGAAGCAGAACAAAACAGCGAGAAAGGGAAACAGAAGGAAGAGAGAGAGAGAGAGAGAGAGAGAAGAGAAGAAACAAAGTGATGTTTATCTAGTATGGACCGGGTTCACCTGATCAGGGCTGTCATGCGTATGACGATCAACCCAGTGACTTGACTCGCTGACCACCGCTCTCTCCGATGACATATATTATATTATCTATTGTCCGTATATAGCTCTCTATCTCTCTGTCCCTAGAGATATATATAGATCGTAATATATATAGACTGAGAAATGGAGAAAGATGACAGGTGATAGCATCTGACCAAGAGGTAGTACACGAGGGCTCCATGGCGGTCCATATGCTGCCCCCAACTGCGGACGTCTGGTGGCAGGTTGCATCAGCAACTGGCCCGTATTATCTCCTTTCTGTACAGGAGAGTATCCATAAATCCATATTGTGGTCCTGTAGAGATATTAATTGCAAGAGGACTGGCATTGATGGATGCCTGGATCAGGCAAACTATACCCGATCGGGCTAGTGAGCGCAGTCCAGCCCTAAGTCGATGCTCTCTTGCCAGTTGTCACTCCACCAGGGTTTGAGCGCCTGCTCAGTCCCGGGCGAGGTAAAGAAGCAAGCATCTGGCTGGAGGGAACGAAAGGGATAGAGGTGGTCGATCATCAAAAGAAAACAATACATTCAGCCTATGATACACCAACCCAGCTCCAGAGAGCAAAAACCAAATAAAGGGGAGAAGACAAGAGGAAAAAAAAGAAACAAGATTAAAGATCATCATCGTGGTGATGCGTATTCTCATTATCCGACGCATGGAAAGCATCCCCAAACGCCGAATTGTCCAGGTCCGGCAGATCCAACCCCTCGTTCTGCTCCGTGTACGCCGCCAGCGCATCCCCCGCACTGTCCATGTTGGTGAAGTCGAAGTTGGCCCCGTCCAGCGCCGTGTCCCCCGCGCTGTCCGTCTGCGCCGGTGTCATCCCCGGAATCGCTCCGCTGGGCGTGTCGGCCGCCGGCTTCTCGCCGGCCAACTCCTTCTGCTCCTCGTTCACCATGACCCACTCACCGGTCTCGCCGGACGCGGTGGCGGCGGGCACGGCGGAGGAGGGCTGGCTGGCTGCGGGGACCGGGTCGGCGCCTAGATCCATATCGACATTGGCGCGGGGCGGGTGGACGCTAGGGGCGGTCGGCGGCGGGGCCTGCGCTGTGACGTCGGGCGCCGCGGCGAGCGGAGCGGACGGGGCGGGCGCGCTGGCAGCCGGAGCTTCTGGCTCGAGGCCCATGCCGCCCATGTCCACATCCGCGGCCTCGGCCGCGGGCGGGGCAACCGGAGGCTCCGGCTCGATCTTCTCCAGCAGACCCCCTTTTTGCACACATGAGATCTTGGGCTCCGCGACGACCGGCCGCTGCCACGCCGTCTCCACCTCCCGTACCACGTCGTCCACCCGGTACTTGGCGGGCGGGTCGACGGCGCGCGGCACCGGCGCGGTGTCCTCCTCTGACTCGTCGCCGCCGGGCACCTCCAGCCGCCCCTCGAGCCGCCAGATCTCGGGGCCCGAGGCCGCGGGGTCGGCGGCCGATTCGCGGAGGCGCCGCTCGGCGTCCTTGAGCAGCGTAGTGCGGTTGAACTTGCTCATGCGACGGGCGTGGCGTCGCTTCAATCGCTCGATCTCGGCGGTCATGTCGGCGACCTTCTGGGCCACCCGGTCGGCGAACTCCTCGGCGCGGGCGGGTTCCAGTTTAGTGGCCGGAGCCGCCTCGGGGGCCTCCTTGGCGTCCGCCGGCGGGGGCGCCCCGGGGGCATCGAAGAATCCGGCGGTCAGGGATTCCAGCTCGCCCTTGCGGCCCAGGCCCAGCGACACGGGGGTGATCTGGCTGATGGCGTAGGGGGAGGCGAAGATCTCTTCCATCCACTCGTGGTGCTGCTGGTACCGCATCTTGCTGACCTCGCGCGGCGTCAACAGGTCCATCAAATCGCCCGCCGAGACGTCCTCATCTTCCAGGGCGAAGTCGGCCGTGGCGGCGTTCATGGCGGCTGACGAGGCGCGGTGGCCGCGGGGGGCCTTGGCGGGCATCGGAGCCGCCGCGGGCGCGGGCATGCCCGGGGTGGCGGGCGGGTAGAAGGGTTGGCGCGCGACCATGGAGCTGGGGTAGGGGCCGGGGACGGGGGCGTAACCCTGGGGGGCCACCTGCGGGGGGAAGTTGATGGTGGGCCAGTTCTGGCGGTCCAGCAGCATGAAGTCCTTACGAGCGAGCTGGCCCTGGCTCTGCAAGAAGCGGCGCTGGGACAGCATGCCCTGGACCTGCGGGAGGAGGGGAATGCGATTGGCGGGCACGTGTTCCGGAGGCGGGGCGCGGGAGTAGTGAACGATCCAGAGGGCGGGATCGGGGGCGGGACCGTTGGGGTTGGGGTTCTTGGTGGGTAAGAGACGGTAGCGACGGCGCGAGTGGATGGCCAGGGATTCGTTGGGCGGATGGTAGCCACTGCGATGCAGGTACATCTCGACGACGTAGCCCCGAGCTTCAAAAGTGTAGGCCTGTTCGGCATCGGCCCAGACGTAACCATCGCTGGCGAAATTGTTGCCCAGATGTTGCAGGGGTTGCCAGGTCAGCATGACCGTACCGTCCTGGGGACCATCGAGGAAGGTCCAGTGCATGGGTTGGGCTTCGCGCACGATCTTGGGGGCGGACAGGAGGTATTCGACGACGGTCTCGGTGGGCATCATGTGGACGACGGGGTAGCGATGACGGGAGACGAGGTGCATATGGGGGAGCTACTCTACTAGTCAGTGTCGTATCAAGCAGGCGGTTGTAGAGGGAGAAAGATACCAGCTGCGCCGGCAGGCGATTTGCTGGGCTGTCCTCCATGATGAACGACGCCGAAGGGAGGGTAATAGCAGTGGACAATAGATTATAGAAGAAAAAGATGAACCATAGATGGATGGCCCAGTAGAGAGAGGATCTCAAATAGACGATCAATTGAAGGGGGGTGGAGGGGAGAAAGACGGGGAAGTGAGGAAGATGAAGATGGAGATGGAGATGGAGATGCGATGAGATGCGATGGACGAGATGGAGAGCGAGCGAGTCGGACGCGACGCGGAAATTTGAGGTGGTGCGCCACGGTGGCTGATGCGGACCGGTGGCGCAGATAGATACCTGAGTGCCTGGAATGACAGGCAGAATTCAGGCGGATGCATAGCTGAGTCATGTCTCACTATCACGGCATTAATCATGCACAATTAGTATCCTTCTTCTTTTCTCTCCTCCATCTTCATCTCTCCATCTCATCTTCACCCTTACTTCCCAGCCTCACAGTCGCCTCATGGGGGTTTCTTCTTTCCCTCCTGCATGGATTCCCTATGGTATGGCATCGTGCGAATCAATCCCATCCCATCATGAACACCATGATAGTGACCGACGATCTTCCGACGATCGATCCCGTCGATGAACTATGGGAATGAGAGGTACCATGTGAATCAATGTCTCTCGAGGACTCGCATGGACACGACAATTCTCCTTTTTTTCCATGTTTATCATTTGACGTCCTCATGACCATTCAAGCTGCATGGTCAACCATGATAGATACCATCCTATGCATGTCGACAGGTCAAGCGTTCGCATTGACCCGCCACTTTCTTCCCCCGGGCCCCCCCCCCCCCCCGCAGGCTTAATTCATCGGCTGGGGAACATTTCCCCTCCCCCGTGCTTCCCCCTTGCTCGGTATCCCTCCGATCACGGATTGATTCTAGCGGGGGATGCCAATTCGATCCAATGAATCGTCCAGCCTCCACTTCCTTCTGGACAGGACCATGTGCGGTCATTCCGCAGTCCTGTCCCCATGACGCTGTCTCGAAAAGTGGCCCGACTAACGATGTCGATCATCAATAGATCCGGGTCCAGAGCCACGTCTAACACAGAAAATCTCCGACCGGACCTCGCCTATAAAAGATCTGCTCGACCCTCTTGTTGTGAATCCTGTCAATCTCTCCCTCTCTGTTTCTCTCTGCCCATTTGGTGTGCGGCGACACATACTACTTGATCGTCATGGGGTTCTTCGGGAAGAATCAGGCGACCCTCACGGTTTTCGACGATGATATCCAGCCTGCGCCGACGGCCGATCCGGAGAAGCAGACCCTGTCCCACGACGAGAGCCAGACCGCACTCCCGGAAATGCCCCCCGCCGCGGTCTTCATCGACCCCGAGATCGAGAAACGCGTGCTGCGCAAGCTGGACTGGCGCGTGCCCACGCTCCTGGGATTTCTATATTTACTCTCCCTGCTCGACCGGAGTAATATTGGGTGGGTTGGTCGATCCCATCCGAATCGGACGCCGCTGACCACGACAGAAATGCCAAAATTGCGGGCATGAAGGAGGACCTTCAGTTGGACAGCCAGCGCTACTCGTGGCTGCTCACCATCTTTTACATCGCGTACACCGTCTTTGAGTTTGCCGCACTCATGTGGAAGGTGATGCCGCCGCACCAGTGGGCCGCCATCACCGTGATGGCCTGGTGAGTGCACGCCTCCGAGGAATCCCCCGGTTCTGTCGAATCCAATCTAATCGCACGACGGGATCAACAGGGGAATTGTCGCGACTTGCCAAGCTGCCGCCTTTAATTGGGAGAGCATGATGGCCCTGCGCTTCCTGCTAGGCATGGCTGAGGCCGCCTTCGGGCCCGGGACTCCCTACCTGCTGTCCTTCTTCTACCGCCGCCATGAGCTGGGCCTCCGCTGCGGCATGTTCGTGTCCGCCGCGCCGTTGGCAAACACCTTCGCCGGCGCCCTCGCCTATGGCATCACCTCGGGCCACTCCAAGCTGGCCAACTGGCGCCTGCTTTTCCTTGTCGAAGGTTGCCCGTCCCTGATCGCCGCCGTTGTTGCCTGGTACTTCCTGCCCGACCACCCGTCGACCGCGCGGTTCCTGACCGAGGAGGAGAAGGAGGTCGCGCGGGCGCGGGGCATGCGGCGCAGCGGGGAGAGCGAGCGCTCGACGGGAATCGACTGGCGCGATGTGGGACGGACGGTGCTGGACGCTAAGGCCTGGTTGACGGCGCTGATGTACTTTAGCTGCAACGTCAGCTTCTCCTCGCTCCCCGTCTTCCTGCCCACCATCCTGGAGGAGATGGGTTTCAGCTCGATCGACGCACAGGGCCTCACGGCCCCGCCCTATTTCGCCTCCTTCCTCGTGACCATCGCGACGACGTGGCTCGCCGACCGGTTCCAGCAGCGCGGTCTCACGATTGCCGTCTGCTCCGTGGTGGGGGCGGTGGGTTACACGTTGCTGGCGACGAGCCTGTCCGTGGGGGTGCGGTATCTGGGGGTGTTCCTCGCCGCGGCCGGCGTGTTTCCCTGCATCGCGAACATCCTCCCATGGGTGCTGAGTGCGTTCTCCTCTCCTCTCCTCTCCTTCCATCTCGTCTTCCAATCTAACCCATCACAGACAATCAAGGCTCCGACACGCGCCGCGGCGTCGGCATCGTCATCCTCAACCTCCTCGGCCAGTGCGGCCCTTTCCTCGGTACTAATGTATTCCCGGACAGCGACGCCCCGCGGTACATCCGCGGCCAGGCCATCTGCGCAGCCTTTATGTACTTCACGACCCTCCTCGCGCTGGGGCTGCGGGGGCTCCTAATGTGGGAGAATCGGCGGCTGGATCAACAGCATGGGACCAAGGCCGAGCGCGAGGCCCGGGGTGGACCGGCGCACGACGATACAGTGGGGGAGGAGAACTACGGGGCCGGATTCCGATATGTGCTGTAATGGGATGAATATGACTGATATGATGTATGAATAACGAATATAGAATAATTGAATTGTACGGAGTATGCGGAGAGCCCAATACGATAAGACAATGCGGGGATCCACCCGACCCACCTTTCTCGTCTCCCCTCATCCTCTTCAATATTCATATATCTCCCCAGACTCACCATCAACGTTATAACCTCAACATTCTACCCCGTATAAACCATTCAAATGTCAACCCCAACACCGGGGTCTCCCAACCCCCACCTCCACGCCATCGTGGACATGGGCAGGTATGTGTCCCCTCCACCATCCCCCCCCCTCACCAAGTCTGTCCTCTCTAACAAGCAAACAGCAACGGCATCCGCTTCTCCATAACAGACCTCACCCCACCAACAACCCGTCTCCTCCCAACAATCTACCAAGACCGCGCCCCCATCTCCCTCTACGACGCCCAATACCCAGACCAGCCCTCCACCACCACCACTACCATCCGCCGCCCTATCCCAGACCCCACAATCACCAGCGTCATCGCCCACCTCAAACACTTCCAGCGCATTTGCTCCGACTTCGACGTCCCCGCGGCAAACATCCACATCCTCGCAACAGAAGCAACCCGCACAGCGCCCAACTCGGCTGACTTCCGCGCGCGCATCAACGCCGCTACCGGCTGGGACGTGCGACTGCTCTCGAAAGAAGAAGAAGGCCGGATCGGTGCGCTGGGTATAGCGAGTAGTGGGGCCCGCATCGCTGGTTTGGCGATGGATTTGGGCGGTGGGAGTACGCAGTTGACGTGGGTGGCTGAGCAGGATGGTGAGGTGCGCACTTGTCCTGCTGGGGCGATTAGTTTTCCGTATGGTGCGGCTGCTTTGACGAGACGGTTGGGTGGTGGTGGTGGTGATGGGGAAGATGTTGTTGCTGAGGGCAAGGAAAAGAAGGAGAAGAAGGAGAAGAAGAAAGACAGGAAGACAGAGGAAGAGAAGAGAAGTGGATCTGGAGCGGCGAGGAAGCAGTTGCTAGAGGAAATGCGCTGCGCTTTTCGCGATGCGTATGTCCAGCTCGGTCTTTCTGAGTCGTCGGTCATGGACATATCGCGCTCGCGCGGTTCCTTCGACTTGTACCTCTGTGGTGGAGGGTTCCGTGGATGGGGGTATGTGCTTATGAAACAGGCTGCTGTGGATCCGTACCCGATACCCATTATCAATGGGTTTAGGGTCCAGCGGGGGGCGTTCCACGATACTGTCTCTGTGTTGGACGAGGTCGGGTATGAGAACGAAGAAGACGATGAAGACTCCTCTTCATCATCAACCGGTAAAACCAAAGCCAGCAAAGACAAGAAAAAGAAAGCCAAAGCCAAAAACACAGACAACCAAAAAGACACGCCCAAAATCTTCGGCGTCTCCAAGCGTCGCGCATCCCAAATCCCGGCCGTCGCCCTCCTCGTCAACGCCATCATGGACGCCCTCCCCTCAATAACCCACATCCAATTCAGCCAGGGCGGCGTCCGCGAGGGCTTCCTCTTCGATAAGATCCCCGCCGACGTGCGCGCTCAAAGCCCCCTCCTCGCAGCTACAGCACCGCACGCACCTCCCGACGCGGAAGCCATATCTTCCCTCCTGCGCAGTGCATTACCCACGACGCCGTCCCCATCAGGCGAGCCTATCGTGCCGGCGTCTATTTCGGGACTGCTCCCGCGCGCAGTGGCGAACATGATGTTCGCACACTCGGCTGTTCCGCGGGAGTCGAGATCCGCTGCTGCGGTGCGGTGCACGACGTCGGGGTTGTTAGCTTCTGCGGGGTGTCTTTCGCATGGGGAGCGCGCGCTACTTGCGCTGGTACTGTGTGAGCGCTGGGCGGGGGACCTTGCGGCTGCGGATGAGGCGTTTAGGGGGTTGTTAACGGAGTGTGTCTCGCGTGAGGAAGTCTGGTGGGCGCGGTATCTGGGTCGTGTTGCTGGTATCGTTGGGGATGTGTATCCTGCTGGGCGGGTAAGTGGGTCTCGGGTGAGATTGGATACAGAGTGGGAGGTTGTTGAGAAGAAGAAGGGTCGGGTTGAGATGTTGGTGGTGAGGATTACGTGTGAGGATGGGTTCGTGGGTGGTGGTGGGGAGAGGCTGGAGAAATTGGGGAAGAAGAAGAATTGGGAGGGGGGGTATGGGGTGAAGGTTGGGGTTGTCTTTGGGTGAGTTGGTTTGGTTGTTTATATTTGAATTCCATGCATTCTTGCAGGAGGTTGATACTAATGATGGGTATAGATTCATGTCTGGATAGCATCATGTCTATTCCAGATGACCATAACATAGAATATTTCATAGATATCCATGATTGTTCCAGTCAATATCACTACATGGGAAGTTTAACGAATTGGACCATGATGCAAGTTGGTCATAGCAAGCACTGTGGTATGTGTCTACACATACTACAACGGACCTAGTGGTGTCTCCATAACAGACACAACGACGGTCAATTTACGTAGACTACCTGATTGGCAACGACATAGTAAACAGACACGTAACTCGCGTATCTAACCCCGTCCACGTTCTCCATGCAGACATAACCCCACGAAGCGTCAAGCCCTAATCGGCCCCTGAAACTTCCCATTAGGATCATACACCTTCTTCAACTGGCGTAGTCGGTCGAGGTTCTCTCCCCATATCTAATCAAATATCCTATTAGCCACAAGTATAAAGCAAGGAGAAGGGGGAAGAAAAGAACAAACCATAACAGGATCATGGAACTCCTCCCCCCCATTCGCCAACAAGTTCACCATCCGACTCCCCAGTATCCTCTCTGGCGCATCAGCCGCCAAGCTCCTAGCCATCTCCTCCTGCTCCGCGCTCGCATTCGCCGGACATCCAGCCCCGATGAGGAGGATGTGCTTGGCGCCTGGTGGGCGCGGCCAGGCGCAGGATGCTTTGGCGTCGCACTGAACGTTGTCCTAATCAGCAACCTGCTATATACAGGGGACGTTGAAAAGAAGGGGAGCTACGCACCGAGGCTAGAAGCTCGAAAATCAAATACGTGCAGTCTGATACAGCCGAATCCTGCTCGGCGAGTCCGTCCACCAATTCAATCGCGCGGGTGATTGTCGCGGCGGATAGGGTTTTGAGGAACAGTGGGGCCCAGTATTGTCTCATCGTGCCTTTGGAACTGGCTACGTTTTCTGTTTATATGCTGTCAGTTAACATGCTTGAAATTTCTCTCAGATGGTGTGTCATCCCGAGAGACAAAGTCGATGGCGTACGCTGCAACTTGGTCACTCCCTCCAAGTCTGTGATGCCCGTCTGGTCAACTGCCCCCGGTATATCCAACACCCACTTGAAAGTTTCTCGCCCGTGCTCCTCGCCATTGGCGTCGTAGGCGTGCACGACTAGCATGTCTTGAAATGCGCCAATTGTCTCGAGGAGACTTTTCCTGATGACGTAGAGGAACATGCTCACCCGCGGGTCGGGGTTGCTAGCCAGGAAGGCCTCTAGACGCGCTGCTACAGTGGGGAGCTGCTGGCGGGGGAGGAGGATAGGACCTGCCCAGATAGCCTGGGGGTAGGGTCGGGCCCGAAAGAGGAATTTCGTGGCAACTGTCTCATCTCAGTACCGCAGTAGGGCAGATCGCAGAAAGCCATAAAATCCGTTGATTTGCAAGGAAATAGAAAGGAAGGAAGATACCGCCGAACCCTCCACCCCCACCGCGCATCGTCCACAAAAGATCCGGCTCCGAGCTCGCCCACACAACAGACCCATCGGACTTAACGACCTGCGCATCGAGCATGTTCTCCGGGTCCGATATGCACCCGTATTCGGCCGACAGCCAGGACAGTCCGCCTGTGACGACCGTGCCACCGACACTGATGGCGGGAGTGCGCGCTCCGACGACTGTTCGGCAGTTATTGGTCAGTGGATACCCCGTACCACAGTCAGAGTGGTGGCGTACTTGCGTAACTTGGCGCGGCTTCCTTCATCTTCCGGTAGACGGCGCCCCATGTCTGGCCCGCGCCGACCGTTGCCACCTCCGTGTGAGGGTCGAAGTGGAACTCGTCGAACGCGGTCATGCTGACGAGCACATCCTTGGCGGAGGTTGACAGGAAGCCCTGGCCACGGATCCCGAAGTGCAAGCCGGACTTGTACAAGTGGGCGATCAGCCTTGCGAGAGATTCCGGGGAGGTGGGTACTGCAACGAGGCGAGGGTGGAGGTCCTTCTGGACCGCCCATCCTTGGGCGTTGGGTCCGTAGAGGGGAGAATTGGGAGATACGACTTCAGAGGGTTCGAGGAGAGATTGAACGTGAGAGAGATCGCGATCGACGGGCATTTTGGCGAGTCTTTAGAATTGGGGTGTAGACAGAATGATCAGCTAGACCAGTGAGATGGTGAAAGATGCTATCATGGGAACGACCTGTATTGCATGGGCTTAGGGCTGAAGATGAAGGCCTGAAAAGAGGGGTTGGTGACTTGGGCAGTGAGTCGATGAGATTCGTGGAGCAAGCGACGCCCTGGAATTCAATCGCTCCTATCACCATAGATTTATCTGCAAGATCACGACGACCACGGCATGTCAAAATCCGAAGCATGGGTCGTGTGGATCGCCGATGTGTTCCATTCCAGCTGTCAATGTGGTAGTACATCGTCATGTCTCCAGAGGTGTAAGTTCCATGGGCAGCACACCCAAGAATCGGATTAGGTTTTGGCGCTAGACTATACAGGTCAACTATATTGTAGCCAATAGATGTGTTTATCTGTTTATTTTGATAGTATGAGCTGAAGATACAACAGCTGTTGTTGCAAAATGTCAGGAATGGCGGATGGAAGGTGGATAAAATCGATAGAAAGGAAGCTGGACTATGGTCTGGTCCCAATCCATGTGGTATAGATAGTCGTTGCATATGAGATGGCGTAAATTGCTCGTGTCAGAGACCATGGTGTATTCGTCATTGAGCGTAGGAGAGTCGGCAAGAACAAGTCTGATAGGCCATGCTTACCGCATAGGGTTCAAAGGATATCATTAGAACTAATTGACTGCTTTTTCTGATCAATTTTCTTCAAAAGACTGCAGCAGATACTCTGATCTCGTCTACACGTCCAAATCTGTTCGAAAGATCTTCTCGGTTCTGATATCCAGCCTGCCCTTCGTCGGGATGTCCCTCATGCCGTACCAAGGCCACTAAGACTGATCATATATATAAAACCCAGCCAACATAGGATTCACAAGCAAGGGAAGGGGGCTCGGACAATGCTGCCAGTTCCCATTGCCGGTCTTCTTGGCGTGTATATGTATAGATTAGACACATCATGTGGTGGGATCAAATTAGATACATAAGCCGGTGCTGCTTTTAGATGGAGATTTCGGATCTGTGTGAAGCATGAGTCGCTGAATTGGGCAGCGGCAGTCCGACTGATTGTCCAAGTCGAGAAATAATTCATGATGATCATCCTGGGCCGCAGGCAGTTATTGGATTGTATAGTCGTATAGTTACTGCATGGGATGACAATTCTCCTTGCTAGCATTGTACTGGTCTCGGGCTGTGGATAAGGATATGCCTGATAAATTGAGTTCTGCCATGTCTCTATCCAGCCACATCAGTAATTATAGTAACATCAATGTCATGATGGAGATAAGATGGAGACGGAGATGAGATGAGATGAAGTGAAGCCAGAAGAGCGAGAGATAGTATAGTCCCACCGCCTCCGTCTCCGCCTTCCCCATTGACCGGCAGTAAACATCCCTTCCGGTCATTCATTCATCAATTTCTCTCATTGTCGCGTCGCCCATCAGCCATCTCTCCATTCTTCTCCCCCCTCTCCCTCTATTTCTAATATGAGCCCGGTCAAACGACGTCGCGTAAACCCATCTCCGTCACCCTCCGTTGACGACCGCTCGATCCAATCCCCCGTCGAATCCTCGTCCGACGAACTGGCCGCCGGCTCCGACCGCGACGAAGCCGAGCGCCGTCGCGCCAGCTGGTCGCTGCAAAAAGTCTACCCTCCGCAACGCCCGTACCCGCGCTCACGCAGCTACAGCGGGTCAGAGAGCCCCGACGAGCTGGCTGTCGATGCAGAAGTCTACTGGCGGACGTCGCGACGGGGCCGCGGGCGCCCCGCGCGCAGCCCGACTCCGACGGAAGTGAGCGAGGATTACCAGGATGGGGACGAGGAGGGGCAGGACGAGGAGCCGGAGGAAGAGCCGGACGAGGAGCAGGAGACCGAGGCGATTGGTCGCGGGGATGAACCAGACCAGGAGGAGCTTGAGGCACTAGGGCGGGGCGATGATGGGGAGGACGATCGCGATGACCACCGAGAGAGAGATCGAGATCACCGCGATCAGAATATGGACGGCGGGGTCGACGATACCCCGATGGCCGACGACTACGAAGATCGCTCGCCGACGCCCGTACCACCGCCGCCGCCGGTACCCCCGAAACCCGATAAGCTGGAGTATCGCGCCAAGTTCTTGCTCCGGGGACATTTGCGGGGGGTGTCTGCTGTGAAATTTTCCCCGGATGCTTCTATGATAGCGTCGGCGGGTGCGTCATAATTTTTCTTTCATATATTCTTTTCTGTCTGTCAATTGTGCAGCTGCTAATTTGTGCGTTTCTAGGTGCCGATGCGGCGGTTAAGGTCTGGGACACTCGCAGCGGGAGACTTATCAACACCTTTGAAGGCCATTTAGCCGGCATTTCCACCATATCGTGGAGCCCAGACGGGGCGACCATCGCATCGGGGTCAGACGATAAGACGATCCGGCTATGGAATGTGTTGACGGTAGGTCACATATCTCTACGCTAGTTCTACACATGCTGATTATTTTAGGGCAAAGCACACCCGATCCCCTTCGTGGGCCACCACAACTACGTCTACCAGATTGCCTTCTCCCCCAAAGGCAACATCCTAGCCAGCGGGTCCTACGACGAAGCCGTCTTTCTCTGGGACGTGCGGTCGGCCAGCGTGATGCGGTCGCTGCCGGCGCACTCGGACCCAGTCGGCGGCATCGACGTGGTGTGGGACGGAACGCTGATCGCGTCGTGCGCGACGGACGGACTGATCCGCATCTGGGATACGGCAACGGGCCAGTGCCTGCGGACACTGGTGCACGAAGACAACCCGCCGGTCACGTCGGTGCGGTTCTCCCCCAACGGCAAGTTCGTCCTGGCGTGGTCGCTGGACGACTGCGTGCGACTGTGGAACTATGTCGAGGGGCGCTGCATCAAGACGTACCAGGGACACGTCAACCGGAAGTACAGTCTTTCCGGCGGGTTTGGCATCTACGGGCTGCCGGGGGCGCCGGCGGAGGCGTTCGTGGTCAGCGGAAGTGAGGACGGGGCGGTGCTGTGCTGGGATGTGGTGAGCAAGAAGGTTCTCCAGCGGATTGAGGGACACACAGGGGTGGTGCTCGGGGCGGACACGTGCTCGCTGGAGGGGAAACGCTTGATGGTCAGCTGTGGGATTGATGGGACGGTCCGAGTGTATGAGGAAGCAGACCCGGAGACAGAACCGAAGACAGAACCGAAGACAGAACCGAAGACAGAACCGGAGACAGAACCGGAGATAGAACCGCACACGGTCAAGGAAGAGGGTCAGGAAAAAGAAGCGCCCGAACCGCAGGACACGGAAATGGGCGAGGGAGAATAGTTGGGCATATCTGGCGTTGGGGAGGGTTTTCTGCTGTTTTCAATCCCATATTTATATAGAGATGATGATGATGATAATCGATACCAGTTATGCACGGAGTATGCACGTCTGAGTCAGCTATATTCACTCTAACCCGATCGAGTAATCACCTGCCTCGGGCCATCCATTATTTTATCATTTGATCTCATTCTGTCTCCATCTTTCTATTCATCCCACACTATCTCGCGACCACGATGGTCTGAATCTGGCTAGGAGTATCGTATACGCAAATACAGCGACAGATCATCCACCATGAACAACAACCAATTCCGCCGCTTGGTCCTCGACACCCCGAACCCCTCCAAAGCCCGCGATGGTCGCTCTCCGGGCGCGCCCTCCACCTCCCCCGGAGCAGCAACAGGGCCAGCGGGGTCCAACGCTTTAGGCTCACGTCTGCGTCCCAACATCCCCATGACACCGTACGTCCCTCCGCATCTCGCCGCTGCTACAATCACCCATCGAACCCCCACTAACCAGAAGCAAACAGGCGAAACCTCCAAGGCGTCAACTTCGCGCGCCAACTCGCCGAATCCCGCGCCGGCACCGCCCACCCCCAGAAACGCTTCAAGTCCTCCTCTGCCCCCAAGGGCGCCAAACTTCCCACCGGGTACCAAGACCGTGCGGCGGCGCTACGTGGGCAGACCGCGGATGACGAGGAGGCCGGGAAGAAGGAGGACGTCGAGGCGCGAGTGCGCGCGCTGGAAGAGCTGGTCCAAAAGGGGGAGCTTGATCGGGGGACATTTGAGAAGTTGCGCGCCGAGCTCGGCGTCGGGGGCGACGTCGGCTCGACGCATCTGGTCAAGGGTCTCGATTGGGAGTTGTTGCGGAGGGTGAAGGCCGGTGAGGATGTCGATGCTCCGTCCCGTCCGCCTGCGGAGGAGGAGGAGAAGGAGGAGGTGGTGGAGGACGTGGACGATGCGCTCGAGCGGGCCCTGGAGGAGATTCCGGAAGGACCTGTGGAGAAGGAGACGACGAAGACGAAGAAGAAGGGAAATATGGCGCCTCCGCGGCGGTCGCGGGATGAGATCTTGCGAGAGTTCCGCGCCAGTCGCGCGGCGGCTGTGGCCCCGCCTCCGGAGCCGGCGCTGGGGGACAAGTTCAAGCGGATTTCGGCGGCTCAACCGGAGAAGCAGAAGCAGCGGTTTGTGGAGGTGGATGAGGCGACGGGGCGGCGGCGAGAGGTGCTGGTGATTACGGAGGCCGACGGGAAGTCCAAGCGTAAGACGCGGTGGCTCGATCCGCCTGGGACGAAGAATCCCCCCTCGGCGCTACTGGAGCCGCGCAAAGACGCCCAGCCGCTGGGGATGGCGGTGCCGGCGGAGATCGCAGCAAAACAGGCGGCTGCTGCGGCGGAGGATGAAGACGACGATATCTTCGCCGGGGCGGGGAATGACTACAATGTGGCGGACGAACTCGGGGCGGACGAGTCCGGATCGGAGGACAGTGAGGGCGAGGTGAACGAGGACGAGAAAGCATCCGCCTCGACGGATCAACCACCCCCGACTACAAACGAGCCCGCGCGGCCACGCAACTACTTTTCGAATACTACGACCGAGACGCCCGACGAGCCCGACCGGTCGAACCCGCTGACACGAGACCCTACGCTCCTGGCGGCCTTGAAACGGGCGGCTGCCCTGCGCCAGGCGGGCGAAGACGGCGAGGATGGAGGGGAGGGAGGGAACGAGGAGGGGGTGGATGCGGCGACCGCACTCCGGCGGAAGAAATTCCTGGAGGAAGCCCGGCGGCGGGAGGCGCAGGATGACGCAGACATGGACCTGGGGTTTGGCAGCAGTCGGATCGAAGACGACGAGGACGAGGAAGGGATCGTGGTGGAGGAGGAGCGAGGGGGGAAGAAGCGGAAACGGGGGCCGAAGAAACGCAAGGGCGACAAAGACAGTGCGGCCGATGTGCTGGGGGTGCTGCGAGGACGATAACCTGGGGGACGATCCATCGCAGGGAGGAGGACGACTGGACCAACCCTGAATATCATCAAGGAATATCAACGACTATCGGGCATATCACGATCATCCCCGGGAAAATGGTGCATGCGATGATTTGTTCCACCCTGCCAGTTGGCGCGACCCGACGTCATCGTCTCAGGCTCAGCGCCGATCCTCCTGACTATCAGTCGTTGTTCCTTGGTGTACCTGCTGCTGTCTTTCACCTAGGTGGTACGGAATAGTCCTTTGTATTTCGGGACTTTTTTTTTCTTTGTTTTTTCTCGCGTTCTTGGATTCTTTTAGGTGATACTTTCCCATCAGCAACGGGGCGCGACAGCCTCAACCACGGACAACAAACGATGACGACGGCCAGACCTCCTTGGCTCTCGTTAGCGCCGAGTTAGCGCAGTGGTGGATCCAATTCTTATTTGGGCCCCAGAGGCCAGAGCCCAGAACCCGATGGGGCCCTTGAAGAATACTATTCGAATTGGTGATGTCGTTTTGGGGCTGTCATTATTGCCGCCGATGGATCCGCTGCTGGAATGGGAATCGTCGTCCCTCCTGCAGGTCTTGATTTTCAATTGATTTCCACTTTCTGAGGTGTGTGCCTGTCGATGAGTGATCAGGGGATGGGTCCCCATGCATCTCGTCCTACAAATGTCCAGCCTGACCCAGGGTTCCCTCCTGGTTGGAACTCTCCTCTCGGCCGTGTACCATGGAACTTTGACCTGCAGGCACACACAAACACAGACACTCTCTTTCTCCTGCCTTAGCCCGACCGTTGGCCTTTCTTTGCCTAACCGGTCCTATATAATCTCGCCGCCACCCCTCCTGGCACAGTCTCTTTTCTCTTTTCCCTCTCTGTCTTCTGATCAACCTATCCAGTCTATCTTTTGATAACACTCTTTGTCCTGTGCCGTGCACGGTCAATCATACATTCCTTCTTCACAATCTTTTTTGACTTTTCTCTTGCTTGACTTGATTGTCGCAAGTATAACTCTCCTTTTGATCAGCTTGAAGCGATCCCTCTTTACATCACACCCAAAAAACTTCTTTCTCAAAGAAATTCAAAAAACCAAATAACACAATGGTCGCCATCACCCGAATCGTTGCGACGGCTCTGGCAGCCACCTCGGCCCTAGCCCTCCCTCACGGAACTAGCCACAGCCACAGCCAGACCCGGTCCGTGACCGCAGACAAGCGCAGCACGACCACCAAGAAGGGTGCGGCGTACAACGACGCCTCGACGGTCAAGTCCCTCGCCGGCGGCAGCAGCAACGCCAGCAAGATCTCGTGGGCCTACGACTGGAACATGCACTCGATGGGTATCCTTCCGTCGGACGTGGAGTTCGTCCCCATGCTCTGGGGCAGCAAGATGTTCGGCGAGTGGTTCAACACGATCCAGACGGTGCTGTTCTCCGGCAGCAACTACATCATGGGGTTCAACGAGCCGGACCTTCCCTCTCAGGCAGCCATGTCGCCGTCCGAGGCCGCCGAGCACTACAAGAAGTACATCAGCCCCTTCAACGGCAAGGCCAAGCTGGTCACCCCCGCCGTGTCGTCCACCGAGGGCGACGACGTCGGTCTGGGCTGGATGCGCCAGTTCCTGGACCAGTGCCGCGACTGCGACATGAGCGTGCTGGCCGTGCACTGGTACGGCGAGGACGCCGCCGCCTTCAAGGACTTTGTCTCGCGCGCTGAGGACCTCGCTGCTGAATACAACCTCGAGGAGACCTGGGTCACCGAGTTCGCCCTCACCAGCGACCTCAGCGCCGGCGGCGGTAACGAGCAGTCGACAGAGTTCCTTGGTGAGGTGCTCCCCTGGTTGGACGCCGAGCCGGGCGTCGGTCGCTATGCTTACTTCATGTGTGCGGATGGGTACCTGTTGACCGGTGATCAGTTGAGCACCAGTGGACAGGCTTATCTGACTTGATTCGTCTTTTTTGGCTTTTTAACCTTCTATTCTATACTTCCTGTGGGAGATTTGGTTTTTTTTTTTTTCTCTCTACATTTCTTACTTGCTTTTCCTTTTCCTTCTTTTTTTTTTTTTTTTTTTTTT